TCAGTTAAAGTTAAAGAGCGAAGCAAAGACCTGGCAGCCGCTGGAGATTTTTGCGAGGAGTTGGCCCAGAACATCATGACTCTGGCTTGTGCAACTGATGCGAGTCATCTGTTGAACGCGACAGATGACGAAGATAAACCGTTTTTGGACGTAATGGTCGATTGCGAACAGAAGCAGTGCGTTGCGCAAACCGCTGTGCAGTCGTACTTAGGTAGCAAGTGGGTTGCCGGACGAGATTGGAGAACGTCCAAAATTGTGGGTGTGTTCCTCGCGGCCTTCCTTTTGCCGCCTGTTTGGGCAGCGCTCTCCCTTCCATGGAAAAATAACTGCAATCAAGTGCCGTTGGTAAAGTTTATCTGTAGATTAATATCACATCTCTATCTTATTCTACTGTTCGTATTCATGTTGGCTATACCGTGGGGGAAACGTGGCGATGACGTAGTTCCGGCCTGGTACGAGGTAGTGTGGATGCTTTGGTTGTGTGGTCTTTTTCTTGAACAACTCACCGATACGAAGAATAAAAGAGGTCTGAGGCGATTACCAATATTGATAGTATTTTTGTCAATTATCGGCGTCCTTCTTCATTTGAGTGCGATTCCCTTCGGGAGCTCCACACGTTTAAATCTTTTGTACTCGCGCAATCAGATTTTAGCTGTGGCAATGTTTTTAAGTTTCGTACAAATCTTGGATTTTCTTACTTTTCATTACTTGTTTGGTCCATGGGGAGTTATTATTGGCAATCTTTTGCAAGATGTGGCAAGATTTCTCGTTATATTAGTAATCTTTATTCTTGGTTTTGCCATGCATCTTGCGGCCATATCTAAACCTGCGTTTGAAAAGAATGCATTGAAATCCGTTACTTTATCTAACATGCACGAAAACTTTGCTGAGATATTCAAATTCTCGGTTTTCACTCTTTTTGGCGCGGCTGACTCTGATTTCCTCGACGACATTACTAAGAATGATCTTCCGGGTTTCTCTAAGGTCTTGGTCTATATTGTGTTTGGTTTTTACTGCTTAATTACCATAATTGTTCTAATTAACCTTCTAATTGCCATGATGAGCGACACTTACCAACGCATTCAAGCGCAGTCTGATTTGGAATGGAAATTCGGCCGCGCAAAGTTGATAAGGAGCCTGGAACAGTCAACTCTAACACCTGCGCCTCTCAACCTACTCACGACCTCATGGAAGTACATACGACTTGTCCACAAATTAAGATGCGTGTGCTGCAGGCCAGGCATTATGGAATTACTACGTAAAGAGAAAAGTCATAAAGCTGAAGCTCCAAATATCCCAGGAATTATTGCCGTATCTCCTGACTCTCCTAGTTGTGTTGTAGGTGTAGATGGGGATAGTGATAGGATTGAGAAGGTCGTCGACTGGCGGGAAGTTGTGAGGAAGTTCAAAGCCTTGCAGGGCATGGAGCTGGACGATAGCGCGGAGGTAATCGAAGAACAAGAAACAAAATCTGCGAATTGTGATTTAAATGAAAAAAGTGTTCATGATATCAAAGAATTTGTCGAAGTCTACTTTAAAAGAATGGGTGAACCCACAGTTAGCTATTCAAAAAAAGCATGAGTTGCAATACAAGGATGAATTGTGAATGGCTTTGGGAATTAAAAGCTTGTTTATGATAGACTAGGAGATAATCTAATTGTATGAAGTCTTACTTTCCCAATAACAATACGAAGGCAGTTTTTTTTCGCGTTGATTTTATTATAATGGCTTGACACAACGCAATTGTATTTAATTGATAATATTGTAAGTAATAATATATGAGTTATTTTGTAGAGTTTGTTGTATACGAACTTTCGAAGCTGGTGTAGTTAATAAAACTGCCACTAAAACAACGTTTTTTGCATTTCAATTTTAGTGGATGTACTTGTCATTGATACCATTATTTAAGGGAAGAAAAAAGGCAGGCGACATTGATTATGAAAAAATTGCCAAACACTTGCATTATGATGGAGTATGAACATACAAAAGAAAGAGTCGAGCGCCTTAGCTAGTACTGTAATTGGTGAGGGGGGGTGTATTCATATGCTCAGTGCGTTCGACTGACTTCTTTTGAAAGTGAATTGGCTCTAAAGAAAACAGTAGGTACAACTGAATATATGAATATACACCCCCCCCCACTCCAATCAGCGTTCTAGGTACGGCCCTGAAAGAGTCATATCACTGTCAATGATTTGATGTTCGAAGCAAGGCACTATGCCATTGTATCAAAATGCAAGAAACATGCGAAATTATCCTCCTGTATTGATCTTCGTTATTTCGGTCGATCCGATCAATTTTGACAGTTAATCGCAAAGATTTCTGAACCTTTTGTACATTTTCATCTTTCTTTCTACCATATTTGAGACAGAATAAGCAAATATGCAATCAGCGATTACTTGGTGTAAGTCAGTTGTTTATTTTCCGGTTATTGCCTAATATGGAAAATGTTACCTTGCGTGAGTTCTCGAAGATTTTCCGAAGATGACGATTTTCACGCGGGAAGGTTTAAAAAGATGGCCGAAGAATATAGACGATTGTCTCGTCAACAAGAAGTCGGACTTAAAGCAGATTTAAGACGGGGGAAATCAAATATTTCGAGCTACAAAAACCCTAAAAGCATGAGAGAACAACATACTGTGAGTAAACTCGCACATTCACCAAGAAGGCCGGCAAAAAGCGGTGAGAAATCTGACGAAAATGGCAAGTCTAAGGGGTGTTGTTCGAAGGACACAAAGGTATTCCTACATGAAAACAAATTGTTTTCAATCATAAATAGACACATCATTTATTTTGTAGTGCTAACTTTTTTTTGTCGAACTTAGCAGTGTCTAGCTCTTATCCTATCTGCATAATTCGTGATTTATTTGTAGGCAAAGTCCGACGACGGTTCGTCTTCGTCAGGTCGCTCAATCGTAGAAAGACAGGACAAAAGAAAGTCTTTGCAGGTCCTACAGCCTTCTGCTGACGGACAGAAGTTGCTGGTCGGCGGAAGGACGAAACAAAAACCTAAATCTAAAGTACGATGCCATAACATCGCTTGTTGTGTGGCGAGCTGCGAGAATACAAATCCGATTAACTTCTATAATTCTTTGATTTCCATCGCAGAGCGGAGCTCATTCACAGCAATGTTCGACAAAGTCGAGACAAAAGCATCTAAAAAGTTATCTAGTTAAAGCTTCTGAAGTTGAAAGTCCATCAAGCGCGTCTGATGCAGATTCAAGTGTAAATGTTGATTTGAAATTAAAAGAACTCGACTCAACAGAGGAGACGCGAGCGATGATGGTACAAGGTTTGTTAGATAAACCTTCTTTCAGTATGTTTGTACATTTTACCCTCAAAATGATGGTCAGAGTTAAATTTCCTTGTTGCAGAAAAAGCGCCGGAAAAATATTGGGAATTAATTGCTGAGGAAAGACGAAAGGCTCTCGAGGAAACTTTAAAAGAAAATATTATGGTTGGTTATGAGTTTATTGTAATGTTTATGACATTTAGATATGAAAGAAACTAGAACTGTGTTTTAAAATATCATCATAGTCCACAGTTGATCTTGTAGTTTAGTTGGTAGAACATTGAAGACAATGATTATCTTGTTACTATACCTGAGTACATCACAACAACGTGATGTTATTATCTATGATATTAAGATATGAAAGAAACTAGAACTGTGTTTTGAAATATCATCATAGTTCACAGTTGATCTTGTAGTTTAGTTGGTAGAACATTGAAGACAATGATTATCTTGTTACTATACCTGAGTACATCACAACAACGTGATGTTATTATCTATGATATTAAGATATGAAAGAAACTAGAACTGTGTTTTAAAATATCATCATAGTTCACAGTTCATTTTGTAGCTTAGTGGGTAGAACATTGAAGACAATGATTATCTTGTTACTATACCTGAGTACATCTTAACAACGTGATGTTATTATCTATGATATTAAGATATGAAAGAAACTAGAACTGTGTTTTGAAATATCATCATAGTTCACAGTTGATCTTGTAGTTTCAGTTGGTAGAACATTGAAGACAATGATTATCTTGTTACTATACCTGAGTACATCTCAACAACGTGATGTTATTATCTATGATATTAAGATATGAAAGAAACTAGAACTGTGTTTTGAAATATCATCATAGTTCACAGTTGATCTTGTAGTTTAGTTGGTAGAACATTGAAGACAATGATTATCTTGTTACTATACCTGAGTACATCTAAACAACGTGATGTTATTATCTATGATATTAATATATGAAAGAAACTAGAACTGTGTTTTGAAATATCATCATAGTCCACAGTTGATCTTGTAGTTTAGTTGGTAGAACATTGAAGATAATGATTATCTTGTTACTATACCTGAGTACATCTCAACAACGTGATGTTATTATCTATGATATTAAGATATGAAAGAAACTAGAACTGTGTTTTGAAATATCATCATAGTCCACAGTTGATCTTGTAGTTTAGTTGGTAGAACATTGAAGACAATGATTATCTTGTTACTATACCTGAGTACATCGTAACAACGTGATGTTATCATCTATGATATTAAGATATGAAAGAAACTAGAACTGTGTTTTAAAATATCATCATAGTCCACAGTTATCTTGTAGTTCATTTGGTAGAACATTGAAGACAATGATTATCTTGTTACTATACCTGAGTACATCACAACAACGTGATGTTATTATCTATGATATTAAGATATGAAAGAAACTAGAACTGTGTTTTGAAATATCATCATAGTCCACAGTTGATCTTGTAGTTTAGTTGGTAGAACATTGAAGACAATGATTATCTTGTTACTATACCTGAGTACATCACAACAACGTGATGTTATTATCTATGATATTAAGATATGAAAGAAACTAGAACTGTGTTTTGAAACATCATCATAGTCCACAGTTGATCTTGTAGAACATTGAAGACAATGATTATCTTGTTACTATACCTGAGTTCGTGACGAGTTAATTCCAAACACTGAATACTTTTCTAGCTTTACGAAGAAATTGAAAAACTAAAATCAGAGAACGCAGTACTGAAAGAGAAAGCAAACAACCTTGAGTACTTTGCGACGTTGTATAAAATCACGAAAGATGATTTTCCAGCTGTATCAGAAACGACGACTTTCAAAGAAAACACTGGTTAGTTAGAAAATATCAACTTACTCTTTATTTAAAACTTTATGATTTGAATACTCTCTACCGGAAAAAAGAATAATTTAGAGATTTTTTACTTTTCATAATTACGGGTATCAACCGGAAGTGTTTATGTTAGTCAATTGTCTCAACTTCATCGTCCGTGAATAATGCACGAACTGAAATATAGTAACGATAAAATCGCCATCTTCACATTAATAAGTGTGAAAACGATGACAATTTTCATATTTCTACGCAGTTGCGAAGTCAGCTTCATCTTTTACTCCTAATATGATAATTTTTCATCAAAAATATTATTCATTTCTTTAGAAAAGTATTTTCGTTCAATGTTTTCTCAGTGAACGAGCGCAGTTTACACGTGTCTTCGCAAATGACAACACAGTTAAAGACAATAAATGGTGACGGTGTTCGTTGTGGTAAAATAAGAACTCGAGAGCGTTGCTTGAATAATTTTTTGGCAATAAATTTTATTTTATTTGTTGGTTGTTTTGTCGATTACCAAAAACAGGCAATATCTTTGCCCTTTTCATACAGTAAATCGAAGTAATTTTAGTGAATTTGATTTGGGCCGTTTTCAAAACTTTTAATTAAACTGCCCCGAATCTTTTTAATATCATCCATGAGTCGACGACAATAGCCTTTCGCTATCTTCGTTGTACGTTTTGTACTTGTTGATTTCCCATAATGCAATGCGTGTCGCCATTTTTTATCACGGTTATTTCAAAATCCTTCGTTGCGACCACTTTTCGCGTGTTCGTTGCGACCATTTTTCGCGTGTTCGACTTTTTCGTTGTACGTTTTCTACTTGTTGATTTTCCGTAATGCAATGCGTGCCGCCATTTTTTATCACGGTTAACTCAAAACCCTTCGTTGCGACCACTTTTTGCGTGTTCGTTGCGACCATTTTTTGCGTGTTTGACTTTCTTCGTTGTACGTTTTCTACTTGTTAATTTTCCATAATGCAATGCATGTCGCCATTTTATATCACGGTTATTTCAAAACCCTTCGTTGCGACCACTTTTTGCGTGCTCGTTGCGACCTTTTTTTGCGTGTTCGACTTTCTTCGTTGTACGTTTTCTACTTGTTGATTTTCCATAATGCAATGCGTGCCGCCATTTTTTATCACGGTTAACTCAAAACCCTTCGTTGCGACCACTTTTTGCGTGTTCGTTGCGACCACTTTTTGCGTGTTCGTTGCGACCATTTTTGCGTGTCGACTTTCTTCGTTATACGTTTTCTACTTGTTAATTTTCCATAATGCAATGCATGTCGCCATTTTTTATCACGGTTATTTCAAAACCCTTCGTTGCGACCACTTTTTGCGTGTTCGTTGCGACCACTTTTTGCGTGTTCGTTGCGACCTTTTTTTGCGTGTTCAACTTTCTTCGTTGTACGTTTTGTACCTGTTGATTTCCCATAATGCAATGCGTGTCGCCATTTTTTATTACGGTTATTTTAAGACCCTTCATTGCGACCACTTTTCACGTGTTCGACTTTGACCTGTATTCAAAATTATCTGTTTCAGCTCGAGACGTTCTCTGGCGTGTACAAAAACTTAACTGGAAAAGACGTCGTGTTCGAGTTTCCCGCTTACGATTAATAATTGAATAAATATTTCAAAATATTCTTGTTCATGTGAACTTGTGTTGTTGTTTGTGATCACCTATCCAAAAAGCATACCAAACGATGTTTTTTATCAATTGTTGGCACTATTAAGTTGACAGTTTATGTTTTGATTAGGGTAAACTTTGTTGAGGAGTTTTGAAGAAAATACTTGCAAGCCATGAAGATTTCGAACTAGATTAACAAAATCGTGAAATTAGTTTGTTGGTGCAAGCATTGCTAAAGCAACTGCGATACTTGGCCTGCTCCATTAACGGATAAAAGTACTCTTAAATAAGTTTCATTATGATATTCTCGACAGCGAAAGTTATCCCCCACCGCAGCAGTTAATGCAAGTCGAGGCTATTTTTAGCTTACGGAGTCTTAAGAGTTAATGCATTTGAATAGAACATGTTTCCATTCGAAAATTTTTAAATTGTTATTGCTAATCTGTGAAATAAGTCAAACTGTTAATTCTAGTTAATGATTGATAATGAAGCATTTCTTAATGTAAATATCAGAGCCCAGCGAGGTGCTTTTAAAAGAGCCATTTAATACAAAATAACATATAAAAAGAAATATTTAGAAGCGTAACGTTTCGTCTTGTCTTCTAAATAAATATTTCTTTTTATATTTTATTTTGTATTAAATCGCTTTTAAAAGCACTTCGCTGGGCTTTATATTAAGAATTCGCTTTTCGCCCGGTATATTCCTGGTCAAAATAATGAAGCATTTTATGTTTTTTTTGCGTACCTGCATCAACCGCCCACTAAGCTGATCTTCTAGTGAGGGGGTGGACGCTTAAATAGAGGATTGACTGTATTTACATTACACCTGCCTGTTTTTCTAAAAATGGTCGATTTTACGATGCAAATATTCTCTCCATTTGCACTTGAGAAGCATTAATATAACCACACTACTCCCACGGACTTCGGCAGAAGGGGGGGGGGGCAAGTACAAGAATTTACCCCCTCACCACACTTTGAATCTTTTGAAGCTATGGTCTTTATTTCTACGTTAAACACACATGTCTACTGGCGAATAAAACAAGAATGCAGCGTGGATCTAGGTATTTGATCATCAAGAGATTTTTATGCCAAATAGACGTGAGTTGATTATGAAAAGGTGACGGACGTTCTTGTGACGTAAACCCAATATGGTTTGATGCGTTATATTGGCCTTAAAACAAGGGGAAAGTTAACTTGTGGCTCCATATGATCCTCAGAAGCACAACACTTATTAGGCATTTGAAATAAACGACAAAAATTTTTATTATAAAGATGTTTCGACTTCCATTAAGTCATCTTCAGTATAAGAATGAAGTAAAGTTGCTTAAAATGCTGAATTTATAATAGGATGCATGATACGTGTTAATTACTAAAAGGAAATGATGTGATATTAGTGATATTTACACGGCAAATATCATGAGTGTGATAGAGACGAATTTGAATATTTCCAATTGGAAAATTTGTTTGTTAGGATTAGGCTTGAGTTTTTTTGATGTACAGTGCTTCTTTTAGTTTTAAAGAAGGAGTTCATCATGTCAATGCTATCTTTAACTTGTAAATACGTAACACCTCTAATCACATAATTGTAAATAAATTTCCGTTTCCATCCCTTTGTCTATACAGACGTCTTGCATCAGATTTATTTATATATTAACTCCATTCAAATATTCATTCATTATACCGCACTGGAAATGGCATAAGTTTGCCGAAACATGTTTGCAAATATTGTTGTTTTAGAGACATATACAGAGCTTGGCGTGTCTCTTCCACAATTTCAGAAATTGTTCGTTCACCGATACGAAACTGGAATGACAAACTCCTGAATGTTTCTCCTAAGTTAAAATAACATAAATAATAAGTTGCTCATGTACAGGAATAAATTGAACAAAAAGATAATATATTTCCTCAGTTCGAACCTGTGGCGAGGAAACGCAAAGTTACGGATAGACGCTCGCAAGGTTTCACTGCTGGTCTCAAGTGTGTATTCATCTTAGTAATGTAAGGCAGAACCAATTGTAAGATATTATCAAAGCAATCCCGATCAAGTCGATGGAATTGTCGAAATTTCTCTGGATCCTCTGCATTTAATTCTCGAACGAGATTGTTAAATACTCCTTGCGATTGTCTTCTTTGGATCCATCGCTTTGTCCACAACTTACGATGTACAGCTCTCAAACGTCTCCGTCGCTTTCTCAACAACAAAATCAATAGCAAAACTTTTTCGTCTTCTGATGAACTATCATTATTGCTATCTGTGTTGGTGTCACTGATATTAGTGTCACTGCTATTAGTGTCACTGCCATCACTGCTATCCGCCATATTGTGTTTACATTAATTTAATGTGCGCATGCGTAGTGTCATCATTGTAGGAGGACTTGCTTTTCGTCGGCCGCACACTTGGGATTTTTGTTACTCGTGACAAAAAATATCAAACATGTTTGATATTTGGAATATCTGTCACGAATGACAAATGTTGTTCGAAACTTCCGCGCACACTAGGAATTTTTGTCGATCACACTTGTCACGAATAACAAGTACGCGCGGCAAGTACGCTAGTGTGCGGCGGGCTTTAGTTTGCGGAAACATGTCTGCAATAAAAAATATGAAAAAAGTTGTCGTTTATGTTAAATGCATCATTTCAATCGTGCCATTACGGAATTATGGAAATTAGAAAATAGTGTTGAAATGTTGAATTCTTTTGTTAAGATCTGGTTTTTATTTGCGTGTGTCTAAAGGCTGAAACACACTGGGCAGTCGCTTCAGTCGCGCGTCCAAAGCGAATTGATGCGCACGCGTCAGTCGCTTGAACGCCAGAAACACACATGCAGCGACCATCGCGACATTTACCGTGGCGTCTTTTGAGCATGGCGAAGATTTCTGTTTGTTACAGACACAGACATCACTTAAACTTTTTATTTTGGCCTTTATTATAGCTACTAATATATGAATATTTACTCAGTACAAACTACTATGTGGAGAAAAGAGAACAAGCCAATATGATCATAGCCCATTACGCGTATATCGTGGATAATCTTATTCTGTGCATTTAGGTTGTGCATTAGGGTTCCAGTTTGTAGCTCCTATTGTCCCTATTTGATAAGTCATATAAAAATTGAAACATTCCAGTGTGAATTCACTATATATTGCCTTCGTTTTCCAAGGTATAATCTATAAATTTCGCATGATGCTTATGACAGGGAATATGATATGCATTTAGGAAGTTAAAATGTATCTATTGGCCAATCAGTGTAAAGCGACTGAAGCGACCAATGTCAAAAGTTCAACATGTTGAACTTTCAAAGCGACTGGCTGACGCGACTACGCTACTAGCTTAGTAACCACGCAAAGCGGTAGTTTTAGACGCGCGACTAAAGCGACTGCCTAGTGTGTTTCAGCCTTAAGGCTTCTTTGAGTTTTAGAGAAAATTCAGTGTAATGTTCAAATTTGTCTCTATCACACTTATGATATTTGCCGTGTAAATATCACTAATATTTTATCACACCTTTTCCTTTTACTAATTAACGCGTATCAAGCATTCTATGATAAATTCAGCATTGTAAATAACTTTATTTCATTCTTATACTGAAGATGACTTAACGGAAGTCGTAACATGTTTATGATAAAAATTTTGTCGTTTATTTTAAATGCCTAACTTGTAGTTGCTGCGTATGAAAACATGTTCTTTATGATGGCATTCAAGACCACACTTCATCATCTACAAATTACAAGCCATACGGTGTAGCTACTTAACGAATTCCGAACCATACGTATAAGCTACGTGTTAACGCGTACATGAAAGAAAATTCTTCAAATCTTTAAAGCTTCGTAGCGAAAGATACGCGTAAAGCTTTGGAAGCTTGTAGTCCATCGTATGCATCCTAACACGCCTTTTTTTATCTTATTTTGTACAACTGACACTTCCTGTTCGTTTGTAACGTCTCTAATGAGGTACTGTAGTTAAGTATTAAATTTTACTGTTGAATTGTATTTTTGCCTCGAAATGATGCAGCTTGAGTGTGAGATTAAAGATGAATCTTTCATCACGTTTACAATCGTCTCCAAGGAACTATTTTAATATCGATTAAATTAATTTGGCGTTTATATATTTTAGAAACATGCAGTTCTGCTGAATTTCAAACCAGAAGCGGCACTTTTTTGAAGCTTTTGGACTGCAACGATAATTTCTGGAAGCAAGCGTTGTTTGGCTTAAGCTATCAACTATCTCAGCTCTTGTAATCTTATATTCAATTTCGCGATACAATTCAGGTATGGAAATGGTGAAATAAGTCTTTGAAGATAATGAATATTTAAACCCTGTTGTTTTCGTTCTTGACACAAAAGAAACTCTAAAACACTGTTTGAATCTACACGTTAAACGTGCAAGAAACAATTTGGAGGAATTTCCAAAGTAACGTTGTATAACCTGACTTGTATACCATCAAAAACATTTTCAATCTTCATAATTCACTTTTCGCCGAATTGTTTATGGTGAAATCCTGCCACTATTACCACAGAAATGAGATTTTTTCACTTAAGTTCGTAGTCTCTTTGAGAGAGAGAGTGTTAGTTACGAGTCTCAATCTCTGCTCTTTATATAGTATTATTTTTGATGTCATATATCGATATTTCGATCTTATCCACAAGCTACACCCTCTACCAGTTGAGCTATTTCTGTTTTAATATTTATCTACGAAACATGCGGCAAAATTGTTCATTTGTCTTCAATTTTCCCAAAAAGCTATTCCTAAAACCTCGATTCTCCAACTAAAGAATCGAAAAACAATCCGAGAGTTGCTTGCTTTTTAAAATAAAGAATCTTAGCTCTTTATAAATCCGGATGTTCGCAACGCTTCTCGCTGCAATGAACAACTTCAAAGGATTGCTAATTCTGGTTTATTTCACTGGTGAAACTTAAAAGACGCCCCCAAATTGTTTAGCATTGTTAACGTTGGCGGCTTTTTTTCGTGATTAATGGTGAAAAATTAAAGAACAGGTTTCCGTTTACGTGGCGGCCCGATTTCTTCTTCGAATTATACTCAGTCATGGAAACGAAGCGAGCATATACATTCTATTGGTTTATTTATTGAATCCTGCAGTTTTTTTTGTTATGGGGGCATGTTTAGATGTGTAATTTATAACTTAACCACCAGTTGTTTGCTACCTCCACGGTTATGTTATAAAAGCCAACTCGAGGAAACTTAGACAAAATAGTTTTTCGTTCATTTCGGTGTAGAAATAAGAGGCGTTGCAGAAAAGATCAACGACTCATTTATAGATTGCTTGACAGGGAAAGGTTGCTCTGGTTAGAAGTGTTTGTTTTAAACATAAATCACCAAAAATATGACTTTTATATTCTCATAACACTGGTCTGAAAACTTGAAGAGGAAGTTATGTATGCGACCACTTGAAACTGACGACATTGGACTGCCTACTCTGATTATTTTGCATTCAATTACTTCCTTGCTCACGTCTGCATTACGTGTTTTCACATTTTGACAGATATAAAGAGTTGACGATCACGGCAAATTTATCATTTGGCTTGTAGCATTAAAAAAGTGGAAGGTTGTTAAGGTATGATGAACGATTTTATCCCTGAAATTCTGACGTATAATTTCATTACACCAGTGATTTTTTTTCCCATTTAGATTAGTTTTAATCACTGACTATCGCTGTTATCGCTTACTATACTAAACACTGAATATCGCTGTTTACTTGAGGTTAGTCTGTTATATTTCGCAGTCGTTTATGTTGCTTCAAAGGGCAGTGAAATGCTTTATATTTTGTGGCGTTTCTTTTCCTCGTCTTTTTCATAAACAGATTCACTTAATCGTTTGGTAGTCTTCTTCTACATACACGCCGTGATGTTAAATGTCGCCGTTTCAAAAGCACGTCGCTCTTGTTTTAATTTACACAGAAACGTGCCTTCCTATAATTGCTTAGTAATTTAATTTGATTAAATTTTATCTCCTGAACTCCTCAATATTTCACCGTTAATCTTTCAATTTCATAATATCCGCTAGCATTGTTTACCAACAAGCTGTTTCAAGCTGTTTCACGGCGAAAAATTTAAAAACAGTTTGATATCATTGTAAAATATAAACGAAAAACTTTTCTTGCTCTTTGCATATGAAGAAATCATTTTACATTTCTTTCTATTTCTCGACTGTTGAACGAGGGTAGTTTATAAAGTCTGCGACGCAATTAAAAACATATTTGATTGCAATACTGAACTCATCAATTTTTCAGAGAACGTATTTTCATAAAAAAAAACAGAGAGTAGAGCCTCTCTGCACGATGTATAAATATTATTTCACCTGTTATTGATTAGTGGCATGTGAAAAGAACTGCGTATTTTCTTAAGACTCAGCTTATGCAACAACATTTCCCGCTTCTCGTTGTTGCAATCATGTTCAAGTGCTGTTTTGATAATTTCTTTTGTTTTTCGTCAGTGGAAACACGAAATTCTTCATTATGGAAGAAGCGAATTTGTCTGATGCGGGCAAAATGCCCTCGGAATTAGGAAGTGCCAGTCATGATTATCTTGCTGATAATATATCATCAAAAGAGCCTGCGTCAAATGTTTTAATGGAAGTCCATGCATTTCAAAATTTGGACGGCAGTGACGACGTGAGTACAGACCAGACTTCTGAAGATTTGAAGAAAGCCGATTCAGACGTTGAGAAATCTTCTGTGTCCAGTTCTGTTTTGCAAACTGGCGAAATGGCTCATTCTGATGATGAGAAAAATAATGACGAAACTTCTCCAAGTACTGCATCAACTACATTAACTTCGAAAAAAAACGGTCTTGAGGAAGATGTCGCTGGCAATTCTGATGTTGAACAAAACGAAGGACGAAGCTCTAGGAAGAAGTCTGCGGTACGTTTTAAATATTATGTGTTGTTGGTTAGGAAAAAAATTACGACTTCCAAGTAGTATCTTGATAAAACAATAAAGTTTGACTTTCTGTAAAAGGTAAATATTTTCATTCTAAGAGTTTCATCAAGTACTTCATGTCATCGTGTCATTGAAGTATAAAGACTTATATGAGAAGACTTAAAGACTTATAAAGACTTATACGCATGCATAAATACTTAAAATTCATCTTCGCGACCGCTTTTGTGACGATTTGCCGCAAAATCACATGATTTGTCGATGGTAACAACCGCCCTCTCAGATGTTCATAATCGTGTAGCCACAGGATTGTAAAGATTTCCACCAACATACTCGTTGCTTATTAAATCTGCCTGCTAAGTTATTAAATTTTGAAATCATCTACGAGTTTTGAGCATATTTAACGTTCGATAATCGCGGGAAATCCTCCAAATGCGAGCGCTTCCTATGAACTGAAAAATTTACCGTTAAGTACTATGATAATGACGTTGAATGAATAGAAAATTGTCATGTTACTTGCAATAGTAATTTTCAAAAGCTGTCGTATTCTGCGGATGACGATCTCATTGTAGTTCTTATCGAAAATAGTTGATGATAAAAATGTTCAATTTTATGAAGAGATTTGCAAGATTCATTCATTTTCGTCTATTAAAAATTATCAATCATTCAAAATTTAGGTAAGCGATTTGACATCAATGATGGTCGCCTGTAAAGAAGGAAATTATCGCGTTGTTCAAAAACTGTTTGAAAAAGGAGCTTCGGTTTCAGAAACTGATATGGTTAGACGTTTTGGAATTTTGTTTTTTTCTGATTTTGTGACGATTTTGTATTTTTCATGAAAACGTGAACTTCATGTAAACGTTTATTTAGCACGGAATGACGTGTCTTCATTATGCCGCGTTGTCCGGCTCCGAACCCATAGTCAAATTTCTAGTATCAGAACAAAAGGATTTAGTTTTAACGACAAACGTAAGTTCCTTCACGTTCAATTCTTTGGGAAATATTTTAAAAGCAGTTTTGTCATCGCTATATTTCCGTGTATATGGGTTTGAAACATGTTCGGTTTTTCGTTTTTTTTTAGTCTTGCTGTTCAGTCTGTTTTGTGTTCTTTTTTTGTAGGACGAAGGTCAGACTCCATTACATCTTGCATGTACTCACAGCTCACACGCTTTTGCGATTGTGAAATTATTATTGAAAGACAATGGCGAAGAAGCGAAGCTAATAACAAATGCTGTAAGATTTGCTTTTTTTGTGGCTCCTATGATGGGCTTTTGACCTTTAAAGTTGTACGCATTGTTGCATAATGCATAATTGAGATTTGTCATGAATGCGCGGGCATTGAAATGAATATAAGTCGAACGCTACGTTTTCCTGTGTGTGTTTTGAAGGTACACAGCTTCCTCTCCTTTCTTTTCAAGCAAATGAAACACAGCGCCATAAAATTTCTTTATAAAACGCTATTGTTGAAACGTCTAAATAGATTTTTTTAACATCATTGAGCCAGGCTAGACATTCTTGAAGTGAAATTGAATCATTGTTTGGAAATGCGGGATAAAAAATCTCTTTCTTTGACAAGTTAACCTGTATTCTACTAATTGTTGTTTTGTTTTTCATTACAGGCGGGCGAAACTCCTCTTCTTTTGGCCGTGGAAAGTGGAAACAAGCTTGTCGTTGGAGAATTATTGGACAGCAAAGCAAAGGAACAATTAAAGATTGTTAAAAAAGTATTTAATCATTTTTATATTATTATTTGTTTTTAATTTATTCAATATTTATTTTCATGGTTTTTTTCAGGATTCTGGCGATTCAGCATTGCATTGTTGTGCACGAAAAAGAAACGTGGATGTTGCAAGAATATTATTGGACTCTGGCTCTGCCGTAAATCTAAAAAATGTAAGGTGCTTGAGACGACTTTTCAAAGATCGCATAGTTTAATCTCGCGTGTCTTTAATGACGAAACTTCGTCGATTCTGATTGGTAGGAAAGCTGTGTGTTATAGGAAATGTAGTCTCAAATACTATGTACTACCCAAAGAAGTCAGCCGCTGTCCAATAAAACGAGTTACTTCATGTAACTTGTACTGAAATAGTGTTTTAGGATTTTTTCTATGGCGGGTGGGGGAGGGCTTTAAATAGAGATGTGGACAATTGAATAAATCTTCATTTTGTTGGAAATCAATATTTTGACATGTTAAAAATAGATTTATCACTTCAGTCTTAACTTTTCGTAAATTTTTCATTAACCCAAGTCAGCCAGTTAAAACTCAGAAGTGGTAAGTGATATAACTAATAGAATAAACTAAACTCTGTAAATATTTAAATTTATCTTTCTTTCCTATAAATATTCTATTTCTTAGTAAATTTTGTAATTGTTTTTGAACAAAAGCACGCCCATCGTGGAAATCAACCCCAGTTGACGAGGCCAGCGTTTCAAAATATAGATTTTCATTCATTCATTCTTTCATTCATTCATTTATGTCTTTTACTGTTTTCCATCTTCCAGAATGATGGTCAAACTGCATTACATATAGCTGCATACGAAGGACAGGAAGCAATGATAAAATTGTTATGCTCATCTAACAAAATGTTTGCAGATATACAAGACAAGGTAGAGTATGCAATGATTTTGCTAAAATCTACATTGTTCTGGATCAATAGCGGTATTCGTTTGTTGGTAAAATGGTTTCCTGTTCAACTTACTGAGGGGATGATTATTTTCAGTATTTTTCCATAACTTTCAACCATTTTTTGAAATGTAAGGAATACAATGGAAGTATTAATTCAAAACATCTTTATCTTGTACAGTTCGATCGACCTGCCGTACACATTGCAGCTGAAAGAGGATTTTCAGGAATTGTTGAATATCTTGTCGATAAAGTAAACGTCGATATTAATTTTCGTTCCAAGGTAATTATGTACATTTAATTATGTTTTTTTTATGACGCATCCTTATCAGTTAACATCACCGCAACAAGCAACAACTTTTATTATCAATCATCTCTTCAACCAACAACAGTGAATCCTTAATCAATTAACATCACCGCAACAAGCAACAACGAATCCCTTATTATCAATCATTATCTCTTCAACCAACAACAGTGAATCCCTTATTATCAATCATTATCACCGCAACAAGCAACAACGAATCCCTTATTATCAATCATTATCTCTTCAACCAACAACAGTGAAACCCTATTATCAATCATTATCACCTCAACAAGCAACAGTGAATCCCTTATTATCAATCATTATCACCTCAACAAGCAACAGTGAATCCTTATTATCAATCATTATCACCTCAACAAGCAACAGTGAATCCTTATTATCAATTATTGTCACCTCAACAAGCAACAGTGAATCCCTTATTATCAATCATTATCACCTCAACAAGCAACAGTGAATCCTTATTATCAATCATTATCACCTCAACAAGCAACAGTGAATCCTTATTATCAATCATTATCACCTCAATAAGCAACAGTGAATCCTTATTATCAATCATTATCACCTCAACAAGCAACAGTGAATCCCTTATTATCAATCATTATCACCTCAACAAGCAACAGTGAATCCTTATTATCAATCATTATCACCTCAACAAGCAACAGTGAATCCCTTATTATCAATCATTATCACCTCAACAAGCCACAGTGAATCCTTATAATCCATCATCATCACCACAATAACCTATAGTGTTCACATACGATACAATTCTGACAAGGGCTGTCCTCTGAAGTTATTTTCAGTAAAACGATTTTCAATATACATGATTTACGAGAACAGAAGTGTTAATAACATAACTCTCCTTCAACACGTTCAAAATGACGAAAATTCACGTCCATCTTGATTTTCACGATGACCACAAATTACACACTGTGATATTTTAAAATAACTGTTTTTACAGCAGTAGTCGTTTAGCCAATCGTGAAGTATCGGTACCGGAAGTGGCATAGTCAGTCCTGTTTCAGTCCTGCTATAAAAATGACTAACTTGGCGGGCTGGCCACTTGGTACCAGTACTTACTGTGCGCGTTTAACTTGACAAGATTCATTTGATTATAGTCTGGCAATACACTCCTTCATATCGCTGCACAAAATGGTCATACAAATACCGTTTTAGCATTACTAAACAAACGTGTTCCTCTTCATATGCCGAATAAAGTGAGTAAGAGTTGTTTTTATTGGTTAATATTTTGTAAGAGTTGTTTTTCTTGGTTAATATCTTGCAAGAGTTATTTTTATTGGCTATTATATTGTAAGAGTTGTTTTTATTGGTTAATATATTGTAAGAGTTGTTTTCATTCGTTAATATATTGTAAGAGTTGTTTTTATTGGTTAATATCTTTGTAAGAGTTATTTTTATTGGTTAATATGTTGTAAGAGTTATTTTTATTGGTTAATATGTTGTAAGAGTTATTTTTATTGGTTGATATGTTGTAAGAGTTATTTTTATTGGTTAATATGTTGTAAGAGTTATTTTTATTGGTTGATATGTTGTAAGAATTATTTTATTGGTTAATATGTTGTAAGAGTTATTTTTATTGGTTGATATGTTGTAAGAATTATTTTTATTGGTTAATATGTTGTAAGAGTTATTTTTATTGGTTAATATGTTGTAAGAGTTATTTTTATTGGTTGATATGTTGTAAGAGTTATTTTTATTGGTTAATATGTTGTAAGAGTTATTTTTATTGGTTGATATGTTGTAAGAATTATTTTTATTGGTTAATATGTTGTAAGAGTTATTTTTATTGGTTGATATGTTGTAAGAATTATTTTTATTGGTTAATATGTTGTAAGAATTATTTTTATTGGTTAATATCTTTGTAAGAGTTGTTTTTATTGGTTAATATCTTTGTAAGAGTTATTTTTATTGGTTAATATCTTGTAAGAGTTATTTTTATTGGTTAATATCTTGTAAGAGTTGTTTTTATTGGTTAATATCTTTTAAAAGTTGTTTTTATTGGTTCATATCTTTGCATTGCATTTATAAACTCATTTTATGAAGGCTGGTGAGGTGTCGCTCCACGCAGCTGTTATTTGTGGTCACGTGGGTGTCGTTGAGACTCTTCTAAATAAGGGTGCACAGGTTGATTGTAAAACGAAGGTTCGTGAAATGTTTTTTTGTCGTGGTTGAAATGACGTCCTTTATTGTCCGCTGATTATTCTTACTTTTTAACGTCGACATTATCTTTTTTATCCCCATTTGTAGAAATTTCGTTAAAATAGTTTAACAATTGGCAAAGTAATCATTTCAACATCATTTCTTTTTAAGATTATGATAGTATTGATGGCAACTACACTCCTTCCTTTTTAATGTCATAGTCAACATTTATTGTGCAATGTTTACTGATATATCATGAAATATATTATGTTTCAGGATCTGTATACTGCACTACATATTGCCGTGCAACACCGAAAGCCAAAAGTAGTGCAGACTCTTCTGGGCTACGGAGCAAATGTGCATCTTAAAGGGGGGATGGTAAGGTGTTTTAAAACACTCTTTCTTGTGATTTAGGTTTTGCTTTAAATTCTTGGTGGCTGAAATATTTGCAATTTGTTCTTTCTAAAGCTTGAAGAAACGCCTTTGCATATAGCTGCACATTATAAAGATGGTACTGAGGTCGCTGAAATGTTATTGAAGAGTGGAGCGAATGTTGATGTACCCCAAGAGGTGAGAATTTATTGTAATACTGTTGTTTCAAGCTATAAGATTTAAGGTTAGGGTTAGTTTCATGTATTACCAACCATAGAGAAGTGTATGTCATACTGTCATCAATCATAGAGAAGTGTATGTTATACTGTCATCAATCATAGAGAAGTGTATGTTATACTGTCATCAATCATAGAGAAGTGTATGTCATACTGTCATCAATCATAGAGAAGTGTATGTCATACTGTCATCAACCCTAGAGAAGTGTATGTTATACTGTCATCAATCATAGAGAAGTGTATGTTATACTGTCACCAGCCATAGAGAAGTGTATGTTATACTGTCACCAACCATAGAGAAGTGTATGTTATACTGTCACCAACCATAGAGAAGTGTATGTTATACTGTCATCAACCAAAGAGAAGTATGTTATACTGTCTTCAACCATAGAGAAGTGTATGTTGTACTGTCATCAACCCTAGAGAAGTGTATGTCATACTGTCATCAATCATAGAGAAGTGTATGTTATACTGTCATCAATCATAGAGAAGTGTATGTCATACTGTCATCAATCATAGAGAAGTGTATGTTATACTGTCACCAACCATAGAGAAGTGTATGTTCTACTGTCACCAACCATAGAGAAGTGTATGTTATACTGTCACCAACCATAGAGAAGTGTATGTTATACTGTCATCAACCATAGAGAAGTGTATGTTATACTGTCATCAACCATAGACAAGTGTATGTTACACTGTCATCAACCATAGACAAGTGTATGTTATACTGTCATCAACCATAGAGAAGTGTATGTTACACTGTCATCAACCATAGAGAAGTGTATGTTATACTGTCAACAACCATAGACAAGTGTATGTTATACTGTCATCAACCATAGAGAAGTGTATGTTACACTGTCATCAACCATAGAGAAGTGTATGTTATACTGTCATCAACCATAGAGAAGTGTATGTTATACTGTCATCAACCATAGAGAAGTGTATGTTATACTGCCATCAACCATAGAGAAGTGTATGTTATACTGTCATCAACCATAGAGAAGTGTATGTTATACTGTCATAAACCATAGAAAAGTGTATGTTATACTGTCATCAACCATAGAGAAGTGTATGTTGTCCTGTCATCAACCCTAGAGAAGTGTATGTCATACTGTCATCAACCATAGAGAAGTGTATGTTGTACTGTCATCAGCCCTAGAGAAGTGTATGTCATACTGTCATCAATCTTAGAGAAGTGTATGTTATACTGTCATCAATCATAGAGAAGTGTATGTTATACTGTCATCAATCATAGAGAAGTGTATGTCATACTGTCATCAATCATAGAGAAGTGTATGTCATACTGTCATCAACCCTAGAGAAGTGTATGTTATACTGTCATCAATCATAGAGAAGTGTATGTTATACTGTCACCAGCCATAGAGAAGTGTATGTTATACTGTCACCAACCATAGAGAAGTGTATGTTATACTGTCACCAAACATAGAGAAGTGTATGTTATACTGTCATCAACCAAAGAGAAGTGTATGTTATACTGTCATCAACCACAGAGAAGTGTATGTTGTACTGTCATCAACCCTAGAGAAGTGTATGTCATACTGTCATCAACCATAGAGAAGTGTATGTTGTACTGTCATTAACCCTAGAGAAGTGTATGTCATACTGTCATCAATCATAGAGAAGTGTATGTTATACTGTCATCAATCATAGAGAAGTGTATGTTATACTGTCATCAATCATAGAGAAGTGTATGTCATACTGTCATCAACCATAGAGAAGTGTATGTTATACTGTCATCAACCATAGAGAAGTGTATGTTATACTGTCATCAACCATAGAGAAGTGTATGTTACACTGTCATCAACCATAGACAAGTGTATGTTATACTGTCATCAACCATAGAGAAGTGTATGTTACACTGTCATCAACCATAGAAAGTGTATGTTATACTGTCATCAACCATAGACAAGTGTATGTTACACTGTCATCAACCATAGACAAGTGAATGTTATACTGTCATCAACCATAGAGAAGTGTATGTTACACTGTCATCAACCATAGAGAAGTGTATGTTATACTGTCATCAGCCATAGACAAGTGTATGTTATACTGTCATCAACCATAGAGAAGTGTATGTTACACTGTCATCAACCATAGAGAAGTGTATGTTATACTGTCATCAACCATAGAGAAGTGTATGTTACACTGTCATCAACCATAGACAAGTGTATGTTATACTGCCATCAACCATAGAGAAGTGTATGTTATACTGTCATCAACCATAGAGAAGTGTATGTTATACTGTCATCAACCATAGAGAAGTGTATGTTATACTGTCATCAACCATAGAGAAGTGTATGTTGTACTGTCATCAACCCTAGAGAAGTGTATGTCATACTGTCATCAACCATAGAGAAGTGTATGTTGTACTGTCATCAACCCTAAAGAAGTGTATGTCATAATGTGATCAATCATAGAGAAGTGTATGTTATACTGTCATCAATCATAGAGAAGTGTATGTCATACTGTCATCAATCATAGAGAAGTGTATGTCATACTGTCATCAACCCTAGAGAAGTGTATGTTATACTGTCATCAATCATAGAGAAGTGTATGTTATACTGTCACCAACCATAGAAAGTGTATGTTATACTGTCACCAACCATAGAGAAGTGTATGTTATACTGTCATCAACCATAGAGAAGTATGTTGTACTGTCATCAACCCTAGAGAAGTGTATGTCATACTGTCATCAATCATAGAGAAGTGTATGTTATACTGTCATCAATCATAGAGAAGTGTATGTTATACTGTCATCAATCATAGAGAAGTGTATGTCATACTGTCATCAATCATAGAGAAGTGTATGTCATACTGTCATCAACCCTAGAGAAGTGTATGTTATACTGTCATCAATCATAGAAAGTGTATGTTATACTGTCACCAGCCATAGAGAAGTGTATGTTATACTGTCACCAACCATAGAGAAGTGTATGTTATACTGTCACCAACCATAGAGAAGTGTATGTTATACTGTCATCAACCAAAGAGAAGTGTATGTTATACTGTCATCAACCATAGAGAAGTGTATGTTGTACTGTCATCAACCCTAGAGAAGTGTATGTCATACTGTCATCAATCATAGAGAAGTGTATGTTATACTGTCATCAATCATAGAGAAGTGTATGTCATACTGTCATCAATCATAGAGAAGTGTATGTTATACTGTCACCAACCATAGAGAAGTGTATGTTATACTGTCACCAACCATAGAGAAGTGTATGTTATACTGTCACCAACCATAGAGAAGTGTATGTTATACTGTCATCAACCATAGAGAAGTGTATGTTATACTGTCATCAACCATAGACAAGTGTATGTTACACTGTCATCAACCATAGACAAGTGTATGTTATACTGTCATCAACCATAGAGAAGTGTATGTTACACTGTCATCAACCATAGAGAAGTGTATGTTATACTGTCAACAACCATAGACAAGTGTATGTTATACTGTCATCAACCATAGAGAAGTGTATGTTACACTGTCATCAACCATAGAGAAGTGTATGTTATACTGTCATCAACCATAGAGAAGTGTATGTTATACTGTCATCAACCATAGAGAAGTGTATGTTATACTGCCATCAACCATAGAGAAGTGTATGTTATACTGTCATCAACCATAGAGAAGTGTATGTTATACTGTCATAAACCATAGAAAAGTGTATTTTATACTGTCATCAACCATAGAGAAGTGTATGTTGTACTGTCATCAACCCTAGAGAAGTGTATGTCATACTGTCATCAACCATAGAGAAGTGTATGTTGTACTGTCATCAGCCCTAGAGAAGTGTATGTCATACTGTCATCAATCTTAGAGAAGTGTATGTTATACTGTCATCAATCATAGAGAAGTGTATGTTATACTGTCATCAATCATAGAGAAGTGTATGTCATACTGTCATCAATCATAGAGAAGTGTATGTCATACTGTCATCAACCCTAGAGAAGTGTATGTTATACTGTCATCAATCATAGAGAAGTGTATGTTATACTGTCACAAGCCATAGAGAAGTGTATGTTATACTGTCACCAACCATAGAGAAGTGTATGTTATACTGTCACCAACCATAGAGAAGTGTATGTTATACTGTCATCAACCAAAGAGAAGTGTATGTTATACTGTCATCAACCATAGAGAAGTGTATGTTGTACTGTCATCAACCCTAGAGAAGTGTATGTCATACTGTCATCAATCATAGAGAAGTGTATGTTGTACTGTCATTAACCCTAGAGAAGTGTATGTCATACTGTCATCAATCATAGAGAAGTGTATGTTATACTGTCATCAATCATAGAGAAGTGTATGTTATACTGTCATCAATCATAGAGAAGTGTATGTCATACTGTCATCAACCATAGAGAAGTGTATGTTATACTGTCATCAACCATAGAGAAGTGTATGTTATACTGTCATCAACCATAGAGAAGTGTATTTTATACTGTCATCAACCATAGAGAAGTGTATGTTATACTGTCATAAACCATAGAGAAGTGTATGTTATACTGTCATCAACCATAGAGAAGTGTATGTTGTACTGTCATCAACCCTAGAGAAGTGTATGTCATACTGTCATCAACCATAGAGAAGTGTATGTTGTACTGTCATCAACCCTAGAGAAGTGTATGTCATACTGTCATCAATCATAGAGAAGTGTATGTTATACTGTCATCAATCATAGAGAAGTGTATGTTATACTGTCATCAATCATAGAGAAGTGTATGTCGAACTGTCATTAATCATAGAGAAGTGTATGTCATACTGTCATCAACCCTAGAGAAGTGTATGTTATACTGTCATCAATCATAAAGAAGTGTATGTTATACTGTCACCAGCCATAGAGAAGTGTATGTTATACTGTCACCAACCATAGAGAAGTGTATGTTATACTGTCACCAACCAAAGAGAAGTGTATGTTATACTGTCATCAACCATAGAGAAGTGTATGTTGTACTGTCATTAACCCTAGAGAAGTGTATGTCATACTGTCATCAATCATAGAGAAGTGTATGTTATACTGTCATCAATCATAGAGAAGTGTATGTTATACTGTCATCAATCATAGAGAAGTGTATGTCATACTGTCATCAACCATAGAGAAGTGTATGTTATACTGTCATCAACCATAGAGAAGTGTATGTTATACTGTCATCAACCATAGAGAAGTGTATGTTATACTGTCATCAACCATAGAGAAGTGTATGTTATACTGTCATCAACCATAGAGAAGTGTATGTCATACTGTCATCAACCATAGAGAAGTGTATGTTATACTGTCATCAATCATAGAGAAGTGTATGTTATACTGTCATCAATCATAGAGAAGTGTATGTCATACTGTCATCAACCATAGAGAAGTGTATGTTATACTGTCATCAACCATAGAGAAGTGTATGTTATACTGTCATCAACCATAGAGAAGTGTATGTTTTACTGTCATCAACCATAGAGAAGTGTATGTTATACTGTCATCAACCATAGAGAAGTGTATGTTATACTGTCATCAACCATAGAGAAGTGTATTTAATACTGTCATCAACCATAGAGAAGTGTATGTTATACTGTCATTAGCCATATTCTTTTTAACTAGCTATTTAAGAGCGTTTGCTGTAACCCTCTCTACCATGTTTTTTAGAACGGAGAAACATCGCTTCACATAGCAACGAGAAACAATAATATCTCCATGATAGAACTCCTCTTGTCTGAAGGCGCCAATGCTGCAAGGAAATCACAGGTTAGAGTCTAAACGTCAGAGACCTCGCGAGGCTAAACTTAAGCAAAGTCTTGGCAATACTTTACTACAATACAGATCAGTTATTTTCATGGAGTTCATTTATTTTTTTCAATACAGTCAAATTATCTTGAGCATGATAATATACGATGTCTTTTGCAGAAAGGAGAGATACCTTTACACATCGCTGTCGAGAATTCGTTTTTCGACATTGCTGCGGTGTTGGTCATTCATGTCATGAAATCTAATCTGAACCTGACCCATGGTGTCAAGTTTATAGTCAATTCACCGAACAAAGTAAGAAATTTCTTTACTACATGTGCTTAAAGGATCTAGATTATTCTCCAATTCATTTTACTGTGAGGAAGATTTGTTTGTTTTTCACAAGCTGGTCACATGCTTTATGGCATCGTTCATTGATGACTTCAGTCACTATTGTCATTGGGATCGTTTATTTAATTGAGAGTTTATCTTCAAGCAATTGCTTGCTCAATATGTCATGTTTATCCTACTCTTACTGCTAAGACAGACAGTATTTTTTAATGATTTGAACTGTTTCTTTAAGAACAATGTTCTTTTTGCCCATATTCTAAGCTCACTTGCATTCACTTCATATTTATGTACAAATGGTATTTCAACTCTACTGATTGCTTGATTGACAATGCTTCAGCTTTAAATCTTGCCATCGATGGAAAAACGACTTTGCCATTAATTGAAAAGTAGGACTGTGCAAACACCGGTTTTCATCTCCAGCTACGGCCCTTGTCAAATCTGAATTCCGGTTTCAATTTCTGGCTATTTCATAACTCGAATCACTGGTCGTGGCTGTTTAATTTATCAAGACACTGTTCAACAGTTTAAGAAATATTATTTGTAAAATTTTTATATGTAAAGTTAAATTTCCGCACTCCGACTTTGAAACATAAATTAGCATGTGTGAACGCAATCTAGCGTCATGTTGTTTCATGCATAAAATGTTTTATTTTCATGCAAGTTTTTCAATTTTAGCCGATAGTTATCGTTCGTTGATACAAAAATGTTTTGATCAGACACGTTTAACAAAGTTTGACAGTATTTTGCAGCACAAACGACTGCTGCCGGAGTTTTGCCGGAGATGAACAAACTCCGGTCTCCGGGAGGCAAAAATAGCCGGAGCTCCGGCCTCCGGTACTCCGGTGCACAGCACGATTAAAAAGAGCGCAATTTTTATGTCGCCCTCAGTAAGTGTGAGTTTTTGAGAGGTTGTAAAAGACAGGTATTTGTCTGCTTGCCGGACTTTTACAAAATACACTAGTTGTAACATGCCTCTGTTTGGTTTAGAAAGGAGAGACTCCGTTACATTACGTCAGCAAACTGACAACGAATGAGGAGACTGGTGAACTGGACTTAAAAACAGCGAATCTTTTACTGAAGCATGGCGGGAATCCTAGACTGGAAACCGTGGATGTACGCTCAAAAACTTTAACTTTATTTGAACGTTTTACATTTTCTTCAAATTATGTTTTTAATTATTCAGACAAAAGAAACTTGTGTCCATTACTGTGCAAGATCTGGCAACAATGATGTCCTTCAGGCTTTTCTTAACTCTTTATCAGCAGAAGAAGTTCAACGATTAGTAAATGCGAAATCATCTGTAAGTGTTTAAGTGAATGGGTGGAACCCCGTTTATCGTTACATGTTTGTAGATGTTGATCTGATTCCTCTACTTAGAATGATGTGACTCCTCTACTTAGAATGATCTGATTCCTCTACTTAGAATGATGTGACTCCTCTACTTAGAATGATGTGACTCCTCTACTTAGAATGACCTGATTCCTCTACTTAGAATGATCTGACTCCTTTACTTAGAATCATCCGATTCCTCTACTTAGAATGATCTGACTCCTCTACTTAGAATCATCTGACTCCTCTACTTAGAATCATCTGACTCCTCTACTTAGAATCATCTGATTCCTCTACTTAGAATCATCTGACTCCTCTACTTAGAATCATCTGACTCCTCTACTTAGAATCATCTGACTCCTCTACTTAGAATCATCTGACTCCTCTACTTAGAATCATCTGACTCCTCTACTTAGAATCATCTGACTCCTCTACTTAGAATCATCTGATTCCTCTACTTAGAATCATCTGACTCCTCTACTTAGAATCATCTGATTCCTCTACTTAGAATCATCTGACTCCTCTACTTAGAATCATCTGACTCCTCTACTTAGAATCATCTGACTCCTCTACTTAGAATCATCTGACTCCTCTACTTAGAATCATCTGACTCCTCTACTTAGAATCATCTGATTCCTCTACTTAGAATCATCTGACTCCTCTACTTAGAATCATCTGACTCCTCTACTTAGAATCTTCTGACTCCTCTACTTAGAATCATCTGACTCCTCTACTTAGAATCATCTGACTCCTCTACTTAGAATCATCTGATTCCTCTACTTAGAATCATCTCATTCCTCTACTTAGAATCATCTGACTCCTCTACTTAGAATCATCTGACTCCTCTACTTAGAATCATCTGACTCCTCTACTTAGAATCATGTGACTCCTCTACTTAGAATCATCTGACTCCTCTACTTAGAATCATGTGACTCCTCTACTTAGAATCATGTGACTCCTCTACTTAGAATCATGTGACTCCTCTACTTAGAATCATCTGACTCCTCTACTTAGAATCATCTGACTCCTCTACTTAGAATCATGTGACTCCTCTACTTAGAATCATGTGACTCCTCTACTTAGAATCATCTGATTCCTCTACTTAGAATCATCTGACTCCTCTACTTTACTTAGAATCATCTGACTCTTCTACTTAGAATCATCTGACTCCTCTACTTAGAATCATCTGACTCCTCTACTTAGAATCATCTGACTCCTCTACTTAGAATCATCTGATTCCTCTACTTAGAATCATTTGACTCCTCTACTTAGAATCATGTGATTCCTCTACTTAGAATCATTTGACTCCTCTACTTATATCGTCGGAAAAAGGAAATCTGGATGTCACAAAGACTTTTATGAATTGGAATGCGAGGCTTGACGCCTTTGATGAGGTATGTTTCGATGCGTAGAAATTTGATCTTTCCATTGGACGGTTTTGTTTCTTTCTATATTAACACTAGGTCAATAAGAGATGATCTTTACTGGATCTTTAGGAAGAGCAGTTTAGAACTGATAGAAGTTAGTTTAGTTTAGGTTTCCTTCTGTAGTAACAATGGATAAATAAGATAATCTTTAATGTATCTTTAGAAAGAACAGTTTGGAACTGATAGAGTTATCTAGTATAAATAAAGTTTCTTAAGTTTAGGTTTTCTTCTGTAGTAACAGTGGATCAAAAAGATAATATTTACTGGATCTTTAGAAAGAACAGTTTGGAACTGATAGAGATATCTAGTATAAATAAAGTTAGTTTAGTTTAGGTTTTCTTCTGTAGAAACACTGGATCAATTAGAGATGATCTTTACTGTAGCTTTAGAAGGAACAGTTTGGAACTGATAGAGATATCTAGTATAAATAAAGTTAGTTTAGTTTAGGTTTCCTTCTGTAGTGACACTGGATCAATAAGAGATGATCTTTACTGGATCTTTAAAAAGAACAGTTTAGAACTGATAGAGATATCTAGTATAAATAAAGTTAGTTTAGTTTAGGTTTCCTTCTGTAGTAACAATGGATAAATAAGATGATCTTTACTGTATTTTTAGAAAGAACAGTTTGGAACTGATTGAGTTATCTAGTATAAATAAAGTTTGTTAAGTTTAGGTTTTCTTCTGTAGTAACAGTGGATCAAAAAGATAATATTTACTGGATCTTTAGAAAGAACAGTTTGGAACTGATAGAGATATCTAGTATAAATAAAGTTAGTTTAGTTTAGGTTTTCTTCTGTAGAAACACTGGATCAATTAGAGATGATCTTTACTGGATCTTTAAAAAGAACAGTTTAGAACTGATAGAGATATCTAGTATAAATAAAGTTAGTTTAGTTTAGGTTTCCTTCTGTAGTAACAATGGATAAATAAGATGATCTTTACTGTATCTTTAGAAAGAACAGTTTGGCACTGATTGAGTTATCTAGTATAAATAAAGTTTGTTAAGTTTAGGTTTTCTTCTGTAGTAACAGTGGATCAAAAAGATAATATTTACTGGATCTTTAGAAAGAACAGTTTGGAACTGATAGAGATATCTAGTATAAATAAAGTTAGTTTAGTTTAGGTTTTCTTCTGTAGTAACACTGGATCAATTAGAGATGATCTTTACTGTATCTTTAGAAGGAACAGTTTGGAACTGATAGAGATATCTAGTATAAATAAAGTTAGTTTAGTTTAGGTTTTCTTCTGTAGTAACACTGGATCAATAAGAGATGATCTTTACTGTATCTTTAGGAAGAACAGTTTAGAACTGAAAGAGATATCTAGTATAAATGAAGTTAGTTTAGTTTAGGTTTTCTTGTGTAGTAACACTGGATCAATATGAGATGATCTTTACTGTATCTTTAGGAAGAACAGTTTAGAACTGATAGAGATATCTAGTATAAATAAAGTTAGTTTAGTTTAGGTTTTCTTCTGTAGTAACACTGGATCAATAAGAGATGATCTTTACTGTATCTTTAGGAAGAACAGTTTAGAACTGATAGAGATATCTAGTATAAATAAAGTTAGTTTAGTTTAGGTTTTCTTCTGTAGTAACACTGGATCAATAAGAGATGATCTTTACTGAATCTTTTGGAAGAACAGTTTAGAACTGATAGAGATATGTAGTATAAATAAAGCTAGTTCAGTTTAGGTTTTCTTCTGTAGTAACACTGGATCAATAAGAGATGATCTTTACTGCCTCTCTTCAATAGATTTCACAAGGAAAAACAACATTCCACTTACTTGTGGAGTTTTGATATTCAAACTAAAATCTTTTTACATAGAAAGGCCAAACGCCACTTCATTTGTCCTGTGCTTACGGTCATAAAGATGTCGCTGTATATCTTCTCAACTCTAAACCATACATAAATGCAAAAACAAAACTTGGTTTCACTCCGCTACATTTGGCAGCGGAGAAAGGATACACGGACCTGGTCGAAATGCTTGTTGTTCAATTTTCAGCAAGTATAGACGCTCTATCGTTTGTAAGTGCAAATCATCGCTCATTTCGTTGCGGTAATTTATGATTATAATTTATCGATTCAAACTAAGTTTTGGAGGGTTTAAAAATGTTTTAGGAAGGACAGACGCCGTTACATTTGGCAGCCGAGGGAGGAAGGTTGGATGTTTGTAAAGTCCTGTTGCATCTACAAGCTGATACATCCGTTGCTGATAATGTAAGATGTGTACTCACGTGATTACCCCGTTATAAACCACGTGACTAGCCATACTTATTTACCACGTTACTAACCACAACTTATTTAACACGTGACTAACCACACTTATTTCACACGTGACTAACCACAAGTATTTAACACGTGACTAACCACACTTATTTAACACGTGACTAACCACACTTATTTACCACGTGACTAACCACATATATTTACCACGTGACTAACCACACTTATTTACCACGTGACTAACCCGTGGCGTTTCTATAAGCCGATATATCCGCTACGAATCTTTTGAAGATACGTATTCATTGAAATTCCCGTTAGTAGTCACGTGACCAATCTCTTATGAAACACGGCACTAACAACTTATCAACCACGTGATTAATCACTTATGAACCTCGTGACCAACCGCGTGTTGCATGTTTAATCAAACACATCCGCTAAGGATAATGTAAGACATATACCCACGTGACTTACCCGTGACTGAGCACGTGACTTACCTCTTATCTAACTGCGTGTAATGATGATAATAAAATCATTTCAACGAATTATTTTATCTTTTCAGCATGGGAGAACGCCTTTGCATTGTGCCACACAAATGGATCATTCAGAAGTTGTTAAGTTTTTCGTGAAACATTATCCTCAAGTTGTCAATCAAACGAATGCTGTAAGCTGGTCATTTTATCATGTTTATTTTGTTTGGTGTTCTGACTGCCGATAAACTGGACTGCTGTTGCAGAAACGAACGTGCTTTTAAGGAGACGTGCTTGTTTTCAATGAATTTTAGTTTACGAACTGTTCAATAATAAACAATTGCTGGATGAGATTGAGCATGACATCAAGAATCATTCATTTCTGCTCTCATGTCGAATTTTTCATCAAAGCTAGGTTTATGAAACACACGAAACAACGGAGTAGACTGTAATAATCATTTAAGAACAGGTCTGTGTTTCACAGCAGTGTTTATCTCACAATGTTTACGCTTTTTTATAGGATGGCGAGACGTGTGCCCATATCGCTGCTGCGAAAGGAAGTATTTCTGTTATAAAAGAACTTGTCAAATTGAAAAATAACAATATCATAGAAAAAATTACTTCTGTACGTCACTAGTTTTGAACTGTACTTGACAGAGATTTCTTTTGTTCAATTTCTCAAGTTGTCTTTATCTCGCTTGAATTAAAACTTTCAATTTCTTTCCATAATTATACAGAGTCAGATTTCCACGCCTCTGCTCTTAGCGGCCAGCGGTGGTCACGCTGATGTCGTACAAGTTTTGTTACTGAATGGAGCGAATGCGACACATATGGATAAGGTAGGACATTCCATTTTTTTATATGGATAAGTTAGGACATTCTAGGGTTTATATGGATAAGGTAGGACATTCCATGGTTTATATGGATAAGGTAGGACATTCCATAGTTTATATGGATAAGGTAGGACATTCCATGGTTTACATGGATAAGTTAGGACATTCCATGGTTTATATGGCAGTGCCGTAATGACGGTTGTTTTAAATAATGTTGGTTTGATTTCAAAAAGTAGAATAACTGGGGCCTGCTGCGCGAATCCTGGATGAGCTTTAGCCATTTTAAGAAAGTATATTTGTGTTTTCCTTAGGACAAAGAAACTTTGTCGTCTTAAAAGCAACCTTTTATTTCATCGATTGCTCCATTTTTCATCACTTCAAATGTAATGTTGCTCCATTTAAGAGTTTTTTTCACCTTCGTAATATTTAGCTATCCTGTGCAACTGGCCCCAGAAAGATTGGGGGGGTAGTACTTGATGTAAGATTATCTTTGTCCATGTAGAAAGTATCATCGTGATGGATGAAAATATGTGTTAACTTTATGTAGTTTGGTTGGACAGCTATTCATCTTGCAGCGAGAAATGGCCACAACAACGTTATCGACATACTTAAAGATAAGATTTCTCTTGATTTTGTTAGCCCAAAGGTATTTTTAAACGACTTTCATATACATTACAACGCGTAAGAATTTTTTAATCTCGAACATTACCGTCTATTGCTTTATAGACGGGACTCTCAGCGGCTCAAATCGCGGCGCAGTACGGCCAAACGGAAGTCATGAGGGAAATATTACTAGAGGCTGATGTTGGGAATGTGAAAAGTCAGGTAATGGATGGTTGAAAGAATTGCTTTGTTTAGTTTTATTAGTTGTCTCATGTTTAATGGTTGTTTTTCAGCCGAACAAGACGAAAAAAGACGAGGAAGTGAGTAGTATAACGTAATACAAGAACAACATGAAGTATTACTGCAGTATCACGACAATCTTACGAAGTGTTACGGCAGTATCACGATTACATTGCAAAATATTACGGCATTATTACGACAATATTATGAAGTATTACTGCAGTGTTACGACTATATTACGAAGTATTACGGCAGTATCACGATGTATTACGGCAGTGTCGCGATGATGTTACGTAGTGATACGGCAGTATCACGACAACATTCCAAAGTATTACGGCAGTATCACGACAATGTTACGGCAGTATCACGACAATATTAGGAAATATTACAGCAGCATCACGACAACATTACGGGGTATTACGACAGCTCACGACAGTAATACGTAGTATTATTACAATATTACAGCAGTATCACGATAATATTACAAAGTATCACGATAATATTACGAAATATTACGACAATATTACGAAGTATCACGACAGTTTTACGAAGTATTACGACAATAATACGATAGTATTTCAAGAAAGTTTCAACTGATGCTTTTCTGTATCTTTTAGTCCGGCTGTACTCCTCTGCATTTTGCTTCGAGGTCTGGAAACGAACATGTCGTTCGCCTTCTTTTAAATAATCCGAATGTGAAGGTTGATGCATTGACAACACAAAATGTAAGTAAAATATTGGCAGTGATGATGAAATTTCTCCTCAATCTTTAGATAGCTCGTTAAATTGGCATTTTTAAAACTTTTCTCCTACTTCTCTTTTGTTGCAGTCATTACCGTTGCATATGGCGAGCGGCGAAGGACACGCCAACGTTGTTAGCCTGTTGCTCAGTAAAGCTCCGCATCAAGTCCACGCGAAGAACAAACTAGGGCGGACGGCGTTCCATCTTGCTGCGTCCAGCGGTCGCAACAATGTCGTTACTCAGTTGTTGGCGCAAGGAGCTAAAATCGATGCTGAAGATACGGTAAACTGGGTTATTTCATTTGATTTTAACGTTGACGCTCACTCGAATATCATACGTCACAATAACATACGTCACAATATTATACGTCACAATATCATACGTCACAATAACATACGTCACAATATTATACGTCACACTATCATACGTCACAATGTCATACGTCATAATTTGTGAATGGTTTGTCGTGGTTATGAAGTTTATGGCCAGTGGCCGAGTGGCGGACACCTTATGAAATATTGGGGGGTGGGGGTCCCCAAAGCACAAGATTTCACAAAACATCCTACCTGGAATAAAAATAACTGGAGGTTTGCCACCTCACCCCCACCCCCCTTGGTCTTTTCTAGTGTCCGTCATTGGCATTGGAAAATAGCATGGACAACAATTACTCGAGACAGCTGACCATAAAGTACAGAAGGCCTAACATGAAGCAAACAGCTTAGGGTTGAAAACTATCTTATCCAATCTAGGATGGTTGGACCGCGTTGCATTTCTCAGCGACTTCTGGACATTTAAAAGTTGTCAAACAGCTTATTGAATCTGGTGCAAATCTTACTAAGGAAACGAGGGTTCGTAGAAGTTATCGTCGCTTTTATTAATTTTGAAACACGCAGTTTGTTTACCGTCAAGTTTCTTTCTATTTTTTCATTACAGGAAGGAAAGGTTGCGTTGTGTTATGCTGCTCATTCGGGGAATGTCGCCGTTCTACATTATTTACTCAATCTTAAATTTGATCCGTCGCTTTTGTTGTTGGATAAAACGGTATATATTTTCCGTTGTATTTAACATAGCGAGTGCGCGAGGTGCATGTGAAATCTTTCTTGTTGGAGCTTGGATAAAATCTTTCTTTTTATTTTAATCGCTTGTTTTATTGTAGTTGAAGCTATACTAGAAAAAAAAGCATCGAAAAGATGAAACCCAAGTCATACACAAGTCTTTTTTTAGCTCAACTCGGCTCGTTCCCGTAATGCATATTAGAAAATAGGATTTTAATCGCTTCTCTCCCTTTATTTTATTTCAGTTCTTGTTTGATCTTATGGTGTGTGGAAAAGGGACTGGTAACGAGTGCATCACGTCATTCATTCTCCGCTCGCCCGCACCTTTGTATACAGCGGTAAAACTTTCCCATCACTACAGAATGCGGTCAGTTAAAGTTAAAGAGCGAAGCAAAGACCTGACAGCCGCTGGAGATTTTTGCGAGGAGTTGGCCCAGAACATCATGACTCTGGCTTGTGCGACTGATGCAAGTCATCTGTTGAACGCGACAGATGACGAAGATAAACCGTTTTTGGACGTAATGGTCGATTGCGAACAGAAGCAGTGCGTTGCGCAAACCGCTGTGCAGTCGTACTTAGGTAGCAAGTGGGTTGCCGGGCAAGATTGGAGAACATCCAAAATTGTGGGTGTGTTCTTCGCGGCCTTCTTTTTGCCGCCTGTTTGGGCAGTGCTCTCCCTTCCATGGAAAAATAACTGCAATCAAGTGCCGTTGGTAAAGTTTATCTGTAAATTAATATCACATCTCTATCTTATTCTACTGTTCGTATTCATGTTGGCTATACCATGGGGAAAACTTGGCGATGACGTAGTTCCGGCCTGGTACGAGGTAGTGTGGATGTTTTGGTTGTGTGGTCTTTTTCTTGAACAACTCACCGATGCGAAGAATAAAAAAGGTCTGGGGCGATTACCAATATTGGTAGTATTTTTGTCAATGGTCGGCGTTCTTCTTCATTTGAGTGCGATTCCCTGCGGGAGCTCCACGCGTTTAAATCTTTTGTACTCGCGCAATCAGATTTTAGCAGTTGCAATGTTTTTAAGTTTCGTACAACTCTTGGATTTTCTTACTTTTCATTACTTGTTTGGTCCTTGGGGAGTTATGATTGGTAATCTTTTGCAAGATGTGGCAAGATTTCTCGTTATATTACTAATCTTTATTCTTGGTTTTGCCATGCATCTTGCTGCCATATCTAAACCTGCGTTTGAAAAGAAAGCATTGAAATCCGTTACTTTATCAAACATGCACAAAAACTTTGTTGAGATATTCAAATTCTTGGTTTTCACTCTTATTGGCTCGGCTGACTCTAATTTCCTCAACGACATGACTAAGAATAATCTTCCGGGTTTCTCTAAGGTCTTGGTCTATATTGTGTTTGGTTTTTACTGCTTAATTACCATAATTGTTCTAATTAACCTTCTAATTGCCATGATGAGCGACACTTACCAACGCATTCAAGCGCAGTCTGATTTGGAATGGAAATTCGGCCGCGCAAAGTTGATAAGGAGCCTGGAACAGTCAACTCTAACACCTGCGCCTCTCAACCTACTCACAACCGCATGGAAGCTCATACGACTTGTCCACAAATTAAGTCATAAAGTGGAAGCTCCAAATATCCCAGGAATCAATGCCGTATCTCCTGACTCTCCTAGTTGTGTTATAGGTGTAGATGGGGATAGTGATAGGATTGAGAAGGTCGTCAACTGGCGGGAAGTTGTGAGGAAGTTCAAATCCTTGCAGGGCATGGAACTGGACGATAGCGCTGAGGTCATCGAAGGACAAGAGACAAAATCTGCGAATTATGATTTAAATGAAAAAAGTGTTCATGATATCAAAGAATTTGTCGAAGTCTACTTTAAAAGAATGGGTGAACCCACAGTAAGCTATTCAAAAAAAGTATGAGCTGCAATACAAGGATGAATTGTGAATGGCTTTGGAAGCAAAAGCTTGTTTATGATAGACTAGGAGATAATCTAATTGTATGAAGTCTAACTTTCCCAATAACAATACGAAGGCAGTTCTTTTTCGCGTTGATTTTATTATAATGGCTTGACACAACGCAATTGTATTTAATTGATATTATTGTAAGTAATAATATATGAGTTATTTTGTAGAGTTTGTTGTATACGAACTTTCAAAGCTGGTGTAGTTAATAAAACTGCCACTAAAACAACGTTTATTGCATTTTAATTTTAGTGGAATTACTTGTCATTGATACTATTATTTAAGGGAAGAAAAAAGGCAGGCGACATTGATTATGAAAAAAGTGCCAAACACTTGCATTATGATGGAGTATGAACATACAAAAGAAAGAGTCCGGTGTGTATTCATATTCTCAGTTGCGTTCGACTGAATTCTTTTGAAAGTAAATTGGCTCTAAAGAAAACAGTTGGGTACAACTGAATATATGAATATACCCCACTCCAATCAGCGTTCTAGATACGGCCCTGAAGGAGTCATATCACTCTCAATGATTTGATGTTCGAAGCAAGACACTGTGCCATTGTTTCAAAATGCAAGAAACGTGCGAAATTATCCTCCTGTATTGATCTTCGTTATTTCGGTCGATCCGGTCAATTTCGACAGTTAATCGCAAAGATTTCTGAGCTTTTTGTACATTTTTATCTTTCTTTCTACCATATTTGAAACAGAATAAGCAAATATGCAATCAGCGATTACTTGGTGTAAGTTGGTTGTTTATTTTCCGGTTATTGCCTAATATGGAAAATGCTACCTTGCGTGAGGTCTCGAAGATTTTCCGAAGATGACGATTTTTCACGCGGGAAGGTTTAAAAACATGGCCGAAGAATATAGACGATTGTCTCGTCAACAAGAAGTCGGACTTAAAGCAGATTTAAGGCAGGGGAAATCAAATATTTCGAGCTACAAAAACCCTAAAAGCATGAGAGAACAACATACTGTGAGTAAACTCGCACATTCACCAAGAAGGCCGGCAAAAAGCGGTGAGAAATCTGACGAAAATGGCAAGTCTAAGGGGTGTTGTTCGAAGGACACAAAGGTATTCCTACATGAAAACAAATTGTTTTCAATCATAAATAGACACATCATTTATTTGTAGTGCTAACTTTTTTTTGTCGAACTTAGCAGCGTCTAGCTCTTATCCTTTCTGCATAATTCGTGATTTATTTGTAGGCAAAGTCCGACGACGGTTCGTCTTCGTCAGGTCGCTCAATCGTAGAAAGACAAGACAAAAGAAAGTCTTTGCAGGTCCTACAGCCTTCTGCTGACGGACAGAAGTTGCTTGTCGGCGGAAGGACGAAACAAAAACCTAAGTCCAAAGTACGATGCCATAACATCCCTTGTTGTGTGGCGAGCTGCAAGAATACAAATCCGATTAACTTCTATATTTCTTTGATTTCCATAGCAGAGCGGAGCTCATTCACAGCAATGTTCGACAAAGTCGAGACAAAAGCATCTAAAAAGTTATCTAGTTAAAGCTTCTGAAGTTGAAAGTCCATCAAGCGCGTCTGATGCAGATTCAAATGTAAATGTTGATTTGAAATTAAAGGAACTCGACTCAACAGAGGAGACGCGAGCGCTGATGGTACAAGGTTTGTTTGGTGAACCTTCTTTCAGTATGATTGTATGTTTTGCCCTCAAAATGATGGTCAGAGTTAAATTTCCTTGTTGCAGAAAAAGCGCCGGAAAAATATTGGGAATTAATTGCTGAGGAAAGACGAAAGGCTCTCGAGGAAACTTTAAAAGAAAATATTATGGTTGGTTATGAGTTTATTGTAATGTTTGTAGTATTAAGATATTAAAGAAACTAGAACTGTGTTTTGAAATATCATCATAGTTCACAGTTGATCTTGTAGTTTAGTTGGTAGAACATTGAAGACAATGATTATCTTGTTACTATACCTGAGTACATCACAACAACGTGATGTTATTATCTATGATATTAAGATATGAAAGAAACTAGAACTGTGTTTTGAAAACATCATCATAGTCCACAGTTGATCTTGTAGTTTAGTTGGTAGAACATTGAAGACAATGATTATCTTGTTACTATACCTGAGTACATCACAACAACGTGATGTTATTATCTATGATATTAAGATATGAAAGAATCTAGAACTGTGTTTTGAAATATCAGCATAGTCCACAGTTGATTTTGTAGTTTGGTTGGTAGGACATTGAAGACAATGATTATCTTGTTGCTATACCTGAGTACATCACAACAACGTGATGTTATTATCTATGACATTAAGATATGAAAGAAACTAGAACTGTGTTTTGAAATATCAGCATAGTTCACAGTTGATCTTGTAGAACATTGAAGACAATGATTATCTTGTTACTATACCTGAGTACATCACAACAACGTGATGTTATTATCTATGATATTAAGATATGAAAGAAACTAGAACTGTGTTTTGAAATATTATCATAGTTCACAGTTGATCTTGTAGTTTAGTTGGTAGAACATTGAAGACAATGATTATCTTGTTACTATACCTGATTTCGTGACGAGTTAATTCTAAACACTGAATACTTTTCTAGCTTTACGAAGAAATTGAAAAACTAAAATCAGAGAACGCAATACTGAAAGAGAAAGCGAACAACCTTGAGTACTTTGCGACGTTGTATAAAATCACGAAAGATAATTTTACAGCTGTATCAGAAACGACAACTTTCAAAGAAAACAATGGTTAGTTAGAAAATACAAACTTACTCTTTATTTAAAACTTTATGATTTGAATACTCACTACCGGAAAAAAGAAATTTTGTGATTGTTAATAGTATATGAATCTTCAGGATAAACTGGTATTGAAGGGTACACAATGGTATACAAGGGCACAGAATGGTTTAGAAGGGTATACAATGGTATACGAGGGCACAGAATGGTTTAGAAGGGTACACAATGGTATACAAGGGCACAGCACGGCTTAGAAGGGTATACAATGGTATGCAAGGGCACAGCACGGTTTAGAAGGGTATACAATGGTATACAAGGGCACAGCACGGTTTAGAAGGGTATACAATGGTATACAAGGGCACAGCACGGTTTAGAAGGGTACACAATGGTATACAAGGGCACAGCACGGTTTAGTAGGGTATACAATGGTACACAAGGGCACAGCACGGTTTAGTAGGGTATACAACGGTATACAATGTGTTTGAATCTAGAGCAACCATGCTGTTTGTGAGTGTTTTTATCTATTTTCAGTGACTTTTTATGCTTGTGTGTAAAATAATTAATGTTGTCGTCGTATTTTTTTTTTAAATGAGTTTTACTTATAAAAGACGTTTGTTTAACTTTTCTTTTGTCTCCACTGCGGACACGTTCGTCGTCTGTCGTCGTCTGTCGTCGTCTGTCGTGTATTTGCTCCGCATCATAACGGTTGTTTTGTGTTAGCATATTTCGCATGATTCTCATCTAGAACGTCGTTTACTGATTGCTGGAAGGTCCTGGGAACTAAACCCGCCCCAGAAAATGATTTTTTGTGGGAAAGGTCCTGGGAACTAAACTCGCCCCAAAATGATCTCAAGTTGCGAGAAAAGTCCTGGGAACTAAACTCGCCCCAAAATGATCTTAAGTTGCGAGAAAGGTCCTGGGAACTAAACCCGCTTCAATATGATCTTAAGTTTTGGGAAAGGTCCCGGGAACTAAACTCGCCCCAAAATGATCTTAAGTTGCGAGAAAGGTCCTGGGAACTAAACACACGACAACATATCGACAAGGTTCGAAGAATGCCTTTAGACAAGATCACATTAAGTTAGAACAATATGAAATATTAGAAACTTAAAGATTACAATTTTCTTATGATTGTGATATATTTTTTCCATACTTAAAATGACAGGTTCGTACGTCGATAAACATCTAAAACTATGAATATATTTATATATAGATATAGATATATGGATACCATGTTTTGAACGTATAGATAATTTCTGACCGTAGTGTTGAATAATTTAGAGATTTTTTACTTTTCATAATTACGGGTATCAACCGGAAGTGTTTATGTTAGTCAATTGTCTCAACTTCATCGTCCGTAAATAAAGCACGAAGTGAAATATAGTAACGATAAAAATCGCCATCTTCACATTAATAAATGTGAAAACGATGACAATTTTCACATTTCTATGCATTTGCGAAGCCAGCTTCATCTTTTACTCCTAATATGATAATTTTTCATCAAAAATATTATTCATTTCTTTAGAAAAGTATTTTCGTTCAATGTTTTCTCAGTGAACGAGCACAAAAACACTTGCATTGCAGGAGTGAGGAACGTGATGGCTTCGCATCTATACATCTTGCATATTTCTGGTTCTTCGTGCGTAATCTTATCTTTGCATTGAACGATTAAAGTCAACGCGCAAGTTTCCTCTTTTTGTCTTCAAACGGTAAATTCTCGGAAACTAAATGCAACATCATGAATAAAGCCTGTTTTCCGCTAGCCACGTATTGTAACGCATCGCAGCAAAACGTAACAGGGCGCATGCGTGCTTATGAATTTTGATGGTCAATGGGCGCAAGCACGCATGCGCCATGTCACGATACGTGGCTAGTGGAAAACAGGCTTAATTTACAGGAGTGTGAGGGTTTTAAAATTGCAACAATTTCATTCCTTTTTATTTCCAAGAATAATTTCTTACTCGTGAGTTCGTCAGGAGTTTCCGAGATTTTCCCATTGAAGCAGAATAAAAAGTCGCGTGTAAGTTTGTGTAGATGTTGACTAAAGCGGATGGGGCAGTTACACGAAACCTTACCACTTGATGGCTGTTTCTCCAAATGATCTCCGAATTTTCTTTACATAATAAATCTATAATTACAGATACTAATGTGTCTTTTTCGTGAACGACTATAAATTTTACGATATTTGAAGAAAGTCACTCCAAGCTTGACGATATGGTCACATGATAAAGATTATACAGAAGGGTCACTCGGGTGTACAAGGCGTCCTCATGTCGGCCATTATTCCAGCCAGATGACTAGGATTTCTCACTTGTTTACAACCATTAAAATTACATGACGTCAATACTTAATAATGAATTCAAGTATATTTTGACTTAAGAAATGACTTCGGATCATTTTAAAGGTTTGGAAAAAGTCAAAAACCCTAATCTTCAGGCTGGAATAATGGCGGCCAACATGCGCGGCACGACATGCGCGAGGACAAAAACATCAAAGCTTCCGACACGAGTGACCCTTCTGTATATTCTTATTCTGTGGTAATGTTATCTGAGCTTCGTGCAACAAACCCCTAGAGTCTATGTATGTACAATACATGTATATATATATATGTATTTTTGATTTGAAAGAGAATGAAAAATATACATACATACCAGTTGATACAAACTGGTTCTACAAGCCTGACTAAAATAATACATACTTTTTACACGTTGAAAGTGCGCAGAGCGTCCTTAATCTGTTCTATCAGACGAGCGTTTTCATCCGGACGAGCAAACAACTCCGTTAACATGCGAACGTAGTCATCGAACGTGTCGTAGTTTAACGTGACTCCGCTTGTTGTGTTATTCAAGACCGTCGATAAATTAGCAATGAATCTAGTTTGGAAGATGATTAGTTTAGTTCGCGCCAAACTGTCTCGCATCAGCGCATCGTTAAGCTCCACTTCGCCGCATCTCAGTTGATTTTCCATCTCCGTCACCGCCTTTCGTAGTTCATCGGCTTCTCTCGCACATTGCTCGTTGCTCGCTACAAGAACTCGGATTTCGCTGTCGAGATTATCAATTTGTCGGATCTTGTCCACATCTGTCAGAATGATATGATTATGTGGAGTTCGAGCGGATAATTTTGGACGATGTTATCCAGTAGGAAATAATATTTATTAAAAATTGTTTGTTAGTGATGATGTCATAAAGTACTGGGTTACAAAGTTGTACTCGTGACGTAGGTGTTATCACGCAATTAGGGCTATCCCTAGAAGGTTAATTGGGAGGTCGGGGGGGGGGGTTATTCGTGTATTCAGTCGTGCCCGACTGGTTTCATTTGAAAGCAATTCACTTACGAAATTAAGCGAAAGAAACATGACGGGAATAACTGAATATGTGAACAGCCCCCTCCGCCACCCAATCAACGTTCTAGTTACACCTCTGAAACAAAATTTTCACCCGGGGGGAGTGGAGAGAATTTCAGGAAAGAGGGATAAGTAGATGAAAGAACACGTGGTTTAATAACGTTTTTAAAGTAAAATCACTAGGACCACTTTACTGTGCAATGTGGTGCTGTATACTAGTTGCCTTCATTGAAACATACCTGTTCTTGCATGAAGGCAAATTTTAACTAGTCCCAGTCTTTCCACGCACGTCACACGCGTGTCTGGAGGTAAAATTTCGCATTCCTGCTTATCGCCGTGCGTGGAAAGACTGGGACTACTTAAATTGCTGGCTTCAAATTTTGGCGGGAGATAGCCGTCCAGTTGTATTTAGTTGAATGTCTGGTGCAACACACATGCGCAATAAGATGTATATATATATGAATGTGTGACACATACGGTGTCACGTGAGCACTTACGTTGTCCAGCTTGCATTTTGATTGGTTTTAAGCCAAGTTCCGGCGAAGTATCGCCAGATGACAGTCTTATTTCCACTTCTCTTCTCATCAGCTCCTTTTTATTCTCCGCGGATACACGAGGACATCCCGATAAACTATATGTACGTGTCAGCGGTATTACACAAAAATATAAAACGATCAAAAGTTGGGGAAAGTCAGTCTTACCTGCGATGAGATTGAAATTGTCCGGTCACATGACCTGATCCGTCACAGCCCGGTGTAGGACATCTGGAATGTAACGTTGCACATTATCCATTCATATCCACAGACTAACAATAAATGTACCTATCGAAGTTCGTTGCCAAAGCTTATAGCTCATGCAATCAATTTTGACCATGTAATTATCAAAGCCAAATACCGTAGTCCCGGGCTTACGTAGGGTATATAAGCTCCGGGCTTATGTAGGGTATATAAGCCCGGGGCTTACGTAGGGTATATAAGCTCCGGGCTGACGTAGGGTATATAAGCCCCAAGCTTACGTAGGGTATATAAGCCCCAAGCTTACGTAGGGTATATAAGCTCCGGGCTGACGTGGGGTGTATAAGCCCCGGGCTTACATAGGGTATATAAGCCCCAAGCTTACGTAGGGTATATAAGCCCTGGGCTTACATAGGGTATATAAGCCCCGGGCTTACGTAGGGTTTATACCTGGAAATATTATACACGATAGGAGGGGGGGGGGAGGGTAGTGAATGTATTTTATTATAAGGCAGTGATCCTCAAACAATACACTATTATATATGCAGGCTTATGTGAAAATGATCTTTTCTGTAAATCACAGAAGGACTTATGATGAATGAAGGGAGGTTTACGGTATTTTATATGCAGAAGCTTAAACGAACTCGATGCTATAACAAAGACGGTTTTATCATGAACTTCAAATGTAGTTTAACGTCGCGTTCTGTGACACTTACAATGATCTTTCAGGAGCAACATTCTCTGTTGGGAGAAAAAACATTAGAAGCGACATTAAAGGAAAGCCATTACTTGTTTGTTACAAACGAAACTCTAAAGAGATGATCTCACCTGTGTCTGTCTTCGGTGGTACATTTCTAGCTGCGAGAGGACAACCAGAGAGACTGGAAACGAAACAATGAAACGTAAGTGAAACGTTTTTATCGAAATATTTCCTCCATTATCATCAATAAAAATATTTGCAAGTTTATGTTAAGTTCATCAGCAAGAGTGAAAGATAACGCGAGTTGTTATTTCCTTTTACAATTGTTGTCGTGAAAGTTTTGTTGTTGAATGACAACGCTAAAGAAAACTCTGTTATTTGATCGAAGTGAAAAATGAGAAACTGTCTGAGGATGGCTTCGAAATCGAGTCGAAAATTCACAGTTTTTTTGCGTCTTGTACAAATTCATGTTTTGTTGTCTCGAGATGTCCTGCGCTTAGTCGGAATCTGTGTTTTGCTTTACTTTATTGTTTACCTTCTATGAGATGCAAACCGCCCAGTCACGTGACCAGTACCGTCACACCCGACTGTGGGACACCTAGGGTAACATGGGAACACCATGTCTCATAAAAGTACATCATTGAAACACGATAAGCACGTTGAAACAAGTTGATACTCACTTGACTTCCCTTGTATCTGAAATGGCAGAATAACTAATCATTATTACTGTCATAAAATTATTTTCTCAAAGAGTGAATCTCATAGCAATGTTTTGCAAATTTTTCTTCGCCTCATGGACGGATTTTCAGGGGGGTGCATGGAGGTACTAAACCCCCCAAACATCAGAGGTCACCCCTCTAAGAAAATTTTCACACCCCCCTAAATAAATTGTTTGCCCCCTCCCAGCCAACATTAAGCGACATTAATACATTTGAACTGAGTTTATCTGAGCAATGTTTCAACTTTCTACTCTACATTCGGTGGCTACACTAGTAGACCACCCAAATTCTAGACCCTTACTTTGTCTTACGTCACTTCCTTACCAGTCCCCCCCCCTACCCCCCTCAAAGTTTTAGCACCGACCCTGTGATATTATGAAAATCCTTCCATGGTTCACGAACTTCCGATATCTGATACACGGAGGTTCTCAAGCTACCAAATGGCAACTTTTGAGTGTCTCAAAAATTGCCATTTATCGTTGGCTAAACACACAAAATATTACCGTGGGACTGACTCTAAAAGCAACATCTCGCTCGTTGTTAACTGTTGCAGTCTTTATTAAACTGCAATGCAGGTTTAAATATAAATATTTACTGAACGTATTTGCTGTATTTCAAAAGTTATAATTGCGAACTATTGAAATAAACACCTCTTTCTAATCATCGCTCCCTTTACAAAGTTTTTTTGGTTATTTGAGCGTTTATTAGAGTAAATACGGTATATCTTGTCTTACCTGAAGTATTGGAAAATGTTTGTCCAAATTCTGATTTCGTTTCGGTCGAGGAACGCGTAGAAACGCTGTAAAAAATCATTACGTCAGTTAAGATTGAACAAATGTGAAGTACTTCAAGTAAATACGAATAAACAGTTCGGTTTTTCACCTAACACGAGCTGGAGACGTCGCCATTTTATCTTTAGTATCTTCTCTGTGTTGCTTTTCATCTTCTAAAACTTCTGTTTTAATGCTTTCGCGAATAACGGAGCTGTAAAATGTAAAGTGATCAAAAATTACTTTGTCGCCATTCGCAATCTAAAATTTCGATTACGTCGCTGAAAACTTTTAAACGATGTCCTTCGGAGGAAATGTGTTTATCTTTCTCAAGTTTCTTTATTACCTTTGACGTTTTTGGAAATCTATACAAAAACAGAATAATATAAGAAGAGTAAAGTTGAAACGAAGATTGTTGTTTACCAAGGGGCCGGTTGCGCAAAGCCCGGATAGCGTTATCCATTGGATGACAAAAAATTTCAAATTTGTAAAAAAGGTGTTTATATTTGTCTTACGAGAAAGATATTTCGTAATCTTCGAAACAATATTTTATTTCAGTGATTGCTCAGTTCGAATCTTATATTTTTACTTTTTAAAAGGTTTTTGAAAAAATTTTCGCTATCCATGCTTCGTGCAATCGGCCCCAGACAGGATCAGACACAAGAAGAACGATTTTCTTGTCACGAGTTCCTAAATACTTTTGACTTCAAATGGTTATGTTTCCATTTGAGGACGGTCATTTTCCACACGAAAACTTCAAAAAGGAGAGTTTGGTTAGTATCTGGGAAGACAAACATTACCTTGAAAAAATTCTTCGGATCCGTTAGAATCATCAGAAAACTCTTCGTCCGAACAAATCAGGTTTTTCCCCTCGTCATCCGATCTCCCCTCCCGGATTTCTGTCTTAACATGAGCTCTTTGTACCACGCTCGTCGCAATCCCGGTGGGTGTTACCAACTGTTTATGATATGCAACATTCCATGGAGGGATATTAGATGAAGTATTTACAGTGATCACAGGAGTGGCATGTAGACTCGGGGGCTCATTTGCCGCAGTGTAAGGCATCCCGGAATGAGTTTCCGTCGCACGAGGAAATGTGAAATGAGTATTATCTTTCGGGGAATCTACGTTGCCGTCTTTTTTGGCGGAATTAAGGTCTTCGTGGCTGGAACCGGATGAAATACCCGAATCGGGTGATGTGGGACTTGCTTGATGCAAGCCCTCGGTCATCTTGAGTATGGACGGGCGTTTTCCTGTGAAGATCAAACAAAACTGTTTCAAAGAAATGATTTCGCGAAGCCTGAAACACTCTTTCGTATCTTCACATGGATTTGTTGTTGTTGAAGTATTGAATCACAGGATAATGGCTTCGCTTTCTGATGTTGTTGTTCATTATCTTATGGTGGGAATGAAGAGAAATCATTCTTAAAGTCATCATTATCGAGTTTCGTTACCCACGTACATCGCCCAACGCTCGTATTCTAAAAGCTCGCTCGCATTCACAGAACAGGACATAAAAATCGCGCTCTTTTTAATCAATGGCGAAGTCGTTTCTCCAACGATAACAAGATTTTTGCAAAGATATTTCAAATCAAGCGATCAGTCGAGTAGAAATTCTGTTCTCGAGTAGTTACGAGGTCTTTATAAGCATCACTAAGTTGGTTTGAGCGCGGTGAGTTCCCAGAACGCAGGCGTATGTAAGCGCATTTCTGTGTACTATTGTTACTGAGGACGGGCACTAACTTAGACCATGTTACATGTTTGTAAATGTAGATCGTCCAGGTTGGTATAGTCCTGAGAAGAACTGTTTTTGTTGTTGTTGACTGACGTTTCCACAACCTTAGCGGTAGTCATCTTCAGAGTCTTTTTTGACTCTGTCAGTCTTTTTTGTAGTTAGTCAGTTCAGCATTCAACTGGCATATGGCAGTGAAGGTTCTAATCTCTCTCAGGCTAATCGTAAGTGACACAAAAATATATGTTTGTAAATGTAGATCGTCCAAGTTGGTATAGTCCTGAGAAGGACTGTTTTTGTTGTTGTTGACTGACGTTTTCGACAACCTTAGCGGTAGTCATCTTCAGAGTCTTTTTTGACTCTGTCAGTCTTTTTTGTAGTTCTGTCAGTTCAGCATTCAACTGGCATATGGCAGTGAAGGTTCTAATCTCTCTCAGGCTAATCGTAAGTGACACAAAAATATATGTTTGTAAATGTAGATCGTCCAAGTTGGTATAGTCCTGAGAAGGACTGTTTTTGTTGTTGTTGACTGACTTTTCGACAACCTTAGCGGTAGTCATCTTCAGAGTCTTTTTTGACTCTGTCAGTCTTTTTTGTAGTTCTGTCAGTTCAGCATTCAACTGGCATATGGCAGTGAAGGTTCTAATCTCTCTCAGGCTAATCGTAAGTGACACAAAAATATATGTTTGTAAATGTAGATCGTCCAAGTTGGTATAGTCCTGAGAAGGACTGTTTTTGTTGTTGTTGACTGACGTTTTCGACAACCTTAGCGGTAGTCATCTTCACAGTCTTTTTTGACTCTGTCAGTCTTTTTTGTAGTTCTGTCAGTTCAGCATTCAACTGGCATATGGCAGTGAAGGTTCTAATCTCTCTCAGGCTAATCGTAAGTGACACAAAATATATGTTTGGTAGATCGTCCAGGTTAGTCTGAGAAGGACTGTTGTTGTTGACTGACTTTTTCGACAACCTTAGCGGTAGTCATCTTCAGAGTCAAAAAACTGTCTCATTGACTCTGAAGATGACTACCGCTAAGGTTGTCGAAACGTCAGTCAACAACAACAAAAACAGTCCTTCTCAGGACTATACCAACCTGGACGATCTACATTTACAAACATGTAACGATACTCCCGGGTTCAAACCATTTACTTTTGACGATATACATCAACAAATATTATAATCAACAAGAACTTTATTAGTGGAAGATCAACTCCATAATGATCAAACTCACAAACGATTGGCATTGAGGAATCTACAAACTCAAATACCTCGTTTTATTTTGTGAGTCGAAGGAGATATCTGCTTTTCATACTGTCGCCTGGCAGCAGCTAATGGGCAGCCAGATGCTCGTCTGTGTGACGTGTACAATCCTGTTCTATGTCCGGAACTATCGCATCCGGGTACGGGACATCTGAAGAGGCGGGAAATCAAGAAGAAAATCACGTTAGGAGATTTAAAAGATTAATCAGGAACGAGATTTTTCGTCGTTGATCTCATGTGACTTACTTCAGAGAACTGCCTCCTTCGATCACGAAATTATATGCTAAAGATAGAAGGGAAAAAATATGTAGTGTAGAAAATTCTGTAATTTTAAATGTAAGAAAAGCCCAACTGTTAATGTGATCAATAGCTATAATTCTACACCGGTCCAGCCACAAAAAATAACTCTAGTTTTTATGTTTACCATTTTTTCCTTTAACATAATATTAGTTTTTATATGATTATTAATCTGAAAAGTATTTTCATCGTTCTTGTACATAATCTTAATCCATATCAATGAGCGTCTCGGCGTATTATGAAATGAAAGATTTTAATTTTCTTTAATACAAAATAAAGCAAATTCCGAAGAGGGACATCTCGTTTTCTTGATATTCAAGATATTACAAGAGTTTGAAACAAAATAATGTGTAATATTTCGTCTTTATTCCAAAGACATCATCAGACTTATGGTTTTGTCCCTCTTCGGAATTTGTTTTATTTTGTATTATCTGAAATTGTATGCTTGTCCTGGTTATTAATTTTCTTTAGATAACTACTTTCTGTGCAGATTTTTAAACAATAACAATACCACGAAAAAAATATGCATTATCGCTGAGCGCAATAACCGAATATTCTTTGGGAAATTATCATCGTAATTACAAATGAAAACGTGCTGTTTTTAACTAAATCAGGTGAAAGCAATTTCCATCAATGTTTGATTTCCCTGTTTCCTCAAGCACTGAAACTCTTGCTATATTACACATATCAAAACTGGCATATCGCAGAGACACAAGCATATTTGTGTCTTTATCTACCGAGGCAGGAATAATTCAATAGATTTCAACTTTCACCTTACAGAGAATAGCAAAATACATTCAAATTCTACAACATCGAATACGAACTGCAACTAGAATACGACAAACTATCTCGCTAATAACTTGGATATTTCCATCAAAAATGCGAATTCGCTTCTTCATTTTAAATCTTTTCCAAAACCGTAACTCTTTGTTGAAACTTTTGTATTATGCTTCGACTTATTTGTGTTAGTACGTAGAGTATTGCAGGTATTTTTAAAATGATAAAATGCAGGAAGCCGCCGAATAATATTAAAGCGAAGTGGTTATATTGTATAATATAAATATGTATAAATAAATTTGCCACCATTTTGATGACCGTCCATTGATATCATAGTTCCTACCTTTCTTTGCAGTTTTTCTTGGACAACCGTAGAGGCTGAAAGAAAAATGAAACATCAATCAAACATCACTTTGGTAAGTTCTTAAATAATTCAACCTTATTTATACTCCAAAGGAATACTCCCATTCCACTTACGATTACAATGGGGGGGAACTTTTAATTATATAAGACATCCGTTTACGGGGTGTACTCTAAGCAAAATAATCCTCGACAACCTTCTATGTGTTGCGTATAAACCGGATTTGTGTCCGCTACCATCGCAGCCTTTAGTTGGACATCTCGAGAAGAAATGTCGAAGTGAACTGTGAACGAGGAGAAAAAAACGTTACAAATGTGTATATATATGTGTGTCGGCAAAAAAACTTGGATATTTTAAAATTTACTGACGTTTCATCGCAATCTTCTCTTGTTTCTTCACCTGAAAATTACGGATTACCGTTAATTATAAAATAAACACAATGAAACGCGTGCTGTTATTGGTCTAGACTCTAGAGCCGCGTTTGCATTAGCCTGTGCAAAACACATCTGAGCTCAACCAATCAAAACAATCAATCAGTGAAAGAGAATTTGAAAATCGATCATCAATACATTTTACAGGAAAAATTAAAATGTTTGTCATTTTCGCATTATTGTTATTTTATAAAAGAAAATGAAGATATTTTTCGTGTTTGCACAGCCTTATGCAAACCTTGAAGAGGTTTGTGACAACTCTCGGGCATGTGGAACCCTCGACCTTCAGTCTCAGGCTTGCACTGATCTGCTCTCGAGTTCTCCCAAAGGTCTCCTCAGTTTGCATAAGCCTGTGCAAACACAGTAAACATCTTTTATTTCTTAAATAATACATTGCAGCTGCTGTCATTTGGTATTGAACAAATGGTGATAGACTAATATGATGCAGAAATGAATTTTATTTCAATGATTGCTCAGTTCAAATTGTAGATTTTGCCTTCAAGTAGATTTTTCAAACGTCCAGAAAAGTTTGCTATCAAGTTTTGACTATGTTGACGTCATTAATGACGTCAGATAGATATATAATGACGTCAGATAGATGATTAATGACGTCTTCATTAAAGAACTTTACAACTTGAAAGTCGAATATATTTTTTTTACCTTTTGTTAAATGATCCTTGCCGATATTAGGACATCCTTGAATGCTGGTATTTTAAAGAAACATAATTGTTTTGTTGGTTGCTTGTACTGCGCGTTGTTTGTTGTTTTTTTAACAAAAAGCAAAGAAAAACCTTCTATGGGAGGAGAATTTGCCATTAACATGACCTTTGCCATTGCAACCTGGGGTGGAGCAACTGGAAAACACAAAATATATGAATACTTTATAAATAGTTGTAGCAACAATAAAAAAGCGATGCATTGTTTGCGATAACTGAAATGAAAGAAGAAAATAATAAAATAATTTACTAAATCCTCTTACCCGACTAACTCTTGAGCGGAAGCTACAGAACAAGAAAAATGTTTGGGATATTTTTACATTTCAAAATGAGATTCATTCGACGTCAATAACGAAAGATATAAAAAGAGCATTTCGCTTTAAATACGTCTTTGCGAGCTTACCATTAGATACAGTACGCTTCATGTCGCGATTTTTTATCGGATTATCCATTACAAATTCCTGATCGTCCTTGAATAGCAAAAAAATACATACTTTCTATTCGACTACTAATGTAGGTACGGATTAAAATAATACCTTTTGATAAAATACTTCATTTTCACTTTCGTACAAATCTTTTACGTCGAGATCAAAACATTCATAGCTACAGTAATAACGTTCGCCCGAAAGATAAAATTGCTTATTTTTAACAACTTCGCCGCATATTTCACAGTTGACGATGCTTTCCACGGCGATACTTCGGCTTTTATCCTCCGAATGCGAATGCAACGGTTGTTTGATTTCCCCGTTCGAGATTCGAAGCAGCAATCTAGGTGTCTTGCTCTCAGCGTCTTCCTGGAATAACAGTTTTTCATTCAAAGCGTTTAAAAAGATAGTTTACGTTGCAAAAATTTCATTAACCTTTTGATGTCGTGCAATGGCAAAATAAAAATACTTTAGTGGCGTGAAGGCACGCAAGAAGAAAACATCTCGATTCTAGTTTTTAAAACCGATGAGAAGCGACGAAAAGATATACTAACGCTTCAAAAAATTAAAAGAGCAAGTTTTTTGTTGTTCTTTGGAAAAGAGGTTGTGATGTTGATGATACTTCATGTAAACCAAATGTAAAATTTGTTTCAACATGGCTGACCTGAATTTGTAAATTGTTTGGATTTTCGAAAAAATAGCAATGCTTATGCAAGTTTATAAAAAGAGTATGGTGCTTATTTTTCAACCGAAGGTAAACATTATCGAATGCTATAAAATTCAAATGGTTATAGATGACTTGTTAGTTGTCGTTTATAACCTAAATGTAAATCTGTATTTCCGTTTGGTTATTGTCATTCTATAAATATCCAGATGTAATCCAACTACTGTTACGTAAATTACTTACAGACGGAAAAGTTCAAAAGGTTAAGCATGCATACCTGTCGCTAAATAGAAATTATTATCGTGAAATATTGTTATTTTTCAATGTGGACCACATGCATGCTTATAGGAAAACCCTCACATTTTAAACCAGAGATTTTAAACCAATACTTCGGGTAGCTTGTAAAAGGTTTGCTTGCGAAATGTTATGAAAAAATTGCCGTTCTGCGTAGATATTCTGGTCAAACCGTAATTGTATAAACATGCGGCACTCAAAACTAAAGGTCAGTCGATTTTGGGGGGGAAAAACGCTGAATCGAGGCTCGCTCAAAGTAGAAAAAATGTTTTTTAAGTTTAGTTTATAGAGGCAGTGATACAATACACAGCTGCACGATGCATTATGTAATGTAGAACTTTGAGTGTAACTTTATATCGTGATTAATCGAAAGTGTCCATGGTTACAATGTCATTTTATTCAGGAAACACACACTTCATTTGTAGTCTGTACGCACATTATTTACATACCAATATTAAGAATGGTAAAAGCCAGCGAAACGGACTAAAATTTTAACAATGTTCTTCTAAGATGGCGATGTTGTTCACTGTTCTCATCGTAAATAACATTTTATTGTCATAATTCCCCATGTTCATTTAAATGGTATTGAAACTTGTAAACCTGTAGGAAGCCAGTCTTAAAAATTACCCACATTCATCGTTTCGCGGCATTTTTTTCATCGTTAAGCCATACACCTGACAATCCTTGTTTTAGAAAACGCAGTAATGTTTTTTGTCTTAATATATGATAGTATTTATTCGCGTTTTATCACTTTAGTTTGAGAAACGACGATTATCAAAAGTCGAGCTGCTTCAAAACTAGTCAAATTTCAGCGCATTTCCGTTTAGGGTGACATTTAAACTGTTATTAAGTACATGTTGGTAAATGATATATCAAATCATGAATGGCCTTATTGTAAAGTCATACATCAATTACCGTTACCTACAATACATAATCGCTCGAAAACAGGGCAAAGCAATCCATGAAGGAATCTTCCTTTAACTTGCGGTGGTATTATAATATAAACAATGTCTGTTTTTTTGAGTCGCGGTATTTTAAGGCGAGTACAACAAGGTTTAATTTAGCTGCAATTGAAGAGAAAATTCGACGTTGCTTTGGAGCTTGTTTTTATTTGTCCTCGACAGCTATCATTCCAAAAAAATTCTACGTTGAAAAAATGTGAGAACTGCTTCTACAAATATTGTAGATAAATAGTTTGACGGTAATTCCGAAGTTAAACTCGACCGATTAAACTTTATTTCGTCAAATAGTTCAGAGCTGTTGGTGTTCAGCCTTAAAGCGTATTTCCATTACACGGTTCGTGTTAATTACTATCGTAATCCTAAAGATGGATTCCTCTCGTTTTTTCAAATTAAACTTTACTTGGGGATTTCAAAGTAAACGCTGTATCGAGTGTCAGGAAAATATCAAATTCCTATACATTTATCTTTGCTTAGGAAAAAATATCGGTTATAGCCGGAGTTTTGATAATATCATCGATGTAAAATGAATTTTTTAATATAAGTCGTGTTTTTTTTTAATCAGACATTCCTCAATGCCATTTTACAAAATTATACAAAATTAGGACCGTTCATATTTGCGTAATGTTTCGTTACCACACTCGACTACATCGTACTTTTCTCATTGTTCATTTAACTGTCAGCTGACTCATCCCATATATTTCCATGGTAAAAGTTTAAAATATTGATTGTTTTTCTTCATGATAAATATTGACAGTCGCCTTCTCAATAAAGGGCTGGTCGTTCGCGATTTTAATACGATACCGCAGTCTGGCTTTTTTCTCTCTCCGAACCGATTCTTTTCCTAGTTCTAGCAACCAAATCGTCATAAAGAGTTTTTGTTTGTGATCCGTTCACAACGCAAACATGAATAAAGAAGTAGAATGCATGTGGTAATTCAATATTCAAACAACTCTGAATAACTTATAATGTGAAAACTCTCGAAATATATGCGCGGACTTTCACTTTTTGTAGAAACGTAACAAGCAGAGCGAACGCTCTTTCGCCTTCAAATAACACAACTCCGTATTTATATCACAGGTTTCGCTCTCGGAAAAGCTCCCAGGGTTTTGGCGACAAAAACCCCCATTACTTCCTATTCGATTGAGAAGGCGGAATTGTGCAAGAAGTTTGAAAAACTTCTCGTAGAGTTTTTTGCTGGCTAATTTTCCTTTCCCAACTAAAATGACTGGATACTTCTCGAAACGAAACATAATTTGGCAATAATATTTCATATGAAAAAGCGAATAACTCTATAAGGCCATAACCAAATATTATTTAAATCATGCCGGTCATGTGTATATATAGCGAAAAGTTCGAAAACAACTTTTACAATTTCACAATTAGGCGATGTTAACTAGTTCTTTAAACTCGTACACAAATTTGTGCTTTCATGTTTTCATTTTCTTATATTTTCGTTTAAAAAACCATATCGATTTTCAGCTGGGCTCTTCATGCAAATAGCCTAGGGTATCTGTACGATAACGAGTATATATGTTTAGAACTTTCCCTCGTTCCCTTCAATCTTTTGCGCTAAAGACTCGAAAACAATTTGATGAAACAACGTCGAACCGTTATTGATTGCAACGCTGTACTTTGCGTACCGAGTAAAGCGACTTTCAAGTCAAAGTTTCTCTCAAACTTTGTGTGTTTCTCCGCGTCCAATACATAAAAACAATTCATAACTCTATGAGGTCAAATGGCTGGAGTTCAGAGCAGTTGTTGAAAAGATACTATTACAAGCGGGTTTAAGAAAATGTTCGAGTAATTTTATCATGTAAGTTGCCTACCTCAGATTGCTCTAAATATTCGGTATTGAAACGTCGTTTCATCTGGCCTGTACTTCAGATTCGCTCTATTTAATGACCACAAATGAATTCTGAATTTTATTCGTCAACTGAAGCGTCTACGCTCCTCGCTCTAAGTAATTTGATACTTTCTGACAACATACCTATATAAAAATCAAAGAAAATTTCTTTGTCGCCCGTAGTAAGGAACTTCTTACAAATGATTGCAAACTCTCTGGGCTAGACTCAGTTTCGACTCATTGTGGACATTGCAACCGGAATTAATTGATTCATCTTTTCAAATCTATCCAAATAGATGTTGAATTTTAATTAGGAAAGTTTTTTTTATCAAAATACATCTTGGTAAATGGCATCCTTGTAGAAAAGTGTCCGCCAATCAGCTCCTTCTCGTGCACTAAAGAAGCTTGCTTTTCAATTTTCGATGAATTTCTATACTGTTTCGAAATCTATCTCAACAATGATGTCGTTCTTTGTGATTTCTCTCATTCACAACAATAAATAACTCTCTTTATTATAATATCACATGTACTATACGCGTGTTCTTGATTTCCCATGAACTTTATTAGCAGAAGTTCCACAGAACTTTCACAACGCTTTAGGAAAATCTGTTTAAGAAAAATGACCAAATCTTTCGTACACTACGCTCGCATATGGCAGAGATTTGACCATGCTCAGTGTGATAAAAACACACTTGGATATTACTTTTACACAATTGTGACTTCTCATTCATTTGAAACTATAAATGTTGAATGAATTTCTTACGAATTCTTTGCATTGCTATTTAAAGACTGGATGGAACGAAAATACGTAAACGAAGACTAGCATTAATCTTTTATCAGAACTGTTTCTATTCTATTTAAAATGCATTTAAAGCATTCTCATATTTAAGTTCGAAGCTAATATTAGACTTTGTTGTGTTTCCCATGTCTCTTATAATCACCTAAATCCTCCCTTAATCGCTACAAACTTACGCTTTTTCCAATGCTGAAGAGCAGGCGAAATAAGTTTGCACAAAACTTCGCGTCGTCCGAGCTTCTCGCGAATTCCAGTTCGCTATTTCTGGAAGATAAATTGAAATTAGAGAACAACTCGTCAACTAACTTAGTTTGTTTGCCCTTTTGACATGCGTGACTGATGTCCAGTATCTTTAGTTAATATTTACGAATGGAACGCCAGGAAGAAAATCACCCACTGCGCGAGACTATTGAAGACACGCTCGTAAAACAATAAGTTGAACTGCTTAAACTTTGCTGTTTTGAACGACGGACGAAACAACTTTACGGCGAACCTTTTCGTTTCTTTATTCATTACAGTCACTATAGTTAATTATGTATTCATACTGATAAATGCTCACCGCTTCCGAATATATATTGTGTCAATTGTAAATGACTGCTGATGGTTCGACCAATCAGACGGCGTCCTGTAGTTGGTAGCACATGTTCAAACTTGACGACATTTCACAGATGTAAAACACTTTGCTTCAGTCTCTCACGAACCACCCCAACTAAGACCATCGAGGGAATTTTTCTTTTCATTAATCGACTCGACTGAAGAATATCTTCGTAAATTAAAAAAAATCTTAATGAAAATTTTTATCTTACAGATAATTTATCGACACGTGAGATTAAACATTCACGTTCAAAGCTCTTCTTCGCTACGTCGCTGTACAGCGGTATACAAGCAAGAATTTCTGTTCCAGTCTCCCCTCAGTGACAGTCTCCCCTCAGTCGCAGTCTCCCCCTCCAGTCACAGTCTCCCTCCAGTCACAGTCTCCCCTCGAGTCCCCCTCCAGTCACAGTCTCCTCCCCTTCAGCAGTCTTCCCCAGTTCAGTCCTCCCCTCCAGTCCGCCAGTCCCCCTCCAGTTGCAGTTCCCTCCTCCAGTCCCCCCTTCCGTCGGTCTCCCCCATGCCGTAGTCCCTCCAGTCACAGTCTCCTCCAGTCAGTCTCCACCATAGTCTCAGTTGTGTCTCCTCCATAGTCTCAGTCCTCCAGTCCAGTCCCCTCTGTCTCCCTCAGTCTGTCCCTTCCAGTCTTCCCCAGTCGCAGTCTCTTCCAGTCACAGTCTCTTCCCCCTCCAGTGCTAGTCTCCTCCAGTCCCAGTCCCCACCTCCAGTCCCAGTCTCCCTCTCCAGTCCCAGTCTCCCCCAAATTGTTGGACTGACAAGGCGAGCCCTGATATTTTCTATGGACATCTCTGTAATGGTAAGTTTTCATGTACTTAAGATCAAATGCTTCCACCCCCACCCCCAAAAAAATTGTCACACGTTATGTCCTGAATTAGTTTAATAGTTTATTAAATTCTAAAGATGGCAGTTTGAAAAAAAAATGAATTACGTGTGAATTGTATGCATAAATATTTTTAAAAAAAATGCCATTGTACATTTATATAGTATTATAAAACAAAATACAACAGATTTCTGTTGTACACATCTCGTTTTCTTGATATTCGAAGTAATACAAAAGTTCAGACACAGAGTATGTGATATTTTCTCTTTATTTCAAAGACATCTTCTCGTAAAGAAGAAATTTCACCTCTACTCTGTGTCCGAAATCTTATTATCTTGAATAGCAAGGAAACAAGACGTCTATTTTCGAAATCTGTTTGATTTTTTATTCATCTAAGATTGTCTGCCTGTCCTGGCTGTATGGGAATAAAACATACTAAAGCTGGTCAATCGCTTGAAGCGAAATTGATTCGTAAAAAAGGCAATGTGTATTTTGCTCGCGATCTAAGTCGAATGTTGATTTAGTTAAATGGCAGTAGTAAGTCAGGTTCAATATAAAAAGCTCTCTAGCTCCCTAGATTGTCTCTCTCTTCTTTATCTGCCAATGATTGCAAACATGGTATTTGTTATACTACATGTTTGTAAATGTAGATTGTCCAGGTTAGTATAGTCCTGAGAAGGACTGTTTTTGTTGTTGTTGACTGACGTTTCGACAATCTTAGCGGTAGTCGTCTTAAGAGTCAAATGAAGATGACTACCGCTTTGACTCTGAAGATGACTACCGCTTTGACTCTGAAGATGACTACCGCTAAGGTTGTCGAAACGTCAGTCAACAACAACAAAAACAGTCCTTCTCAGGACTATACCAACCTGGACGATCTACATCTGCAAACATGTAGCGATACTCCCGGGTTCAAACCATTTACTATATTTGTTTTGCGTCGTCATTTCTCACACACGAAGAGATCGTTTCTCGGAATTAAGAACTTTAAAGAAAATTCCACGATTTTTTCAAGCACAACAATAAATATCTCACATAAATTATCGTTATTAAGTACTTACGAAATTTTTACAAACAATCTCACCTCCATCTTTATCTAGTCATTTAGTTCTCAATTAAGTACTTCAAGTGTCCTTCATATCACCCTAAGGCTCCCTGTTGGTTCTTTGCAAATATCCCCATCTATCCAATAAGATCAATGCGATTCTCATATTATGGTCATTTTATCCCTAATATTACCCTAATGCACGCTTTGTTTTTTGTATCTATTCCCATCTATCCTATAAAGTCAATGTGATCCCCACTTTATCGTACATGTTGCACTTCATATTCTAATGCGCGTTTTGTTTGTTTTTTTGTATCTATTCCCGTCTATCCTTTAGAGTCACTGTGATTCCCATGTCATCGTACAATGTGCTCTAAGCTATAAAGACTGTTCTCTCTTTGACGTTTTTCAGGCGACGTTTCAATACTGAAATGTCTACCGCTCGTTCTTGTACTCTCTACAAAAACTGGATTATTCACGTCACTTTGCCTTTCACTCATTTTTGTACTTTCTACACAACTTGAATTATTCTTGTGATTCTGTCGCGATAAACAACCGTTAGCAAAACCGTGACCAGATGAGAATTGCACTTTTCTTTGCTCAAGGTTGGTCCGCATTTCCAAATGTGAATCGCTCGCACTGATCTTGCGATTGATGTGCATTTTTTCAAATCTTCTTTCGTTCTTCTCTTGTTGAAAATAAATGCTATTATCGTGTAACATGCCGAAACTCAATCGAGGGATATCCTCCAGCGATGCCCAGGAATGTCGAGTTGTCTTTGCGTCTGAAATGAACGCAGTTGGGATTAAAAAAATCCAATTGAGTATTTCAAAATAATAGAAATGGATGTTATATGTTTGTAAATGATGATCGTCCAGGTTGGTATAGTCCTGAGAAGGACTGTTTTTGTTGTTGTTGACTGACGTTTCGACAACCTTAGAGGCAGTCATCTTCAGAGTCAAAAAGTCATCTTCATTTTTGACTCTGAAGATGACTACCGCTAAGGTTGTCGAAACGTCAGTCAACAACAACAAAAACAGTCCTTCTCAGGACTATACCAACCTGGACGATCTACATTTACAAACATATAACGATACTCCCGGGTTCAAACCATTTACTTTAGAAATGGATGTGTTAAGTTAAAGCAGCTAGCACCTTGAAAAATTTCTTGTTTTTTCTTATTGGTGAGTACCGACCTTACAGGCTTTCTCATTGGCTATTAGAGACCTTAACGGCGCTCTTATTGGTCAATATGAACCACACGGCTTTCATATCAGCCATTACCGACCTCACTAGATTTCATTTTGGTGAAAATAATCTCCAAAGCATGCTGATCTTACTCCATATCTTATTGGTCAGTGAAAATCTTACTCCAAATCTTATTGGTCAGTGAAAATCTTACTCCATATCGTATTGGTCAGTAAGAATCTTACTCCATATCTTATTGGTCAGTGATAATCTTACTCCATATCTTATTGTTCAGTGAAAATCTTACTCCATATCGTATTGGTCAGTAAGAATCTTACTCCATATCTTATTGGTCAGTGAAAATCTTACTCCATATCTTATTGGTCCGTACCTGATTGACTGCTCAACAAGAGTCGAATGTTTTTTAAGTCGCAGTAAGCTTCGTCACCGTCATCATACAGCAAAAAATATGTATTAAGTCCCAGTCTTCCTTGCACTGTCGCGAGATAATAAGGTTCATCACGATCTCGCCATTGTGCTACAACCTTGCTACCAGTTTTAATGTCTTTCGAGCTAGGAATCTTATCAACGGCAAGTGATCCTGGTATATTTCTTGGACATTTGACAATCGTTCCTTTCAATGTGATTACATGAAGTTCCCCTCCTGTCTTGTCTATCACTCCACGTGTAAAGCACATGTTATTGATTCGTACCCAGATTCTGCTGCCTTTTGCAATGGGATCCGACCTCCATTCTAAATAAGGAGTAGATTGATAGCAGGTATGGGCCAACATGTCCAAGATGGTTTTTATCGATACGGGGGCTGTTATGGTTATGTTGGGTATGGTTTTCTTGGGGGGGAGTCTTGTTGGGTATGTGGTTTTGTTGGGGGGGGGGAGGGGTGATGGTTTCGTTAGGAAGGTGGTTTTGTTTGTGGTGGTGGTTTTGTTGGGGTAATGGTTTTGATTACGGGGGGAGGGGTATAATTTTGTTTGGGGGGTTGGATTTTATCTTGGTAGACCGTTTGTTTCCGTACCATCTCAGACTTTTTAAGCAATTGTTAAATTTATCGAGTTACCTATTTATCAAGAAAGAAAGGTGTACACCCCTTCCGTAAATTCATCCCTGGATGATGATGCTTGCGATAGATACACCCCATGAAGAAAAGATGTACACCCTTTCCCTGGATGATGGTCCTTGCAATAAAGATCTATCCCAAGAAGGAAAGGTGTACACCCCTTCCCTGGATGACAGTACTTGCAATAAAGATCTATCCCATGAAGAAAAGGTGTACACCCCTTCCCTGGATGACAGTACTTGCAATAAAGATCTACCCCAAGAAGGAAAGGTGTACACCCCTTCCCTGGATGACAGTACTTGCAATAAAGATCTATCCCAAGAAGAAAAGGTGTACACCCCTTCCCTGGATGACAGTACTTGCAATAAAGATCTACCCCATAAAGAAAAGGTGTGCACCCCTTCCCTGGATGATAGTACTTGCAATAAGATCTACCTCACGAAGAAAAGGTGTACACCCCTTCCCTGGATGACAGTACTTGCAATAAAGATCTATCCCAAGAAGAAAAGGTGTACACCCCTTCCCTGGATGACAGTACTTGCAATAAAGATACACCCCATGAAGGAAAGATGTACACCCCTTCCCTGGATGACAATACTTGCAATAAAGATCTACCCCATGAAGAAAAGATGTACACCCCTTCCCTGGATGACAGTACTTGCAATAAAGATCTACCCCTACCACGACTTTTCTTCCTGGCGAGCTTAAAGCTGGCGTTTTCCTTGAAGAAGTTGCTACCATCATATCGCTGCAACACGAGGCCTTGCGAGTCTCTTTTGATAAACCATCCTGGGTTCGTGTAACTTTGGAACGCAAAATAGTCTGAAAACCACATATTCTTCATGATTACGAAAGTCGCGTCGCTCTCTGGAACATAAGAAATAAATACACTGCTACTGCAATTGTTTTTTAATTATTTCTATTGGATCATTTATCTTGTGTTTATGTGTTCACTGTGCAAAACGCCATTCATACTTCGTGCTTCTTTGCATGTGAAACTGAAAACTGTTTAATCTGCGATTCTTTGTACTCATGTAAGTTGCAATGATTCTTCTCATTTGATAGTGCAATCCTGTTCGTCATTTGTAGCTCATCAAAATTATCTTCACAATGCTCATATTTATCCCCATATACTCACTATAATCCTTTGAATCTCTGTATCTCTCGATGATAAGATTGTTATCTTCATTACAAAGGAAGAATCTGGGTTTAGTGTAGCATTGAAAGGAGACGCATCGATCTCCTTCGGCTAGTCCATGAACCAGCCTGTAACTTGATAAAAGAGCTTCTTGCACAAGGCGACGTCGCTTCGTCAACTTTTCGTCTTCGCATCTTTTTGATGACGAAGATCTGAAAATTTTATCTTCTTAAGCATTTCGTTAACCTAAGAAAAGAAGGTAGAAAATTATGCTTCTTGTAAGATTTCGAGAATTGTATCTCTTTATTGCTCCGATAGATAAAGGTGAAAAGGAACAGTGAATAGTAATCTTTTTGAATAGTAAAATAATGAATTTATCGTGGTGACAAGTTGAAAAATCGTCTGAAAAAGAGCAAATACAATGGGCGAATGGTTGAAAATTATAACAGGATAGTTCTTAAAAGAACTGTGTAAAACCAGAACACTCACTCGACAATTCTAAAAGGACTGTTTTGAAAGCATAGCAGCGTCTTTCAGCTTTAAAAACAGCTCTTTCAGAATTGTTGGGTTAGTGTTCTTGTTTTAAACAGTTCTTTTAAGAACTATGAAATTATTCCTGAAAAATGCCTCACTCGCTGTAAAGTTTTAGGTAATGGATTTTACCACCTGTTTGTGCGAGGTCTGTTATCAATAGCCTTGCAAACATTGAGATAATTAGTCGATTTCTAAATTAAATTGATTCAAATGTTTTCAACCTAACGGCGTAGTCAGTTTTACTATAAAATCTTTCGACGTATTTTTTGTAAATATCTTATCATTTATCTCATATCCGAAAAACGTTTGTGCATATGAACGACGTTTGGAGTTTCACATTTAATGTTTATGCTTGTCCACGAATATCGTCATATAAAACTGAATAAGCTTGCAAAAGTAATTATTCGCGAGCAGTAATTTCCAAAATGTCGTTACGCTTTCCGAAGTGCTGTTTTGTATCTCTGAGGTTGTTTTTTTGAATAAATGGGTCCTATGTATACAACGGATAAAAATCAAGTTTAAATATTTACAAACTTACTTTATCTCAAATGCAAGCGCGGACATGTAAATGGCTAAGAAAAATTAACTCTTACGGTATTCCGTTTCGGAAAAGATTTTCTTCGTGAAATTAATCGTTGTCATCTCATTTGATCTCACTCTATATTCCAGCCGTTTAACAGCGTATCTAAAAAACAGTGGATATATAAAAATACACTGTACTTGTTCGTCTCCGTTAACAAAATGTTAAAATTTTTGTCATTCTTCACGACAAGAGTTCTCTTTATGACGTTAAATAAACATCGACTATTTTATTGAAGTAAATTGTAGCAATGGAGACCATCGGTGAAACTAGATAACTTGACAGCAACTTGAGACAGATGAGAAAGTGATGTTCGTCTTTTAGTCAGTGCTATTCATTTGCTGTTTTAATGTCAAGAGGACTTACGTTCTACCGAAAGCCAATTACAGCATTTTGTAATACATAAAAATCCGTGAATCTGAGTCGATTACTCTTTCGACTTCCCCTTGGTTTTCCACAAGACGAGCAGTCATTAACAACAACCTTGACGATTTGCGCTTATCTATCGGCAGTTTAGATAGTAACAATACAAGCACAGCGAGAAATTTTCTTGCCAACTAGTCTCTTGTCGACCAATTATTTATATGCAAAACTTTTCTCATATTCTTACAAGCCAAAATGATGTATAAATACGAACTGTTTCCGCTTATATTTTTACCTTTTCTAGGAATGAAACGGTGATCGTCAGGAAAGGTAGCTAGCGGCTCGACGGTGATGTACTATTGATCAGCATTCGTACAACAATATGCTTCAATTGCTGTAAAAATATCCAGCAGGTATGAATTTAAATATTCTTTCCTTTGAACAATCTCTTTTTGCCGCAAATTAATTATACATAACCAGTTACGCGAGTTTAAAAAATGAAATCCTTTTCACACCTTTGCTAATTACTAAGGGAGAAATTGAACGTTCTCTAATGTACAGAAAATGTGAAAGAATTTGAGATATGAAAACTGTTGAAATGTCATCATAGTTCATAGTTGCTTGTAGTTTAGTTGGTAGAACATTGAAGACAATGATTATCTTGTTACTATACCTGAGTACATCACCAACAACGTGATGTTATTATCTATGATATTAAGATATGAAAGAAACTAGAACTGTGTTTTGAAATATCATCATAGTCCACACTTGATCTTGTAGTTTAGTTGGTAGGACATTGGAGACAATGATTATCTTGTTACTATACCTGAGTACATCACAACAACGTGATGTTATTATCTATGATATTAAGATATGAAAGAAACTAGAACTGTGTTTTGAAATATCATCATAGTCCACACTTGATCTTGTAGTTTAGTTGGTAGAACATTAGAGACAATGATTATCTTGTTACTATACCTGAGTACATCACAACAACGTGATGTTATTATCTATGATATTAAGATATGAAAGAAACTAGAACTATGTTTTGAAATATCATCATAGTTCACACTTGATCTTGTAGTTTAGTTGGTAGAACATTGAAGAAAATGATCATCTTGTTACTATACCTGAGTACATCACAACAACGTGATGTTATTATCTATGATACTAAGATATGAAAGAAACTAGAACTGTGTTTTAAAATATCTTCATAGTCCACAGTTGATCTTGTTGTTTAGTTGGTAGAACATTGAAGACAGTGATTAAAGATGTTCCTTCCTACGTTTCTTCCTTAAGGTAAAGATGTTCCTTCCTTAAGATAAAGATGTTCCTTCCTACGCTGTCTTCCTTAAGGTAAAGATGTTCCCCCCTACGTTGCTTCCTTTAAGGTAAAGATGTTCCTTCCTACGCTGTCTTCCTTAAGGTAAAGATGTTCCTTCCTACGTTGTCTTCCTTAAGGTAAAGATGTTCCTTCCTACGTTTCTTTCGTAAGATAAAGATGTTCCTTCCTACGCTGTCTTCCTTAAGGTAAAGATGTTCCTTCCTACGTTGTCTTCCTTAAGATAAAAACGTTCCTTCTTAAGCTATCCTTTGCACAACAGACCTGACTTTAGCCACAGCTAAATAAAGACTTTTGACTCTAAAGATGACTACCGCTAAGGTTGTCGAAACGTCAGTCAACAACAACAAAAACAGTCCTTCTCAGGACTGTACTAACCTGGACGATCTACATCTACATTTTGACTCTGAAGATGACTACCGCTAAGGTTGTCGAAACGTCAGTCAACAACAACAAAAACAGTCATTCTCAGGACTACACCAACCTGGACGATCTACATCTACAAACATTTTGACTCTGAAGATGACTACCGCTAAGGTTGTCGAAACGTCCGTCAACAACAACAAAAACAGTCCTTCCCTGGACTATACCAACCTGGACGATCTACATTTACAAACATGTAACGATACTCCCGGGTTCAAACCATTTACTTTAAATAAAGACTGTCAATCAACGCATTTGTTATTTTCTTTCAATGTACCAAACATCAAAGATTTCGTAACGTAAATTATCGAATTGAATAATTAATTCCTCATTTAAACTTTAATCATATTTACATGTCACGTGATCGACAGGCACGAACATACATGACGTCATGTGAACGAAATAAGTTTCATCATTTCCAAAGGTTTGTGCTGAGAGTATGTCCGGATTGCATACCAGCTTGTCCTTGATACAAGTTGAATGTTGGTACTTGTGGTCCGGTACTCACATACTGTGGGGTGGCTTGTTGTGCTGGGAAATTACCCGATGGTTGAACCATCCAGCTGTTGGGCACCATGTTATTATATGGTGCCATTCCCCTCATCTGTTGATTATAGTTGTAGCCTGCACCTGCCTGCATCATTGCCTGATTATTGGTCATTGCTTGAGTTGGCTGTTGTTGTCTTAAAGCCATCATGGCTAATTGCTGCTGCATTTGGTTCATCTGTTCAATGAATTTTAAATGTAAATCAGAAATGGAATTTCACATGTAATTTAATACATGCGCCTAAACAGCCTCATGCTAAATTATACATAAGACATATTCTGCTTTTACCCCTGGTGTAATAAGAACTCAAGGATGTAATAGGAATTGGTTTAGCTTTTGATCGTTTGTGTGTTTGCTGCACAACACTTGCCAGAGTACAAACAGCACAATCTTCAGTGCAATGGTTTGGATTAGGATTAGGGATGGGGTTAGGGTTTGGATTAGGATTAGGGAAGAGGCCAAGTTAGTTAGTAAACTGAGTTGTCTATATTAGTAAAATTTAAATAGTTCTGAAATACTTTAATTCCACTTTGCCAAAAAATTAAACACCTTAAATAAAATGTGATTATACAGTTCTTTGCACATTTCTATGTTTGCGGTTTTTAAATGTTTTAAAGATGAAATAGTTTATCGTTAAACATTGCATGTATAAATGAAATGATTACAAAACTTGCGTTGTGGTCACCTGAAACATAGGTTGTTGTTGTTGCTGTTGTTGTTGTGTTGTTGGGGCTGTAAACATTGCTTGTTGTTGGTTGTAAGATGGTGGCATTCCTTGTGGTCTGTTTATTCCCATTACATTCATATGTTGCCGTGGCTGGTGCTGAAGATAAACACCTCCCGGTACACCAAACATTTGTGGATTGCTCTGTTTTTGAGCCGATGGCTGATACAATGCCATTATTGAATCTATATAAAAACATTTTAAAATTAAATTCAAAAGCTTTAACAAATCTTGCAAATTTTATTCTTCACAGAAACTTCTATGCATCTATCATTAGGATTATACTAAAAGCAGGAACACTAAAGAGTCATGCCTTTCTTGGACTGTCCTCCACTGCTAAAGTCATCTTTAAATAAATCTTCTTTCGTATCAAAGGTTTTGCTGTTATTTGACAATGAAGCATCAACTGTTGGTACAACAGTACTTGACATATTCTATAAGAGACATTGCAATACATAGATATAAAAAATCATTCGCAGGTTTCCCTTGCCAACAACTTTGTGCTAAATCTTTGCCTTAACAGGGTTCAATTTAATAAAATGTAACTTGTGATTTGCTGTCCGTATTTAATATTTGCCATTCAATCATGTGGATAATTTACTATTTGCAAAAACCTTCCAAATGAAGAAAGCATTTCAAAATTCCTTGAAAGTCGGGAAAGTTTCAGAAGAACAAAAAAATCTAAAAGACCCTTGTGAAGCTCAACTATTAGCCCAAAATTGAAAGCTAAAATTAAACTGTAATTAAATGACCTTTCAATTTAAAATCTGGGTGCAAAACTTGTTGTACTTTCATTAAAGAAAACTTACTTGAGCCAAGTCGAAAGCAAAACCTTGTGATGCTTGCATATTGTTTTTTGAAGGATCAGACGAAGACCCATTAACGTTGATCAGCTAAAAAATTACACATATAAAGATGTAAGTTGCATTTGTGGAGTCATCAAGATGTACAAAGAAACAAGTGATATATATATATATATTTGTGGGTACAAATGGATACATAGGTATATATTTTAACATCATCACTAACTCCATTGGTGTTGTTCTGTTTAGGTGGGCTTGTGGACAGGTTTAACAGGATATTATTCTGCTGTGGTACTGCTTGTTGTGCTGCTTTCTGTGTTGGTGCTGCTGACACTAATGGTGCTGCTTTCTGAGTTGCTGTAGCTCCAGATAACGACAAGAGATCCACTGTCGCTGGCTTTTTATTTACAGCAATGTTGGATTTTCCAGTAGCCTTTGATGGCTCAGGTCGAGAAATCTAAAGATACATCCATTAAACATTTATTGAAGGTTCTCAGACAGTATTTAAAACAACATTTCCAACCTTGTTTTGAGGATCATTTAATTTGCTTTTCTCTTGACCTTTCTATCAAGATATGAAATCATCAAAAGTTTGCATTACACGAGCAGAAAAAATCTTGCTAATTTCTCAATACAAGCTATATAATACTCTGGCCTACCTTCTGTGGAATGCTCGCAACCTCTTTAGCAGGAGGTGGCCCGTTCTTATTAATGTATAACTTCTTCTCATACTTATTTCTGATGAACTGTTCAAGAGTAGAGTCTCCTTGAGGACGACGGAAATCTTCAGGAAGATGAAATTCATAATACTCAGCAGCTCTTTTGTTACCCCACTCTTGCATACTCTAGAAAACAGAATCAATGTAACTTGCATTTTGATAGGTAGAAGACTAAAGGAACGGATCCAGGATGATTTTAAATACGTGGTCCCAAGTTTAAATTAACTTTCAGTGGCAGCATTGCAAGTGCTAGCATATGACAACAGACTATTTTATTCAATTTTGTTTCTCTTATATAAAGCTCATGGGTATTTTTTGGAAGTGTGTTCAACAAACACAAATCACAATTGTTTGTGCTTAATAACTTTGTATGTTACTACAAAGGAAGAATGCCAACCCCTTCTAGCCAAGGTTTGGATACCCCCCCTTCTAGTCAAGGTTGGGATAACCCCCACCTTCTAGTCAAGGTTGGGATCTATGCCCACCACTATCTACTGTATCTTATTAAATCTTCTGACATCAGACTTCAAGCAAATATTGTAGTTATTACACAATAATCACACACTCGATTTCATTGTAAAAGATGGAGTCAATGAAACACAATTGTCGTCATGGCCATAAGGAAATGATTTTAGGTATTTCATGCATACGTTGTCCAGTCCGTGAATAATCCATACTTCACATAATGCATAATTAAATACGAAATGATGCATCAAAATATTTCTCAGCAATAAAACATTCACGGCTTCCGTAGAAGACGCTCCAAACACCTTATCTCTCCCATGACTTGGCAATTTTAAAGAAATTTATCACGAGTAAAAGTTGCTGTGAAAATACCTTAATTTGTTCCGGTGTCCAAGCATCTAAGTTCACCGATTTTACTCTGGAAATATGAACGCCTAAATTCCTATGTATTCCCGCACACGTAATACAAACAAATATACCGAGATTCCACGAAGCCCATCTCGGTCCTAGAATTGTGAAAAAGCCAAGTTTGAGTAAAAAAAATGCCTTTTTAAAGGCTATGTATATATGACATTTTACAATGATACCCTTCGCCCGGCAATCCGCGCAGTACTTGTTCTGATCGTCGCGCAGTAACTCCATAAGAATATGTGTGTGTTTTTCATTTTTCTTATTCTTTTCTCTCTCTGATCGAGTCGTCATTTTCTATTCTTCACGCGTAAAATGGTAAAATTTCACAAATTCAAAGCGAAATCGCCAAGCTCTTGTTGGCGTTCGCTTTTTCCCGGAAGTGACGTAAGTAACGTGCTAAGCATCCTGGGATTTTTAGCATTATCCACTGATCTGTGCATTATAATGGAATATTTGAAAAGCTTCAGCTGGCGGTTGCTCAGCTTAGTTTATTAGAATTGCTAATATTTGTTATTTCCGCTAACGACACTGTCATTATACGTATTTCATTTTGTGCGACGAGAAAAGACCAAAATAAACCACGTTCTATTTTTTTCAAATCAAAAAAAAGCCAAAAAAACAGTACTTTCCAAAAACTTGTCGCGTGATTGGGTTTACAACTGTTGTGCATAGGCGCTGACGTGGCTGGCATTTCCGTTTAACAACAGCACTGTCGTCAACGTCAACGCGTAAACACTAATTGATATTTTTGTTGATTATTTCTGGTGAATTCACGCATATTCTACGAAGATTTCGGCAAAGTGAATATAAACCGTTACGTAAACCTTATGCAACTGTAAACCAATATGACCATTATTAAATCTATTTATACTAAAATGTTTTACTTCGTTTTACAACAAGTCAATCAATCCTTTTTTTCCCATGTTGGGCATATTCCTTCGTATCAAGATAAGCAAAATTATGCAAACAAAATTAAGCCGCACTTCATTGCGCGCCTGTAAATTGAATACATGCTAGCAAAGTAAAGCTTGCATTGTGTCCTATGATAAAAGAAGAGAAATAACACCGAATTATGGACTTTGAACCTACGGAGTTCTTTATTACATTAAAAACCGCTTGCGAAAGCTGTGTGGCCTGATGTTTACTCCGGGTAATTCGAGTATTTTGATGAGAAACGTTTACAAAAACATTCAAGGATTATAATTTTTATTTCGATGGGGGAGTAATGGGGTGTAGCGAGGGTGTGCTTTTTGAAAAATGTAAAAACGCAATACGATTACACAACGACTTCATAAGAAACCAAAAATTTATACATGTTTCATTAGTGAGGCAGCTATGAAAATGACAAAAACGATTTTACTTGATTTAAAACATAATCAACACTGTGTGTTTGCAAGTATCGTTTGACACCAATAATTCAAAGAAAATTTAAAGGCAATGTTGCACGAATTGCATCAATACGTGGCATTCTCACTGAAGATTCACCGCTTCCGACAATCACAATAAAGATTCACCGCTCCTCATCGGATCTTTGCTTTGCCTTTGATGACAAACGCTTGTTATATACGGTCGGGGTCCTCCTATACCGCACACGCGTTGGTCACGTGGTCATTCGCCGTGGTATGTATATGGTGTAGAATAGTTGAGCACGTGTGAAGCTGTGCATGCCGGGACAGGAGGGCCCCAGTCGCAGGAAGCTTTGCAATCTTAGAATTCAATCAATCGTTGAATATGGTTAGTGGGTAGAGTTGATCGATTTTCAGAAACATCGTTCTCTCCCTTATTTATTTTCCCCGATGAATGGTGGGAGATTGTGTTTGTTTAATGAAAACGTTTCTGCTGTAGTACGAAGATTTCATTTGTAAATTGAAAAGGCGACTGATACTGGCAAAATTACAACGCGAACTCTCCTGTGTCATGCAATCGAGTGAAGTTGCTTGTACGTCGCGAAATGAATTTCAATATTCGAAGGCCAGTGAAGCTATGGCCTGCGAACCTGTGATACAAAATGTTTGGAGTACAAACCACTGCGAGGATAAATCGGAGCCTTCGAGCGTTCAAAACAATGCGAGCGATGGAGAGGCGAATTTCTCGTTTACTTATGAGAGACCGACAATGTTAAGTTCTAGTGGCTCGCGACTCGCAAATACCGACGGTGGCAAAATATCTTACATTCATATTGCTCCCAAACTTGACGGAAGAAGGCTATCTTACTCGGGTTCTATGTCGGAAAACACCGAAAGTTCTCCCTCCAATTCGCCCGAAAGCTCGGGCGTTACGAGCAGTCAAATTTACGGAGATAGTTCAAGCCCAAACAAGGTAGGATTCTCTATAAAAACATGTTTGTTTACAGGTAGCTTTTACTGAAGCAACTTTCATTGTTTACGCTACAACTTTTGTTCATTTTACGGGAAATTTTTAAACATATCCATGTAGGTTGATAATGCGCTGCCGCATAAGTTTAGTAAGGTTCTGTATTTCGTGAAAGCTTTGCTAATAGGAATAGTTGAGAATTCCACAGTGCGACGCTTAGCATAATTGTAATACTTCTTTCTCTCGTTTTCCTAATCTTAAATAACATGCGTAGCCATGTTTTGCTTTCTTCAAGCGAGCGCTATCTGTGAATGTACGTATGTAGCATCTCCTTGTTTGGATGGATACTCCTTTCTTGGCAAGATTTTGTTCGTGAAATTTTTTGCATAAAACCAGCTGTTTAACTACAAAATGGTATTCTTGAATTAAGTAGATTCGGTTTCGCACGAACGTTCCAAAGACCTCAAGCGTTGTGTCTGTGCCCTGGTAGTTTTAAACTCCATACAAAATAAAGCAAAACTTTAGGTTTTTGAAGGATTAAGAAAACCGCAGGCACTACAAAGCACAATATTCGCAGATATTCAAGGAAAGTTTTCGGGCTTAAGTGTTTTGTATAATGCCCGCACAGGTATCGAGATGTATGTAAAAAGCATTCTCTACTTAATTCGCTGATTTCTCTAAGTAAGGAATTTGAAATTTTGAGAACACGCATTCCTAAGAGCGATTATGAATTTTTTGAAATAATTTGACAGCGTTTTCAATTAGGCTACTTAAATATTTATGCTGCCTTTGTTGAAAAGCAGGTATATTGTGGCATAAGGAACAAGTCAAGGGTTTTTTATATCATCTGGCGTTCAGCTTGAGGTTTGACAAGTTTCTCGGATTTCATGGAAGGGTCGGCTTCTTTGTGATGGCCATGAGGTTGCCCTTGCCCAATTTTTCCTGTCTGTCTGCTTTTCCTTGTCATGTGAAGATATTTCACTTCGGTTTCGTGTTTTGCCTGCTGTCGCAAGCACTAAGGAATCCTGTGATGTTCATTTGCTAAGCATTCATGTGAAACATGCTTTGTTGCTTCCTGCTAAAAAATTTCCATTCATGACATCTATGTTTTCATAGATTCAATTTAACTTTCTGGCTGTGAGAATTCACTGTTTCCTTTATTGACTTAGCTGTCGGGGAAATTGATGGATTAATTCTCAACCTGTTCTGCTTCATGGGACATTCCAAATATATTTCTGGGCATTCTACGAATGTCATCACCATGCACATAGGAGCTCTTTCCTTTTCCCTTTTGTAGAGATGTTTGTGGTTTGTTTAGTCTGAAATCTTATCAACCCAAAATCTATAGAGTTTGATCTGACTTGATTATTAAGGTTTTTGTGATTCCTATACTTAGTAAATTAGCAAGCATCGTCATTTCCGTAAGTCATTGTTAAGATACATATTTTAGAAAGACTATTCATTCACTCATCCATCCCGGAAATTTTTTAATATAGCAACAGTTGATAATCATATGGCCCTAAAGGTCACAGAAGTGTTATTTTATTCAATATTTTGACCTAATATGGTCGGAGCATATTTCTTATGAATAGACCTTTGTGTTGATTTGCATGAGTGATTGCCAACAGGTCATCTTTTGATTGCCATTGTGAAAAAATCCCTAATAAAAAGTTCCTCTGGTATATTCTGGTGGTTTATTGCTATTTATATCACTTTTTTTCTTGCGTTTTTTTTTGGCACACAAATTGAAATTGTGCCATTGAAACAAATTTAGGAAATACACATTGTTTATGAGAAGGGAAGATCCCTTCTCATAAATATTTCACAAACTAATGTGTTTTTTTCCGATATTTAAGTCAAGAATCTGCTTTATGTCGGTTCTATGGTATATTTTACATTGCTATTCTTAGAAGCTACAAAATTCCCTTTCAGTAATTGCTTCTTTGTGGAATATTTGTCTTTTATCTTTCAAAACAGACCATGGGCCCGAATGTTTCTCATTAACTATATTGTTGTTCTTCCTAAATGTCTCAGAATGTTGGTCATTATCGGGAAATCTTGACACTTTAGCAACATGAGACAGGAATATTGAAATTCATCTTGTCATATCCTGTTCATTTTCACCGAAATCCATCAAACCTGCTGTTTCTGCTACATTACACCACTGGTCTTATATCAATTCCATAAATTCTTCCTTTCTTTAAGAAAGAGCATATCTTTTCGAATGTTGAGTGAGTGTGTGTTTTGGCATTAATCAACACTTGTATGTGTGTTTGGTTTTAAATCATATGAACATCAGATTCTTTATTATTAATTTACATTCCATTTTCTTTGTGAGTCTTTTGAATTATTTTATTGTTTGCCCATAAAAGAATTTGAACTGTTTCGATTCATAGGATTGCGATGATAATTTTGACCTTGTTTTCATCGAGAATGTCATCAAAACTCAAAATGTCCTTAATTGAAATACATACCTAGGATGTGAGTTACTTGAACACGTTCATATTTCAAACTAAAACTTTCATAGGTAATTGTCCTTTGACCCTTAAAGGCAAAACTACCAAGCTGGCTTTTAATATAATATTGTTAGCAAAACTACAGCATTATGTGTGATGTTGTTGATAAATGCGCTACGTGAAAACTCACTATTCTTAGATTTATCAGTAGAAACTATGTCAGACATTATGCAGACATTCGGCATTTCCGATAATTTAATTAATTCATGTTGTCTAGCAAGGAATTCTTGTATAGTGCATACATTAGTATTATTTATATTGTATGACATCACTGCATACATTGCTCTCATGTTTTGCCCGGGTATTTCCCGTGTCGGCTGACACTGTTGTATGATACATGTCCAAGCTTGACTGCGGCTTGTGTACAAAATGGATACAAGCCGGGAGATTCCCTGGTCGGCTGACTAATTAGCAAATCACACAAGCCGCTTTTAATCTCCTTCCTTGCAAATATTTGTATTCTCTGTTGTATTATCCAGATTACTTATTTATAAAAATGTACTTAGGTTTGCAAAATTGTTATTCTTACGTATATTTTAAACTCTTTAGTATGTCTGCTCAGGGCAATACTGTGTATAATGTGTGAGTTGTATGAGTTGATTGTTTCATGTAAAATAATGCCAACCGGCCGGCTAAGTTATGTATATGTGTGATGATCTGCAGATGTTGTTTCATTTGACTCTTGTTGGGTTCTTGAATGCCGGTGAGCAGCTGTGCCACTTAAGCCACAGAACAATGTGAGATTATCAAGTGCCGGCAGACAGTTGGTGCCGACATTGAGAGTTCTTGGAATTAAAAAATTCCTGTAAACCATTTATGGTTTGAAGGTTAATTTCAGGCTTTTATTTGGGTGTATGGCAGTACATATTTCATGGCCGAATGTAGGGAATGCTATTTTCTTTTCATTTGGACTATTCGTCATATATATATGTGGCTTATTGGACATCAAATATTAACAACCACCTGCATAGGTTATAATATATGCATGGATTAAAAAATGAGGCATCTAACATATTTTTCATGTTTAAATACATTTCAACTCATAGTTATGTAGAAGTCTTAAGACCTTGAAAGGCAATAGTTTAATGACCAAGAAAACAAGATTCTGGTTTAAGTTGAACAGGATTAAGATGCTAGCTGGCTAGGAGGTACTGGAAATTTACTTAGCTAGCTACTGGAAATTTACTAATGCGTTAATGAAGATGTAGAAAGATCTAGAAATATGTGTTTGGATAAAGATTTTGAAGTAGATGATATATTATACTATTGTCATTAGGGAATTTCAATGAATAATTTAGCAAATATTTTTTTTGTGTGGAATCTTTAAGTATGGTATTCTCCAGATAGTGTTTGGATATTTAGCATAATGAAATGGTCAGGATATTTTTAATTATAATATTTCAATAATTTACTGACTTGGGAGAATTTATTTTTAGTGATGAGCCAATTGTTTTGTGGAGCATGGTGCTCACTTGCCATTAGGTATTCTGATATTTTGAACACTGACATACTTGAATTAAAAATGTTTTGAGTAATGTTTTAGTAATGTTTCAAGTAAAGGGTTTTAGGTAATTCTATATATTTCTAAAAAAGTCACGTGGAACTTGGATTTCTTGACCTTGACTGGCCAAACCCAACATTTATATTCGCTTATGGCTTTACGGCGAAATTTCACGAAATAATTTGCATAAATTGAGGACAATGGTCTTTCTCGGACTTTGTCACTTTGCTTTCATCAGTTTCATATTTGGAATGCAGAGGAGTTGTCCAAATTCTACCGAGAAGTTAAGTTCTGTTCGTATGGTTAAATTCCTGCCACTTTCAAAGGATATTTTTGTCAATGTTCAAAGATGGTTCTAGTACGTATTGTTTATGATTATTGTCTTCTTAATAGCTTCGTGTTCTTGAGCGTTAAAAGCTTTTGGTAGTTTAGATCAATGTCGGTTTGTGAATTATTTACCGTCGGAATTATGTAAACCAAGATAACGCTTTTATTGTGTCGGATGTGTGTAAAAAGGATAAAAATTATTCAAACTACTTACTAAGTGATAAGCTACCGTTTTTGTTTGTTTTTTATTGACGCACGAGGAAGGGAAGATGGGTTTTTTTTATGGTTTTCACGGGAATTGCTTTAGCTTGGAGTGATGAATGAAAATCGCATGATGACAAAGCGTGGGGCTATTTTAAAATAGATAAAATTTCAATATTCTCCATGTGAGAATCGGATTCAACATCATGTATAAACCACACGCTCACGGCTCAGAGATTTTCACACTTCTTTTCTATTTAACCATCATGTGAGTTTATAACAACATTTATCGATAGGAAAGTTAGTCTTTGCCTTTAAGCACTAAGAATTCTCCTTTAAACATGTAATTATTACAATGCAGTAGATAAATGTAGAAAGCTATTATCAATATACTATGGCAAATTACTTCTCATAAAATGACGTTAAAGAGGGCAAAAATAGCTAAGAATTATCAGTATGCTTTAAAAGCCTCATTCACTGCATAAAGAACCTTAGATGTCCATCGCGTGGCATTATCGAAGCTTGCCAAACACTTTAATGCCGTTTTACGTCAGAAACACAGTTGGAGTGGCTGTTTATACATAATTTAATGTTGTTTGTCAGATGTTTGTGAATAATTCGCCTACTTCAGCGTTTATTATTACGTATAGCAAAACTGACGCGCTATTTTTTACTTCTTATGTATATTGTATTTTTGAAGTAAATTTCGGTTTTCCATGTATGTTTATAGCAAATATCGTCAAAGCAAGTTGTCCGCATTCCAGTCAAATATTTAACGTTGAGCTGCATTGAAATTTATCAGAAAAGAATTCTTAGTCTTTATGCATGTATTAATTGTTGGCGAGTTTTCAATTTTTTCACAGCTTCCTTCGCGATCGTTTTGGAAAGATATCATACAACGTTGGAACTTCCGAGTCCCGACATGCATATTTGTGATTGACGTATTTATGGCTTAAGTTCTTTGAAAGACTTTTGAGAAAAGGAGAGTTGATTCACACCGCGTTCATCAGGCCTTTCCTTCCTTAGAAATAATCGACTTATAATCGACTCGCAGGGGAGCGATAACGCCATCTCTTTGGCGAAGCTGTTTTAAACCGACTGTCTGTGAATGATTAAGAATTTTTGAAGAAAGTAAGAATTATGACGCGCGAAGAAGAGTATTAAGAGAAAATACAGAAAATATAGTTTCTTTTTGAAATGTGTTTACGGAAGCGGCTTAAATTATTCATCTCGCGTTTGAATTCTTTGACGCAGCAATAAAATATAGCAATTCACGAACCTAGCTACCGGATGTGTTGATGCCTGTCCAAAAATTTCAAGTATCTCATGTTTTTGTTATAAAACATGAAAGAGCAATTGAATCATTGCCGCATGCAAGGCTACATGCGTTAAAATAAACTTGCTTTTTATCTCACAGGCCTACGACCACGTAAATTTTGGTCATTTTGTTCGATGAGTCAAAGATTATTTGCCTTTCGACTCCAGATATCTTGATTAGTATAAAGGATTTTGTTGAGTTTATCGACAATTAGCATTGAAGTATTCCTTAATATTTTCTCATTTGCAGAGTCTTTGAGTTTTTTTTTTCATTTTAATTATATACCAAAACATTTTTAATCTTAACGCTATATTTGGCACGTTTGAAGATAGGATCTGCACATACAAATATCATGTTTCTGCTAGAATTTTGTATTCGCTGCCCGGAAAGGTTTTTAATTACAATATTGTATCCATTTGTATCAAATTTCTTTTTAAACTTGTAGCTAACTTGCGTGTTTGAATAATTGTCGAGTTCTTTTGTATGGTGCGATACAAATATTTACAGGATTGAGGATTAAATTGGTATTTCATTATGTTTACGAACACATTTGATTGTTTTTTTTTGCTATTTTTGCTATCTGTATTTGTTTGTCTTCTATGGCGACACCACATGATAACCATTATAATTGTCCAATGGGCTTGTTAGGACGCATTTTAGCGAACTATAATATAGAAATTCTTTCAGTATCAAAAAATATTCCCCTTTAAAACGGTATTTTAACTCTTTCTTGGGAAGTTCTTAAAATGTTGATATTCCCTCATTCATTCTAGTGATTTCACAAATGGATTTAGCAATTGATTTGATCGAGTTTTCCATTAATTAATAACACACAATATAAGCGTTTACATGTCAAAAGTTTTTACGCCCAAGGCTCAGAATTATATTTGTCTTGTTTCTGCTGGCTGTCGTATCTCAATCATCATCATAAGGTATGCATAGCGCAAATAAACACCAGCTGTCAAGTCATGTGCTTTAGAATTTTTACAATGAGCAGATGGTCATCCGGGGACTCTATTGTTTCTGTATCACGTGGTTTGTACTGGTTGTCTTTGTTCCATCGTTACCTGTCGGCATTAGCGATGGGCTTCGGCATTCCGTTGTCAATCATTGATAAAACTTTTTTTTCTTTTGAGCGTTGGTATTGTCTCAATATAAGTTCCAAATAGTCGATAGCTGTCCTGAATTTGCTAAAACACGGCATCGAAGATAAAGGAATTTAATGTTTGTAACAGTCTTAGACTTTGATTTCACCGACTTCAAGAGCTTTGATTACGCATACAAATTTTAACTGTATTTATGGAATCATGCATGAAAGATAACTTCGCGTCTCGCTGTGAAATGTAAAGTTATACATTTTAACGTTTGGACATTAAAGTGCTGCCGGTTATTTTAAACAACCTTCTATATATTTTGTGTCACTTATGATTGAGATAAGAACCTACACTGCCATATACCAGTTGAATGCTGAACTGACAGAACTACAAAATCAACTGTGGACTATGATGATATAATAAAACACAGTTCTAGTTTCTTTCATAAATTAATATCATAGATAATAACATCACGTTGTTGTAATGTACTCATGTATAGTAACAAGATAATCATTGTCTTCAATGTTCTACCAACTAAACTACAAGATCAACTGTGGACTCTGATGATATTTTAAAACACAGTTCTAGTTTCTTTCATATCTTAATATCATAGATAATAACATCACGTTGTTGTAATGTACTCATGTATAGTAACAAGATAATCATTGTCTTCAATGTTCTACCAACTAAACTACAAGATCAACTGTGAACTATGATGATGTTTTCAAAACACAGTTTCTTTCATATGCTAATATCGTTACTTTTTTAAGTTCTATCATCTACCAACTGAAATAGCGTTACAAGAATGTAGACGATAATCGACTTTCTAGAATATGAAAGAGACATTTGTTTCTTTTCATCACGAGGCGTTTCTTTTATTTCAGATGCGTTAATTTGATAAGAATATTTTATTCTCAAATGCCACGGCTCGAAAGGTCATGTAAAAGCGACATTTTTGCGGTCAGCCTGCGGTTTTTCATATTTTAATTATCGTTACACTGCCTCTCAAGTCTTGTCTGCCTAGAACGCGATGCTTTTCGTGCAAACGAGATTAAAATAAACACCAGAAAACAAAGTCCATTTCTCAAGATAATTTTTTCTTGGCATTTCGTGACGATTACGTTGGCACCTCGCCATTTTTCTTTGCACCATGCAAGAAAGTCGAGTTTGCACAGTTAACGGAAATCCTAAATTATAAAAATGGCAATGAAAAGAATTCTGTTTGTGAAGGCAAAATTTTATCATCCATTTCGTGATCGAAATTTGAAATTAATTACGCTATATAATGCAAAGCTTTAATTAATAAAGCATCGAGCATAACGACAGGGGGGTGGTGGCAAAGTGTATCCTACTGCTACTCCTAGAACTATCGAGCACTTTCGTCCATGGATATGTTGTGACGGTCTAAAGACTTGTAGCTATGTATTATAGGCTGGAATATGGATCGCGCAATAAATATGTAAGTCTTCAATCTTTGAGTAACGTGTATGGATTCCTTTTGCCGGCATTTTCTTACAAATTGTTGCTGCAAGGCGATGTGCCTTCGGATCTATGTGACAACGTTCGTCACATCAGGGGGCTCTTTCATCAGATTTGAAAATGCCAATGTTGTGCATAGATGAAATTGTTTTTTAGAAAAAAGCACGCGCTTTTACTTTAAGCCATCTTCATCGAGAAATCTGTTGTCGTAGCAATAGAAATGATGTAATTTACAGCGATATGAACATCTTTATGTTTTTATTTGTGTATATACCTAACTCCTAGGACTGCCTCCCTCTCTTACTTTGTTTATACATTCGACTATAAATATACGCTAAAGAATGTCTTTCGTATTTCCTCTTTCTTTTCTCGTGCGTAACATACGCTCACTTGCTCGTAATGAGGAAATTCTGCTCCTCTCCAATTACCTCTATAAATTATATTTAAGCTGATTTAGTCGCACAAAAATAATCGTTAATATAACATCGCTATGTGGTATTTTCATTGTGCTATAAACATCATCTTTATTCTAATGTTTATTTGAAAACAGACGGAGAAATTCTGTCAATGATTAGTCCTAATTGTTCAAGATATTCCAATGAAATAGCCGAAATTCTTGACTGTTAAACGGCGCTTGTGTGTTATATTTCTGGCCTTATATTGTATACTTGTCGCCTCTTGGAAAATATCACAATTTCTGCTTACGAGAAGCAAACGCCTTGCGAAACGACGGCTCTTCAAACTATCTTATTTCATATCAGCTTCAATCACGTTGACGAAAGAAGAAATTTTACTATTTTGCCTGCTCTTCGTTTCTTTTCAATGTAAAGTCGCGATTGTTTTAGGCGGCGAGCTGTATTGCAAACAAAACCCGAGGATTTTACGAGAACTCGTCATGTTTACCTAAATGAATGAAAATCGTGTTGACAAAAGCAGTATCCTGTGTTAATTATCAGTCGTTATGCTTATCAAAAATGCTTGCATCAAGGATGTAATTTTTCTATAAATGAACTAGATAGATTTTTGAAGTCTGCCGTGAGATAAAATCAGTACTTTTGACATATTAAGGCGTTCACGTCTGCATATTTAAGAGCTGGGTCTTAAACAAACGTCTTCGTCTTTATTGAATCGTCTCTACGGTCTGTGTTGTTTAACGGCGGATAGCTTTAGGTTGTATTAAAGGAACGATTGAAAAGAAATCGAGCTCAAGTTACATATGTAGAATAGGAATAAATTCAAACGAACAAACTCAATTATCTCTAAATCGCATAAGTTATTTCTCATGGGCCTTAATTGCTGATTTTGTCCAATCTTTGGTTATTATCCTTTGTAAACGTACTTTCAAGATTTGCTGAAGTTTGTCAAATCTCGTGGTCTTTTAGAATGAAGTGAAAAACGAAGTTTATGTTCCCTCCGGTAAGAACATCATCAACGATAGTCCGTGGCCTCCGGATTTTGAGCCCACAGTGAAAGAAATGCGGCGTAAACTGTACGAATTTGGTAACAAGAGAGAAGGGGTGGACGAACCGCCACGCGAGGAAATGAGAAAATTACGTCAGTATTATGCAGTAAAGTTTCGCAGCTGGTTGAAAGATGGGAATCGCGATATGAGTCAATTGTTATGTCATTATTACGCTGTTGCTAAGATGAGTAATCGTTGTTGGGAGAGAGCCGTCTCCATTATGGAAAAATATCGGTAATTTATTCAATCCCATCATGCTTTGTGTCTGTGCAGGAGGGTGGGAACACCCTGAGATTTTTTGCTTTGATTTTAATGGTAGCATATTTTGTAGCGATCCTTGTCATGTAAAATTTCAAAACATCATTGTTCATTTCTTTAGAAATATTTTATTTTTACACAGTGGGTTTATGTGGTATTTTTACACAGTGGGTTTATGGTATTTTTACACAGTGGGTTTACATGGTATTTTTAGACAGGAGGATTTGTAGGTTGGCTAAATTAACCACCGTATTTCATAAAAATCGACTTTCAAAGATGTCTTCTCCCTGCTGGTCAATGCCCATATGCATATTACCCCCTCCTTCCCTCCTTGATCATTGCCCATGTTCATACTACCCCCTCCTTTCATCCTTGATCATTGCCCATATTCACATCCTTCCTCCTGATCATTGCCCATATGCATATACCCTCCTTCCTCCTTGATCATTGCCTATATCCATACTACCCCTCCTCCTCTGATCAGTGCCCATTCATATTACCCTCCCCTTTGATCAATGTATCCATATTTATCCTTTGCCCATTCCCCTCCTTTGATTTCCCTACCTCCTTTTCCATATTCATTTCCCCTCCTCCCTTGATGCCCATCACATTTCCCCCTTCTGATCATATCCATACCCTCCTTCCCTCCCTGATCCCATATCCATATTATCCCACATCTATATTTCACAGACTTGGTTTGTTGAAAGATATGAGTAAAGGATTACCAGTAAAGCAGAGCATATTTCAATTTGTCGATCGTGGTAACGAGGATTACACCTATGACATCATGTGTAAAGTTGAACGGGGGGAGGTGAGTCTACAGGAAGCGAAACAAAAATATCGAATGATTCTTGATAAACGAAAGGCCAAGATAAACACGGCAAAACGATTGTCGACAATCGAAGGTACGTTTACGTTAATGTTTACCTGAACGTTGCTGTCGTTTAAGCAGCTACTGAAGAAATTCTACCCTTATATCAGGGGGCTGTCTAAATATCCTTTCAAAAACAATTCTACTAACATTTTAAGCAATTTCCAAGTTATATTCTACAGTCCCTCCCCCCCCCCTTCTTCCATTTGTATTTTTTTTCAATATTTTTATGTTTTGTTCAAGCTATGAATACGGACCAAGACTTAGACACTTCACGACGATCATCGATGGATTACGAACAGCGGCCGAGGTCTGTCGTCAACGGAAGTTATCACATGGAACAAAACGGTCGGGGGGGAGATGAGTATGTGGATCACCGGCCTTTAGATCCCGGGAATATTGATCATTTCTCTCAGTCGCCCAAGCAACCAGTTATAAAACAGGAAAATCGTGACGATTCTGACGTCATGAAGTGCTCGGAGATCCGAACTGTGAACGGAGTTGTGAAACAATATAATGGCTTGAAGTATCCAGAATATGAAAGAAATAAGGTGAGATAAGTTATTTTTGAAAGAAATTTTTCTAATGGATTGTGTTGTATATAATGTTGCATTGATGGCAGATGTAGATCGTCCAGTGAAAAATTGTTCGCTGAAGATTCCTGTCTAGATATGCTGTGCGTTTCCAAACAAGGAACTGTACATCATGACGTCACTCTATGACGTCATGCTTGTCGAGTTAAATTGACGTCATATCCTGTTTAGATGGGTGATCGTGAATACGAGATGGACAAACTGAAGCGTCGATTACGTGATGTTGAAGATGAACGTGATGGTATGGAGAAGAAATGGCTTGATCAGGTCCAGAATCAGACAAAAGAAAAATATCTTATAGCTGATCTTCAGAAGGAAGTACTGCTTTGGAAAGGGAAGTTTAAGAATCTACTGGACCGTATACAGAGTCTGGAGTGTGATGCAAGACGCGATTTCGATTACTCTTGTCGACGAAGCTCTCTCGGTGATATCCCTAACGAGTTCATTAGTCCCACCGAGCGTTCGCCACGCGACAACCGCCAAATCATCGATGCTCCATCTCGTATTGTTCGCGTCCCAGTCACATGTAGCGTGCCTGTTGTTGCACGTGAACGCGGCATCCCGCCACAATTGTACCGTCCCGATTCCACAATTATCTACGGTTATCCCTCTCACGCTGTCCGTCACCCGGCTCTAATGCCTAACGGAATCCCCTCTCAGATCTCCCCAGATTATTATGAACCGCGACGTGAGGTTGCCATGGGGAGGAGCTCGACCGAGGAATCACGTGAGCATTTCTCCATGGCAACGTCAGACGAAGCTGATGATAAGGAAATAGAAGTCGATGTTGAGGGCAAACATGAGAAGCATGTTGACGATCATGAGGAAAGCGTCATGAGTAAAAGGTTAGTAATGCCTGGTGTCAGCACCAAAGCAAAAATTGTTGTGCGCAAGCGCAGTGATCCAAGTCGTTATGAGACTGTTACCATCAACAATAAGCGCAAACGACTCAGTCGGTAGGCGTTTGTTGTTCTTCACCGACCGCTCAAACTTTTGTTTTGAAAATTTTCGCGTTTGAGGCATCAGTTTTTATCTTCTCTCGTTAGTTTTGATAAATGTGAGCAAATAGTTAGGGCATTAACGATGGAATTATTCACATCTTTATGGCTTCCCCAGCTCTTCATTCACATTCATCAAAACATGACGTACTTGAATCAATATCTAATGTCAGCGGTGCGGCATGGTGGGCGCATGTTGCGTGAAACGCCAAAACGTGTTGTATCGCCGTAATCGAGTAACATCGTGAAAGTGGACGCGGTTTTTAAGTTAAGGGAGCATTTGGTATATGACTAAATGCATTTGCTTTCACAGTTAATGCCTTCGGAAGGCGCTTTTGGCAAATTCGTAGTTTTTCTCTCGTATGGTTTTGTAAGAAAAATCATGAAAATACAAAAGAACTGTGTGATGAAAAAAACTCGCTTTGTTATGGCTTGAATTATTGGCCGAACTTTCTCAAATGTCGCTCGAATATGGTGGGTTGGCTTTCTGTACTTTTTATTGCTTTTCCTTTGCGACTTCATAAAATATTGATCTATGGTTCCTGTTTTCTAACGTTGGTGCATCATATGCTTTCGACTTCAATTTCCGGTTTCTAACATCCGGGAATTTGTTATTCTGTAACAAATTCCCGTACTTCCTCGTTCAATTTCCGCGATGTTAGACTGGAATATTGATAAGTGTTCTGCTCTTTTACTGAATATTTTTGTATTATGACGCAGCAAGCAAGGACGTGTGTTCTGGAGTTGGGTTAAACCTCCTCGACGTCTGATGGAATTGGGAATTGCAGGAAATTTTTTGTAATACTGATAAAATTTTCGAAAGTATGACGAGCAACTAAAATTGTTCTCTTCAAATTATTTTCACTGGAATTAATCATCCATCTTGATGTCTTTGAAGACTATTTAGCAATCCATAATTGTACCTTTATGTTCCTTCGATCCTCTCCTATCAGATTGCCGCGGAGGTCTGACCATTGAACTAAAGTACATGGAACGCTACCTGTACTAGAAAAAGCTTGATGATAATTTTTTGAAGCCAAATCTTACACGCGAGATTACACCCAGACACGCGAGATTTACACCCAGACACGCGTGTGTAATTCAGTCAATTTTCACTCCGCGAGAGAATCTCGAAACACTAAACACGCGTGTCTGGGTGTAAATCATGGTGTAAGATCTGGCTTCAACTATTTGCTTCACGTAGCGCTCCATGTATTTGAGTTCAGTGGGTCTAACTCGACACAAACGACGTCACTCACTGTAAAATAGTTTAGTTTAATTTCCACTAGGTTTGTTTAAGGAATGTAGTTATGGGTTTTGTCTATTGACAGAAATCTTTTGCGTTTAGCAAAGATTTCAAGACATCACCAAAGCATGGCGGAAGTCTTGGGGTTGTTGTGAGTTATACGTCATGTAACAACTGTCAAAGTTGAAAATAATGTCGCCATTTTAAATGTTTTTATCTTATTTCAAATGAATGCTAAAATGAAATTCTCTACGCAAATGAATGACTTTGATGATCGTAGTTCTACAATTTCGTAATCGTATCATTGGCACATCTGTTTGACATTGACATTGTCCTCAACACAGAATCCTACTTTGGTGATGTTTTATATAATTTATTGTATTCGTATGTATTAAGAAACAATGTATTTGTCTCTCGTTGCTGTATACTGTAGATGTTTAATGATTTTACAAAAGCTGGAGGGTTTTGAACGCTAATTGGGGATGGTTGTGATCTTTTGGGATAAAATAGAATCATGTTGCTTGGTACTTGTTGATCGTAAAACCGATCTGAAGGTTTTATGTTTTCATTGAAAACATTCGTCAGATCGCTCTTACAAACGGCTTGCAAAAGCAACACACGGTTTGTCAGCATTATGCTGTTTTTTTATTTTCCACCCATTGTCCAAATATCGCTTTTTCATTCGTTGATTTCGTTTCTATTCAGCCAATCGGAGCTCTTCATTTTTTGCAATCACACTGTTTGATTTGACGTTTCTTGACTTGTGTTTCGAAAGGGCTGTTGATTTACATAGGTTTGAAAATGATTGCAACTGTGAATGCTGTCTGTTTTGATAAATTGGTTGAAAAATTCACCCTTAATGTTTTATGCGAGGTGTTAAACGTAATTCATATATCCAATCTAAAGGCGCATTTCATGAAAGAAAATTTCTCGCAAAAAGCTTAAGCTAAGAAATACAGATTTCTAATGTACGTTTTGCCGACTTGTTTCGCTTTGTCACATTTGCACATTCTCCATTCTGTATTTTTTTGAAAGAAATTTTCTTTTATCGATTTAAGTTTTGAAACACCTAATGTAATTGTAAAATTGAATATCTTATCGTGTACTTGATTCACCGTTCTTGAATATATTATTGCCACTGTTGCAAGCGTTTCTTACAATGTCGTTTTCCTGCAATGCTAGCTCAGTAATGTTGAGTTTTTATTGCCTGAAAAACGTCAAATTTGCGAATGTTTAGTGCACTTTCTTGAATTAAAGCCTCGTTAAAGAGAATGACGGATTCCTCCTTCCAGACTATTCTCCAACGCGAGGTTTTTTCAAGAAGATATTTACCTATCATATTAAATTGGAATAAATAGGACGAAGTAGTTTTTAATAGGTTTGCAAGAGTATTTAGAAAAAGACTTTGTTCTTTAACCTACGGTAAAAAAAAAACACTATCCCAAATACTGCATGTCTGCGAGTACTTGTAACTCCCGTTTCATTTCTCCAGCTAATGATTAAAAATAATTTTTACACAATCTTGGTTTTGTGTTGTTGTCAAGTCATTATAGTGTTTAGTAAAAGTTTGTATATTGTGGGGATCTTTGGTGATAAACAGGTATACTCGGCAAGCATTTGAAATAAGGACGATGTTGCTCTTATATACTTTCATGCTCTTCAAAGTCTTGCATTAATTCTATGTCGAGTCGATTTGAGTGAAAAAGCTTATCGGCAAGTTATTGCACTTGTTTTCCTAAAAATGAAACCAATTTTAGCGAATTTATTCAATCGTTTGAAAAATGACAACGGCATGCAAGAAAGCAGTCCTGATTTTTGTTTGTAAATGTTATAGTTCAGTTGGTAGAACATTGAAGATAATGATTATCTTGTTACTATACCTGAGTACATCTCAACAACGTGATGTTATTATCTATGATATTAATTTATGAAAGAAACTAGAACTGTGTTTTAAAATATCATCATAGTTCACAGTTGATCTTGTAGTTTAGTTGGTAGAACATTGAAGACAATGATTATCTTGTTACTGTAATGAGTACATCACAACAACGTGATGTTATTATCTATGATATTAAGATATCAAGAAACTAGAACTGTGTTTTGAAATATCATCATAGTCCACAGTTGATTTTGTAGTTTAGTTGGTAGAACATTGAAGACAATGATTATCTTGTTACTGTACCTGAGTACATCACAACAACGTGATGTTATTGTCTATGATATTAAGATATGAAAGAAACTAGAACTGTGTTTTGAAATATCATCATAGTCCACAGTTGATTTTGTAGTTTAGTTGGTAGAACATTGAAGACAATGATTATCTTGTTACTATACCTGAGTACATCACAACAACGTGATGTTATTATCTATGATATTAAGATATGAAAGAAACTAGAACTGTGTTTTGAAATATCATCATAGTCCACAGTTGATTTTGTAGTTTAGTTGGTAGAACATTGAAGACAATGATTATCTTGTTACTATACCTGAGTACATCACAACAACGTGATGTTATTATCTATGATATTAAGATATGAAAGAAACTAGAACTGTGTTTTGAAATATCATCATAGTTCACAGTTGATCTTGTAGTTTAGTTGGTAGAACATTGAAGACAATGATTATCTTGTTACTATACCTGAGTACATCACAACAACGTGATGTTATTATCTATGATATTAAGATATGAAAGAAACTAGAACTGTGTTTTGAAATATCATCATAGTCCACAGTTGATCTTGTAGTTTAGTTGGTAGAACATTGAAGACAATGATTATCTTGTTACTATACCTGAGTACATCACAACAACGTGATATTTTGAAAGGACTTTCATGCAACGAATTGATTGTAAAATCTGTCCAAATCAATCCCAGCTTAAGTTGAAATCGCATGGATTTGGATTGTGAAGTCATTCGAATCAAGGATCCAAGTTAATCCGACAACACGTTGAGTTTATTCGTGGATTAAATAAAATCAAAAGCCGTTGATCTACTTCATGCAAATCTAATCCACGGATGTAATAAATTCAGAAATCCACTTACTCAATCCAAGTCAGTTAACTCGCGAGAGTACGAAGTCTATCATTCAGTATCACCCAAAGCCGAAAGATGGAGAATGTTCATAAACATCAATTGTCCGATTGTGTATTATTTGAACACAGCAACAAAGAACTCCATGGCTTGTTCTATCCTAGCAATGACATTAGAAATGTAGCTCACATCTCCACCATGCAGCAGTACAAGGAATTGTACACGCTTTCCGTTGAAAATCCGGAGAAATTTTGGAGCGAGATCGCAGAGCAATTTTATTGGCAAAAGTCGGCCGAGAATTTTCTTTCTTTTAACTTTAACGTGGACAACGGACCTATCTTTGTGAAGTGGATGCAGGGAGCAAGAACTAACATATGCTACAACGTTCTCGACTGCATTATCCAAAAGAAAAATGCGGAAAATACCATTGCGTTTTATTGGTAATTAATGAAATTTTTTTTAATAAGTCACGATTCATTCACGAGTGACGAATACTTTGATGCAAAATGTTTGATAATCTGAATGCATTTGAATACACTCGTATTTAAACATTTCTTGAGTGTACTTAACATCTATGTATTTATTGTTTTCGTACAATTCAAGGGAAGGAAATTATCCAGGAGATTGTAAACAAATTACGTATGGAGAGTTGCTTCGTGAGGTTTGCAAGTTCGCGAACGTTCTCAAATCAGAAGGTTTGGTTTCTATATTGAATGTTTAACCAATATGGGTAGATTTGTTTGGATTTGCAGTATAGAGGAGTGACTAATTCAGGATATTTGGATTTTCCATATTCAGGAGTGAAGAAGGGTGATAGAGTTGCCATTTACTTACCAATGATTCTTGAGTTGGTTATATCAATGTTGGCTTGTGCAAGGATTGGAGCAGTGCACTCCATTGTGGTAATGTATCATTTGTTCATTATGTTGCAGTGGCCAAGTCAGGCCTCCATCTTTAAATTGCATATTTAATATATCAAATTAACCAGTTTTTATTGCTTTTTCCAAGCCTTTTCTCTATCTATCTCGCTTTAGTTTGCCGGATTCTCATCAAATTCATTGGGAGATCGCCTTGTGGACTGCAGTTGCTCATTATTGATAACAGCAGGCATGTTCTTTTTTCTCTCTTCATCCATAAACCAATCACATATCTTGATTACCTTCCTTTGTGTTAAGATGGGTATTATCGAGGAACAAAGTTGATCGGTCTGAAATCAATTGCTGATGAAGCCATTGTGAGAAGTAAAAAAATGTTAGTTGTTTCGTGGCTTTCTTGAGGATATTCATAATGTAACATGAGGGTAACACATGAGAAACACATGAGTAAAGCATGGGCAGCACATGAGTAACACATGGGTGACATGGGTAACACATGGGTGACACATGGGTGACACATGAGTAACACATGAATAAGGCATTAGTAAAACATGGGCAGCACATGAGTAACACATGGGTGACACATGAGTAACACATGAGTAAGTCATGAGTAAAACATGGGTAGCACATGAGTAACACATGGGTGACACATGAGTAGTACAACAAATTGCTCTCCCTCATACAGTTGCTTTTTCCTTTTAGGGGGCATTCTGTGCCTTTGTGTATTGTTGTGCGGCATTTGGGTACAACTGGAGAAAATGGGGTCATGGGTCGACCAGTTCCTGAACGACCCTCTAATATTCAGGTTATAACCAACAAAGTCATATCAACCATGAGTACCTTCAATCTTCAATTCATTCATTTCTCCTGCTGGATCTATCTTTATGTTTAATGCATCAACCAAACATTTAATCCACCCATTAAATCGAAAAAATTGCATTGCAAACTGTATTTTGCCCTGTATTTTTGCCTGCAACTCGAATCTGATTTCGTGTAGATAAATTGGAACAACAGCGTTGATGTATGGTGGCATGATGTTATGTCTAAAGCACAAGAAATATGTGATCCTGAATGGATGGAGGCTGAAGATCCATTGTTTATGCTATACACAAGGTTACTACTGATGTTTGTTTTCTCAACTATCCTCATATGTACCTTCATGCATCCTAATGCATGTTGTGGATATCGAGTGGGAGGGTGATAATCCTCGGCTTTTGTGAAATATGTGTGAAAATTTTTGGTCCATAAACTGCAAGAAAATGAAAGAAGTCGGTCTAGCTAAAATTGTGGGATTTTCTACCAAATTTAAACAGTAACGAAGACAGTCCATTTTTTACTCCTGCATTGCAAATATTTTTGTGTCCAATCACCGCAAAAACATCAAATGGAATTAATTTCCTGAAGAAATCGATAATTTTATTCAACAATTTGTAGAAGCCTCATTTTTGTGGGTAGGAAGTTGTCCCTGTTCGTTGTTTAATTTATCATATTTTTTGCAGCGGTTCGACTGGTAAGCCTAAAGGTGTTCTTCACACAACTGCTGGCTACATGTTATACACTGCTACGACCTTCAAGTAAGTCACGACCAAGTTCTCTACAATTGAAGGAAAATGTCTGATGATCTTATCTTCATAACACCAACATTTTAGGTACGACTTTGACTATCATGACAACGAGGTATGTACAGCTGATATTGGTTGGATTACTGGTCATAGCTACATTACATATGGGCCTCTTGCAAATGGTGCTACGAGTGTTATGGTAAGTGTTGATCTAACATTTAACTGGACTGTTGATGATCTCGTGTTTATAATATAAATGTTCAGTTCGAAGGTGTTCCAACGTATCCAGATGCCAGTAGAATGTGGGCCATCTGTGAAAAATACAAAGTTTCAAAGTTTTATACCGCTCCGACTGCTATAAGGTCATTGATGAGATTTGGGAAAGAGCCTGTTACAAAGTAAGGATACTGTCGTCAACCATAGAGAAGTGTATGTTTTACTGTCATCAACCATAGAGAAGTGTATGTTATACTGTCATCAACCATAGAGAAGTGTATGTTATACTGTCATCAACCATAGAGAAGTGTATGTTATACTGTCATCAACCATAGAGAAGTGTATGTCATACTGTCATCAACCATAGAGAAATGTATGTTTTACTGTCATCAACCATAGAGAAGTGTATGTTATACTGTCATCAACCATAGAGAAGTGTATGTTATACTGTCATCAACCATAGAGAAGTGTATGTTATACTGTCATCAACCATAGAGAAGTGTATGTTATACTGTCATCAACCATAGAGAAGTGTATGTTTTACTGTCATCAACCATAGAAGTGTTTGTTATACTGTCATCAACCATAGAGAAGTGTATGTTATACTGTCATCACCATAGAGAAGTGTATGTTATACTGTCATCAAACATAGAGAAGTGTATGTTATACTGTCATCACCATAGAGAAGTGTATGTTATACTGTCATCAACCATAGAGAAGTGTATGTTTTACTGTCATTAACCATAGAGAAATGTATGTTTTACTGTCATCAACCATAGAGAAGTGTTTGTTATACTGTCATCAACCATAGAGAAGTGTATGTTATACTGTCATCACCATAGAGAAGTGTATGTTATACTGTCATCAAACATAGAAGTGTATGTTATACTGTCATCACCATAGAGAAGTGTATGTTATACTGTCATCAACCATAGAGAAGTGTATGTTGTACTGTCATTAGCCATAGAGAAGTGTATTTTATGTAACTAAAGGAAAGATTTGGTTGCCCTAAAAAACAATGGCAAATACGCTGTTCAAAGTAATAATTATGTATTTTTTGTGCTAGCAAAAATTTTTGATCTCTCAATTTTCTTATTTTCGTTTCCTTCAGACATGATCTTAAAAGTTTGAAAGTTCTGGGTACCGTCGGTGAACCCATCAACCCGGAAGCTTGGCTCTGGTATCGTGACGTAGTCGGTGGTGGATCGTGTTCTGTCGTAGACACATACTGGCAGACTGAAACGGTATTTCGAAAGGAGATTTTGTGATTTGGATCCTTAGAACGAAATAACCAAGTTTTTCCAACCATTGTAATTTTATGCTTAAGGGCGGACACGTGATCACTTCCCTTCCTGGAGCCACTCCCATGAAGCCCGGCTCAGCTGTAAGTTGCACGTTTCATTCATAATTTTTGTTCGTTTTCTTGTATTTCAATAAAATATACGCCTCTCTCCTCTCCCCAGGCCTTTCCGTTCTTTGGTGTTGTGCCTGCTTTAGTTGACCAAGATGGGAAAGAAGTTGATGGTCCTGGTAAAGGTGTTTTGGTAGGCGGACCTTATTAAATATACACTACGTTGTTAAACATTCAGTTTATATTAAGATCAGTGCAAGCAAGAGACCAAACGTCGACGGCTCTTGCAAACGTCTCCGAGGTTTGCATAAGCCAGTGCAAACAAGAAAAACATCTTTTATTTCTTTTGCACAATAACAATAATGCGAAGCAGACAAATTTAAAACAAAATTTTATAATTTTTCCGGTAGCATGTAGCCATGATGGATTTGCAAATCTCTTTAAGTGACTTAATGGATTGTGCTCAGATCGGTTTGCGCAGGCTTGCGTCAACTCAGCTATTGACCAATCGGCGAACTTGATCGGTTCGCGCAGGCTTACGTCAACTCAGCTATTGACCAATCAGCGAACTTGATCGCTTCGCGCAGGCTTACGTCAATTCAGCTATTGACCAATCAGCGAACTTGATCGCTTCGCGCAGGCTTACGTCAACTCAGCTATTGACCAATCAGTGAACTTGTTATATTGTTTGTATTTTCCATGCAGGTGTTTAAACAACCTTGGCCTGGAATGATGAGAACTGTATATGGCGATCACGATCGATTTGAGAGTGTATATTTTAAGAAATTTCCTGGTTATTATTACACAGGAGATGGTGAGTTTTCTTCAAAATTACTCTCTCTTATCCATTCTTGTACCTGAACGATCTTTCGTCTTTGCGATAGAATGCAAACGCGACGCTGATGGATATTATTGGATAGTAGGGCGAGTAGATGACTGCATAAACGAGTCGGACATTGAAAGTTGAACGGAGCCCGGAGGCTGCCGTTGTAAGTATTTACTATTTGACATTGCTTTCACATCCCCCCCTGAATTTATACCAACTTTACTCTAGTCAGGAGGGACTGTCAGTGTGGATGTTTCCTCACAGTCCCCCCTGAATTTATACGAACTTTACTCTAGTCAGGAGGGACTGTCAGTGCGGATGTTTCCTTACAGTCCCCCCTGAATTTATACCAACTTTACTCTAGTCAGGAGGGACTGTCGGTGTGGATGTTTCCTCACAGTCCCCCCTGAATTTATACCAACTTTACTCTAGTCAGGAGGGACTGTCGGTGTGGATGTTTCCTCACAGTCCCCCCTGAATTTATACCAACTTTACTCTAGTCAGGAGGGACTGTCAGTGTGGATGTTTCCTCACAGTCCCCCCTGAATTTATACCAACTTTACTCTAGTCAGGAGGGACTGTCAGTGTGGATGTTTCCTCACAGTCCCCCCTGAATTTATACCAACTTTACTCTAGTCAGGAGGGACTGTCAGTGTGGATGTTTCCTCACAGTCCCCCCTGAATTTATACCAACTTTACTCTAGTCAGGAGGGACTGTCGGTGTGGATGTTTCCTCACAGTCCCCCCTCAATTTATACCAACTTTACTCTAGTCAGGAGGGACTGTCGGTGTGGATGTTTTCCTCACAGTCCCCCCCTGAATTTATACCAACTTTACTCTAGTCAGGAGGGACTGTCAGTGCGGATGTTTCCTCACAGTCCCCCCTGAATTTATACCAACTTTACTCTAGTCAGGAGGGACTGTCGGTGTGGATGTTTCCTCACAGTCCCCCCTGAATTTATACCAACTTTACTCTAGTCAGGAGGGACTGTCAGTGTGGATGTTTCCTCTATCTTTTTTACTTATTACGTTATGTAATGAGTTTTTCCGTAAAGCAGGGTTTAAAATAGCGGACGAAAACGACCGATCGAAAATGCTTTTTCATTGACCAAATTTTGCCACGTTTTCAAATCTTACCCAAAAACGACCACATTAAGGCGATACATGTTAACATATGGATCGCCAGAACGTTATATACCAGAGTCTTTAGGGTGAAAAATATATCTTTTGTGTTTTGTCCAAGTTGTGTTTCCTAGTGACAGGTCAAAAACCGAATTTGTCCGAGCTAAGATAAAGCTGACGCGTCCTCTTGACCGAAAACATTTCGGTCGACATTTTGAGCCCGAGCCCAAAGCTTTATTTGGTCTGTAAATTTATGCGGAGATTTGTAAACATTTCGACAGACGCCTCGTACAAATTGCTGCATAAATTAAACTGATCTCAACTGGTTTTACATCATCAATATGCACGTCAATTATCTTATCTCTATGTTCTCTAGCATCGTCGTAATATTTATTTTCAGATTTCAGTTTTTCCAATAACTAAACTTCAAATATTCATCTATCCTTTGCTTATACATACATATCCCTAGATAGCCACCTTATTGGGAGACTTATGAAATATCACACCATTTTATCTGATATTTTTGCATTTTCAGGTTGGATATCAACATTCCGTTAAAGGTGTCGGCATTTATTGTTTTACAACGTTGATGGAGGTGATTTTGTGCGATAAAATATTTGTTTGTTGTGTAGCTGTGTCTTTTTCAATGTTTAAATATCTTCATTGCACTTTTAGGGTTTTGATTTTAGTGATGAACTTGTAAAACAACTCAAGGAGAAAGGTGTGTTGTTCTTCGAGAAATCTTTGAGAAACTTTATCTTTAAGAAATCTATCTACTTGGAATTTATGTGGCTTTGCGCTAAAAGTACAAATGATTTAACCTTTTGAAAGCGTCTTTTAAACGAACGACTTTTTAGTTTCGATTTTTTTCTTCTACAAACTAAAGCAGCCACTTTCGTCTCTTCAACTCTCTTTCTGTTCTACAGTTCGTGAGAATATCGGAGCAATAGCAACACCTGACGTCATACAATACGCCCCAGGCCTCCCGAAGACTCGCTCGGGTAAAATTATTCGACGAGTTTTACGTGAATTGGCTCAAAATAATTCGTCCTTTGGCGATCAAACGACCCTTGCTGATCCAAGCGTCATTGATACTTTGATTAAATACAGACCCACCGTCATTCCTGGCCAGTAAAGGTACACATACGTACACATAGGGGATTGATTGATCTTATGGGATTATAGGGGACACTAATATGATATTATGATATGATATTAAGCACCAAACTTGCACCACAACATAGACAAAACCATAGAATTCAATTCGCGATATTCAACACACATATATATACAATACAGAGAGCACTTCTCTATAGTACAAATTTTTTGATGATTTTGCGAGTTTGGAAATACTCGCATGAGAAAACAATTTTCAAAAAGTAATATTCTAATTGAATGAAAAACAAACAAATGTTAGTTTTCAATTTTTTCATTATAAATGTTCTTTTAAACTCCGAAAAAGAATTCTGGATGGAAAATTAATTATTGCACGTCGACGGGCGACGTAAACTTGTATTGGCTTTGGGAATTCAACATTTTTACAGGCGCCACCGTTGTTTTTATATTGCTCGTATAGAAAATTATCAGCTTTCGTGTTATCTGCGATAAAATTATCGTTTATGGCTACGGAAAACGAAGACACCTTCTCTCGCCGCCATGTTGTGTTCGACAAAAAACATGAATTATTTACGATGTGTATGAATAAAGTGTTTGTTGTATGGAAACGGATGAAATAATTAGATAAATATCATTGAGTTGCGGATCCCGGCATATTTCATAATTCGTCCGGTATTCTAAGATGAACTTTGAAAAATTTAGACTAGATGCTCGTGAGGAGAGGTTGAATAAACCGCTCCTTATGAGTTGTCTTCCTTTCATTTACTGCGAATGCGGAGCTGAGAAGCAGACGAAGAACAAAGTCGTCGATTTCTCTCAGCAAACGGCGGCAAAATTCTTTGCAGACGAAGGCTGTTTTCTTAAAAATCGTCTCCGGAAGTCCGGTTCAACAGAGCATGAAAACGAAGAGGTTTTTCATCTTGATAATAGTTCAAGAATTGGTCTGACATTCTCATATTGCCGGCAATACACGGAGTCTCTTTGTCAGTCTTGCGTTTATTGTGATAAAAGTACAAAATTAACATTCAAACATCACTCAAGAACACGTGGAGAATTTGAAGACAACTCAAAGACCTCCACTAAGGAACATTGTGGGTTATATCAGTACTACGGTGAACATCGTGTGAAGGTTGAAGACAGCTCAGAGACCTCCACTAAGGAGCATTGTGGGTTATATCAGTACTACAGTGAACATCGTGTGAAGGATCATTGCCCTTTGTGTGATGGGACTTTGTGTCAGAGTGATCTACAACACCAAGGTCGTATTGTTGGATGGATAGATAAGGGTATCTTCAGTGAAATAATGGCTTTTAAAGAACTTATGGAAAGAGCGACAGCCCAGGTACCATATTGATACCATCTCTGGTACCAAACTCATGCAATCTCTAGTACCATACTCACATCATTTAACGGCATCTCTAAGACAATGATAACATCTCTCCATTGACAACATCACCATAGACAACATCTCTCCATTGACAACATCTCTATAGACAACATCTCCATTGACAACATCACCATAGACAACATCTCTATAGACAACATCTCTATAGACAACATCTCTATAGACAACATCTCTATAGACAACATCTCTATAGACAACATCACCATAGACAACATCTCTATAGACAACATCTCTATAGACAACATCTCTATAGACAACATCTCTATAGACAACACCTCTATAGACAACATCTCTATAGACAACATCTCTATAGACAACATCACCATAGACAACATCTCTCCATTGACAACATCACCATAGACAACATCTCTATTGACAACATCTCTATCTCCATTGACAACATCATAGACAACATCTCTATAGACAACATCTCTATAGACAACATCTCTATAGACAACATCTCTATAGACAACATCTATAGACAACATCTCTATAGACAACATCTCTATATACAACATCTCTATAGACAACATCTCTATAGACAACATCTCTATAGACAACATCACCATAGACAACATCTCTCCATTGACAACATCACCATAGACAACATCTCTATAGACAACATCTCTATAGACAACATCTCTATAGACAACATCTTTATAGACAACATCTCTATAGACAACATCTCTATAGACAACATCTCTATGGACAACATCTCTATTGACAACATCTCTATAGACAACATCTCTATAGACAACATCTCTATTGACAACATCTCTATAGACAACATCTCTATAGACAACATCTCTATAGACAACATCTCTATAGACAACATCTCTATAAACAACATCTTTATAGACAACATCTCTATAGACAACATCTCTATAGACAACATCTCTATAGACAACATCTCTATAGACAACATCTTTTTAGACCAGATATCTATAGACAACATCTCTATAGACAACATCTCCATAGACAACATCTCTATAGACAACATGTTTATTGACTAGGTCACTAGTGAAGACATTCGTATCTTTCAAAAAATTTTATGTTTCTTAGATTGAGACTCGTCAAGATGTTGCTAGTGGTCATCGTCTTCTGATGGATGAACTCCGTTCCCGTAAGAAAAAGATTTGTAAACATATCAAACAATATTTTGTCCACTATGAACAAGGGATGGAAAATATCGAAAAAGAAATCTTACAAACCGTGCTTACATGGTACGATATTCAGATCGAAACAATCGAGCATGCGCAGATGCGCGAAGAGCAAAGAATTGATAAAGTACGATGTTGAAATTGGAACTAAGCAACGAAACATAAGTTGTTGTATTCAATGATCGTCATAAGAAATTTCAGTGTCTGCAATTTAATTTTTCTCGTTTTTTTTCCCTATGTAGGTCTCGGACGCTGTAAAATCCTCCCGAAATCGTCGTGAACACGATTCATACACTGAGATGATTTTCCTGAAACCTTTAGTTCTTCAGTCGAAAGTTATCTGTGGCTCAAAACAGAAAACTGAAGATGGTTTTAGACCATCAATTGGGAATTTGATACGCAGTGCATCATGGGATGCCTCGGTTGATCAAACTCCCTTTCAAAAAACAACTGGTGTAATTTTGCCGTCAATCTTAAAAAAGATTCCTCCAGTTGATCAAAATGGTATCGTTAAAGTTATGAACTTTTGTTATCCAGAAAGAACAAAATATTCTCTGAGAAAATGCTGACATAGTTTTGTTCTCACTAGATGATAGAGGCGGTATGTGTAAACGACAGGCTATGTTTTTGGCGGGAAATAAACAAAATACAAGAGAAACTCGGTTGACAGTCGGCAATCGCCGTAAACGTTTCGGTGTAGATGGCGTGGATTTCCATCTGAGTCGAGTGATTTCGCGCGAGAATACCGCCGTTGGGGGGAATGGCACTACTCGTAACTACAGATATGACAAGATTTCAAGAAAGAAAAAGTTTGGAAAATCTGGATCAGGTATTAGATGAAAAGTCTTTGGTAACTATTATTGACTCTAGGGAATCGTAAATAATGTTATGTGATAGTGGGTCCTAGTCGTACACAAGTAAACAATTTTTCTCATCTCTAGCGCAGACGCTTTGAAAACTTTGTAAATTAAAAGTTGTTGGCGTTTCCGTGATGTTTGCTATGTCGTTGGCCATAGTCGACGAGGCAGTTAAACTCCTTTTTACCAGTTATTTTTATTCAATTTTCTTTTGTTAAATACATCATGTCAGAGTGGGAGATCTGTTTATTGAGTTGAAAAATCTATAAACCTGTAAAAACACGACATTCACTACATCATAATCAAGAAGCCAAAATTCTAGGCCTTCTTCATAAATGAAAACAGCCACATTCCAAAAATTGTGGATGTCCTAAACACTCGTGGTTTCCCAAGCACCCGTACTGTCGTTTAGCCGAACTTCCTATTGCAAAGAAAACTTGTGCTTGATCATTTTTACTGTTCTTGAAGATAAATAAAACACCCGAGAATTTATTAACGGTTGTTTAACATATTTTGATTTAGGTCAAGGTGAGTTTTTACATCCCTGTGATGTTTGCATAGATCAATCGCAGAACGACAGAATTATTGTATCCGATTTCGACAATTGTCGTGTACAGGTAATAAACTGATTCCAAAAACGAAAACATTTATTTTGAAGTAAAAAAGCATGATTTTACATTTAGGTCTTTTCTTATTACGGCGAGTTTCTCTTTGCGTTTGGTAATCGTGGTTTTGGTCCTGGTCAGTTCAATGGTCCTACAGGTGTTGCTGTACTTCATGATAAGACGATTATAGTGTCGGACTGTCTCAATAACATCGTGCAGTTGTTTTCAAGTCACGGTATATTCATAAGCTCTTTTGGTACGGAGGGACGCAATGAGGGACAGTTTTGGAGACCAATGGGGATAGCTGTGGATAGTCAGGATCAGATTATTGTTGTAGATCAAGGTATGGAATTAATAAAATTGTTATAATGTTTATCTTGTTGTTTAGTCGGTAGAACATTATCTTGTTACTATACCTGAGTACATCACAACAACGTGATGTTATTATCTATGATATTAAGATATGAAAGAAACTAGAACTGTGTTTTCAAATATCATCATAGTCCACAGTTGATTTTGTAGTTTAGTTGGTAGAACATTGATGACAATGATTATCTTGTTACTATACCTGAGTACATCACAACAACGTGATGTTATTATCTATGATATTAAGATATGAAAGAAACTAGAACTGTGTTTTGAAATATCATCATAGTTCACAGTTGATCTTTTAGTTTAGTTGGTAGAACATTGAAGACAATGATTATCTTGTTACTATATCTGAGTACATCACAACAACGTGATGTTATTATCTATAATATTAAGATACGAAAGAAACTAGAACTGTGTTTTAAAATATCATAGTCCACAGTTGATCTTGTAGTTTAGTTGGTAGAACATTGAAGACAATGATTATCTTGTTACTATACCTGAGTACATCGCAACAACGTGATGTTATTATCTATGACATTAAGATATGAAAGAAACTAGAACTGTGTTTTAAAATATCATAGTCCACAGTTGATCTTGTAGTTCAGTTGGTAGAACATTGAAGACAATGTTTATCTTGTTACTATACCTGAGTACATCACAACAACGTGATGTTATTATCTATGATATTAAGATATGAAAGAAACTAGAACTGTGTTTTAAAATATCATCATAGTCCACAGTTGATCTTGTAGTTTAGTTGGTAGAACATTGAAGGCAATGATTATCTTGTTACTTATGTCGCTACCATTGAATCCATTTCTTTGGTTTCAGGTAACAACAGATTACAAGTGTTCACTGCAAACGGCGAATTCCAGCACACATTTGGACGGATGGGAAACAGCAATGGAGAGGTAAGTTGTCCAAATTTTGTTGCAGTGGATCATCACGACAATATTTACGTTTCCGATAAGTTCACTTTACAAATACAAGTCTTCGGAAAGGACGGAATCTTTCTCAGAAAAATCTCCACGAGTCAAATCTACGGATGTTTTCAAGGCCATGTGGACTATCTCTCCGGTATAGCAGTGGATACTAGGGGATATGTTGTGGTAGGAGTCAAGGGTAGTTGTAGCGTTCGTGTTATCTCACCAGACGGTGAATTTCTTCGTGGTTTTTCTCCTACCGGTTCCCTACCTTCCCGTGTTTTGTCCTCACACGGAATTGCTCTTACTTCCGTTGGGGAAATAGTGGTGTGTGATTGGTTCAATAACAGGATTCGCTTTTTCTGATTGGTCAGTCGAAATACCCTACCGTATTGGATAGGTCGAACATAAATAAGATGAAATTTCAAAAAGTCTGTTGTTCTTCGGAAATTGTATTCTTTATTGAGAAATGGGGCTTGCTACAATCATCTTGACCGAGTGTCTTAAGTATATATACATTTGTTAAAAGATTAAAACTAGTAAAAATTAAAAAATTGCAGATTTTGTAATTTTTGTTTTACGCGCTGATTAATTCATTGCACAAAACTGCAAAAAACAATTAGTTTCGCAACAGCTTAAAACTCAATTTCAACATTCACGAGAATGTCAATCATATCGTGAATAAATAATACACAACGAGACAGCATTTCATTGAAAAAAACATCCTCAGCTTTTCGGTCGCCAACCTTTCAATAATTTCTTAATCTTAAGTCGTTGCAACGGGTCGACAACACCGAGAGCTCCTAAAGTTTTCTCATCTAACGCTTTAAAGATTTCCCCGTCTATTTGTTCCTTTCTAAACTTCGATATGTGCTCCGTCATGTTCACTGCTCTTAAAACCTGGGAAATTTCGTTAGTGCTAAGCTTTGAAAGATCTTTCGGTATCTTAAACGTTTTCTTTTCAACGGGCGCAATCTCGTCGTAAAGATTGTCGTCGCCATTAAAGGTTGCTTCGTCTGAGACACTGCCATTGTGTCGTGGCTCCGTCGGTGGAAGTTCGGGCAACTCTCGGTCACAAAGCGACGTCGGTGAAGATGACTCTTTCTCATCATCTACAGGTATGACATACATATCTAAAACATAAAACACACAATGAATTCTCCTTTCAATCTTACTTTCTCATAAATTATATCTTACCTGGTTCGTCAGTAATATCTTTGTTGCTAGGTGACGGAGGCAATGTCGATGACGTATGTGATGACGATTTGGAAGGTTTGTCATCCATTGGTTGATTCTTTGAAAAGAAATCACGCATTTTTTTCCCGCCCTTTTTGCCTAACGTACTTTTTCCCTTTTTTTCTTCTTTTACGTTTGATGGTTGACCTTTTAAAAGGAGACAAACAAATTAATGATCTCTAAGGGCTATGAATTGACGAGAATGAATATGACGTGTTATCTGAGCTTGACAAATCAAACACTTCCATTCACTGTTTATTTGAAAGCGAGGAACCTGGGTTCTAGCAGAAAGAAACGTCGTTCTATATATTCAGTGAGTTGATTGAGTAATGCTAATTTGAAAGCGAGGAACCTAGGTTCTAGCAGAAAGAAACGTCGTTCTATATATTCAGTGAGTTGATTGAGTAATGCTAATTTGAAAGCGAGGAACCTAGGTTCTAGCAGAAAGAAACGTCGTTCTATATATTCAGTGAGTTGATTGAGTAATGCTAATTTGAAAGCGAGGAACCTAGGTTCTAGCAGAAAGAAACGCCGTTCTATATATTCAGTGAGTTGATTGAGTAATGCTAATTTGAAAGCGAGGAACCTGGGTTCTAGCAGAAAGAAACGTCGTTCTATATATTCAGTGAGTTGATTGAGTAATGCTAATTTGAAAGCGAGGAACCTGGGTTCTAGCAGAAAGAAACGTCGTTCTATATATTCAGTGAGTTGATTGAGTAATGCTAATTTGAAAGCGAGGAACCTGGGTTCTAGCAGAAAGAAACGTCGTTCTATATATTCAGTGAGTTGATTGAGTAATGCTAATTTGAAAGCGAGGAACCTAGGTTCTAGCAGAAAGAAACGTCGTTCTATATATTCAGTGAGTTGATTGAGTAATGCTAATTTGAAAGCGAGGAACCTGGGTTCTAGCAGAAAGAAACGCCGTTCTATATATTCAGTGAGTTGATTGAGTAATGCTAATTTGAAAGCGAGGAACCTAGGTTCTAGCAGAAAGAAACGCCGTTCTATATATTCAGTGAGTTGATTGAGTAATGCTAATTTGAAAGCGAGGAACCTGGGTTCTAGCAGAAAGAAACGCCGTTCTATATATTCAGTGAGTTGATTGAGTAATGCTAATTTGAAAGCGAGGAACCTGGGTTCTAGCAGAAAGAAACATCGTTCTATATATTCAGTGAGTTGATTGAGTAATGCTAATTTGAAAGCGAGGAACCTAGGTTCTAGCAGAAAGAAACGTCGTTCTATATATTCAGTGAGTTGATTGAGTAATGCTAATTTGAAAGCGAGGAACCTGGGTTCTAGCAGAAAGAAACGCCGTTCTATATATTCAGTGAGTTGATTGAGTAATGCTAATTTGAAAGCGAGGAACCTGGGTTCTAGCAGAAAGAAACGTCGTTCTATATATTCAGTGAGTTGATTGAGTAATGCTAATTTGAAAGCGAGGAACCTAGGTTCTAGCAGAAACGTCGTTCTATATATTCAGTGAGTTGATTGAGTAATGCTAATTTGAAAGCGAGGAACCTGGGTTCTAGCAGAAAGAAACGCCGTTCTATATATTCAGTGAGTTGATTGAGTAATGCTAATTTGAAAGCGAGGAACCTGGGTTCTAGCAGAAAGAAACGTCGTTCTATATATTCAGTGAGTTGATTGAGCAATGCTAATTTGAAAGCGAGGAACCTGGGTTCTAGAAGAAAGAAACCTCACCATCGGTTTTATCCGATTCTTCATTCAACTGACTAGCGCTGACGCCATTTCCTGTATTCTTCGAGTCTTGAGGTTTTTCTAATTTTGTACTTTCCTGCATTGTTGAGCTTCTTGTTTGCGGCTCCTCAAGATAACTATGAAGGACTTCTATCACTGGCCTTTCGCCTTTCTTTTTGTCGTGTTTTCCTTTCTTTAAGCCGATAAACCGACCTAATGTAGTAAAAAATTGTCAAACGAAGATGTCAGTGTGTTTTACCACGAAGATCAAGGAAATCCATTTTTGTATTTCGCTCGCTACAGCAGCGCGAAAAAGTAGGATAATTTTAGGCAGAAAATTGATTTTCTTTCTAGAAATCTTTCACATAGTTGATAAATCTAATTCTTTCCCTTCTTACCCAGAGTGAGTCCAATTGAACCACGTTCTCCGTTTTCACGGTTTTTGTCTGTCTTGTCTAACTTGGTAGTTTTTTCAGTCTTGCTAGTCTTGTCAACCTTTTCGTTCTTGTCAGTCTTGCTAGTCTTGTCAACCTTTTCATTCTTGTCAGTCTTGCTAGTCTTGTCAACCTTTTCATTTTTGTCAGTCTTGCTATTCTTGTCAACCTTTTCATTTTTGTCAACCTTCTCCGCCTTCTCTACCTTAGCATCTTGTTTTTCCGCGCGCAGCAACTCCGCTGGAACAAGATAACCGCTATCATCTTCTAATGGTTGAGGCAAACTTTCATCGTTCTTGCTTGCTTTCTCAATAGCTTTGGATTTTTTACCGTCAGCCTTCTCCTTTTTTAACTCTTTCGTCTTGTTCTCCTTCGTGAAAAATAGTATTCTCCGTTAAACGAGAATTTTGTAGTCAAGGCGTGTGTTCGTAAACAAATGTGAAAAGATAAAGCATGAAGTCGAAATAAAAATTCTTTGTTTGTAAATATGTAAATAAACAGCTGCCATGGCGGTTTAAACGCTCCACTAATCAAAAGGATCATAATAATATTTGCAGTCTTTACGATTATACGAGTAACATAAAAGTCAATAAAAACGCCGACTTCTTATATTTCTATAGTTGCTGTGCTCAAACAAACGGAGATTTCAAATTAAGTATAATTAAACCAAACTGAAAAAAATTGACAAATTCCTGCAGATAATAAGCAAACAATTTGCGCAATTGGACGCCCAACATAAATTACCTTTAAAATGCAAAGATTTCACCTTAAAAATGCGAAGATTTTGCTTTAACAATTACAATAAGATAACATCAACTCACCTTATTTGCAACCTTTTCCTTCTCTTTGCCGTCTTTACTTTTTTTATTATTACTCTTCAAGTCCTTATCTTTTTCTTTATCGTCGACCTTCTTTTTCTTTTCGTTATTTTTTTCCTCGCTATTGCTATTCGTTCCACGCTCAAGAGCAGAACCCCGAATCAAAACACTACTTCTCTGAGACCTTCCACTCGGGATAAACGACCCTACAACATCATAATAACTTTCTTGTCCATAAACCCACTGAACAAGTTCCGTTTCGGGGTTTCCGAATGTGACACTCGTGTTCAAACGTGTATAAATTTTATCCTTGTCGACATCTTCGTTAAACTTACGACATAAATCTTTGTGTTCGGCATTTCCTTGCAGCAAAGCTTTTGATGGTATTACCTTAAAATCGAGTCCATTCGGAATGCAATAGACTACCTTCTTTCCTAAGCTCGAGGCTATCACAGAATCCACAGTCAGCAGGCGAGTAAGGCGGATTAAGCCACTTGATGATTTCATAATAAGATCGTTAAGAGAGGCAAATGCTGTATTTGTCAATGTTGACTGTGTTAATCCTATTCCAATAGGAAATGTAGAATACGAGCGAACAAACTCGTTGATTTTTCGTTCGTTCGTCGTTCCCATAGGCGCGAATCCACCTTCAGCGTTGCCTTTAATGTCGATTTTTGCCCCAATCTTCTTCCTTTCACAAGTAAAAACGTCTCCACCACTAATGGTTTTTTTAAACACAATTGTCAACACTTCCCCTCGCTCAATTGCTTGTAATTGTTCATCTTTTGGTTTGCTTGTTATCAAAAAAAATCGACACGTAGGTAGGGCTTTACGTAGTTCATTTAAAGTTCTATATTCCTCGGCCTTACTCAGCTGGTATACCTTTGCCGTACAATCATAAGGCAGAACAAAGGTCTCGCCATCAGAAACGAGACAGCCTTCGATTTTCTTTTGAGATTTCGTCTCGTGAAGCACCAACTCAACGCTGCTTTTCAACAATTTACCGTCTTTCTTTACTTTGACAACTTGTGGTGGTTGGTGCTCAAGTACGAAATTTTTTAGACTGTGTTCCTCGTTACTCCATGGGATTCCAGACATCGCTGAGAACGACGCACGATGCCAGCGCTTCGACTAAAACGGAATTTTCAATTAAATGTTGTAATCATGACAAGCGAACTTACATTGCGACAAATATGTCGTCGCTTGATCGTCGAAACCCGCCCACACAAATAGTAACGAAACCGTTTAGCATTACCATAATGAACGAAAGTAAACAATTCGAAGTCGCTTCCTGCCTTTGCGTGTTTCTATCTTCGCGAGTTGCTCTTCTGAAACGAAACGTTTTCATTTTGTCACATTCAATCTTTTAAGCGAACAAATGAATTCGCTTGAGACACAAATATTATCATTAAAGTATTATCTGTCTCAATGGCATTGTTATTAAAACTTTGAAACATTCCGCGATTAAACACGTCATTTAACACGTAGAAAAACACCTACCAAGTACATGACATTTGATAATATACAATGTTAAACCAAGGGTTATATTCCGTCATTCATTTGTAAAGTTACATAAGAAATAATCTTGCAATTGTTATCTTAGAAATGAGATTGCTGAGTATTTTTCCTTGGTGTCAATCTCCTTCAAAGATAAAAGAAAGTCTTTGTATTTTACTTCTTATTTATGATAGAATATGGTCAAAATATACATATGGCATATTCTTGTACGCCCTTCATGACATAAAACGCTTTGCGTGAAAGATTTAAATGGCAATTTACTAAGTAAATTATGGAATATGATACTTCGCCTCGAGCAGTATGGGAAAGGGGGGGGAGAACGTTTTTCCGGGAATGAGAGGGGTGTAAAACATACTGTTTCTAATGAAAACAATAGCATTTGAAACTTTACTTTTCGTTATGAGTCATTGTAAGTATCTCTGATCTTTGATAAAATACAAGGTTTGATCATATGAAATAACGTCGTTAAGTGTTTCTAAGACATTACGCGTCATCGGAAATACGCTACATTTCATAACAGCCAATATTTTATAAAATTACTTCGAATAATATCGAAACAAAATTACTTCCAGCTGCTGACTGCGGGTGTTCCTAAAATTTGCTTGAGGAACATGCTTAACTGTAGATGAACAACAAATACTTCTTATTTATAGCGCTGAAACTAAATAAAAACAGACGCTGTTTTGTACTTTCAGCGCTTGTACTTGTGTATGAATTTAAAAGATTAAATTACATTATAAGAAATTTTAGTCTGGCAAATTTTTCACTTGTTATGTTTTGTACGAAAAACTCTAATTTCGCTTGCGAGAAATTTTTTAAAAGTTTAAATCAATATTCGGCTATTAAAAACATACAAGTTCCACAAAAAATTCCCAAAAGGTATGAGAATTTTCTTACCTTTGTTGAGTATATACAATCAATCAACATAAGGGCGACGCCAGCAGACCACGTTGCAATTGTATTGTCATTGCCTCTATTTTTACAAGAAATTCATCAAATACGACTTTATTTTCTACGAAATTAAATATAAAGATTGCAACCTTTATTTGCGTATGTTTATTTTGAAAACTGATGAAAAAATGAGGAAAAGATGGATTGATGATGATAACAAAGACGTAAACGATCCTTATTTCGAGAGTTGATATTGAACGGACGTCACAATATGAAATAATTTACCGTTAATAATTAATATTAATGTCTATATAAAATATTAATGTGCTCGCAAACATTAAACTTCGCCGTGAAAAGTTCAAAATTTCAAAATACTTTATGAACATTACAGTGTTTTGAATCTTACAGAAAAAAACGCGCTTGAAGTGTAGACATTAAACTAATGGATAAAACGATTGAGAAATTTTGAAGTGTTGACCACCATATAAAACTTTCATAATAAAATTTGTTGTAATTATTGTAATTGGCCACAATAATATCTTGTAGAAGTCCCCCTGATTTAATTGTATTGGAATTGAGTTCCGGGGTATAAGGTATTCGGAAAATGAAAAATATTTTTATTATTTATTCCGGGTGGTGACGGATGTATTACGAATGGTTACGAAGATTGATGTACAAAACCACACAAGACGGTATTTGATGAATTCCTACGTTGAAAAAAATGTTGATAAGGAAGCGTATTTCCTGCATTTTTGCGTTGCATTACAATCGATGAATAGCTCGCTTAATGATGCTTTTATTTGAATGTTTTATGCAGTGCGGTGTTTTGAAATTAAATGAGATATGATCTTCGCACTTAGCTGGACAATTTAAGCAATCGTCTCAGGACCTGAAAAAATCAGGTGACTCAGGGATCTTGAGTCATGATGCTTTTTATTGCTGATCTTTATGCTGTTATTGTTTACTGACCTGGAGATATTTTGATTTTCGTTTCGTATTTCACATAGAAGGTAATTAGGCATCAGAATTTGGGTGTTTTTTAAGTATTCCTACGTAATCACAAATGGTCATTATGTAACGGGGTCTTTATTTAATACATCTCGGAAACTGTCAAACTAACTATTTCCGTTTTAATATAGGTTTCTTGTCGACTCTGGAGCCCGAAAACCAAAAGATGGCCGAGTTAGGTTTGTTTGATTTCTTAAATTGAAAGTTCTAGGTTCACTTTTTTAACATGAATGTGTTTAATGTCAAACAGAAAATTTACTGCTTGAGGGAAATTCACACAAAGAGCAGTTGTACTGCGAAATGGAAATCTTGGATGGAACAAATGTTGAAACAAGAAATGGTTTTGGGTATTAAGGTTTTTCATTATATGGATTACTTGTTGTAAGTGTTGTAGCTAACTTGTGGACTTTTACATTGATTAATTTGTAGGTGCATAGAGATTTCCGGTTCAAAAAGATACATTATTGCTGCTGTCGTGGCTTCAATTGGTGGAGTGCTGTTTGGATATGACCTCGGTAATGTCTGATAACTACCATATCACATTTTTTTGATATAAGAAATAAAAGATGTTTACCGTGTTTGCACTGGTTTATGCAAACCAAGGAGACCTTTGGGAGAACTCGAGAGTTGATCAGTGCAAGCTCGACTGTAAGTTGAAGATTGCACCTGCTCAAGAATTCTCACAAACTTCTCCAAGGTTTCATAAGCCAGTGCAAACACAGAGAACATCTTCTATTTCTTTATACAATAACAATAATGTGAAACAGGCAAACTTAAAAGAAATGTTTTATTTTTTTGTCTAAAATGTATTCATAATGTATTTGCAAACTCTCGTTTATTGATTTGACTATTTGCTTTGTTGTGCTCAGATCTCTTTGATACAAGCTAATGCAAACACAATTCTAGACAAGTCACTTCATGCATTTTATTGTCCTTTATTTTATAAATTATTTTAAAGTAAATGGTTTGAACCTGGGAGTATCGTTACATGTTTGTAAATGTAGATCGTCCAGGTTGGTATAGTCCTGAGGACTGTTTTTGTTGTTGTTGACTGACGTTTCGATAACCTTAGCGGTAGTCATCTTCAGAGTCAAAATGAGTCAAAATGACTCTGAAGATGACTACCGCTAAGGTTGTGGAAACGCAGTCAAACAACAAAACAGTCCTTCTCAGGACTATACCAACCTGGACGATCATCATTTACAAACATGTAATAAAATATTTTGGTGTTTACATGTTTGTTATACATCATTTTTGGACAGTTTGAAGCAATAACGTATATCCATTAAAGCTTTTCATACTTTTCTCTCCAGTTGGTTTGGAATTCATTGTTTTGTGCTACACCTTATACAAATCAAACAGTTAGATGAATTTCATATATTAAGTATTCTGTTCTTTATATTTGATTCACAGGAATTGTGTCTGGTGCTAATTTGCAGTTAAAAGATGATTTCCATCTTAATTGTCAAAAGCAAGAAATGGTCGTTAGCTCTATGTTGATTGGTGCTTTGTTTGGCTCTTTAATTGGAGGTTTGCACTTGAAATGATTAGATGTATAAAAGATCCGAGGTTGGGAATCTTGATAAGATCTTGTCTCGGCAAAATCATGGAAATCTGATGCCTTGATGTTGGCATAATCTTGCGAAGATATTACCAAGTGTTTTTGAATATCTTGCAACAATCTTCCCTAAGATCATAAAGGGAAACTCTCTTTGCAAGACTTTGCCAAGATTTTTTGCTTTGAATTATCTTATCATGATCTCGGTCAAGTAATGAAAAATTTGTGGTAACATCTTGTATGTGAAGATCATGATTAGATCTTGACAAGATCAACATTATGACAAGACCATGTTTAAAATCTAATGCCAGATCTCAATCATCGCTATCTTACTACACTCTAAATGAAAACACTTGACAGGGTGCGAATTAAGGTGGAAAAAGGGCATCACAATTTACTGAAAGAATGGTGAAACATTTTTCCAGCACTAAAATCACATGAAAAGCATTTCGGTCCAAAATCTTTCCATCTTTCACAGTTTTCCACAAGTAGAACTGAATAGGAATCTTATCATAAAAGTAATGAAATTACAATTATAGCGAGTTAATATGATTATAAAAATATGATTATAAAGTAAATTAACTGGATCTTTGTGTATCACATTTTACTGTGCTTAGTGCATCGCAATTCATGAAAAGTGTATTGCATTTCGCAAATTGCATCATGTTAATTCGCACCCTGCTTGATATATTTATAATGCATAATGCCATGTACATTTAACAATATTTTTATTATGTATATGCAACAATGCCTAGTTACAACTTTAATAATGTCTACAACCTTGTAACACGACCAACATATAACACAACCCACATGCTTTCTTTTGCAGGTTATATAATTGATTTCTTGGGAAGAAGAAAGACCATTATCCTCAACTCTTTAATTTTTTTTGCTGGAGCAGCTCTCTTGGCATTTGCGCCTTCCTTTGCCTTACTTGTGAGTTTAATACTTATTTAACATTCAAATATGCCTTCCTGTGCCTTACTTGTGAGTTTAATACTTATTTAACATTCAAATATGCCTTCCTATGCCTTACTTGTGAGTTTAATACTTATTTAACATTCAAATATGCCTTACTTGTGAGTTTAATACTTATTTAACATTCAAATATGCCTTCCTATGCCTTACTTGTGAGTTTAATACTTATTTAACATTCAAATATGCCTTCCTATGCCTTACTTGTGAGTTTAATACTTATTTAACATTCAAATACGCCTTCCTGTGCCTTACTTGTGAGTTTAATACTTATTTAACATTCAAATATGCCTTCTTATGCCTTACTTGTGAGTTTAATATTTATTTAACATTCAAATATGCCTTCCTATGCCTTACTTGTGAGTTTAATACTTATTTAACATTCAAATTTTATTGAAGTTTTTTTGGATGTAAAGTTTGCAATTTGTTCTGACGAGTAATTGAGGGGATGCTATCAGTGGATACTGATTTTATAATAGTTTTATCATTTCAAAAGTTGCCTTGATAATTTTTAGTGAATTATCATTTGTAGATGTTGATAGTTCAGGTTAGTAAAGTACTGAAAAGGACTGTTGTTGTTAATTTTGTCGGATGTTTGGACAAGTTTAGCTGTAATCTTCAGCATCAACATCAACATTCTTTCTCACAACTGAACTAACTTTGACAATTGCATCTACAAGCATGCAACAATATAATGTATTGCTCACTCATTCCAATCATACATTTTGTTTTTGAAAATATTAGTTGAATTAAAACATGCGCAGCACATACTTTAAACCAGAGGTGGGCAACATACGGGCCGGGTCCGGGCCCTGAAGGGATTTTGACTGGCTCGCCGACTGTATCCGTCTATATCTGTGATTAAGATATTGAATATTATTCATGTAATAATCTGGCCCACCAATAACTTCATTTTCCTGAATCTGGCCCGCCAACTGGAGAAGTTGCCCACCCCTGGTTTTAACATATTTAAACATTTAAACATTCCTTGCTTCTACTCGTGAAAATAATAATTTCAAAAAAGTTTATGTTTTGTGTAGATTGTCGGTCGTTTGATTGTTGGTTTCGCCACATCCCTATCTGCCATAGCTGAGTGTATATACATTGCAGAAATTGCTCCACCTGTAAATACAATGTTTATTGCTTTAAATTGTATAAAATCAAAATCTTATTGTCTTAACTTTTATTTTATATGTTTTACTTCTCATCCAGAAAAGACGCGGTCTTTTGGTTAGCTTAAATGAGATTGGCATTGTATCTGGTCTTCTCTTTTCATATTTGGTCAATTTCATGTTTATAAATACGCCCAATGGATGGTACGTATGCCTGTTTTCAGTGTGCGAATTAACGGTGTGCAATGTGCAATTTGCACATATTTTTAGCTAAAATGAAAACAATTGCACATCACTTTTTCAAACGATGTGCAAAAATCAGCGGTTTTAACGAAAAACACTGTCGTAAATCATATGAATTTGTTCACGTTTAAAAATATTAATTCAGCAATTAGCGCTGTATAATAATTAACGTAATGTAGATTTGCTTATGCCTCTAAAGAAACACTTTGTCAAAAAAATTGCACATCGTTTTTTTCTGAACTAATTCGCACCCTGCTGTTTTCAAAAAGCTCGCTCAACCATCGAGTGAGGCTTTAAAATCACCTCGCAACTATTCAACAATGATATTTTCCCTACACTGAAATATTTTGACGAGAAATATTTTAGCAATCATCTTTCCGTTGATGGAGGTAGGAGTTTGCTTCTGTTTGGTGGAGAAAGATTTCTGTGTCATATTCAATGGGTGTTAGTGAGCTTTTGTGTACAGACGTCAGTTGTAAAAAGAAATTGTATATGAACAACTTTTGTAAATTCATTTTTCAAACTTGAGTCAATATTATTAAAACTTTCGAAGTGTGAGCAACGTTGTACAGAATTGATTGTTTCTGTACAGCTGTTTAATGTGATATGTAGGGTATATATTAATATATGTTTAAAGATTGGTAATCCAGGCATTATATTGTTTAAAAATAAAAGTTTCTCCGGATTTTCAATGATTTTTATTGAGCTTTCGACTCGTTGCTTCGAGCCTTCATCAGAATGAGGAAATTATGTATTTACACTTGCTTTTAGCTTGTAGTTGCTTAGAGCGTCTAATTGGATTAGCAGGTGGATTAATATATGTATACAATCAACTTTACTGTGATTTATTTAAGAGAGAAAATTTTATTGCCATCTTCGGAAACTGATTTTTTTGACATTTTTTTCCTTGCTAATTTGTGTTTATTTACAGGAGATATATGTTTGGTATATCCGGAATTCCAGCATTGCTTCAAGGGTTTGGTGTAATATTTCTACCTCCCAGTCCGCGATGGCTTGTTTGTCAAGGACAAGATGCCAAGGTTTGATTACCATGTTAATTAATGATGTCATTTATCTATTGTTCACCTTCTAGAATTATCCAAAATCGTCAGTTTTCGAAATTATCCCATGATATCACTGATCTACCCTTCACCTTCCAAATCATCCCATGATGTCATGGATCTACCATTCACCTTCCAAATTATCCCATGATGTCACTGATCTACCCTTCACCTTCTAAATTATCCCATGATGTCACTGATCTACCCTTCACCTTCTAAATCATCCCATGATGTCACTGATCTACCCTTCACCTTCCAAATCATCCCATGATGTCACGGATCTACCCTTCAACTTCTAAATCATCCCATGATGTCACTGATGTACCCTTCACCTTCCAAATTATCCCATGATGTCACTGATCTACCCTTCACCTTCTAAATCATCCCATGATGTCACTGATCTACCCTTCACCTTCCAAATTATCCCATGATGCCACCGATCTACCCTTCACCATTAATAATTATCCCACAATGTCATTGATCTGCCCTTCACTGACTGATATTACCCCACCATTTCCCCTATCATCATCCCATGATATCTCTCATCTAAGTTTCATAGTCCATTTTTATCCCTAATCATCTCTTGTGAGAAGTGTCATGTCCTAAAATTTCTACTTAGTGATAAAATTCCATGTATTTCAATAGGCCTTGCATATTTTGAAGTTATTGAATCATGGCCCAGAACCTGAACAAGAAATTTCAAAAATAAAGGATTCGGTGAATCAAGAACGGGTTAGATGCATTTAATACGTATAAGTTTGTCTGTTCTTTGGGTTCTTCTACATTCCTAAGTAAATAAAAAGACATCAGCTTTTATCTGCGTATACAATACATTACATGTTTGTAGATGTAGATCGTCCAGGTTGGTATTGTCCTGAGAAGGACTGTTTTTCTTGTTGTTGACTGACGTTTCGACAACCTTAGCAGTAGTCATCTTCAGAGTTAAAAAATTGAGTCATTAGTCATAAGTCATTTTTGACTCTGAAGATGACTACCGCTAAGGTTGTCGAAAACGTCAGTCAACAACAACAAAAACAGTCCTTCTCAGGACTATACCAACCTGGACGATCTACATCTACAAACATGTAACGATACTCCCTGGCTCAAATCAAATACTTTATACAATACATGTTGAAAAGAATTAATCCAGTTGTAATATTCATATCTTTGAACACGTGACACAAATGACGTCAGATATGCATGCTTTTCTCGTATGTACTTTTCACAATGTTAGCAGTACTTTATTTTTTATATTAAAATCCTAAGAATCATTATGGGTCAACTGATCATTTTAACAATACTGTGTTGCGTTTCTCTTGTTTATACGTAAGATAAAAATACAGCTATTGTGACCTCATTCTGCGTATCATCTGTACTTTCAGAGATTATACAGTGTGCGAATTAAAGGTGTGCAATGTGCAATTTGCACATCGTTTTAGCTAAAATGAAAACAATTGCACATCACTTTTTCAAACGATGTGCAAAAATCAGCAGTTTTAACGAAAAACACTGTCATAAATCATATGAATTTTTTCACGTTTAAAAATATTAATTTAGCAATTAGCGCTGTATAATAATTAACGTAATATCGATTTGATTATGCCTCTAAAGAAACACTTTTGTCAAAAAATTGCACATCGTTTTTTCTGAACTAATTCGCACACTGTTATAGCTCTGGACCAATGAAATTTCTTGATGTGTGAATGATATTGTTTAGTTGATTCTTTATATTTCTTCATTGTAGAATTACAATGTTTGTTATTTGTTTGGTCGAAGGGAAAACATGCGAGGAAGAATGTTTGTTGGCTTAGGAGTCGTGTTCTTTCAACAGGTTCGTAGCTGTAGACACTTCAATCCTTCACTGTGCGTGTGATGGAATGAAGTGCGCATGCGCAGATAGTTTCTTCAATAAATTGTGACAGAGCGAGCTCGTTACTCGAAAATCAGTGCTCATAGATGCAGTCGGTCTTTCAAACGGTTGGACTGCGCATGCTCAGATCATTTTTCTAATAGTAAGTGACCGAGCTAGTTAATTATTCCCAGGCAGTAAAAAAAAACATTAATTTGATTGTTTTTTCAACTGCGTTCGTTGGCAGACTAAACTGTGCGCGCTTCTTCATCTTTTTTTAATAAATGCATTTTCAAACTCGATTACTGGGCCTGCCTTACAGCGCTCCCATCATGAGTCAAAGCTAAGTAGCCAATACGCAATCCTAGACATTACACTGTAGACAAAAATATTGCTGGTAAATTGTGGACAACAAGACAATATCTTTATTCCAAAGCCATCATCAGAGTATATACATAATATATCAATCCTAACACGGTGCCATCCAGTAAACTGTTATAGTGGCGAGAATCTCTCGTCCATACGCAGTTTAAAAGAGATTTGACTCGTCTCCAATCCCTGTGGGCTTGGTAGCTCAACAGGTAGAGCGGCGGACTAATATCCCGAAGGTGCGAGTTCAAATCTCGTCTAAGTCACATGTTTTTCATGTGCATATTAAAAACCGTGTTAGGATTAAGACAATAACTGATTGTACAGAGTATAACTTGTGATAAGTTTTATTGACAATGTTTTTATTTGCCCTGAAGTAAATGATGCTCGCGTCATCGTGCATAAATCAAAATTTAATGGAAGTTAATGTAGAAATGAAATAAATATATGAAACATTTTATAGTTTATTTGGAATTACCAGCCCAAAAAAAACCAGTTACTTTTAACTTTACTCCATCCTTGCGTCCTTATTCTTTAGTTAAATATAGCTTTTGTAATGGTAAACAAAGATGAAATAATTGAATCGTTAATTCGGAGATAAATATTTCTACATTTCTACCATTCGTATATTTCAGTTTACTGGACAGCCAAGTATTCTCTATTATGCACCATCCATATTCAAAAACATTGGCTTTCGTTCTCACTCTGAAGCGACGCTGGCGACCGCCGGCATCGGTTTATCTAAAGTAAGTTTCCGTGTTTCAAGACTTTCCTGCTGTCTTCAGTATTTTGGGGATTACTGTAATGTACGCAGATATATGTTTATAAATGTAGATCGTCCAGGTTGGTATAGTCCTGAGAAGGACTGTTTTTGGTGTTGTTGACTGACGTTTCGACAACCTTTGCGGTAGTCATCTTCAGAGTCAAAAAGTCATCTTCATTTTTGATTCTGAAGATGACTACCGCTAAGGTTGTCGAAACGTCAGTCAACTAACAAAAATCCTTCTAACGATCTCCATGGTTCAAACCATTTGCTTTATTACGCAAATATTATCATGATTATTTGCTGTAGCTTATTGGAAATTATATTTAAATAAATTGCTTGTATTCTAAAGTGTTTGAAGATGCATGAAAAGTCATCTGTAAGTACTGTTTCATCACGACACATTTCAAATATCAGTTTGTCATGTTTCAGAAGCTCCATTTGTTTGAATGGAATTTGCGGGATAAATTATCTTTCAAGTGTACAGTTCATTTGCAACAGAAGTCATTTATATGTTTTACATCCTGTTTTTTCAGCTGATTGCGACAATCATCACTTTAACTATGGTAGATAAAGCAGGTAGCTATACAACCGTCAATAATTATTCCCTTTGTACCATTATTATCTTGTTATCCTTCTGGAGACTGTCTCGTCCCGTTTATCGTAGTTCATAAGTATACTCTTGGCTGTCGTATATAATTTACCCTTAAGTGACTTTCTTTCCGATTCTTTTTGGTGGTCGTTTGAATTGTTGCATACGACCATTCTTTTTGTTCGGTGAAGAAGCGATTGCGTGCGTATGAAGCAAATGACACCATACTAAAAGGAACTGTGTTTTACGGATTTTCGACTGTCAATTAACCCTTGCAAGTAATCATTTCTCTCAGAAGATTACATTCCTCTATTACCTTCAATTACGCTACCGAAAAGTCTATTGATGTATATTCATTTTCTCTACCTCATCAAAATGTTTCACAACGACAACATTCTTTGTTGTCAGGTCGTCGTCGTTTTTTAATCTTTGGTTCTATCGTTATGACCATAAGTGTCGCCGTCTTGTATACAGCCACGATCAGTTTTCCTTCTCCTTACAAAGACATTTGTCAAAACAACGATACAAATCCAATGAAAACGATCAATTCAACTCTAGCTCCACGCTCATTTATAAAGAACAGTGGCCAAACATCTTCAATGTACACAAGTCCAGCTTTACAATTTTCCCATACAACAATTTCCCCCCGCCATCTTGGATCACAAACAGCGAACTCAAGTGTAAAAAATGTCTCAGCTACCTCTTATCGTTATTTTTATGGAAATTTAAGTACAACTACCTCTTCATCTTCGCAACATAATGGCTCACATCGCCAGTTTTTGTCAATGGAAGCAATGAACAACAGCCGCGCATTTGTCAATCAAACACATTCTGAGAAACGTAAAATGCCCAGTTTTGTAAAATACATTGTATTTATTTCACTTGTCGCTTTCTCTGCTGGTTATTCATCTAGTTATGGCCCAGGTATGACCTACTTTGGTATATCTATCTATTGTAGAACTAGATTACTAAACTGTTCTTCATAAAGATTCAGTAAAGATCATCTCTTATTGATCCACTGTTACTACAGAAGGAAACCTAAACTAAACTAACTTTATTTGTACCATAGATATCTCTATCAGTTCTAAACTATTCTTCCTAAAGATTCAGTAAAGATCATCTTTTATTGATCCAGTGTTACTACAGAAAGAAACCTAAACTAAACTAACTTTATTTATACTAGATATCTCTATCAGTTCTAAACTGTTCTTTCTAAAGATACAGTAAAGATCATCTTTTGTTGATCCAGTGTTACTACAGAAAGAAACCTAAACTAAACTAACTTTATTTATACTAGATATCTCTATCAGTTCTAAACTGTTCTTCCTAAAGATACAGTAAAGATCATCTCTTGTTGATCCACTGTTACTACGAGATAATTTCATATCAATGTGTTCTCAACAACAAAAATTAATCGTGAACCATTTTCCTTGTAGTTACTTGGTTGGTTCTAAGTGAGATTTATCCTACCCCCATCAAAGGAAGAGCTTTTGCTGCGACAACTGTCCTTAACTGGAGTTCTAATCTTGTTGTCTCATGGACCTTATTGGATTTAATAGGTATTTCCAATACTTGAATTTTTTTCAACACCACGGCCAGCAGTAATTTTTGCCATTCGCTGTGAGTAAACGTTTCCTTCACAGCATCGTTCATACCGTGAATAAAGACTAACTAGACATTAAAATGAAGGTTTTTGTGCTGTTTTAGTTGTTTCCATTTTGCTTTTAATATGCGAGTTTTGTATTTTTAGATTCCATTGGTGTGTCTTGGACTTTCTTTTTGTACGGATTTCTCGGTTTTCTCGCCATTTTATTCATTAAAAAATATGTTCCCGAAACGAAAAATCGCTCTTTGGAGGAAATTAATGCATTATTCTCTACAAGGTTGGCGTATCGCGGCTTTCTCTTCGGCTAAATTTAACGAAAATTAATATTTTTTGTATTTTATATTTGCAGAAATAGTGCGACTTCTGATGGTCGTTGTCCTTCCACAGGATGTTGTGGCTTCTTTGAAAAATATAATACCTTAACTTCAGCTAACATATCAAACATCTCACTGAATAGCGAAGATTGGAACGCCAATCCTTAAAAACACTTAGCTTTAAATAAAATGTTGTTTTAGTCGCAAGCTTTGTTCAACAGGTGTTACTGTCAAATTGTCGTCTGTTTTTAAAAACAATTTTTTTAATGTTTTTTAAACATTAAATGAAATTTTGAATATTTTTTGTTAATGACATTACTTTGCCAGTCGCAGCTTTAAATTGTGTCAAAACGAACCCGGCGATAATTGAATATTTTTGCCCGAAAAGGTTGGAAATTAAATTCTTGTTGGGCTGAAGAAGTGGCTTTTGATATTGTGTGTCTGAACATTGCTAATTTCATGTTATTTTTATCCTCTCTTTTGGCTAAGTTTTATATAAAACGTTCTTAAGAATAGAAATATTTGTTTCTGCTAAAAGCTCCTAGACTTTTTACGTTTTTTTGTTTGTAAAATAATCAAAACTCGGGCTTCGTGTTGAGTGACGCACCAATTTATAATTTATACAAGCATTTAGATCACTAGATGCTTCGAAGGACGCTTTCTTATTGGTCGAGGTAACACACGTGATCAACTTGACGACGGTGCAACATTAACAAAGTGTCCGTATGCTTCGTGGAATGCTATATTTGTTAGATGTATTATCTTCGCAAAGCATTTTCATTTGACAAGAAATATGGAGGTAGAAACAAGTGAAAATGTAGGTGAGAGTGCCACTAAAAGTGGAAAGCCGAGTAGAAATAAACTTTCGTGTAGCATAGCATGTCTAGACGGTGCGAACTTTAACATCAATATTGAGGTAAGTCCGTTGCCTGTGGACATCTTTGTGTCCATGCTTTTACAGCTAACTTTCTCAAAAACACTTCAAGTAAACTTGACCTAGCGCTTGCACAGTTTAAATCATTTTATATTGGATACATCTGTACACAGACGAATTTATTTACATTAAATGGTATTTGGCAATAAGAGTTTATGATTAAATCTGCGAACTCGATGAAAGGTTATGTCGAAAGGTTGTTCTTCTACAGCGACTTACATAGCTTAAACTAACAATATTTGAATATTATGATAAAGAAAGTGCAGCAGTTCCTTTGTGAAGTGTTCAAATAAATTCATCAACTACTTCGGACTAAAAATGCGAGATAGTCAAGTCATACATATACATAGAATGCCGTTTTGAAAGCGCGTTTTACGTTTTGTTTACTTATACATCAGCGAGTATGTTTGTCTGCAAACAATTGTCTTTATACTAAAGTAAAGATACCTGTTAAAATGGCCCTCAATTGAAGTATTTCAGCACAATATTGTGCTTTCTGTTTAGCATATTAGCATCGTTAATCCGAAGTTTTACCAACGAACCGATTCCTTTTACTTGTTTTGTATAGAAAAATGCGCCAGGAAAACTGCTTGTTGACAAAATATGCAGTCATTTGAAAGTGGACGAAAAAGAATACTTTGGCCTACTTTACGTTGAGCATAAGACTGGCCTGAAGGTGGGGCTACATGCATCTATACTATGATGCTTGATCTCAGGACGGAATTAAACAAAAACGTGTTTTGTCTCATAATTTATCAACAAGACGTACTCCAGTCACGAGTTCTACCTCTCGTTGTACGATTATCATTGGAAATGTATTCTTGAGACGTCTTTTTATTTTTGCTATAAATACAAATCATCATTTCATTTTGTAGTTGCTACATAATTTATTGATAATAATCGATTAAAAATTAACAAGTAACATCTTTCTTCGTCTAGCGTTGGTTGGAAACATACAAGCCAATAAAGAAACAGCTAAATGGTTAGTTTTTTTTCTGGAACATTCACGGAAGATGAAATATGCATATTACTGCACGTATTCCAGATTTATATTGACTGGCAAATGCATAATCCTGATATGGTTCAGGCCTAACAACGCCTGTCATTTGAGATAAAAAAAATACTTTATCAGAGATTACGAATAACTCTCTCAGGACACCCTACAGCTATGGATATTCGATATTGTCGTGTTTAATGTTTACAGAAGTTTCCATAATTTCGTGAGAGCACAATGGTGATAAGACATTTAATATAAACGACAAATTTCTTTATAGCAAACATGTTTCTGCATACTTTATGCCATCTTCAGTGCGAAGTGAATCAATATAGGAAGTTTACATGATGCTTTCAGCTTTATCACGCAAACTTCCTATAATTATTCACTTCGCACTGAAGATGACATAAAGTATGCCGAAACATGTTTGCTACAAAGAAATTTGTCGTCTATTTTAAATGTTTACAGAAATATTAATTAAATGAATGTAAAAATTTCAAAGCTGATGTTCAGTTTGGTATGAACTGCAAAAGCAATATAAGCAAGCACTTTAATTGACTTGTTTTTGAAGTATGCTGTGCTTGATGTACTTCACGAAATATTTCACTTTCATTTTGCATGCTGAAAGACAAACTATATTTTCCATCTTTAGGATCTGAACCGAATTTCGAATTTGCTGTCAAATTCTTTGAGCCAAATCCTGAACAGGTCAACAATGATTACACCAGGTAAAAAAAAAGTTTATTTTTTGATGGTTCCATCATCATCAAGGACTCTGTTCATCTTAATGGAATAAAGGCATTATATGTATAACGCATTTAGTGATTTGTTTTTATAAATGATTCTAGATATCTTATGGCTCTTCAAATCCGAGAAGAGATTGCCACAGGAAGGTGAGACTGACAGAGTATTTCTGATGTTGTCAAGTTTTTCTAATCATAATATGCAAACTTTAAAATGCCTTTGTGTGTACTTAAAACAATTGGGGTGAGGTTTTAGAACAGCAATGCATTTGACAATAATTACATGAAGTAAATGGTTTGAACCCGGGAGTATTGTTACATGTTTGTAAATGTAGATCGTCCACACAATATAATGATGTAAGAACCAGATAACAAATACAGCTAACCTGATGTTTACTCCTCATTTGACTCTGAAGATGACTACCGCTAAGGTTGTTGAAACGTCAGTCAACAACAACAAAAACAGTCCTTCTCAGGACTATACCAACCTGGACGATCTACATTTACAAACATGTAATAACTACTTGTTAGACCCACAGGGTAAAGAAACATGTTTTAATGTTAGTTTGTCTTAATTGACACGAATTCTGTTATATTCTCTGATATAGCCTTACATTATTTTTGCAAAGAAATCTATTTTATTACTAATCTTGTTTTCAGTCTTCCTTGCTCGTTCTCGGCCCAGGCCTTGCTCGGATCTTATGTTATACAGTGTAAGTTTAAATAAGTTGATTAAAAAGTTTTATTTTATAACATGGCCAGTACTAAAGTAAATGGTTTGAACCCAGGAGTATCGTTACATGTTTGTAAATGTAGATTGTCCAGGTTGGTATAGTCCTAAGAAGGACTGTTTTTGTTGTTGTTGACTGACGTTTTGACAACCTTAGCGGTAGTTAAAACATTTGACTCTGAAGATGACTACCGTTAAGGTTGTCAAAACGTCAGTTAACAACAACAAAAACAGTCCTTCTCAGGACTATACTAACCTGGACGATCTACATCTACAAACATGGCCAGTACTATAGTTGATCTCTTTTATTACTTGTTGTAGCCGAGTTTGGGGATTATGATCCTTTACAACATGGTCAAGATTATCTTGATGGATTAGTCTTCGCACCAGAACAGGTTTGTATAAACAACAATTTTTTTTATCAGTATAATTTTTAATGCAGTTTTAGTTATTTGTATAAAGTACAACCTTTTTTTATCAGTATAATTTTTAATGCAGTTTTAGTTATTTGTATAAACAACAACCTTTTTTTTATCAGTATAATTTTTAATGCAGTTTTAGTTATTTGTATAAACAACAACCTTTTTTGTCAGTATAATTTTTAATACAGGTTTTGTTGTTTGGAACTTTAATCATTCATTCATTCTTCCTTGACCAAACAACAACTTTGTCAAGTTTAAAATAAAACAAAATCCAGATGAAGGCATCTTGTAATATAAGACGTAATGATATATATTTACGAGCTGGAATTTAGTTATTTATACATGCAAAGTATGTAGGTGTTAAGTTTTACTACAAAGAAATCGTATTTGCTGTTTACATTTGTAGTTACAAGAACATAAGTTTTGCTTGAATTTATGCAACAAGTTGAGAAAAAAGTATTAGGTCCTTTTTTGTTCTTAACCCAAAGTTGAGTTCAGATTTAAGAATTTGATATGTAGTGCTCTGAGAAGTAAGACTTGATTATTGTTAATGAAATTTTCAAAGAAGAGGATCTTACAGTTGTTATTTATGAGGGCCTTCCCGTTCTGTTGATGTTGTACATTTATTTTTATATTTAACTGTTATTGTTAGAACTTTTTGTTGTATTGATTTGAGATAAATGTTTTTCACAGTCACCAGAGCTCATTATGAAGATTAAAGAACTCCATAGGAGTCACAAGTACGTATATAAAATCAATAATTAATTATAAAGCATCACATTTTGACTTTATAAATGCTAAGTACTCCTTCTAACTTACTATATTAAATGATTTGATCTGACATGACCCTGAATGTAACATTGTGATCTGACATGACCCTGAATGTAACATTGTGATCTGACATGACCCTTAATGTATCATTGTGATCTGACATGACCCTTAATGTATCATTGTGATCTGACATGACCCTGAATGTAACATTGTGATCTGACATGACCCTGAATGTAACATTGTGATCTGACATGACCCTTAATGTATCATTGTGATCTGACATGACCCTTAATGTATCATTGTGATCTGACATGACCCTGAATGTAACATTGTGATCTGACATGACCCTGAATGTAACATTGTGATCTGACATGACCCTTAATGTATCATTGTGATCTGACATGACCCTTAATGTATCATTGTGATCTGACATGACCCTGAATGTAACATTGTGATCTGACATGACCCTGAATGTAACATTGTGATCTGACATGACCCTGAATGTAACATTGTGATCTGACATGACCCTGAATGTAACATTGTGATCTGACATGACCCTGAATGTAACATTGTGATCTGACATGACCCTGAATGTATCATTGTGATCTGACATGACCCTGAATGTAACATTGTGATCTGACATGACCCTTAATGTATCATTGTGATCTGACATGACCCTGAATGTAACATTGTGATCTGACATGACCCTGAATGTAACATTGTTTTATTCAGAGGTTTGACACCAATGGAAGCAGACTTACAATACCTAGAATATGCAAGAAAGTTAACAATGTATGGTGTTGATCTTCATGAGGCCAGGGTAAGTACTATGTTGAATGTTCCTGTCTCGTTTGATGGTAAGATTTTGTTTTAAGATTTCATGTATTCCTTGATACAAAAACAGAATGTTCATGGTGCTGATATACATGTTGGTGTCTCCTTTGCTGGTATTGCTATATACAAAGATCAAATTCGCACCAACAAATTTACTTGGTAAGTTTAGTTCAATGGTCAGTCGAGTCAATTGTCATGTACCATGGTAAGTAACAGGGTGGTCACTGTTGATGAAGGGGGTGGTCACTGTTGATGAAGGGATGGTCACTGTTGATGAAGGGGATGGTCATTGTTGATGAAGGGGATGGTCACTGTTGATGAAGGGATGGTCACTGTTGATGAAGGGATGGTCATTGTTGATGAAGGGGATGGTCACTGTTGATGAAGGGGATGGTCACTGTTGATGAAGGGATGGTCACTGTTGATGAAGGGGATGGTCACTGTTGATGAAGGGGATGGTCACCATTGATGAAGGGGATGGTCACTGTTGATGAAGGGATGGTCACCATTGATAAAGGGGATGGTCACCATTGATGAATGGTATGGTCACTATTGTGATTTTTCAGTAAATGTTGGAAAAGATGGCTGTTTTTCAAGCAAGTGGTTACACTGTAGGGGGAGAGGTTACTTTAAACAGTCTATGTGGATGTGATATCCCATTAGAATACAAGTAATACGATCTTGATTTTCAAAGCAAAATTTCACAATCCTTTGGATATCAGGGCACTACAAGTTTCAGACCCATGATCCATAAAGTATGGATGTCAAAGTAATATAACTCACCTTATTCTTGTTAGGCCAACAATAGAAGAAGTCAAATATAAAGGAAAAAATTTCTTCGTTAAGATTAAACCAGGAGAGGTATATAGTATTTATTACATGGTTGGGTGAGGTATATAGTATTTATTACATTGTTGGGTGAGGTATATAGTATTTATTACATGGTGGGTGAGGTATATAATATTTATTACATGGTTGGGTGAGGTATGTAGTATTTATTACATGGTTGGGTGAGGTATATAGTATTTATTACATGGTTGGGTGAGGTATATAGTATTTATTACATGGTTGGGTGAGGTATGTAGTATTTATTACATGGTTTTGGTTTTATTGAAGATATGTTGTAGTATGAATTTTAAATTTTAATATTCTCGCTCGTATTCAGTACAAAGCCTTCATGACGACAGTTGTCTTCAAGACTCCCAATGATCGAGCTACGAAAGAACTTTACAAATCTGTTGTTGAACATCACACATTTTATAGGCAAGTTGTAATTTTTAAAGTTTTTTGAACGATCTTGTCTTTGGATTTAGAGTACATATATTTAATCTTTCACATTAATCCTGTTCAAGAACAAATGCTCTAGAAACGATCGTCGTTTCAAATTGGCCTTTCAACTTTTTTCTAATATGCTGTTTAGCTGTTTTCTACAGCCATGTCGGGAAATTTTGCCGAAGAACGGACATAAATATATTTCAAAAGATAAACTCAACTCCTCGAGAGGGAAATTCATTTTCCTTTTTATTTCAGGTTGCGTGAACCAGACTCGCCGAAGGGGGGAACCTTGCCACGTCTCAATCCAAAATTCCGCTACAGTGATCGTACATTGTTCCAACTAAGACAAGGGGCGTACAATACTTTACCCAGACCCAGTACTTTGAACCGTCGATGGTCTGATAAGTACAGTGATCGTAGGAGACCTACACAAAGGAGTGAGGGTGATGACGAGGCCGACAACAGGAGGAAGAACGAGGTTTGATAGTGTAGTTACAATTAAATGGCGTGTTGTTGCTTGGTAAAGTGACGTACGTACATCCGGGCATTGAGAAATATGGAAGACGTCATTAATGATAGGGAGGGATTTTGATGTCTGCAGGGGTAGATACGAACAACTAGGAAAGATGTCGTTAATGATAGGGAGGGATTTTGATGTGTGCAGGGGTAGATATGAACAACTAGGAAAGACGTCATTAATGATAGGGAGGGATTCTGATATCTGCAGGGGTAGATATGAACAACTTGGAAAGACGTCATTAATGATAGGGAGGGATTCTGATGTCTTCAGGGGTAGATATGAAGATGTTTCATAGGGAAGATTTTAGATATGGAAGGTGGACGAAGAGTGCCATCCTGTTCTACAAAAAAAGATGTTTTCAATGAAATTACATTTCAAGTTTTTGTAATGCCCATACCTCTAAAATATAACGCTTCAATTTTTAGGTTCCTGTATCGATAGGCGAGGCTACGATGACCGACGAAGAGAGACGAAGATATCGCGAAATGCTAGCAGCCAAACTGAACGTGAAAACAGAGGATGAGAAAGGTCCTTTGTTACTTCGTCGTTTTTTCTTTTTGTGTATTCTGGGGGTATTTTGGGTTATATTGTGGATAATGATGAACACATGAAAATCATTTGAACGAGCATAACCGAGCGACGTTTTCAACAACAACAACGTGTATTTCAGACCTTGGAATCTACATAACTTTCCTCGCCCTCTATCCATTCGTGTTCTATTATATCCCTTGTATAAAATGACGCATGCGCAGTAGTATTGTTTATTTAATATGTATTTTTATGGATGATATTTCCGTGTTAAAAAAACGTCGCTTTCTTTACTCGTGAGTCTCCTCCTAAAATAATTTTCGATTCAAATGTCGACCTGTTGTCAAAGGGGAAAATATTTTTTGCTCAAATTCAATCTCATCATGAATTTGTCACGACAGAACACCGATGGATGTTGTATTCACGTTTGGAGCCTGCGGTCCCAATGCCGACGATGTGTTTGATAAGGAGAAGGACATGGTCAGCGGCTTTCTAGAGACGATCAAAGTCGCGGATAGTTACTACGGGGTGATAGAGTACGGAGAGAATCAGGCAAATATAATGGCCAGACTGGGTGATTTCAGAAATAAAGAAAGGCTCAATCAGTTTATCAATACTATACCACGTAGCGGTGAAGGTCGTGCTATTGACAAGGCATTAGAGAAAGCGCGGGAATTGTTGCTAGGCAGCGGACGAAATGACGCGAGAAAAGCGTTGGTGATTTTTGCGAATGGAAAATCTAGTGCTCGTCTTGCAGAATTGACGAAGGAAGCGAAACCGTTACACGACGCTGGTGTTAAAATTATCGCTGTTGGTATTGGTGATGATGTTGATGATGAAGAACTGAACTCCATTGCTACGAATAAGATTATTGCTCAACCGTACGACGAAGCTGCTCCTTTGGGTCATCTTTTGGCACACGAAGTCACCGAAGGTACTGTAGACGACTACACTCTTTGCTCTCGAATGAATGAAGCACGAAAGGAAGGAATTTTAAAAATTGTTTTAAAGACAGCAGTTACCATGGTTAGTGGCCAAAAAAAAATTAGAGATCTAAAAGGAAGAGGTTTGCAACCAAAACTTTAACCCAATAGTTCCAAAAAGAACTTTTTAAAAAAGCTTAAAGGCGCGATGTATTCCGGTCAGACTATTCATCTGGTTTACAAACCAAAAAGCGCAATGAATTTCGGTTGTAGTTTGCCGAAATGCATCGTAGCTTTTAGTTTCTTAAACAGTTCTTTTATGTACTGTTGGGCTGCTGCTTTGGTTGCTAAACAGTTCTTTTTAGGTCTCTTAGGTTGGTTTGGCCGATTGCTATCTTTAAAACAATTTTGAGATTTGCCATCGCGACAAGTTCTCTACTTTACTGTTTGAAGGAATTTTTGTTATCTTACGAATTTCGTGAATAAAGAAATTTCTTGGGAATTGTTCTTGAACAATTAACTCTGCATGCGTTAATGTAATAAAAAGAATCGTGTCGTTAGGATATAGAAATTGCCTTTTAAAAATTTATTGGACAACGCAACGATCAACGCGATATCATCTGTCGTATTTACGCTTCAACTTTTAGCAAATGTTTTCTTCTCCGGTTGAGCCAATTCACAGTTTTTTCTTTCGTGTTTTGATTGGAAAAAAACTCTTAAAGTTGTATGTTGTCATCCCTCCGTTTGCGATAATTAATGTCGTATCATCTAAGGCATTAACAGAAGTTTTTGTTTCGTAATCAAAGGTCTTTTTGTTTCCCTTTTCGTAATAAAGTACGGAAATTTTAGTTCAATTATATTTGTATTAAACAAAGTATTGACAAATGCTTTGTTACTGTATTTTTAGCTCCGTCAAAGGAACTCGTGGATGTGACGTTCGTCATGGGATCATCAGGGATTGAAGGCGATATGATATTCGAGAAAGAGAAGGAGATAATTCAGTCGTTTGTTGACGCTTTGAAAAGCAACGATACGCAAATTGCTGTCGTAAACTATGGAAACGACGACGCGAAAGTTGAAGCAAAAGTTGGTCAATTTAAGGATAAAGAGGATTTGATGTCCTGTGTCAATAAACAGACGAGGCTTGGCGATGGAAAAGCTTTGGGTAAAGCTCTTGATAAAACCGAAAAGGTACGCAGTTTGTTTATAACATGTTTGTAGATGTAGATCGTCCAGGTTGGTTTAGTCCTGAGAAGGACTGTTTTTGTTGTTGTTGACTGACGTTTCGACAACCTTAGCGGTTGTCATCTTCAGAGTCAAAAAGTCATCTTCATTTTTGATTCTGAAGATGACTACCGCTAAGGTGTCGAAACGTCAACAACAACAACAAAAATCCTTCCTGAACTATACCAACCTGGACGATTAAATAAACATTTTGACTCTGAAGATGACTACGGCTAAGGTTGTCGAAACGTCAGTTAACAACAACAAAAACAGTCCTTCCCTGGACTATACCAACCTGGACGATCTACATCTACAAACATTTTGACTCTGAAGACGACTACCGCTAAGGTTGTCGAAACGTCAGTCAACAACAACAAAAACAGTCCTTCTCTGGACTATACCAACCTGGACGATCTACATTTACAAACATGTAACGATACTCCCGGGTTCAAACCATTTACTTTATTAGTGTGTTTGTAATTTAGCTACGGGAAGAGTTTTTAATCAACCTCCTAAACATGGCTCTCCCTCTTTGACAAATGTTGTTGTATCATTCCGTGTTTATACATGTAGATCGTCCAGGTTAGTAAAGTCTTGAGAAAGACCATTGGTGTTGATGTTGACTGACGTGTTGACTGACGTGTTGACTGACGTGTTGACTGACGTGTTGACTGACGTGTTGACATCCTTAGCAATAGTCAGCTTCAGAGTCAACACTAAACCTACCATCCTTAGACTGTATTAATTCTGGACAATCTACATCTACAAACATTTAACGATACTCCCGGGCACTAAACACTGTAAACGATGATTGAATATTTTTAAAAACATAGTTCAATTGAACTAGAAAGTCTTTTAAAGTTTACTTGAAATATCGTCGAGTCTTACGTACTCTTGGTAATTACGGTCATCAGATTTTCCTCTTCTTGTGGTTTTGTTTCTATTTCTTTAATCATCCTGTTCCTTTGCTACTGTGACGTCATCAATAGATGACGTCATGCAAACTTTTGAATGTAAAATTTTTGTACTCATTTAATCATCCCGTATTTCGCTAGTGTTACATCACGCAAACAATTTTAGTGTACAATCGTACGTTCTTAATAAAGATCTTTGTTTTGTACCTTTGTCACAGGTTCTTTCTGAAACTGGCCGGCCTGGAATAAGAAAGGCTGTGGTCGTGTTTGCAAACGGAAGGTCTGGGTCCGATAATATCAGTCTTGCGAAAAAAGCACGTGATCTACATGGTAACGACGTCAAAGTTGTAGCAGTTGGTATTGGTGATGACGTCAACGAGGACGAACTACAGGCTCTTGCAAACGCCGGCGTCATTATGGCGGGTAGAGATTCAGATAGTGACGTCACAGCGGGAACTATCGTGAAGTATCTTGAGATGATCTCAGGTGGGTGCAAAAAACCTCGAGTACCACGAATATCCATGAATATCCATGAATATCCATGTGCTACAACAGCAAATATGTTTGTTTATAATGTAGCCATGAATAACTATGGATATAGCTAGTCACTATGAGTTGCAAAGGAGATAACAATGGATATGGCTAAGCACTATGGGTATTAAAATGGATAACAATGGATATAGCTAGTCACTATGAGTTGCAAGGTGGATAACAATGGATATAGCTAGTCACTATGAGTTGCAAAGGGGATAACAATTGATATAGCTAGTCACTATGAGTTGCAAAGGTGATAACAATGGATATAGCTAGTCACTATGGGTATCAAAATGGATAACAATGGATATTGCTAGTCACTATGAGTTGCAAAGGGGATAACAATGGATATAACTAATCACTATGGGTATCAAAATTGATAACAATGGATATAGCTAGTCACTATGAGTTGCAAAGGGGATAACATTGGATATAGCTAATCACTATGGGTATCGAAAATTGATAACAATGGATATAGCTAGTCACTATGAGTTGCAAAGTGGATCAAGTTTGACTCACCTGTGCGATTTTCTTTATTTGTTTATAGAAGCTGCAGAAGATGCGTTAGATATTGCATTTGCCTTTGGTGCTTCTGGATCTGATGCAGATCTTTCATTCAAGAAAGCGAAGGAAATGATTAAAATCTTCATCGATTCCCTGAAAGTCCACGATACTCAATATGGCGTCATAGAGTACAGCAACGAGGCAAGAGTCCACGCTACTTTTGGTCAGTTCAACCGCAAGGACAGACTTAAAGCTCAAGTAAGATGATACGTACCTAAGACAGACCAGCAGTTGTGTGTTTAGGTCGATGAGGATAAAAAATTGCAGCAAAAATCAAATGAAATATAATTGATGTTTGAAAAATTCTGCCATCCTTAGGATTGTTTTTAAGTATTCTGTGAGAAATGCTGACTCACGTTTAAGAGTAATTAAAATATTCATACCATGATGTCATTTTGAATTAGTATATGAGCTGCACATTAGTCAACCTGGACAATCTACATCTACAAACATGTAAAATATTCATACCATGATGTCATTTTGAATTAGTATATGAGCTGCACATTACTCAACCTGGACAATCTACATCTACAACATGTAAAATATTCATACCATGATGTCATTTTGAATTAGTATATGAGCTGCACATTAGTCAACCTGGACAATCTACATCTACAACATGTAAAATATTCATACCATGATGTCATTTTGAATTAGTACATGAGCTGCACATTAGTCAACCTAGACAATCTACATCTACAACATGTAAAATATTCATACCATGATGTCATTTTGAATTAGTATATGAGCTGCACATTACTCAACCTGGACAATCTACATCTACAAACATGTAAAATATTCATACCATGATGTCATTTTGAATTAGTATATGAGCTGCACATTAGTCAACCTGGACAATCTACATCTACAAACATGTAAAATATTCATACCATGATGTCATTTTGAATTAGTATATGAGCTGGCACATTAGTCAACCTGGACAATCTACATCTACAAACATGTAAAATATTCATACCATGATGTCATTTTGAATTAGTATATGAGCTGCACATTACTCAACCTGGACAATCTACATCTACAACATGTAAAATATTCATACCATGATGTCATTTTGAATTAGTATATGAGCTGCACATTAGTCAACCTGGACAATCTACATCTACAACATGTAAAATATTCATACCATGATGTCATTTTGAATTAGTATATGAGCTGCACATTACTCAACCTGGACAATCTACATCTACAAACATGTAAAATATTCATACCATGATGTCATTTTGAATTAGTATATGAGCTGCACATTACTCAACCTGGACAATCTACATCTACAACATGTAAAATATTCATACCATGATGTCATTTTGAATTAGTATATGAGCTGCACATTACTCAACCTGGACAATCTACATCTACAAACATGTAAAATATTCATACCATGATGTCATTTTGAATTAGTATATGAGCTGCACATTAGTCAACCTGGACAATCTACATCTACAAACATGTAAAATATTCATACCATGATGTCATTTTGAATTAGTATATGAGCTGGCACATTAGTCAACCTGGACAATCTACATCTACAAACATGTAAAATATTCATACCATGATGTCATTTTGAATTAGTATATGAGCTCGCACATTAGTCAACCTGGACAATCTACATCTACAAACATGTGAATTATTCATACCATGATGTCATTTTGAATTAGTACATGAGCTTGCACATTTGTCTTATACTTGTAAAAGATTACAGTGTAGTAGCCGAATGCTTATATAAATCCATTCATTTTTAGTTAGTGAACGAGTGCTTTTTATGATCACTAAACATAACCGTGCTTCATCATATCGAGTATCATTGAAGGTTTTAAAAGTTGTTTTTTTGCAAACCATTTGTAGATTTCGTCCATTGAAAGACGCGGCGAAGCTGTTGGACTTCATAAAGCATTAACGGCCGCTTACGATCTACTCGCGAAGAATGGACGACGAGGTGCAAGGAAAACTCTTATAGTATTCACTAGCGGCAAGGCTGATGCGAGCTTAAATGAAGTAAGGGACAGCGCGAAGTCTCTTCAAGATGCTGGCATAAAGATTGTGTCTGTTGCTATTGGTGACAGTGCTGACGTAAGTCAGTTGAAAGAGATCTCTACAAATGAAGAAGTAGTTAAGTGTGAATTGACTGGAGATAGTGACGCTATAATTCACAGGGTTTCTCATGATGTTGTGAGCGCTGGTGAGTTTTTATTGTTTTAAATACTTCATGTTGTATACGTGTACTGAAGTTTTGTATTGATTTCATTTAACTTAACATTGGATAAGATTGAAATGTGCAATCTGTTCTCTGATTGCACGATTTGTTGAAGAAAAATAATCAAGCTCTGATTTCTTTCATAAAAGCTAATAACATCACGTTGTTGTGATGTACTCAGGTATAGTAACAAGATAATCATTGTCTTCAATGTTCTACCAACTGAACTACAAGATCAACTGTAGACTATGATGATATTTTAAAACACAGTTCTAGTTTCTTTCATATCTTAATATCATAGATAATAACATCACGTTGTTGTGATGTACTCAGGTATAGTAACAAGATAATCATTGTCTTCAATGTTCTACCAACTAAACTACAAGTTCAACTGTGGACTATGATGATATTTTAAAACACAGTTCTAGTTTCTTTCGTATCTTAATATCATAGATAATAACATCACATTGTTGTGATGTACTCAGGTATAGTAACAAGATAATCATTGTCTTCAATGTTCTACCAAAAGAACTCTCAATGCCTTTGTATTAAAGGACAGTTGTAGTTTACATTCTTGAGCATGAGGAATCTTTTCATATTTCCTTTTCAAAGCATTTCTGCTTCTATAAATTTCAAAGCTTTCATACTTTGTTGGATCTTGTCTGCATCAAAATCTCTCAGTCAAATTTTAACGTGATTTCATATTTCTCCCTTTGACTTTAGAGCTTAGCGGTGAGACAGTGGACATTGTATTTGCTCTTGGTTCGGCTGGCTCTGATGCTCACATGGTGTTTGAGAAAGAGAAGGAAATGGTCGCAACTTTTGTTAACTCACTCGACACGGCAAATCTTCGTTATGCTCTCGTTAATTATGGTGAAGATGCCACACTTCAGGCAAACTTTAACGATCACAAGGAGAAATATGATTTCAAGGAATTTCTTGATACACTTGCATGGCCCGGTCACGGTGTAGGCCTTGCAAACGCCTTGGAAAAGTCGGCTGCTGTTTTCAAGGACAGCGGTCGTGTCAATGCGAAGCGTGTGCTTGTACTCTTCACCAACGCACAGTCCAATGCGCGCGCACAAGATTTGCAGAAATACTCACGTGATCTTCAAGAGACGGCGGTGAAGGTTATCGTCGTTGCCATTGGCGATGACGTGAACGAGGAAGAGTTGAGTCAGTTGAATGGGCAACCTATGGTTCGTCACCAGGTTCACGAGGATTTGAACGTGATTGCAAAGACACTGGCGTGTGATATGTTGAGCAACGAAGCCGACGCTGTACAAAGTAATTGTAAATTTTGTTGACTAGGTGATATAATTAGCTCGTGTCCTTTTAAAGAGTGGTGGTGTTAGGGAGCAAAGTGGGGTGGTGGTTGTGGTGGTGGTTGTGGTGGTGGTGGTGGAGAGCTAGTGAGTGATGGTGTTGGGGAGCAAAGGGGTGGTCAATAAATGAAATCGACGTCATCATCATCCGAGATCATCGTCATCGTCGAATCGTAAATGTCGTCGGAAATATCGTCGTCAGAAATATCATAATCATCGTCGCTTTTCAAAAATCTCATCGTCGAAACTCAGATCATCGTCGTCATCGGCATCATCGTCATCATCGCAGCATCGTCGTCGTGGATCACATCATCGGCATCAGCAGGGGTGGTGGTGGTGGTAGTGGAAAGCTGAGGGGGTGGGGGTGGTGATGGTGGAAAGCAAAAGGGGTGGTTGAGAGCAAGAGGGTGACTCGATCTGTGATCCAGGGAAAAGAACAATGTTCTACACTTTGTAACTATAGAAAACAAGTGGGAGAGAATCTAAGTCCATCAGACTAAATCTAGTTAAAAAAAATGCATATATAGTCACACTGTTTCGAAGTAAAGAAGATAACAAAGTTATTTATTTGAGCAATAGGAAAGCCCTCCATCCTTGGACCTAAAATTTTCTGAAATCCCCCAACGTCAACTTCAAACCAAAACATTTATCCTTTAACACAATCTCCAAATAAATGTCTATCTTGTTTTGTTTTTTTTTTATTACTTCCTCAGCTCCAGTCCTTTCTCCTATTCCTAAAGTAAAACTGGACGTTGTGTTCGCCATTGGTGCCGCAGGAAAAGACGCCAACGACGTTTTTGAGAAAGAAAAGTTGATAGTGAACTCATTCATCGATAACTTGAAAGATAACGATGCCCAATTCGCCATCATCGAATTTGGGAATAAAGCAAGTGTGAAATCAAACCTCGGGGACGAAATGAATGCTGGGATATTGGCTGCGTCCGTCGCAGATCTGCAGAGAAGCGGAGAAGGAAAATGCTTGGATAAGGCGCTTGAGCAAGCTGTTGAGGTAGAGTTTGAATGAATGAAAGAAAGTGTTTTTTTTGACATGCTGGCTTTGTCAATCGAAGTTGATGTCTACCTAGGGATTGTTTTAGCACAAATACAATTATATACTATCGTAAATCACTAATGAATGAAATAACGGTAGGTTTCTATTGAGCTAAAGGATAGGTTTTAGTATAAACAAAGTTTATTCTATCCTTAAATATATTGACAAACTAAACTAAAACTTAAAATGCATGTAGCAATTGTGCATGTCTTTGATTTCTGATGGAATTGAATTCCAAACAGAAACCTCATCGTAAAAGAAGCTTTTCTTCAAGGAAAGCTAATAAAGGATTCTAAAGTTAATGAAGGATATTGAAAGATAATGAAGGATTCTAAAGTTAATGAAGGATATTGAAAGATAATGAAGGATATTGAAAGGACATGAAGGATATTGGGATTATGGATAAGAGATAAAATATGTAGAATGGTAATGAATAATGAAAAATCGGATAAAATTATGAGATATAAGATGCGTCGAATATTAAAATAAAATCGAATAAAATTCTCGAATATTCCATAGATAAATTATCTCGAACAATAAAGATAAACCGAGATAAATTCGAATAATAAAAATACGATAAATAATCTCCGGATAAAGGATAAGATATTATCGAGATAAATGTCATATCGAGATAATCAGATAAACATCTCGGATCGAAATAAAGATAAAATCTGGATATTCTCGAGATAAAGATATCGAGATAAGGATATTGTAAGAAATGAAGGATATTGAGAAAGATAATGAAGGATATTGAAAGCTCATGGATGTTAAAATAATGAAGGATATTGAAAGATAATGAAGGATATTGAAAGCTCATGTAGGATATCGAAAGATAATGAAGGATATTGAAAGATAATGAAGGATATTGAAAGATAATGTAGGATATTGAAAGATAATGAAGGATATTGAAAGATAATGAAGGGTATTGATAGATAATGAAGGACATTGAAAGATAATGAAGGATATTGAAAGTGCCGTTGAAGTTTGATATTAAAGAGTAATGTTTCCTAGTATTCATGAAATTTTACAAACAAAGGAATACACCGAAATTGTTCATTTTTTCGGTTTTTCCCAGCTTCGTCATCATTCTCCATTTCTCCGCGCGTCAAACATCTTCAGAAATAAAATGAACATCTTATTCCGAGTTTTTCCTAGACATCGTAGGATGTCATTGGCTTTAATGTTTTTAACGTTTCTTTCACAGGTCTTCCACCAAAAAGCACGTGCCGGCTCTAACCGCGTCCTTATTGTCTTGACGAACGCCAAATCCAGTGCTAGAACCCAGGACTTAAAGAAACATTCGCAAAGCTTGACTGATGCCGGAGTCAAAGTCCAAGTGGTTGCTATTGGCAACGATATTAACGAAGATGAGCTGGTTCAAATAACGAGTAACGAAATTCCTCTGCTGAGAATTCAACCGTACGAGGATCCTCACACCGTGTTAAAGGAGACTGCATGGATTATTGGGGGTATGTTGGGAATTTGAGATATCAGTGTTGATACTGGAGTAAGTAGAATGGCAAGGATGAGGGATTGCATGGGTTTTGGGGGATAGTTTGGGATGTTGGGATATATGTGCTGATACTGGAGTAAGTAGAATGGCAAGGCTGAGGGATTGCATGGGTTTTTGGGGATAGTTTGGGATGTTGGGATATATGTGTTGATACTGGAGTAAGTAGAATGGCAAGGATGGGGATTGCATGGGTTGGGGATAGTTTGGGATGTTGTGATATATGTGTTGATACTGGAGTAAGTAGAATGGCAAGGCTGAGGGACTGCATGGGTTATTGGGGATAGTTTGGGATGTTGAGATATATGTGTTGATACTGGAGTAAGTAGAATGGCAAGGCTGAGGGACTGCATGGGTTTTGGGGATAATTTGGGATGTTGGGATATATGTGTTGATACTGGAGTAAGTAGCGTGGCAAGGCTGAGGGACTGCATGGGTTTTGGGGGATAATTTGGGATGTTGGGATATATGTGTTGATACTGGAGTAAGTAGCGTGGCAAGGCTGAGGGATTGCATGGGTTTTGGGGGATAAGTAAGGAGGTTGAGATATAAGTGTCGATACGGGACTAGGTAGAGTGGCAAGGCTAACGTACAAGATTTATCGAAAATGGTAGAAATTTTTAGTGTGTCACTTTTTTTTCATTTTGTCTGCGTTCAACAAGGACTTGAGAAAACCCTTTAATGTAAAAGAATTGAACGTGTTCATAAAAAGATTTGAAAACAAAACAAACGAAGTCCAAGCAATGAGATGAAAAAGATATTCTCTGTGTATCTATCCATGAAGTATGCCCAAACCATGACTTTATAAAATCTTTCTAAATAGTTTGTATTTCTTTAGAAAAGCAAGATGAATACCTCGACATTGTCTTCGCATTTGGATCCTTTGGAGAAGCAGCAAAAGAAATATTTTACAAAGAAAAACAACTTATTTCATCATTTATTGACTCCGTTCAAAAACCCGACACGAGGTATGGCGTTATAGAGATAGGACCACGTGCCAAGGTTTGTGCTATGATTGGCCAATATCGTGATCACGTGCGTCTCAAACGTCACGTGAATCTGGTGCGTCGTACTGGGGATGCAACAGGTCTCGATCACGCGCTAGATGTCGCGGCCGGCATGTTTGAAAATCAGGCTCGTCCCAACTCCCGCCGCGTCTTGGTCGTGTTTACAAACGGGAAGTCTGGGGCCAAGGTAATCATGATGATATGACTTTAAAGAACCTGGGAATGTTTTGTATATTGTCGGGAATTGATGATGAAACCGAGGATCTTGGGAGAGAATGGGGCGAGAGAGATTATAGTTGGTTTACAAGAATGTTTAGTTGTAGAATTTGTCGTGACTTGCACTTGTCGTAAATGATGACGAATGAGATTTAAGAAGCAGAGCCTTCCTTTTAAATTGCTGCCAACATCAATATCTTCATAACGTTTGTCTTCCTCATTACCATCTAGAGCGAGCAAGTAAAGCAGAACTCCGAAAGGTTGATCAAAGCAAATGTAGATATCATAGTGGTTGCTATTGGTGATGACATTGACGACGAAGAATGTCAAAATGTCTCGTGTGGTAATCGTCCAATCGTGTGCATTGATCCCGAACAGAATCCTCGAGCTTTTGTTTATTCTATTGTCAAAGAGATAGAGGAAGGTTAGGCACGTTTGATGTGTTCATGTTTGTGTTTGTGTTTGTAGGAGAGGTTTTTGAACATCCTCTTATAGTTGCTGAAGTTGATCATGACTGCATAGCTATAGTTGTGTTAGAATCGTCTGATTTTTATCTTAGAATCATTAAAATCCTCTTATTGGTGCTGAAGTTGATCTTGACTGCATAGCTATAGTTGTCTTAGAATCGTCAGATTTTTATCGTAGAATCATTAAAATCCTCTTATAGTTGCTGAAGTTGATCTTGACTGCATAGCTATAGTTGTGTTAGAATCGTCAGATTTTATCCTAGAATCATTAAAATCCTCTTATAGTTGCTGAAGTTGATCATGACTGCATAGCTATAGTTGTGTTAGAATCGTCAGATTTTATCCTAGAATCATTAAAATCCTCTTATAGTTGCTGAAGTTGATCATGACTGCATAGCTATAGTTGTGTTAGAATCGTCAGATTTTTATCGTAGAATCATTAAAATCCTCTTATAGTTGCTGAAGTTGATCATGACTGCATAGCTATAGTTGTGTTAGAATCGTCAGATTTTATCGTAGAATCATTAAAATCCTCTTATAGTTGCCGAAGTTGATCTTTTCTGCATAGCTATAGTTGTGTTAGAATCGTCAGATTTTTATCGTAGAATCATTAAAATCCTCTTATAGTTGCCGAAGTTGATCTTTTCTGCATAGCTATAGTTGTGTTAGAATCGTCAGATTTTTATCTTAGAATCATTAAAATCCTCTTATAGTTGCTGAAGTTGATCATGACTGCATAGCTATAGTTGTGTTAGAATCGTCAGATTTTTATCGTAGAATCATTAAAATCCTCTTATAGTTGCTGAAGTTGATCTTGACTGCATAGCTATAGTTGTGTTAGAATCGTCAGATTTTTATCGTAGAATCATTAAAATCCTCTTATAGTTGCCGAAGTTGATCTTGACTGCATAGCTATAGTTGTGTTAGAATCGTCAGATTTTTATCGTAGAATCATTAAATTCCTCTTATAGTTGCTGAAGTTGATCTTGACTGCATAGCTATAGTTGTGTTAGAATCGTCAGATTTTATCGTAGCATCATTAAAATCCTCTTATAGTTGCTGAAGTTGATCTTGACTGCATAGCTATAGTTGTGTTAGAATCGTCAGATTTTATCGTAGAATCATTAAAATCCTCTTATAGTTGCTGAAGTTGATCTTGACTGCATAGCTATAGTTGTGTTAGAATCGTCTGATTTTTATCCTAGAATCATTAAAATCCTCTTATAGTTGCTGAAGTTGATCTTGACTGCATAGCTATAGTTGTGTTAGAATCGTCAGATTTTTATCGTAGAATCATTAAAATCCTCTTATAGTTGCCGAAGTTGATCTTGACTGCATAGCTATAGTTGTGTTAGAATCGTCAGATTTTTATCCTAGAATCATTAAAATCCTCTTATAGTTGCTGAAGTTGATCTTGACTGCATAGCTATAGTTGTGTTAGAATCGTCAGATTTTTATCGTAGAATCATTAAAATCCTCTTATAGTTGCTGAAGTTGATCTTGACTGTATATATATTATTTTCATTTAGTGAAATGTGTGAAACCCACTGATATTGTTTTTGTTATTGGTGCTGCTGGGAATGGAGCTGAAAACATCTACAATAAAAACAAAGAGATCATAAGCAAATACATTGAAGCAAACAAGGTTCCAAATACAATGTACAGTATAGTTGATTACGGTCCCAAAGCTGTTGTTCGTAGCAAGTTTGGTGAAAATAAACAACGCGCCATATTATTGGATCATATTGAGAACCTTCAACATCCTGGAGATGGGAAAGCTTTGGATAAGGTAGGCAAACTTTTGTACATGTGTATCCCTTAATTAACCCCGATATCCACCATGCCACTGCTGGTTGACCACTATAACTTTGTACATGTGTATCCTTTAATGAACCCCGATATCCATTCCATGCCACTGCTGGTTGACCACTATGACTTTGTACATGTGTATCCTTTAATGAACCCTATATCCATTTCATGCCACTGCTGGTTGACCACTATGACTTTGTACATGTGTATCCTTTAATGAACCCTGATATCCATTCCATGCCACTGCTGGTTGACCACTATGACTTTGTACATGTGTATCCTTTAATGACCCTCGATATCCATTCCATGTCACAGCTGGTTGACTACTATGACTTTGTACATGTGTATCCTTTAATGAACCTCGATATCCACCATGCCACTGCTGGTTAGCAAGTATGACTTTGTACATGTGTATCCTTTAATGAACCCCAATATCCACCATGCCACTGCTGGTTAGCAAGTATGACTTACTAACCTTCCTTTAACAAGAACCAACAGTTCTAAACTATCCTTGCGCAGTATTTCCTGAATACCATGTCATAAAGCGTACAACATTCTTATATAGGCTTTAGAGCAATCTCTGAATTTGCTTGAAAATGAAGGTCGATTTGGTGCCAAGAAAAGGGCTGTTTTGTTTACAAACGGTAATAGCGGCGCGAGCCCCGGTCACCTCAAGAAATACTCGTCTCTTTTGGAGGACGCAAATGTCAAGATTATCACGGTTGCTGTGGGTGATGACGTCAATGACAGTGAAATACGTCATGTAAATTCAGATGAAGAAACTATTGTGAAAGTGGCTGTTGATGACGAACCAGAGTCAGCGGTCTTTGCTGTAGCAAGACTAGTTCAAGGTTTGTTGGGCAACATCGGAGGTTTGTCGCAAACATTGTTTATTTGAAGCGATTCATCGATGTTTTCATGTAGGACCGAATAAAGTCAAATACGACATTATCTTCGCCTTTGGTGCCATGGGAGAATCCGCTGACATGATTCATCTGAAGGAAAAAGAGATGATTGGCTCTTTTATCGACTCGTTCGCGGCCGGAGATTATCGTTATGCCGTCGTGGAGTACGGCAGCAAGGCTTACGTGAAGGCGAAATTTGACGAAATCCGTGGAAAGGATGAGATGAAAGAATTTGTGAAGAATATCAAAAGAAGTGGAGAAGGTTTTAGCTATTTTGTTTTGAATTTTGTATTTTAAAACGTGGCATATCTGCGATAAAATGAGACACCGGATTAACGATTCGGTGGATTAACGATTTGGATTAAGAGATGTGGATTAACGATTTGAGTCAGAAATGAACAAAATAATGAAGCGTGAAGGGAATCTCGTCGTAATGCTTTGCGCACATGGCCAAGCATAGACAGACATTTTGAAGGCACCTAAAATGGCGGCATATGAAATTGTTTTTGTAGCAAGACGTGTAATTGTACAACCGAGTGTGATCTAGACTTAGATTAAAAAAAAAGACGTTATTTTAACTTTGCTGGAAGTACAAAACTCTAAACTCCGTATCAGATATCACAAGTTTAATACAAGAAGTAAACACACGTTTGTAGCAAAAACATCACCACGTGACTTATTCTTTAATAATCGCCATAGCAACATCACCACGTGACTTATTCTTTAATAATCGCCATAGCAACATCACCACGTGACTTGTTCTTTAATAATCGCCATATTTTCAGGTAAAGCTCTGGACAAGGCTCTTGAACAGTCGCATGACTTGTTTAAAAAATATGGTCGTCCAACAGCTAAGAATGTCCTTATTGTCTTCACCAATGGCAAGTGCAACGCGCGAGCCAATGAACTGAAGAAATACGCCACGAGTCTTTCCGAACTTGGTACGAAATTGATCGTCGTTGCTATTGGGGAAGAGGTCAGCGTCGACGAGTTACTTCATGTTGCTTCGAATAAAGAATCCATCGTGAGGGCACAACCAGAGGATGATTGTAGCCAGTTGTTTAACAGCATTGTACGCGACACTATTGAAGGTACAATTGGGATATCGAGGAGTATGTAGTGAATACAATGGATATTGTTGAATGTTCAAAAAATATACATGAGCATAGTTGAAATACTTAGATATGCTTGTACTATATAACGATTATGAACAAGAATATTTCTCTCGCTTGAACTACGCTATATAGACATATTACTTTGAGTCGTTGAAATTCGCTGTATAAACGATTCTGTGTCGATGTGTTTATCTTGTATTGTTACATGTTTGTAGATGTAGATCGTCCAGGTTAGTAGAGTCCTGAGAAGGACTGTTTTTGTTGATGATGTACTGATGTTTTTGATGACCACAGTGGTACACAGTGGTACACATCTTTAGAGTCATGTGAGGAGTAAAGGATGTCAAAAACATCAGTCAACATCAACACCAACAGTCTTTCTCAAGGCTGTACTAACCTGGACGATCTACATAAACATATAACGATACTCCCGGGTTCAAACCATTCACTTTATGTATTTATTATGTAGAACGACCCGTGACTGACGTAGATGTTGTCTTTGCTCTCGGAACTTCCGGTGAACATGCAGACGAAATGTTTGAAAAAGAGAAAGAGTTTGTGAACGGTTTTATCGACGCGTCCAATTATGGTGATACAGATTACGCTTTTATTGAGTTCTGCGATCCGCTAAAGCTTCATTTCAGGTAATGATCGAACTTTATCACTGTACATTTTGTTGTTGGTTGTTGTTCAATGTTTAAGGCTGAAATATTCATAATCAACAACATTTCCACATTTTTTTTCTAGTTTTAAAGATTTCAACAACAACAAAGATATCAAAAACAAAATTTGCTCGCTTTCTCGACACGGAGATGGTACGTCAATGGCCGAAGCTCTACGAAAGGCACACGAACTTTTCACGAACGACAGTCGATCTTCATCGCATAAAGTTCTCATTGTTATGACGAACGGTCATCTTAGTGGTCGTGCGGGAGAATTGAGAAATGGCGCAAAGGCTCTTCAGAAGATTGGAGTTAAAGTTATAACGGTTGCCATTGGTGATGATGTTGATCATGACGTAATACGGCAGCTGTCATGTGACGAAGGCAATGTTATTCACGTGAAAAAAGACGAGGATGTGGGATGTTTGGTCTACGTCATTACTCGTGAGGCTGTGAAAGGTGAGAGTTGAGAATTATTTTATGATCAGTCTGTGTCATCTCTTTATCTCGATTGATTGTAAGCTTTCGTGGAATACACGTAACATTTCGTGAAATACACGTAACATTTCGTGGAATACACGTAACATTTCGTGGAATACACGTAACATTTCGTGGAAGACACGTAACATTTCGTGGAAGACACGTAACATTTCGTGGAATACACGTATGTTTTTGAGGTGAAATTAGCAAGATTTTCGTGTTTGGTCATAGTGCGTATCAATTCCATATTTAATTCTGATATAAATGCGGCGTATTTATATCCATCTAAATTTGCTGAATTAAAATTCGATAAGGAGAAAAATCTTTTTTCTCACTCTAAATTGCTTCACATAAACATAAAAATAAACCTTATGTTCTTGCGTGATCACAATATACAACTGATCACGATTCCTTAAATTTTTCCTGTCGATTCACCAATGCCTTTCCTTGGTTAGATTTGTAATCATCAATTAAACATCTTTCAGACTATGTCATACACACACATTTTGAAGTTTTAACCACTTCCCAAAACAATCTCAGATTGCACGAGAATCCCTCATTTACTGTCTGTTTTGGTTTTGTTAATGTGGTAATGACACGAAGACTCTCCATGTGTACATATGGTTTATCTTTTACATAGTTATGATGTAGTGAGTTGCTTTGACGTTAGTTATGATGTAGTGAGTTGCTTTGACGTTAGTTATGATGTAGTGAGTTGCTTTGACGTTAGTTATTATGTAGTGAGTTGCTTTGACGTTAGTTATGATGTAGTGAGTTGCTTTGACGTTTGTTATGATATAGTGAGTGGCTTTGACGTTTGTTATGATGTAGTGAGTGGCTTTGACGTTTGTTATGATATAGTGAGTGGCTTTGACGTTTGTTATGATGTAGTGAGTTGCTTTGACGTTTGTTATGATGTAGTGAGTGGCTTTGACGTTTGTTATGATGTAGTGAGTGGCTTTGACGTTTGTTATGATATAGTGAGTGGCTTTGACGTTTGTTATGATGTAGTGAGTTGCTTTGACGTTAGTTATGATGTAGTGAGTGGCTTTGACGTTTGTTATGATGTAGTGAGTTGCTTGACGTTAGTTATGATGTAGTGAGTGGCTTTGACGTTAGTTATGATGTAGTGAGTTGCTTTGACGTTAGTTATGATGTAGTGAGTAGCTTTGACGTTAGTTATGATGTAGTGAGTGGCTTTGACGTTAGTTATGATGTAGTGAGTTGCCTTGACGTTAGTTATGATGTAGTGAGTAGCTTTGACGTTAGTTATGATGACAACTTTTACATTTTTCATCAGGAACTCCTGTTTATGATGAGGTTGTGAAAGAAGAAACATTTTTGCGTCAAGTGTTTTTGCAACCAAGAGTCAATCTTATACTTAAACCAAGTACATCAACGACCGAGCAGGCTCAGATTGACGAGGAAGCGAAGAGACTGGAACGAGAACAACTCGAGGCCGAGAAGAGGGCCGAGGAGGAGACTTTGAAATTCGAGGAGATAGAAAGACAATTGGAGGAAAAAGAGGAGGAAGCAAGATTGGAAATTGAGAGATTAGAAATTGAAGAATTAGAACGTAAACAGAAAGAAAATTTGAAAGGAGAAAAAGCTCAAAGGAAAAAGAAAGAAGAAGAAGAGGTGAGTATGTAATCTATAACTTTATGAAAATTTTTAAAAAAGAGCTATATCCACTTAAGAAACATTTTTTACCATATTCATTCTGTCAAAATCTACTAACACATCAACTGTCCACTGTGAAAATTTTTTTTATTATTACTAACCATTAAGATGAATTGACCAATAGGATCGACTATAACAAATAAAATGAATTGACCAATAACATCGACTATAACAAATAGAATGAACTGGCCAATAACATCGACTATAACAAATAAAATGAACTGACCAATAACATCGACTATAACAAATAAAATGAGCTGACCAATAAGGTCGACTATAACAAATAAAATGAACTGACCAATAAGATCGACTATAACAAATAAAATGAACTGACCAATAAGATCGACTATAACAAATAAAATGAACTGACCAATAAGGTCGACTATAACAAATAAAATGAACTGACCAATAAGATCGACTATAACAAATAAAATGAGCTGACCAATAACATCGACTATAACAAATAAAATGAGCTGACCAATAAGGTCGACTATAACAAATAAAATGAACTGACCAATAAGGTCGACTATAACAAATAAAATGAACTGACCAATAAGATCGACTATAACAAATAAAATAAACTGACCAATAAGATCGACTATAACAAATAAAATAAACTGACCAATAAGATCGACTATAACAAATAGAATGAACTGACCAATAAGATCGACTATAACAAATGAAATGAACTGACCAATAACATCGACTATAACAAATAAAATGAGCTGACCAATAACATCGACTATAACAAATAAAATGAACTGACCAATAACATCGACAGTTAATGACGCATCAAAATAAATTTTCAGGAAGAATTAGCGATGATGCAATTTGCTGTAGCCACACCGGAGACTGAAATAATCAGAAAAGCGCACGAAAGGACTTTGGATCTTAACGAAGCGGTACCTGAAAGCTAGTTTTCATCGTGTGACGAATGACGTGAACAATGGAAGTACGCAGGACTTTGCAAAAACGACTATCGTTATTAATACGAAAAATTTTAACCGGAATAGCACAATCAGGTGAATAACCAACTTGTTATGCTGCGTTTGTGAGATGACCTTTCAATTTAACTTTAGTTCGAAGCAAACGAAGATTGTACAACTTTTTTTTCTAGTTCAGCGTATATTGATCCAAGTTCTCAACAATACGAAGTGCAAACTGTGTATATCGACCCCAGTTCTCAACAAGAAGATTTTAGGTATAAAAGAGACGAGACTCCTGAAGTACAGACGCCATATATCGACCCCAGTTCTCAACAAGAAGATTTTAGATATAAAAGAGACGAGGCTCCAGAAGTACAGACGCCATATATCGACCCCAGTTCTCAACAACATGACGTTCGATACAACAGAGACAATACTCCTGAAATACGATACTCGTTGAAAACGTAAGTTAAGCATCCTTCTTAATGCCATATTGTCCTCGTATATCATTCTTTGCCCCTCGCACCCTCCATTTTCCTGCTTTCCATACTCCTTTATCCATCTTCTTTTTCTTTCTATCCTTCTTTTTGCCTTTTTCTTTTTTTCCTTTAGTCAAAGTACAGTTTATCTCTTCCTTTCTTAATCCTTATCCCTCCATCTCATCACTCACTTCATCTCTATTTCTCTTCTTTTCCCTTGTTTCCCCTTCTTCCTTCTTTGTCCATTATCTCTTCCTGTCCATTTATCCACCCCTTCCATCCATTCCATTCCATGTTTATCCATTTCATTCCATCCATTCCTTCATTCCATTCCATTCCATTCCATTTCCTTCCTATCCTCCTTCATTCCATTCCAGTTTTTTTATCCTCTACTCCCTCACATCCTCTCTCATCTTCTCTTTACTTCTGCATTTTTGTGCCCAATCATTTTTTTATCTTTTATTATATCTTTTTTAATACCATATACTCTACAGCATTTATTCAAAAAATTTTTTTAGCGATCTCAATTTGCCATACGAACAAGGCGAACGAGGTTTTGTACGCGATCAAATAAAAAGTCAGGAACACGAAATGAAACGTCGTTCCATGCATGATCCTCGACTATTCAAAACAACGGTAACGACTGTTGAGTCAGAGCAAGATGAAGTCTTTCCCTCCCCCCCTGAGGACGAAACAAACCAAAGCAACCAATCATCTGCAGAAATTCCCAGCGTTGAAACAAGGACCGTTGTATACGAACCTAACCTTCCTGAGAAAGGCCAAGAGATTTCACATGTCATAGGTAATATGCTCTCATTGTGTACTCCTTCTTATCCCATTTTATACCACATTATCCATATGTGCATTATATATTCACGTCCACACGAATTGTAAATTAGCATTGTGTACTCCTTCTTATCCCATTTTATACCCTATTATCCATATGTGCATTATATATTCATGTCCACACGAATTGTAAATTAGCATTGTGTACTCCTTCTTATCCTATTTTATACCACATTATCCATACGTTCATTATAAATTGTAAATTAGTAATAACTGAGGATGTGTCGAGATTTAAAACGAAACGCTACATTGTTCAACAAAGAACCTTTTTACTCTATAACTTTGTATTTGATCGCTCTTGTAATAGCTCTTTGATAGGCTTCAGGCCCGTTTCAAGCGTCGCATTTTACATGCGCCGAATGCATTTAAAAGAAAGAAAATGTTATAGAATTCCTCATTATCTTTTGTTTTAAATGCGTTCGGCTCGTGTACAATGCGACGTTTGAAACAGGCCATATGTTTAGAAGAAATGCATTTACTATAACTGCTGTAGATATAACTAAATTAGACACTTTCTGGATACGTACAAAGTTAAAACCTTCGTGGTATTTAGAGATGTATTCACTGGTTTTATGGCTTCTTCAAAATTATCTTCATCCTCGCGAACTCCGTTTTCCTTCACCAACATACCTGAAAATATGCCAAGAAACCATAAAATAATACAATTCTTGTCGATTAGAGCAGTAAAGCGCGAGATTAAAACGAACCTTCGCGTAATAAGTCTTTGAAAGAACACTTTTCTTTATAAGTTTGCGGTGTGCGGCCATCAAAATTTTTTTTTTATCAGAATTCGTTTTTTTAACCGTGATGTTTACTTTGTATTTTTCATTTGTTCAGGAGATCCTGTTGTTGTAACGATGAAAATCGACGAAAGTCCCGTATCGGAGGCACGTGCAACGCACGTGGTAAGACATACATCCACACCAGCACAGGTTGTTACAAAAACCATCACCATCGAAGGCGACGGCGAACCTTTGACGGCTGAAGAACTTGCTGAGATAATGAACATGTCAGAGAAAGAGACAACGGTAAGAATTTATGACTTGTATAGTTACCTTAAAACAACGTGATTATAAAACATCTTTATAAAGTGAAAAGTTTGAACCCGGGAGTATCGTTACATCTTTGTACATGTAGATCTTTCAGGTTAGTAGAGATCTGAGAAGGACTGTTGTTGATGTTGACTGACGTTTTTTGACAAGGTGATGACATGAATGGCGTCAATTTAACTTGGTTAGCATGACGTCATAGAGTGACGTCACAGAATATCTACATAGAAACCGACAGAATATCTACACAGAAATCTTCAGCGAAGATTTTTTCGCTTTATTATGAGGATGACTACTGCTAAGGTTGTCAAAACGTCAGTGAACATCAACACCAACAGTCCTTCTCAGGACTTTACCAACCTCGACGGTCTTCATCTATAAACATGTAACGATACTCCCTGGTTCAAACCATTCTCTTTATTGCAATCGTTTGGACGATAAAACATCCATATTGTTAAACATTCGTTTGCATTTTATGTAGACCTTGAACAACAGCAGTAGGAGTAGCTTTCATCGCGTGGAACGGATTGAAAAGGTTGAAAAAGTTGTGACTAGCACACAGTTTTGGCAGTCTGGACAATCATTTGTTGTTGAAACTGGAGACTCAGATGCCGATGCTGTAAGTTTTATAAATACAATTCCTACTGTCTAAGGATTTTATTTTCACTTTAAACCTTTATCAAAACACTTTTCAGGCGATTATGAAGGCTTTAGAAGACGCCAGACGACAAGATCCTAACGTGAAAGTTGCTGAAGTGACGATTACAAAACAAGAGCTCGGAGACGATGATTAAGGTGTTGTGTTGACCACGTGATCTTGTGTTGACCACGTGATCTTGTGTTGAATTGTTCAACAACCAGCTCAAATTATTTTACGCGTTTTTAGATTACCTGAAAGAAAGATTCAAAAGTATTCCTCCCAATGGAGTATATTCATTTTTTAATAGTAAAAGTTAGTCCAACATGATGTATTATATACATGTATTCTCTTACAACAGACTCTAACGTATAGATTCTAACTTATTCCTTCTACATATGACCGAACTCCCACATGTTTAAAGTCAATTGTCTTTCTAAGGTAGCTTTGAATACCTTCTGATATCTTTTGTAATCATGAGTAATCTGATATCTTTTGTAATCATGAGTAATCTGATATCTTTTGTAATCATGAGTAATCATGATTAATCTTTTGTAATCATGATCAAATTAGTAAATAGTTAGAATTTAGGAAGTCATGATTGTTTACGATAGTTATGGTTTTAGTAAAGTATTATTTACTGTTCATCTTGTTATTATTGACTTTTGTTGACTTCTAACTCGTCATTTGTCACAGAGAAATAGTCAGGACTTTTCAGATTGTTGGGCATAAACTTTAATTTGTTGAAATTTTATTTTCTTGTGAAACTTGGCAATCATTGTGTGAACCGCCGAGGGAAAAAGAGAGAAGAAAACTAATATCAAAAAGAAGACAGAAAAAAACTCTCTTTCAATATAGCTGCTATGCACTGACTCATCTTACACCAAGTTTCCCCCAAAAGGAATTTGCTGACCAGACGTTCGTTTGTTCGCGTTTTCAAATATGGTGAAAGAATGAAGAGAAAGAGCGAAGAAATAGATTTGGAAAATCTTTGCAAAAAATCGTCAAAAATGACCAGATCGACCGAAAAAGACAAGAAATATGACAGACAGCTGAGGTGAGATGAAATATTCTTATGTTTCAGCAATGTTTTTTGCTTGAAATAGACGATGATATATAGTAGTGCAAAGACGTAAGAACCAGATAACAAATACGGCTAACCTGACGTTTACTCCTCATTTGACTTTGAAGATGGCTACCACTAAGGTTGTCGAAACGTCAGTCAACAACAACAAAAAACAGTCCTTCTCAGGACTATACCAACCTGGACGATCTACATTTACAAACTTGTAACGATACTCCCGAGTTCAAACCATTTACTTTATAACATTTATTAGTATTAATATGAAAACAACGACTTACAAGTGTGAGGTCTCTCTCCTGATTACTAGACAATGAACAAGTTATTTCGTTGAAATTCATAGATTGTGGGGTGATCATGGACAGAGTAGGCTGGAAAATGCCAATGTTTGTCTAATCAATGCCACTGCTTTAGGGACGGAAATAATGAAAAAACCTTATACTTCCAGGTGAAAAATACATGTTTCTATATTGCTGAAGCTCTGCTTGGTATATTTTAGAATTAAAAGACTTTACTGTGATTTTCTCCATCTGAAAAATAATGCAACTGCTCGTGAACTATTTGAGCTGAAAGCCTAAAACATCAACGAAGTTATCAAATACTTCACCAAAATTAGAAACAATTTTTTCATTATGTTGAGTGCTTGATTGTTTGTTGTTTGTGCAACAAGCTTGTCGAGGTAAATAGTTTCAGATGATTGCTTTAAAATTGCAAATCATGGAGATTTTAAGTGTTTGCATGTTTGAATTATTCAAGGAAATATGATGGAGTCTTCTTAGTCTAAGCCTGAAAGTGCATTCAAAATGCCCATTCCACACAAAATTTGTGTTAACGAATCAATAAATTTACATATTTCAGGAATTGGATCATTTACTGTCATTGACTGTCATAAAGTTTTACCCAAAGATACTGGAAATAAGTAAGAACCAACAAAGTTTGTAAACTGTGCACTCACAAATGAAATTTGCATGCATGAAAGGCTAGTTTTTTGAAAATTGTACATCCTTGATCTTGGGTGTGCAATGCAGACTTTCCAGTCTGGAGTGAGAAACATTTTAGAAGGTTGTTTTTAACGTAATCTGCTTCAAATAACTGATAATTCTTGGTCTTTTTTAGTTTCTTTATTAGCTAAGAGCACATTGGTATGAATCGTGCAAAGTGTGCTGTTGAATTACTGCAAGAACTGAATGAAGATACTTGTGGAAATTTTATAGATGAAGTAGTTCAATTGCTTATCTTTTCACAAGTTGAATCAAATGAAAACAAGTATATAAACAAGTTTTCTAACTTCAGGATCCGTTGACTTTATTATCGAAGAAACCAAATTTTTTTGAAAAATTTTCTGTGGTTATTGCTACGAACTTGACGAAAGGTATTTCAATCTTATATATTGATCGAACAATAGCTGATTTTTGGAACATAATTCTTGTATTTTTTTCTGGTTCTTTATAGAAGTTGTTTGAAACTTTCCATATCCCTTTGGGATTCACAAATTCCCTTCCTTACATGTGATGTATTTGGTTTGCTGGGAATTATGAGACTTGTTATTGAAGAACATACTGGTAAGAATGGTCTTTTATTGTGTTTATAAATCTGGAGGTCTTGATATGGATAGATGAAAGCTTTACTTGTCCCATCAATATCCTCATGTATCCCATCAATGATCCAACATCGTCTCATCAGTACCCTCATTTATCCCATCAACACCAGAGCACCTTCACTCATCCCATCAATTTTCTGGTCAATACCCTTAATTGTCTCTTCACTACCTTCATTTGTCTCATCTCTTATCCCATCAGTACCCTCACATATCCCATAAGTGTCCTCACATATCCCATCAGTACCCTCACATATCCCATCAGTACCCTCACATATCCCATCAGTACCCTCACCTATCCCATCAGTACCCTCACATATCCCATCAGTACCCTCACATATCTCATCAGTACCTTCACATATCCCATGAGTACCCACATCCCATCATTTATCCCATCATACCCTTACTTATTCCATCATCATTTTCAACAGTTTTAATTGAATGTTGTTGAGATAAATTTTTTTACCTTCAGTGACTGAAGCCCATCCTGATAACGCATTTGAAGATCTGAGAATTGACCAACCATTTGCTCAGCTCCAGGCCTTTTCCGACTCTCTCCTTTCTTCAATGTCCAAACTGGTAATGCATGATATTAAGCAAATAAAGCAAATGGTTTGAATACAGAAGTATTGTTACATGTTTATGGATGTAGAGGTGTACTGGTTTGTGGAGTCTTGAGTTGGTAAAGACTGAGGAGGAACTACTGCTGTGATTGTTTAAACCTCACTCAACAACAACTCTGCTCTTTACCAACCTGAATGACTTAAAGTTACAAAAATACATGAAGTAAATGGTTTGAACCCGGGAGTATCGTTACATGTTTGTAAATGTAGATCGTCCAGGTTGGTATAGTCCTGAGAAGGACTGTTTTTGTTGTTGTTGACTGACGTTTCGACAACCTTAGCGGTAGTCATCTTCAGAGTCAAAAAAGTCATTTTTGACTCTGAAGATGACTACCGCTAAGGTTGTCGAAACATCAGTAAACAACAACAAAAACAGTCCGTCTCAGGACTATACCAACCTGGACGGTCTACATTTACAAACATGTAAAAATAGATGAAGTAAACAGACTTGGGATTCAGTGTTGTGTCAATCTGTTTGCTAAAAAAGATCGTTAGTGGTTTAGTTCACACCAATTGTTCAAAATATGGTCTGTATTTAATTAGTAAAATATGTTTAATTTTTTAACCACAATTTTTTCATGTTTAAGGAACATTCTCACACTCCGTATATAGTTTTACTTTTGAAGTATGTGGAAAAATGGAAACGCACAGTAAGAGGATTTCTATCTTTTTATATACACTTTTTTACCCGGATTTTTATCTACTTTATTTTAATATTGGATAATTTACTGTTTTTTTTCAAAGCACGATGGCCGCACACCGCAAACTTATAAAGAAAAGTGTTCTTTCAAAGACTTATTACGCGAAGGTTCGTTTTAATCTCGCGCGTTACCGCTCTAATCAACAGGAATTGTATTATTTTATGGTTTCTTGGCATATTTTCAGGTATGTTGGTGAAGGAAAACGGAGTTCGCGAGGATGAAGATAATTTTGAAGAAGCCATAAAAGCAGTGAATACATCTCTAAATACCACGAAGGTTTTAGCTTTGTACATATCCGGAAAGTGTCTAATTTAGTTATATCTACAGCAGTTATAGTAACTGCATTTCTTCTAGACATATGGCCTGTTTCAAACGTCGCATTGTACACGAGCCCAACGCATTTAAAACAAAAGATAATGAGGAATTTCATAACATTTCTTTTCTTTTAAATGCATTCGGCGCATGTAAAATGCGACGTTTGAAACGGACCTAACTTTCAAATTTTGATATTTCTAGATTCCTTCTGAAATAAAAGAAATTCTTGAGGATGTTAAATGTGATGTTGCCCCAACTTCGGTGAGACTTTTTATCGTGGAAATTAACGAAATACTTCGTGGGGGGAGGGGAGAGTGAGGGGGGAGTATATTGTTACTAAATGAAGTACTTTCTTAATATTTCAGAACAGTTCATTTTGGATTTTATGTCGTGCTTTGAAAGAATTCGTGAACGAAACTGGTTGATAAACTTTCTTTATTTTACGCCGTGCTAATTATTTGTAATTTTGTCATGAAACATTTTTTCTTTCTTGTGAAGGCAGCCTTCCTCTGCGCGGATCGATTCCCGACATGACGGCGGATACGACACGTTTTATTGAATTGCAAAATTGGTACAAAATATTCCTCGCAAACCGTTTTTTCAACATTTATATCTTGATATTATTTCAGGAACTTTTCTGCGTTTAGTTATCATGAAAAATCGCTGGAAGATATCGAAAAAATGACCGAAAAAGTTCGATCAATTTTAAAATCATTGCATAAGGTTCGCTATCCTCATTTGGATGTCCAGTTCTTTTGAATTGGAATCGTAATGTTGTTATGACATTGATATTACATATTCAGAAACCCAACTTCATAAAAGATGAAGATATCCGGCTGTTTTGTAAGTTTTATTGAACATTAACATATGATCTTTCGAGGACGATACCAAATAGTCGTTTCAAATAATGAAAACTATAAAAAATAACGTCGTTTATTTGAAAAGCTTTCGTGAGTATTGATACAAAATTAGTCCATGTTATATTAAAACGTTTAATTCATTAAATTTCAGGTAAAAATTCAGCATTTCTGCGCGTAGTTCGTTGTACTTCGTTACAAGAAGAATTTAACAACATATCGACGCAATTTTTAGGTAAAATTTCGAGGTGACGTTTTCGCTAATACAGTATGTTTAACTTGTAGTCTATATTTGTAGAACGATTACGTAATGAAGACGAGAATGACGTCATGTATATATTGTTTCGAGCTATTTATAAATTCCGTTCAAAACACGATAGATATCCCGGTAGGATTATATGCCAAATATTTTATTTCAATTATGTGTAGTTTTTGTTTGCTGTAGAAACTGACATTTTGTCTTTACTAGAGTTTAAATGTTCGCTCTCATATTTTACACTCCTTTATATGAAGTTCTCACTTTCAAAGACTTGTGAATTTCCAAGATATTTGCACAAAAATCGTTGTTTAAAGGTTTTAATCTATCTGAAGTGTCATATCTTCACGTTATCTTGTACTTTACTCCTCTGTCATGACTTAAAAAATACTCCATTCACTCGAGTTGGTTTTGTTGTAGAAACAGCTTAGAAAAGGTTGATTCCAAAGCGCCAACAAAAATAATCAGTATTAACACTAATTCGATTATTTGTTTATCGTTTAAGCATCTCCGTAACAGCTTTGAGTAATTATAACTTTTGCTTAAAAAGTATTATTTGCAAATTACAAATCTAGTTAAATACTTTAAGTTTTTGGTGAAGAAACTATGAATTGACGACAATATCTTATTCAAGTATGAAAAAAAAACATAATCCTTTGTAATACGTCTTGTAAACAAAAATTTAGGTTTTATGTAATGTACAATTGAAACTCTATTGAAAAATCTTGTTAACAACTTGAATTTGATTTTATAAGATGTATTTTTAATGATTGTGTTTATTACATACTGTGTTGAACAGCGTTTTCCAGTTTTAATGTAACGAACCTTTGTTTCAACGATTTATTTTATCAGAACATCTTATTTATGTAAGCTGTACAATGTTTCAACTGCAAGTAACAACAAATGGATTCGTTTTATACAAATATAACCGTTTGATTCTTGCAATAACTTGCAGTTTTGAAGGTCTCCTTCGTTCATATCACTAAAACAGCGTTCATTACTTTGAAAAAAACAACGTTATGATGTTTCTAATTTTCAGGTTCGTCTGAGGAACACGTCAAGATTGATTGTGAGAAACTACAGGTTGTAGATTTTTTGATCTTTTCGTCAATTTTATGACGTAAACTTCACGCATCGTCGTTTACTGTTTTGTAGAGTTACGTTGGCGGCCTCATGGAACAGTGGGGTTTAAATGGTGAAATAAAAGAAGATTATGTACAGGAAATGTGCGTAGTTGATATTCTTAATAATTCTATGTCCTTTTCACACATTTCTTTGATGAACATTGTTGCCTTAGTAACAGCTACATACCTTAACATCGACATCAATAAGTTCAACAGTTGTACAGGCCTGTAGAAATTGTGAAGGCATGGTCAGACTGCAGTCTCCATCAACAGATAATTTAATAAAGTTGTTTGGAAATTCCTTGAAAAAACGTAGTCACTTGTGCTCCCCCCCCCCAAAAAAAATCCTTTTTTCGCTTGCAGCGGACATGTTGTGTATAGTCATGACGAATTGAAAAGTGACGAATTTTTCATTTTGTGCATAGATGTCGTTTTGGTGGAAGTCAATTGCATCCTGTTGCGTCGTTTATGGGTGGATCTGCCGCACACGAAGTCATCAAAATTATCACAAATCAGTATGTTCCGTTTCATGATTATTTCATCTTCAACGCGATGACAGGCTCTTCTGTAAGTCTAAAACTTTGATCGTGTGCTTTTCAATTCCGTTCATTTGAACAGGAATTCCACAAATTCGAAAACGCCATGTCAGTCGTAAAAGCGAAAGATGAGTTCAATGTTGTGTTTGTCATGCATTGACTAAAACTTGTAGCCTTGCATGTGACTTAATCAAGTGTGAATATCTTTCGTTTGCTTTTTTTACCAAGGTCTATGAGAAAGTTTTTGTACAAATGAGAAAATTAATAGGCATGATGTAGATTGTGAAAATAAAACCGGACAGTTGATTTTGTACTATGCAGCAAACGTCATTTCCTAGAATTGAAACGGTCGTTAAATGGCTTTTTGAACTTCGTCAAGATCTGCTTCTTGACTTTGATAAAAAATCACCTGTGTTTAAGATTGTGCGCACTTGTTATAATGGCCGAGATCAAAGAGCTTTTAATGAAATAAAGAAATACAAAGTAAAACTCGCATTAAATTATTTTTTCAACATCCTTGATAGTAAATAATAACTCTTAATTTTGTTATATAACATCTGAACCTATAAATCATTTCGCAAGTTTAAAATAAAGATTTCAACTCCATTGACGAGATTATCTCTCGATCATATTATTGCTTTTAATTATAAGTTGTGCATAAATATGATTTAGATCATTCAAATAAATTATTTCTAATTGTCTAGTAATAGAAGTACATTTGCTGGAATGGTCAGTTCAGTGTTTATTTAACAACAACCTTTATAAGATTGTCATTATTGCAAGCGGGCTAGCAGCATCTCTATAATGGATATCATCCTTAAATTATTATTCTGAAATGTTTTAAAAGATATCTTACGGATGTAAACGATAGTGTTAGGGTTAAGAGGTCAACAGCATCTCATGTGATTAATACACTTCGTGAAATGTTCGGCGCTTTCTTGAAACCGTTCACTCAGTACTATAAAATGGACGTGTGGAAAAGAGACGTTCAAAAGGATTGATAAAAAAGTCAGTTTTAAGCAATACTTTAGGGCTTACTTCAATACAAACAGGCAAAAATTATTTCATTTTGTTCTACGAAGTATTTTTTTTTCGTTCTTCATAAACTAAACTACATTGAACAGTTTTACTTTTCTCGGTTTGGCCTCGTCTAATTAACTGAATGACAAAACCATGCATATCAATTTGTTGCAAAGGAACAACTAACTTTGCCAATTTTTTATACGTACAAGAAGGAGTTTACGCACATTTCATTTAAAGACGTGAACTTTGATAATTAGTGACATGAATGGATGATTAGCCGTTGTTTTTCGTGCAGAGCAACACCCACAGCGTGGGTTAAAGCATGCTTGTGTTTGTCTTTCATTTTCAAAAGCAAACACACTCGGACGTACGGCCTACGAGCATTAAAGAGTGCTCAAAGTTAAATAAACTTTGCGTTATCGTGTTTCCGGTCTAAAGGACGGGAATGTCGTTGAAGCTCTTTGGAGTAGCCATCCTTTCATGTTTCTATGACGATACTTGGTTTGATGAAACTACGAAATACCCTCAAACATACATAAAAGTACCTACAAATGCATAAAAATACAATATTCTGGAATGTTAGTCAACACAGAAAAAGAAAAATTTTTATTAAGATATCGATTTAATATCCTTGAATATTGTCATAATTTAAGCAACGTAATTGCATCCCTATGGGCCGGATAAATGGTGTAGTTATTGCATTGATTCAGACGCCAGGAAGAGCTTTAGCGTGCACAAACGTCAGAAATATCAAAGCATCTTCTTCAGTAAACTACAGGGCGGGTCTATTGTATATTTTACTGTCTTCCTTTTGAAGATATTTTAAGCGAAGCTTGAGATTATAAAAAGGCGTTCAGTGCTGCAAATCACAATCATAAACACCGAACAAAACAATCATAAACATCAGAGAAGAAATTGGAAATTCTTAAATATTAAGTGAAAGATGAGCGACAACAAAACCGCAATTCTTGCTAACAATCAACGCTATCTTGCTTTACGAAACGTCTTTGGAAGATTGACCATAATAGCTGATGGAGAGCCAGGATCGGCTAACGAAATAGAAGGTAAGTTCGTAATGATTTTTTATATCCCTGCAGTATTGCTCGTTCGACACATATTTTATAAAAAAGCGTTGTCATTACAATTAAAAAGTTTCCCGCCCACGAGAACAAGCAGACTTTCAATAGAACAAGAAAACGTGTATGTTTGTTAATGCACAGACCTCGAATACATTGCACTGTCCAGATAGAAATTGTAAAACTCCTTCTCTAATCTCATGATTCATTTACAGTTCAATTCATCATCGACCGAGGTACAAACTTCAACGTTTTTGCTAATGGAGCAAGTAACACGATCGTTCGAATTCGACCAGCGTCTAACAACGGCAAATATATCGCCGTTGACGGTTCGTCGATTGTTTTAAAGGTAAATACTTTGAAATATCAGTGGATCCAGAACTTCACGTATGAATGATTGCAGACATAACATATAATGAAGTTGTATGTGCTAAGCTTTTGTATTTCTTTCTAGGATGTGCCAAATTCTTTAGCTATAAACGATTCTTCGTTTGATTTCTATGAAGAAAATGTTGCTGGGCAGTTCGATACTGTTCGGTTTGTTCATAGAGTTTCTGGAAGTTATTTGACTCTTCAACGTGGTACAAATCAGCTTGTCCTACAGCCCCCCTCGTCAGACAGAAACGCTTGGATGCGCTTGAGAAATATAGAAAACAACATAAGTTTATTTCGAGCTGAGATTACAGAGAGCGTGTACGTGGGGGAAAAATTGGAAAATGAATTATCCAGTGAAATTTCATACGAAATCTTCAGCAACAGCGAAGAATGAAAGGGTCGTAGTCGATATGAAAAAGCGCTTTTACGATGAAACTTTTGATAGTTTTTTTTTAATGAAATTTATCTATTTATTGCTGTTTATTTAGTTAGCATATTAATATTCCAACATAATTTGTATAAATATATCACAGGGATTTACAAATTTATTTAAACTTATTTATTTTAGCGCGAATAGTTGTATAAAAGTTGTCAAATAATTTTAATGTGTATTTATTGAGATTCATACAACGTTTTTAAGATTTTTATGAATAAAATACATTTTTTGAAAGAAATCAACAGTTCAATGTCGAGATCTTTGAGTAAATGACATTTTCCACTCGAAAAAAAACATAAATTCAAACGAAGGGGGAAATTTCGTGTTAGTGATTATTGCAAATGTAAACACATTGACAAAGCGCGATAGAAATTAGATTTGACGTTATAAAAAACAGTCAAAACTATGTCAGAATAATGTTATAAAATTTTAATGTGTGAATTCATCTTCATATTAATACATCTACGCATATGTTGTAGGAATTTTTCCATATACTGTCATTTATTGTTAAAAAGTTTTTGCAAAAACTTTTGCAAAAGTTTATGAGTTTTTTTGCAAAAACTCATGCACAAAGTGCCGAAAACAAGTAAGAAATATTTTAGAAGGTTATTTTGAACTTATTCTGCATGAAATAAATGACATTTCTGATTTTTTCAATATCTACGAGTAAAGAGCGTATTGATACGGATAGTCCCAAGTGTCCTCATGAATTCTTTTCAGAATTAAATGGTGGATATCATTTGGGGATATCTGTGGTAGGAGGGGATTCAGGTATGTTAGTGAAGGAAAACGGAGTTCGTGAAGATGAAGATAATTTTGAAGAAACCATAAAAGCAGTGAATACATCTCTAAATACCACGAAGGTTTTAGCTTTGTACATATCCGGAAACTGTCTAATTTAGTTATATCTACAGATGTTATAGTGACTGCATTTCTTCTAGACATATGGCCTGTTTCAAACGTCGCATTGTACACGAGCCGAACGCATTTAAAACAAAAGATAATGAGGAATTTTATAACATTTTCTTTTCTTTTAAATGCATTCGGCGCATTTAAAATGCGACGTTTGAAACGGACCAAACTTTCAAATTTTGATATTTCTAGATTCCTTCTGAAATAAAAGAAATTCTTCAGGATGATAAATGTGATGTTGCCCCAACTTCGGTGAGACTTTTTATCGTGGAAATTAACCAAATACTTCGTGGTTGGAGGGGAGAGTGAGGGGAGTATATTGTTACTAAATGAAGTACTTTCTTAATATTTTAGAACAGTTCATTTTGGATTTTATGTCGTGCTTTGAAAGAATTCGTGAACGAAACTGGTTGATGAACTTTCTTTACTTTACGCCGTGCTAATTTTTTGTAATTTTGTCTTGAAACATTTTTTCTTTCTTGTGAAGGCAGCCTACCTCTGCGCGGTTCGATTCCCGACAAGACGGCGGATACGACACGTTTTATTGAATTGCAAAATTGGTAAGAAATATTCCTCGCAAACCGTTTTTTCAACAATTATATCTTGATATTATTTCAGGAGTTTAGTTATCATGAAAAATCGCTGGAAGATATCGAAAAAATGACAGAAAAAGTTCTTTCGATTTTAAAATCATGGCATAAGGTTCGCTATCCTCATTTGGATGTCAAGTTCTTTTGAATTGGAATCGTAATGTTGTTATGACATTGATATTACATATTCAGAAACCGAACTTCATAAAAGATGAAGATATCCGGCTGTTTTGTAAGTTTTATTGAACATTAACATATGATCTTTCGAGGACGATACCAAATAGTCGTTTCAAATAATGAAAACTATAAAAAATAACGTCTTTATTTGAAAAGCTTTCTTGAGTATTGATACAAATTAGTCCATGTTATATTAAAACGTTTAATTCATTAAATTCCAGGTAAAAATTCAGCATTTCTGCGCGTAGTTCGTTGTACTTCGTTACAAGAAGAATTTAACAACATATCGACGCAATTTTTAGGTAAAATTTCGAGGTGACGTTTTCGCTAATACAGTATGTTTAACTTGTCGTCTATATTTGTAGAACGATTACGTAATGAAGACGAGAATGACGTCATGTATATATTGTTTCGAGCTATTTATAAATTCCGTTCAAAACACGATAGATATCCCGGTAGGATTATATGCCAAATATTTTATTTCAATTATGTGTAGTTTTTGTTTGCTGTAGAAACTGACATTTTGTCTTTACTAGAGTTTAAATGTTCGCTCTCATACTTTACAGTCCTCTATATAAAGTTCTCACTTTCAAAGACTTGTGAATTTCCAAGATATTTGCACAAAAATCGTTGTTTAAAGGTTTTAATCTATCTGAAGTGTCATATCCTCATGTTATCTTGTACTTTACTCCTCTGTCATCACTTACAAAGTACTCCATTCACTCGAGTTGGTTTTGTTGTAGAAACAGCTTAGAAAAGGTTGATTCCAAAGCGCCAACAAAAATGATCAGTGTTAACAGTATTTCGATTATTTGTTTATCGTTTAAGCATCTCCGTAACAGCTTTGAGTAATTATAACCTTTGCATAAAAAATATTAGTTGCAAATTACAAATCTAGTTAAACACTTTAAGTTTTTGGTGAAGAAACCATGAATTGACGACAATATCTTATTAAGAATGAAAAAAAACCATAATCCTTTGTAATACATCTTGTAAACAAAAATTTATGTAATGTACAATTGAGACTCTATTGAAAAATCTTGTTAACAACTTCAATTTGATTTTATAAGATGTAATTTTAATGATTGTGTTTATTACATACTGTGTAGAACAGCGTTTTCCAGTTTTCATGTAACGAACCTTTGTTTTAACGATTTATTTAATCAGAACATCTTATTTACGTAAGCTGTACAATGTTTCAACTGTATTTAATAACAAATGGATTCGTTTTATACAAATATAACCGTTTAATTCTTGTAATAACTTGCAGTTTTGAAGGTCTCCTTCGTTCATATCACTAAAACCGCGTTCATTATTTTAAAACTTTATGATGTTTCTAATTTTCAGGTTCGTCTGAGGAACACGTCAAGAGTGATTGTGAAAAACTACAGGTTGTAGATTTTTTGATCTTTTCGTCAATTTTATGACGTAAACTTCACGCATCGTCGTTTACTGTTTTGTAGAGTTACGTTGGCGGTCTCATGGAACAGTGGGAATTAAATGGTGAAATAAAAGAAGATTATGTACAGGAAATGTGCGTAGTTGACATTCTTAATAATTCTATGTCCTTTTCACACATTTCTTTGATGAACATTGTTGCCTTAGTAAAAGCCACATACCTTAACATCGACATCAATAAGTTCAACAGTTGTACAGGCCTGTAGAAATTGTGAAGGCATGGTCAGACTGCAGTCTCCATCAACAGATAATTTAATAAAGTTGTTTGGAAATTCCTTGAAAAAACGTAGTCACTTGTGCTCCCCAAAAATCCTTTTTTGCTTGCAGCGGACATGTTGTGTATAGTCATGACGAATTGAAAAGTGACGAATTTTTCATTTTGTGCATAGATGTCGTTTTGGTGGAAGTCAATTACATCCTGTTGCGTCGTTAATGGGTGGATCTGCCGCACATGAAGTCATCAAAATTATCACAAATCAGTATGTTCCGTTTCATGATTATTTCATCTTCAACGCGATGACAGGCTCTTCTGTAACTCTAAAACTTTGATCGTGTGCTTTTCAATTCCGTTCATTTGAACAGGAATTCAACAAATTCGAAAACGCCATGTCAGTCGTAAAAGCGAAAGATGAGTTCAACGTTATGTTTGTCATGCATTGACTAAAAACTTGTAGCCTTGCATATGACTTAATCAAGAGTGAACATCTTTCGTTTGCTTTTTTTACCAAGGTCTGTGAGAAAGTTTTTGTACAAATGAGAAAATTAATAGGCATGATGTAGATTGTGAAAATAAAACCGGACAGTTGATTTTGTACTATGCAGCAAACGTCATTTCCTAGAATTGAAACGGTTGTTAAATTGCATTTTGAACTTCGCCAAGATCTGCTTCTTGACTTTGATAAAAAATCACCAGTGTTTAAGATTGTGCGCACTTGTTATAAAGACCGAGATGAAAGAGCTTTTAATGAAATAAAGAAATACAAAATAAAACTCGCATTAAATTATTTTTTCAACATCCTTGATAGTACATAATAACTCTTAACTTTGTTGTATACAATCTGAACCTATAATTAATTTCACAAATTTAAAATACAAATTCCAACTCCTTTGACGAGATTATCTCTCGATCATATTATTGCTTTTAATTATAAGTTGTGCATAAATATGATTTAGATCATTCAAATAAATTATTTCTAATTGTCTTGTAATAGAAGTACATTTGCTGGAATGGTCAGTTCAGTGTTTATTTAACAACAACCTTTATAAGATTGTCATTATTGCAAGCGGGCTAGCAACATCTCTATAATGGATATCATCCTTAAATTATTATTCTGAAATGTTTTAAAAGATATCTTACGGATGTAAACGATAGTTTTAGGGTTAAGAGGTCAACAGCTTCTTATGTGATTAATACACTTCGTGAAATGTTCGGCGCTTTCTTGAAACCGTTCACTCAGTACTATAAAATGGACGTGTGGAAAAGAGACGTTCAAAGCGATTGATAAAAAATTCAACTTTAAGCAATACTTTAGGTCTTACTTCAATACAAACAAACAAAAATTATTTCATTTTGTTCTACGAAGTATTTTTTACCAAGACCAGTCACCCTCATAAACTAAACTACATGGAACAGTTTTACTTTTCTCGGTTTGGCCTCGTCTAATTAACTGAAATTATGGTCCGAAAAGTTACAAAGAACACTGACAATGACAAACCATGCATATCAATTTGTTGCAAAGGAACAACTAACTTTGCCAATTTTTATACGTACAAGAAGGAGTTTACGCACATTTCATTTAAACATGTGAACGTAGATAATTAGTGACATGAATTGATGATTAGCCGTTGTTTTTCGTGCAGAGCAACACCCACAGCGTGGGTTAAAGCATGCTTGTGTCTATATTTCATTTTCAAAAGCAAACACACTCGGACGTACGGCCTACGAGCGTTAAAGAGTGCTCAAAGTTAAATAAACTTTGCGTTATCGTGTTTCCGGTCTAAAGGACGGGAATGTCGTTGAAGCTCTTTGGAGTAGCCATCCTTTCATGTTTCTATGACGATACTTGGTTTGATGAAACTACGAAATACCCTCAAACATACATAAAAATACCTACAAATGAATAAAAATACAATAATCTGGAATGTTAGTCAACACAGAAAAAATAAAATTCTTATTAAGATATCGATTTAATACCCTTGAATATCGTCATCATTTAAACAACGTAATTGCATCCCTATGGGCCGGATAAATGGTGTAGTTATGGCATTGATTCAGAGGCCAGGAAGAGCTTTAGCGTGCACAAACGTCAGAAATATCAAAGCATCTTCTTCAGTAAATTACGGGCGGGTCTATTGTATTTTTTACTGTCTTCCTTTTGAAGATATTTTAAGCGAAGCTTGAGATTATAAAAAGGCGTTCAGTACTGCAAATCACAATCATAAACACCGAACACAGCAGTCATAAATATCAGAGAAGAAATTGGAAATTCTTAAATATTAAGTGAAAGATGAGCGACAACAAAACCGCAATTCTTGCTAACAATCAACGCTATCTTGCTTTACGAAACGTCTTTGGAAGATTAACCATAATAGCTGATGGAGAGCCAGGATCGGCTAACGAAATAGAAGGTAAGTTCGTAATGATTTTCTATATCCCTGCAATATGGCTCGTTCGACACATATTTTATAAAAAAGCGTTGTCATTACAATCAAAAAGTTTCCCACCCACGAGAACAAGCAGACTTTCAATAGAACAAGAAAACGTGATGTTTGTTAATGCACAGACCTCGACTACATTGCACTGTCCAGATAGAAATTGTAAAACTCCTTCTCTAATCTCATGATTCATTTACAGTTCAATTCATCATCGACCGAGGTACAAACTTCAACGTTATTGCTAATGGAGCAAGTAACACGATCGTTCGAATTCGACCAGCGTCTAACAACGGCAAATATATCGCCGTTGACGGTTCGTCGATTGTTTTAAAGGTAAATACTTTGAAATATCAGTGGATCCAGAACCTCACGTATGAATGATTGCAGACATAACATATAATGAGGTTGTAAGTGCTAAGCTTTGTATTTCTTTCTAGGATGTGCCAAATTCTTTAGCTATAAACGATTCTTCGTTTGATTTCTATGAAGAAAATGTTGCTGGGCAGTTCGATACTGTTCGGTTTGTTCATAGAGTTTCTGGGAGTTATTTGACTCTTCAACGTGGTACAAATCAGCTTGTCCTACAGCCCCCCTCGTCAGACAGAAACGCTTGGATGCGCTTGAGAAATATAGAAAACAACATAAGTTTATTTCGAGCTGAGATTACAGAGAGCGTGTACGTGGGGGAAAAATTGGAAAATGAATTATCCAGTGAAATTTCATACGAAATCTTCAGCAACAGCGAAGAATGAAAGGGTCGTAGTCGACGTGAAAAAGCGCCTTTACGATGAAACTTTTGATAGTTTTTTTTAATGAAATTTATCTATTTATTGCTGTTTATTTAGTTAGCATATTAATATTCCAACATAATTTGTATAAATTTATCAAAGGGATTTATATAATAATTTAAATTTATTTATTTTAGCGCGAATATTTGTATAAAAGTTGTCAAATAATTTTAATGTGTATTTATTGAGATTCATACAACGTTTTTAAAATTTTTATGAATAAAATACATTTTTTGAAAGAAATCAACAGTTCAATGTCGAGATCTTTGAGTGAATGACATTTTCCACTCGAAAAAAACATAATTTCAAACGAAGGGAAAAAATTTCGTGTTGTTGATTATTGCAAATGAAAACACATTGACAAAGCGTGATAGAAATTAGATTGACGTGTTAAAAAACAGTCAAAACTATGTCAGAATAATGTTATAAAATTTTAATGTGTGAATTCATCTTCACATTAATACATCTACGCATATGTTGTAGGAATTTGTCCATATACTGTCATTTATTGTTAAAAAGTTTTTGCAAAAACTTTTGCAAAAGTTCATGAGTTTTTTTGCAAACACTCATGCACAAAGTGCCGAAAACAAGTAAGAAATATTTTAGAAGGTTATTTTGAACTTATTCTGCATGAAATAAATAACATTTCTGATTTTTTCAATATCTACGAGTAAAGAGCGTATTGATACGGATAGTGCCAAGTGTCCTCATGAATTCTTTTCAGAACTAAGTGGTGGATATCATTTGGTGATATCTGTGGTAGGAGGGGATTCAGGTATGTTGGTGAAGGAAAACGGAGTTCGCGAAGATGAAGATAATTTTGAAGAAGCCATAAAAGCAGTGAATACATCTCTAAATACCACGAAGGTTTTAGCTTTGTACATATCCGGAAAGTGTCTAAATTAGTTATATCTAAAGCAGTTATAGTAACTGCATTTCTTCTAGACATATGGCCTGTTTCAAACGTCGCATTGTACACGAGCCGAATGCATTTAAAACAAAAGATAATGAGGACATTTATAACATTTCTTTTCTTTTAAATGCATTCGGTGCATGTAAAATGCGACGTTTGAAACGGACCGAACTTTCAAATTTTGATATTTCCAGAATCCTTCCGAAATAAAAGAAATTCTTGAGGATGTTAAATGTGATGTTGCCCCATCTTCGGTGAGACTTTTTATCGTGAAAATTAACCAAATACTTCGTGGGGAGGGAGAGTGAGGGAGTATATTGTTGCTAAATGAAGTACTTTCTTAATATTTCAGAACAGTTCATTTTGGATTTTATGTCGTGCTTTGAAAGAATTCGTGAACGAAACTGGTTGATAAACTTTCTTTATTTCACGCCGTGCTAATTTTTTGTAATTTTGTCATGAAACATTTTTTCTTTCTTGTGAAGGCAGCCTACCTCTGCGTGGATCGATTCCCGACATGACGGCGGATACGACACGTTTTATGGAATTGCAAAATTGGTAAGAAATATTCCTCGCAAACCGTTTCTTCAACATTTATATCTTGATAATATTTCAGGAACTTTTCTACGTTTAGTTATCATGAAAAATCGCTGGAAGATATCGAAAAAATAACCGAAAAAGTTCGTTTGATTTTAAAATCATTGCATAAGGTTCGCTATCCTCATTTGGATGTCCAGTTCTTTTGAATTGGAATGGTAATGTTGTTTTGACATTGATATTACATATTCAGAAACAGAACTTCATAAAAGATGAAGATATCCGGCTGTTTTGTAAGTTTTATTGAACATTAACATATGATCTTTCGAGGACGATACCAAATAGTCGTTTCAAATAATGAAAACTATAAAAAATGACGTCGTTTATTTGAAAAGCTCTTTTGAGTATTGATACAAAATTAGTCCATGTTATATTAAAACGTTTAATTCATTAAATTTCAGGTAAAAATTCAGCATTTCTGCGCGTAGTTCGTTGTACTTCGTTACAAGAAGAATTTAACAACATATCGACGCAATTTTTAGGTAAAATTTCGAGGTGAAGTTTTCGCTAATACAGGATGTTTAACTTGTAGTCTATATTTGTAGAACGATTACGTAATGAAGACGAGAATGACGTCATGTATATATTATTTCGAGCTATTTCTAAATTCCGTTCAAAACACGATAGATATCCCGGTAGGATTATATGCCAAATATTTTATTTCAATTATGTGTAGTTTTTGTTTGCTGTAGAAACTGACATTTTGTCTTTACTTGAGTTTAAATGTTCGTTCTCATACTTTACACTCCTTTATATAAAGTTCTCACTTTCAAAGACTTGTGAATTTCCAAGATATTTGCACAAAAATCGTTGTTTAAAGGTTTTAATCTATCTGAAGTGTCAAATCTTCACATTATCTTGTACTTTACTCCTCTGTCATGACTTAAAAAATACTCCATTCACTCGAGTTTGTTTTGTTGTAGAAATAGCTTAGAAAAGGTTGATTCCAAAGCGCCAACAAAAATAATCAGTATTAACAGTATTTCGATTATTTGTTTATCGTTTAAGCTTCTCCGTAACAGCTTTGAGTAATTATAACTTTTGCATAAAAATATTATTTGCAAATTACAAATCTAGTTAAACACTTTAAGTTTTGGTGAAGAAACTATGAATTGACGACAATATCTTATTAAGTATGAAAAAAAAACATGATCCTTTGTAATACATCTTGTAAACAAAAATTTAGGTTTTATGTAATGTACAATTAAGACTCTATCGAAAAATCTTGTTGACAACTTGAATTTGATTTTATAAGATGTATTTTTAATGATTTTGTTTATTACATACTGTGTGGAACAGCGTTTTCCAGTTTTCATGTAACGAACCTTTGTTTCAACGATTTATTTTATCAGAACACCTTATTTACGTAAGCTGTACAATGTTTCAACTGTATTTAATAACAAATGGATTCGTTTTATACAAATATAACCGTTTAATTCTTGTAATAACTTGCAGTTTTGAAGGTCTCCTTCGTTCATATCACTAAAACAGCGTTCATTATTTTAAAACTTTATGATGTTTCTAATTTTCAGGTTCGTCTGAGGAACACGTCAAGAGTGATTGTGAAAAACTACAGGTTGTAGATTTTTTGATCTTTTCGTCAATTTTATGACGTAAACTTCACGCATCGTCGTTTACTGTTTTGTAGAGTTACGTTGGCGGTCTCATGGAACAATGGGAATTAAATGGTGAAATAAAAGAAGATTATGTACAGGAAATGTGCGTAGTCGTCAATCTTACCAAGTCTACGTCCTTTTTACACATTTCTTTGATGAACATGGTTGCCTTAGTAACAGCGACATACCTTAACATCGACATCAATAAGTTGAACAGTTGCACAGGCCTGTAGAAATTGTGAAGGCATGGTCAGACTGCAGTCTCTCTCAACAAATAATTTAATAAAGTTGTTTGAAAATTTCTTGAATTCGTAGTCACTTGTGCTCATCCCCAAAAATCCTTTTTCGCTTGCAGCAGACATGTTGAGTATAGTTATGACGAATTGAAAAGTGACGAATTTTTCATTTTGTGCATAGATGTCGTTTTGGTGGAAGTCAATTGCATCCTGTTGCGTCGTTTATGGGTGGATCTGCCGCACATGAAGTCATCAAAATTATCACAAATCAGTATGTTCCGTTTCATGATTATTTCATCTTCAACGCGATGACAGGCTCTTCTGTAACTCTCAAACTTTGATCGTGTGCTTTTCAATTCCGTTCATTTGAACAGGAATTCAACAAATTCGAAAACGCCATGTCAGTCGTAAAAGCGAAAGATGAGTTCAACGTTATGTTTGTCATGCATTGACTAAAAACTTGTAGCCTTGCATATGACTTAATCAAGTGTGAACATCTTTCGTTTGCTTTTTACCAAGGTCTATGAGAAAGTTTTGTACAAATGAGAAAATTAATAGCATGATGTAGATTGTGAAAATAAAACCGGACAGTTGATTTTGTACTATGCAGCAAACGTCATTTCCTAGAATTGAAACGGTCGTTAAATGGCTTTTTGAACTTCGTCAAGATCTGCTTCTTGACTTTGATAAAAATCACCAGTGTTTAAGATTGTGCGCACTTGTTATAATGGCCGAGATCTAAGAGCTTTTAATGAAATAAAGAAATACAAAGTAAAACTCTCATTAAATTATTTTTTCAACATCCTTGATAGTATGTAATCACTCTTAATTTTGTTGTATACAATCTGAACCTATAAATAATTTCGCAAATTTAAAATAAAAATTTCAACTCCATTGACGAGATTATCTCTCGGTCATATTATTGCTTTTAATTATAAGTTGTTCATAAATATGATTTAGATCATTCAAATAAATTATTTCTAATTGTCTAGTAATAGAAGTACATTTGCTGGAATCGTCAGTTCAGTGTTTATTTAACAAGAACCTTTATAAGATTGTCATTATTGCAAGCGGGCTAGCAACATCTCTATATTGGATATCATCCTTAAATTATTATTCTGAAATGTTTTAAGAGATATCTTACGGATGTAAACGATAGTTTTAGGGTTAAGAGGTCAACAGCTTCTTATGTGATTAATACACTTCGTGAAATGTTCGGCGCTTTCTTGAAACCGTTCACTCAGTACTATAAAATGGACGTATGGAAAAGAGACGTTCAAAAAGATTGATAAAAAAGTCAATTTTAAGCAATATTTTAGTTCTTACTTCAATACAAACAGACAAAAATCATTTCATTTTGTTCTACGAAGTATTTTTTTTTCGCTCTTCATAAACTAAACTACATTGAACAGTTTACTTTTCTCAGTTTGGCCTCGTCTAGTTAACTGAAATTATGGTCCGAAAAGTTACAAAGAACACTGACAATGACAAAGCCATGCATATCAATTTGTTGCAAAGGAACAACTAACTTTGCCAATTTTTTATACGTACAAGAAGGAGTTTACGCACATTTCATTTAAAGATGTGAACTTAGATAATTAGTGACATGAATTGATGATTAGCCGTTGTTTTTCGTGCAGAGCAACACCCACAGCGTGGGTTAAAGCATGCTTGTGTGTGTCTTTCATTTTCCAAAGCAAACACACTCGGACGTACGGCCTACGAGCATTAAAGAGTGCTCAAAGTTAAATAAACTTTGCGTTATCGTGTTTCCGGTCTAAAGGACGGGAATGTCGTTGAAGCTCTTTGGAGTAGCCGTTTTTCATGTTTCTATGACGATACTTGGTTTGAGGAAAGTACGAAATACCCTCAAACATACATAAAATACCTACAAATGAATAAAAATACAATAATCTGGAATGTTAGTCAACACAGAAAAAATAAAATTCTTATTAAGATATCGATTTAATACCCTTGAATATCGTCATCATTTAAACAACGTAATTGCATCCCTATGGGCCGGATAATTGGTGTAGTTATGGCATTGATTCAGAGGCCAGGAAGAGCTTTAGCGTGCACAAACGTCAGAAATATCAAAGCATCTTCTTCAGTAAACTACGGGCGGGTCTATTGTATATTTTACTGTCTTCCTTTTGAAGATATTTTAAGCGAAGCTTGAGATTATAAAAAGGCGTTCAGTGCTGCAAATCACAATCATAAACACCGAACACAACAGTCATAAATATCAGAGAAGAAATTGGAAATTCTTAAATATTAAGTGAAAGATGAGCGACAACAAAACCGCAATTCTTGCTAACAATCAACGCTATCTTGCTTTACGAAACGTCTTTGGAAGATTAACCATAATAGCTGATGGAGAGCCAGGATCGGCTAACGAAATAGAAGGTAAGTTCGTAATGATTTTCTATATCCCTGCAATATGGCTCGTTCGACACATATTTTATAAAAAAGCGTTGTCATTACAATCAAAAAGTTTCCCACCCACGAGAACAAGCAGACTTTCAATAGAACAAGAAAACGTGATGTTTGTTAATGCACAGACCTCGACTACATTGCACTGTCCAGATAGAAATTGTAAAACTCCTTCTCTAATCTCATGATTCATTTACAGTTCAATTCATCATCGACCGAGGTACAAACTTCAACGTTATTGCTAATGGAGCAAGTAACACGATCGTTCGAATTCGACCAGCGTCTAACAACGGCAAATATATCGCCGTTGACGGTTCGTCGATTGTTTTAAAGGTAAATACTTTGAAATATCAGTGGATCCAGAGCCTCACGTATGAATAATTGCAGACATGACATATAATGAAGTTGTAAGTGCCAAGCTTTTGTATTTCTTTCTAGGATGTGCCAAATTCTTTAGCTATAAACGATTCTTCGTTTGATTTCTATGAAGAAAATGTTGCTGGGCAGTTCGATACTGTTCGGTTTGTTCATAGAGTTTCTCGGAGCTATTTGACTCTTCAACGTGGTACAAATCAGCTTGTCCTACAGCCCCCCTCGTCAGACAGAAACGCTTGGATGCGCTTGAGAAATATAGAAAACAACATAAGTTTATTTCGAGCTGAGATTACAGAGAGCGTGTACGTGGGGGAAAAATTGGAAAATGAATTATCCAGTGAAATTTCATACGAAATCTTCAGCAACAGCGAAGAATGAAAGGGTCGTAGTCGACGTGAAAAAGCGCTTTTACCATGGAACTTTTGATAGTTTTTTTTAATGAAATTTATCTATTTATTGCTGTTTATTTAGTTAGCATATTAATATTCCAACATAATTTGTATAAATATATCGAAGGGATTTATATAATAATTTAAATTTATTTATTTTAGCGCGAATATTTGTATAAAAGTTGTCAAATAATTTTAATGTGTATTTATTGAGATTCATACAACGTTTTTAAAATTTTTATGAATAAAATACATTTTTTGAAAGAAATCAACAGTTCAATGTCGAGATCTTTGAGTGAATGACATTTTCCACTCGAAAAAAACATAATTTCAAACGGAGGGGAAAAATTTCGTGTCAGTGATTATTGCAAATGTAAACACATTGACAAAGCGTGATAGAAATTAGATTTGACGTGATAAAAAAACAGTCAAAACTATGTCAGAATAATGTTATAAAATTTAATGTGTGAATTCATCTTCACATTAATACATCTACGCATATGTTGTAGGAATTTGTCCATATACTGTCATTTATTGTTAAAAAGTTTTTGCAAAAACTTTTGCAAAAGTTCATGAGTTTCTTTGCAAACACTCATGCACAAAGTGCCGAAAACAAGTAAGAAATATTTTAGAAGGTTATTTTGAACTTATTCTGCATGAAATAAATGACATTTCTGATTTTTTCAATATCTACGAGTAAAGAGCGTATTGATACGGATAGTGCCAAGTGTCCTCATGAATTCTTTTCAGAACTAAATGGTGGATATCATTTGGTGATATCTGTGGTAGGAGGGGATTCAGGTATGTTGGTGAAGGAAAACGGAGTTCGCGAGGATGAAAATAATTTTGAAGAAGCCATAAAAGCAGTGAATACATCTCTAAATACCACGAAGGTTTTAGCTTTGTACATATCCGGAAACTGTCTAATTTAGTTATATCTACAGCAGTTATAGTAACTGCATTTCTTCTAGACATATAGCCTGTTTCAAACGTCGCATTGTACACGAGCCGAACGCATTTAAAACAAAAGATAATGAGGAATTTCATAACATTTCTTTTCTTTTAAATGCATTCGGCGCATGTAAAATGCGACGTTTGAAACGGACCAATCTTTCAAATTTTGATACATTTTGATATTTCCAGATTCCTCCCGAAATAAAAGAAATTCTTGAGGATGTTAAATGTGATGTTGCCCCATCTTCGGTGAGACTTTTTATCGTGGAAATTAACCAAATACTTCGTGGGGGGAGGGGAGGGTGAGGGGAGAGTATATTGTTGCTAAATGAAGTACTTTCTTAATATTTCAGAACAGTTCATTTTGGATTTTATGTCGTGCTTTGAAAGAATTCGTGAACGAAACTGGTTGATAAACTTTCTTTATTTCACGCCGTGCTAATTTTTGTAATTTTGTCTTGAAACATTTTTTCTTTCTTGTGAAGGCAGCCTACCTCTGCGCGGATCGATTCCCGACATGACGGCGGATACGACACGTTTTATTGAATTGCAAAATTGGTAAAAAATATTCCTCGCAAACCGTTTTTTCAACATTTATATCTTGATATTATTTCAGGAACTTTTCTACGTTTAGTTATCATGAAAAATCGCTGGAAGATATCGAAAAATGACCGAAAAGTTCGTTTGATTTTAAAATCATTGCATAAGGTTCGCTATCCTCATTTGGATGTCAAGTTCTTTTGAATTGGAATCGTAATGTTGTTATGACATTGATATTACATATTCAGAAACAGAACTTCATAAAAGATGAAGATATCCGGCTGTTTTGTAAGTTTTATTGAACATTAACATATGATCTTTCGAGGACGATACCAAATAGTCGTTTCAAATAATGAAAACTATAAAAAATAACGTCTTTATTTGAAAAGCTTTCTTGAGTATTGATACAAAATTAGTCCATGTTATATTAAAACGTTTAATTCATTAAATTTCAGGTAAAAATTCAGCATTTCTGCGCGTAGTTCGTTGTACTTCGTTACAAGAAGAATTTAACAACATATCGACGCAATTTTTAGGTAAAATTTCGAGGTGACGTTTTCGCTAATACAGTATGTTTAACTTGTAGTCTATATTTGTAGAACGATTACGTAATGAAGACGAGAATGACGTCATGTATATATTATTTCGAGCTATTTATAAATTCCGTTCAAATCACCATAGATATCCCGGTAGGATTATATGGCAAATATTTTATTTCAATTATGTGTAGTTTTTGTTTGCTGTAGAAACTGACATTTTGTCTTTACTTGAGTTTAAATGTTCGCTCTCATATTTTACACACCTTTATATAAAGTTCTCACTTTCAAAGACTTGTGAATTTCCAAGATATTTGCACAAAAATCGTTGTTTAAAGGTTTTAATCTATCTGAAGTGTCAAATCTTCACGTTATCTTGTACTTTACTCCTCTGTCATGACTTAAAAAATACTCCATTCACTCGAGTTGGTTTTGTTGTAGAAACAGCTTAGAAAAGGTTGATTCCAAAGCGCCAACAAAATTAATCAGTATTAACAGTATTTCGATTATTTGTTTATCGTTTAAGCTTCTCCGTAACAGCTTTGAGTAATTATAACTTTTGCATAAAAAGTATTATTTGCAAATTACAAATCTAGTTAAACACTTTAAGTTTTTGGTGAAGAAACTATGAATTGACGACAACATCTTATTAAGTATGAAAAAAAACATGATCCTTTGTAATACGTCTTGTAAACAAAAATTTAGGTTTTATGTAATGTACAATTGAGACTCTATCGAAAAATCTTGTTGACAACTTGAATTTGATTTTATAAGATGTATTTTTAATGATTTTGTTTATTACATACTGTGTGGAACAGCGTTTTCCAGTTTTCATGTAACGAACCTTTGTCTTGACGATATATTTTATCAGAACATCTTATTTACGTAAGCTGTACAATGTTTCAACTGCAACTAATAACAAATGGATTTGTTTTATACAAATATAACCGTTTAATTCTTGCAATAACTTGCAGTTTTGAAGGTCTCCTTCGTTCATATCACTAAAACAGCGTTCATTATTTTAAAACTTTATGATGTTTCTAATTTTCAGGTTCGTCTGAGGAACACGTCAAGAGTGATTGTGAAAAACTACAGGTTGTAGATTTTTTGATCTTTTCGTCAATTTTATGACGTAAACTTCACGCATCGTCGTTTACTGTTTTGTAGAGTTACGTTAGCGGTCTCATGGAACAGTGGGGATTAAATGGTGAAATAAAAGAAGATTATGTACAGGAAATGTGGGTAGTTGTCAATCTTAACAAGTCTACGTCCTTTTCACACATTTCTTTGATGAACATGGTTGCCTTAGTAACAGTGACATACCTTAACATCGACATCAATAAGTTGAACAGTTGTACAGGCCTGTAGAAATTGTGAAGGCATGATCAGACTGCAGTCTCCATCAACAAATAATTTAATAAAGTTATTTGAAAAGTCCTTGAAAAAACGTAGTCACTTTTGCTCCCCTCCCCCCCCCCTCCCAAAAAAAATCCTTTTTCGCTTGCAGCGGACATGTTTAGTATAGTTATGACGAATTGAAAAGTGACGAATTTTTCATTTTGTGCATAGATGTCGTTTTGGTGGAAGTCAATTGCATCCTGTTGCGTCGTTTATGGGTGGATCTGCCGCACACGAAGTCATCAAAATTATCACAAATCAGTATGTTCCGTTTCATGATTATTTCATCTTCAACGCGATGACAGGCTCTTCTGTAACTCTAAAACTTTGATCGTGTGCTTTTCAATTCCGTTCATTTGAACAGGAATTCCACAAATTCGAAAACGCCATGTCAGTCGTAAAAGCGAAAGATGAGTTCAATGTTGTGTTTGTCATGCATTGACTAAAACTTGTAGCCTTGCATATGACTTAATCAAGTGTGAACATCTTTCGTTTGCTTTTTTTACCAAGGTCTATGAGAAAGTTTTTGTACAATTGAGAAAATTAATAGGCATGATGTAGATTGTGAAAATAAAACCGGACAGTTGATTTTGTACTATGCAGCAAACGTCATTTCCTAGAATTGAAACGGTCGTTAAATGGCTTTATAACTTCGTCAAGATCTGCTTCTTGACTTTGATTAAAAATCGCCAGTGTTTAAGATTGTGCGCACTTGTTATAATGGCCGAGATCAAAGAGCTTTTAATGAAATAAAGAAATACAAAGTAAAAATCGCATTAAATTATTTTTTCAACATTCTTGATCGTACATAATAACTCTTAATTTTGTTATATACAATCTGAACCTATAAATAATTTCACAAATTTAAAATAAAAATTCCAACTCCTTTGACGAGATTATCTCTCGATCATATTATTGCTTTTAATTATAAGTTGTGCATAAATATGATTTAGATCATTCAAATAAATTATTTCTAATTATCTAGTAATAGAAGTAAATTTGCTGGAATGGTCAGCTCAGTGTTTATGTAACAAGAACCTTTATAAGATTGTCATTATTGCAAGCGGGCTAGCAGCATCTCTATAATGGATATCATCCTTAAATTATTATTCTGAAATGTTTTAAAAGATATCTTACGGATGTAAACGATAGTTTTAGGGTTAAGAGGTCAACAGCTTCTTATGTGATTAATACACTTCGTGAAATGTTCGGCGCTTTCTTGAAACCGTTCACTCAGTACTATAAAATGGACGTGTGGAAAAGAGACGTTCAAAGCGATTGATAAAAAAGTCAATTTTAAGCAATACTTTAGGTCTTACTTCAATACAAACAAACAAAAATTATTTCATTTTGTTCTACGAAGTATTTTTTTTTTACCAAGACCAGTCACCCTCATAAACTAAACTACATGGAACAGTTTTACTTTTCTCGGTTTGGCCTCGTCTAATTAACTGAAATTATGGTCCGAAAAATTACAAAGAACACTGACAATGACAAAACCATGCATATCAATTTGTTGTAAAGGAACAACTAACTTTGCCAATTTTTTATACGTACAAGAAGGAGTTTACGCACATTTCATTTAAGGATGTGAACGTAGATAATTAGTGACATGAATTGATGATTAGCCGTTGTTTTTCGTGCAGAGCAACACCCACAGCGTGGGTTAAAGCATGCTTGTGTCTATATTTCATTTTCAAAAGCAAACACACTCGGACGTACGGCCTACGAGCATTAAAGAGTGCTCAAAGTTAAATAAACTTTGCGTTATCGTGTTTCCGCTCTAATGTCGTATGAAATGTCGTTGAAGCTCTTTGGAGTAGCCGTCCTTCATGTTTCTATGACGATACTTGGTTTGAGGAAACTACGAAATACCCTCAAACATACATAAAGTACCTACAAATGCATAAAAATACAATAATCTGGAATGTTAGTCAACACAGAAAAATAAAATTCTTATTAAGATATCGATTTAATACCCTTGAATATCGTCATCATTTAAACAACGTAATTGCATCCCTATGGGCCGGATAATTGGTGTAGTTATGGCATTGATTCAGAGGCCAGGAAGAGCTTTAGCGTGCACAAACGTCAGAAATATCAAAGCATCTTCTTCAGTAAACTACGGGGCGGGTCTATTGTATATTTTACTGTCTTCCTTTGAAGATATTTTAGCGAAGCTTGAGATTATAAAAGGCGTTCAGTGCTGCAAATCACAATCATAAACACCGAACACAACAGTCATATATATCAGAGAAGAAATTGGAAATTCTTAAATATTAAGTGAAAGATGAGCGACAACAAAACCGCAATTCTTGCTAACAATCAACGCTATCTTGCTTTACGAAACGTCTTTGGAAGATTGACCATAATAGCTGATGGAGAGCCAGGATCGGCTAACGAAATAGAAGGTAAGTTCGTAATGATTTTCTATATCCCTGCAATATGGCTCGTTCGACACATATTTTATAAAAAAGCGTTGTCATTACAATTAAAAAGTTTCCCGCCCACGAGAACAAGCAGACTTTCAAAAGAACAAGAAAACGTGTATGTTTGTTAATGCACAGACCTCGACTACATTGCACTGTCCAAATAGAAATTGTAAAACTCCTTTTCTAATCTCATGATTCATTTACAGTTCAATTCATCATCGACCGAGGTACAAACTTCAACGTTATTGCTAATGGAGCAAGTAACACGATCGTTCGAATTCGACCAGCGTCTAACAACGGCAAATATATCGCCGTTGACGGTTCGTCGATTGTTTTAAAGGTAAATACTTTGAAATTTCAGTGGATCCAGAACCTCACGTATGAATGATTGCAGACATAACATATAATGAGGTTGTAAGTGCTAAGCTTTTGTATTTCTTTCTAGGATGTGCCAAATTCTTTAGCTATAAACGATTCTTCGTTTGATTTCTATGAAGAAAATGTTGCTGGGCAGTTCGATACTGTTCGGTTTGTTCATAGAGTTTCTGGGAGTTATTTGACTCTTCAACGTGGTACAAATCAGCTTGTCCTACAGCCCCCCTCGTCAGACAGAAACGCTTGGATGCGCTTGAGAAATATAGAAAACAACATAAGTTTATTTCGAGCTGAGATTACAGAGAGCGTGTACGTGGGGGAAAAATTGGAAAATGAATTATCCAGTGAAATTTCATACGAAATCTTCAGCAACAGCGAAGAATGAAAGGGTCCTGGTCGACATGAAAAAGCGCTTTTACCATGGAACTTTTGATAGTTTTTTTTAATGAAATTTATCTATTTATTGCTGTTTATTTAGTTAGCATATTAATATTCCAACATAATTTGTATAAATTTATCACAGGGATTTATATAATTATTTAAATTTATTTATTTTAGTGCGAATATTTGTATAAAAGTTGTGAAATAATTTTAGTGCGTATTTATTGAGATTCATACAACGTTTTTAAGATTTTTATGAATAAAATACATTTTTTGAAAGAAATCAACAGTTCAATGTCGAGATCTTTGAGTAAAGGACATTTTCCACTCGAAAAAAAACATAATTTCAAACGAAGGGGGAAAATTTCGTGTCAGTGATTATTGCAAATGAAAACACATTGACAAAGCGTGATAGAAATTAGATTGACGTGTTAAAAAACAGTCAAAACTATGTCAGAATAATGTTATAAAATTTTAATGTGTGAATTCATCTTCACATTAATACATCTACGCATATGTTGTAGGAATTTGTCCATATACTGTCATTTATTGTTAAAAGTTTTGCAAAACTTTTGCAAAGTTCATGAGTTTTTGCAAAACTCATGCACAAAGTGCCGAAAACAAGTAAGAAATATTTTAGAAGGTTATTTTGAACTTATTCTGCATGAAATAAATAACATTTCTGATTTTTTCAATATCTACGAGTAAAGAGCGTATTGATACGGATAGTGCCAAGTGTCCTCATGAATTCTTTTCAGAACTAAATGGTGGATATCATTTGGTGATATCTATGGTAGAAGGGATTCAGGTATGTTGGTGAAGGAAAACGGAGTTTGCGAAGATGAAGTTAATTTTGAGGAAGCCATAAAAGCAGTGAATACATCTCTAAATACCACGAAGGTTTTAGCTTTGTACATATCCGGAAAGTGTCTAATTTAGTTATATCTACAGCAGTTGTAGTAACTGCATTTCTTCTAGACATATGGCCTGTTTCAAACGTCGCATTGTACACGAGCCGAATGCATTTAAAACAAAAGATAATGAGGAATTTTATAACATTTCTTTTCTTTTAAATGCATTCGGCGCATGTAAAATGCGACGTTTGAAACGGACCAAACTTTCAAATTTTGATATTTCCAGATTCCTTCCGAAATAAAAGAAATTCTTGAGGATGTTAAATGTGACGTTGCCCCATCTTCGGTGAGACTTTTTATCGTGAAAATTAACCAAATGCTTCGTGGGGGGAGGGGAGGGTGAGGGGAGAAGGGTGAGGGGAGAGTATATTGTTGCTAAATGAAGTACTTTCTTAATATTTCAGAACAGTTCATTTTGGATTTTATGTCGTGCTTTGAAAGAATTCGTGAACAAACTGGTTGATAAACTTTCTTTATTTCATGCCGTGCTAATTTTTGTAATTTTGTCATGAAACATTTTTTCTTTCTTGTGAAGGCAGCCTACCTCTGCGCGGTTCGATTCCCGACATGACGGCGGATACGACACGTTTTATTGAATTGCAAAATTGGTAAAAATATTCCTCGCAAACCATTTTTCAACATTTATATCTTGATATTATTTCAGGAACTTTTCTGCGTTTAGTTATCATGAAAAATCGCTGGAAGATATCGAAAAATGACCGAAAAAGTTCGTTTGATTTTAAAATCATTGCATAAGGTTCGCTATCCTCATTTGGATGTCCAGTTCTTTTGAATTGGAATCGTAATGTTGTTATGACATTGATATTACATATTCAGAAACAGAACTTCATAAAGGATGAAGATATCCGGCTGTTTTGTAAGTTTTATTGAACATTAACATATGATCTTTGAGGACGATACCAAATAGTCGTTTCAAATAATGAAAACTATAAAAATGACGTCATTTATTTGAAAAGCTTTCTTGAGTATTGATACAAATTAGTCCATGTTATATTAAAACATTTAATTCATTAATTTTCAGGTAAAAATTCAGCATTTCTGCGCGTAGTTCGTTGTACTTCGTTACAAGAAGAATTTAACAACATATCGACGCGATTTTTAGGTAAAATTTCGAGGTGACGTTTTCGCTAATACAGTATGTTTAACTTGTAGTCTATATTTGTAGAACGATTACGTAATGAAGACGAGAATGACGTCATGTATATATTATTTCGAGCTATTTATAAATTTCGTTCAAATCACGATAGATATCCCGGTAGGATTATATGCCAAATATTTTATTTCAATTATATGTAGTTTTTGTTTGCTGTAGAAATTAACATTCTGTCTTTACTTGAGTTTAAATGTTCGTTTTCATACTTTACACACCTTTATATAAAGTTCTCACTTTCAAAGACTTGTGAATTTCTAAGATATTTGCACAAAGATCGTTGTTTAAAGGTTTTAATCTATCTGAAGTGTCAAATCTTCATGTTATCTTGTACTTTACTCCTCTGTCATGACTTAAAAAATACTCCATTCACTCGAGTTCGTTTTGTTGTAGAAACAGCTTAGAAAAGGTTGATTCCAAAGCGCCAGCAAAAATAATCAGTATTAACAGTATTTCGATTATTTGTTTATCGTTTTAGCTTTTCCGTAACAGCTTTGAGTAATTATAACTTTTGCATAAAAAATATTATTTGCAAATTACAAATCTAGTTAAACACTTTAAGTTTTTGGTGAAGAAACTATGAATTGACGACAATATCTTATTAATTATGAAAAAAAAACCATAATCCTTTGTAATACGTCTTGTAAACAAAAATTTAGGTTTTATGTAATGTACAATTGAGACTCTATTAAAAAATCTTGTTGACAACTTGAATGTGATTTTATAAGATGTATTTTTAATGATTGTGTTTATTACATACTGTGTAGAACAGCGTTTTCCAGTTTTCATGTAACGAACCTTTGTTTTAACGATTTATTTTATCAGAACATCTTATTTACGTAAGCTGTACAATGTTTCAACTGCAACTAAATAACAAATGGATTCGTTTTATACAAATATAACCGTTTGATTCTTGTAATAACTTGCAGTTTTGAAGGTCTCCTTCGTTCATATCACTAAAACAGCGTTCATTATTTTAAAACGTTATGATGTTTCTAATTTTCAGGTTCGTCTGAGGAACACGTCAAGAGTGATTGTGAGAAACTACAGGTTGTAGATTTTTTGATCTTTTCGTCAATTTTATGACGTAAACTTCACGCATCGTCGTTTACTGTTTTGTAGAGCTATGTTGGCGGTCTCATGGAACAGTGGGAATTAAATGGTGAAATAAAAGAAGATTATGTACAGGAAATGTGCGTAGTTGACAATCTTAACAAGTCTATGTCCTTTTCACACATTTCTTTGATGAACATGGTTGCCTTAGTAACAGCGACGTACCTTAACATCAACATCAATAAATTCAACAGTTGTACAGGCCTTTAGAAATTGTGAAGGCATGATCAGACTGCAGTCTCCATCAACAAATAATTTAATAAAGTTGTTTGAATATTCCTTAAAAAAACGTAGTCACTTGTGCTCCCCTCCCCCCCCCTCCCCCATCCCCCAAAAAATCCTTTTTCGCTTGCATCGGACATGTTGAGTATAGTTATGACGAATTGAAAAGTGACGAATTTTTATTTTGTGCATAGATGTCGTTTTGGTGGAAGTCAATTACATCCTGTTGCGTCGTTTATGGGTGGATCTGCCGCACATGAAGTCATCAAAATTATCACAAATCAGTATGTTCCGTTTCATGATTATTTCATCTTCAACGCGATGACAGGCTCTTCTGTAAGTCTAAAACTTTGATCGTGTGCTTTTCAATTCCGTTCATTTGAACAGGAATTCCACAAATTCGAAAACGCCATGTCAGTCGTAAAAGCGAAAGATGAGTTCAATGTTGTGTTTGTCATGCATTGACTAAAACTTGTAGCCTTGCATATGACTTAATCATGTGTGAACATCTTTCGTTTGCTTTTTTTACCAAGGTCTATGAGAAAGTTTTTGTACAAATGAGAAAATTAATAGGCATGATGTAGATTGTGAAAATAAAACCGGACAGTTGATTTTGTACTATGCAGCAAACGTCATTTCCTAGAATTGAAACGGTCGTTAAATGGCTTTTGAACTTCGTCAAGATCTGCTTCTTGACTTTGATAAAAATCGCCAGTGTTTAAGATTGTGCGCACTTGTTATAATGGCCGAGATCAAAGAGCTTTTAATGAAATAAAGAAATACAAAATAAAACTCGCATTAAATTATTTTTCAACATCCTGATAGTAAATAATAACTCTTAATTTTGTTATATACCATCTGAACCTATAATTAATTTCGCAAATTTAAAATAAAATTCCAACTCCTTTGACGAGATTATCTCTCGATCATATTATTGTTTTTAATTATAAGTTGTGCATAAATTGATTTAGATCATTCAAATAAATTATTGCTAATTGTCTAGTAATAGAAGTACATTTGCTGGAATGGTCAGCTCAGTGTTTATTTAACAAGAACCTTTATAAGATTGTCATTATTGCAAGCGGGCTAGCAACATCTCTATAATGGATATCATCCTTAAATTATTATTCTGAAATGTTTTAAAAGATATCTTACGGATGTAAACGATAGTGTTAGGGTTAAGAGGTCAACAGCTTCTTATGTGATTAATACACTTCGTGAAATGTTCGGCGCTTTCTTAAAACCGTTCACTCAGTACTATAAAATGGACGTGTGGAAAAGAGACGTTCAAAGCGATTGATAAAAAGTCAATTTTAAGCAATACTTTAGGGCTTACTTCAATACAAACAGGCAAAAATTATTTCATTTTGTTCTACGAAGTATTTTTTTTACCAAGACCAGTCGCTCTTCATAAACTAAACTACATTGAACAGTTTTACTTTTCTCGGTTTGGCCTCGTCTAATTAACTGAAATTATGGTCCGAAAAGTTACAAAGAACACTGACAATGACAAACCCATGCATATCAATTTGTTGCAAAGGAACAACTAACTTTGCCAATTTTTTATACGTACAAGAAGGAGTTTACGCACATTTCATTTAAGGATGTGAACGTAGATAATTAGTGACATGAATTGATGATTAGCCGTTGTTTTTCGTGCAGAGCAACACCCACAGCGTGGGTTAAAGCATGCTTGTGTCTATATTTCATTTTCAAAAGCAAACACACTCGGACGTACGGCCTACGAGCATTAAAGAGTGCTCAAAGTTAAATAAACTTTGCGTTATCGTGTTTCCGGTCTAAAGGACGGGAATGTCGTTGAAGCTCTTTGGAGTAGCCATCCTTTCATGTTTCTATGACGATACTTGGTTTGATGAAACTACGAAATACCCTCAAGCATACATAAAATACCTACAAATGAATAAAAATACAATAATCTGGAATGTTAGTCAACACAGAAAAAATAAAATTCTTATTAAGATATCGATTTAATACCCTTGAATATCGTCATCATTTCAACAACGTAATTGCATCCCTATGGGCCGGATAATTGGTGAAGTTATGGCATTGATTCAGAGGCCAGGAAGAGCTTTAGCGTGCACAAACGTCAGAAATATCAAAGCATCTTCTTCAGTAAATTACGGGTGGGTCTATTGTATTTTTTACTGTCTTCCTTTTGAAGATATTTTAAGCAAAGCTTGAGATTATAAAAAGGCGTTCAGTGCTGCAAATCACAATCATAAACACCGAACACAGCAGTCATAAATATCAGAGAAGAAATTGGAAATTCTTAAATATTAAGTGAAAGATGAGCGACAACAAAACCGCAATTCTTGCTAACAATCAACGCTATCTTGCTTTACGAAACGTCTTTGGAAGATTAACCATAATAGCTGATGGAGAGCCAGGATCGGCTAACGAAATAGAAGGTAAGTTCGTAATGATTTTCTATATCCCTGCAATATGGCTCGTTCGACACATATTTTATAAAAAAGCGTTGTCATTACAATTAAAAAGTTTCCCACCCACGAGAACAAGCAGACTTTCAATAGAACAAGAAAACGTGATGTTTGTTAATGCACAGACCTCGACTACATTGCACTGTCCAGATAGAAATTGTAAAACTCCTTCTCTAATCTCATGATTCATTTACAGTTCAATTCATCATCGACCGAGGTACAAACTTCAACGTTTTGCTAATGGAGCAAGTAACACGATAGTTCGCATTCGACCAGCGTCTAACAACGGCAAATATATCGCCGTTGACGGTTCGTCGATTGTTTTAAAGGTAAATACTTTGAAATATCAGTGGATCCAGATCCTCACGTTTGAATAATTGCAGACATAACATACAATGAAGTTGTAAGTGCTAAGCTTTTGTATTTCTTTCTAGGATGTGCCAAATTCTTTAGCTATCAACGATTCTTCGTTTGATTTCTATGAAGAAAATGTTGCTGGGCAGTTCGATACTGTTCGGTTTGTTCATAGAGTTTCTGGGAGCTATTTGACTCTTCAACGTGATACAAATCAGCTTGTCCTACAGCCCCCCTCGTCAGACAGAAACGCTTGGATGCGCTTGAGAAATATAGAAAACAACATAAGTTTATTTCGAGCTGAGATTACAGAGAGCGTGTACGTGGGGGAAAAATTGGAAAATGAATTATCCAGTGAAATTTCATACGAAATCTTCAGCAACAGCGAAGAATGAAGGGTCGTAGTCGACATGAAAAGTGCCTTTACGATGAAACTTTTGATAGTTTTTTAATGAAATTTATCTATCTATTGCTGTTTATTTAGTTAGCATATTAATATTCCAACATAATTTGTATAAATTTATTAAAGGGATTTACATAATTATTTAAATTTATTTATTTTGGCGCGAATAGTTGTATAAAAGTTGTCAAATAATTTTAATGTGTATTTATTGAGATTCATACAACGTTTTTAAGATTTTTATGAATAAAATACATTTTTTGAAAGAAATCAACAGCTTAATGTCGAGATCTTTAAGTAAATGACGTTTTCTACTCGAAAAAAACAAATTCAAACGAAGGGGGAAAATTTCGTGTCAGTGATTATTGCAAATGAAAACACATTGACAAAGCGTGATAGAAATTAGATTTGACGTGTTAAAAAACAGTCAAAACTATGTCAGAATAATGTTATGAAATTTTAATGTGTGAATTCATCTTCACATTAATACATCTACGCATATGTTGTAGGAATTAGTCCATATACTGTAATTTGTTGTTAAAAAGTTTTGCAAAACTTTTGAAACGTTCATGAGTTTTTGTAAAAACTCATGCACAAAGTGCCGAAAACAAGTACGAAATATTTGAGAAGGTTATTTTGAACTTATTCTGCATGAAATAAATGACATTTCTGATTTTTTCAATATGTACGAGTAAAGAGCGTATTGGTACGGATAGTCCCAAGTGTCCTCATGAATTCCTGATGCATCATTTGGTGATATCTGTGGTAGGAGGGACTTGGTTACGTCATAGGCAACACGTGACCTAATTGAAATTTACATTTTTATTTTCACCTTGCTTTTCTTTATGCGATTATAAAAAATGTTACAAAACGAAACTTTGCTCTAACTTTTCAAAGTTAAATAAGTTGTGTTGATTCTTGGATTAAGTTACGAAAATCTTTTTCTTGTTATATAACCGTCAGTGATTAAAGCGCGGGCCACACTATCGTCGAAATGCAACGAATTTCGTGACGAGTCGCTCGTCAACGAGAAAATATGACGATATGGACGAATTCGTCGCCGTTGAGCATGCACACCGAAATCGTCAACGAGTGACGAGTAATTGTTGCATATCTACTCTGATTGGACAAGAAAAATCACATGACTAATGTTTACTTTCACTGTGCTGTGGCAAAATGGCAGATTGGCAAGAAATATTAGTTGAGCTAGTGAGAGAGAGGCGATGTTTGTGGGACAAATTTCACCCTGACTATAAAGATACACGCAATATAAAGAAAAATAATTGGAAGGATGTTGCTCGGGAACTGAAAGTTGCGACCAATAGAGCTTGACGAAGCTCTTGCAACAACGTGTCATACAAGCCCTTCTCTTCTCGCCTTTTATTTATGGGATGTACCCAGAACCTTCTTTTGTATGTAAGTCGTTTTTCAGAAATTAGAAGCAGTAGAATTTTTCTCTTCAATAATTGAAGTTTCTTTTTGCGCTGATAATCGTCCATGCTTGTACGGAAAATCGTTACAATGTGGCACATGTACTCGTCACGACGGCTCGTTGACGAGCGACTCGTCACGAAATTCGTTGCATTTCGACGATAGTGTGGCCCGCGCTTAACAGTTCCGCTGACTGCGAGCCTTCGAATTTTGCTTAAACAGCCCAGCGGTGTTGCGCTAAAAAGTAAAACCATTTCAGCATGGTGGAAGAAGGCTTGCTGTTTTTCACAGAAATTTTCCCTTTCTTACTGTTCAAAGATGCTTCGTTGAGCAGAAATGAAACTCTTGGATTGTGTAAAAATAAACTGCCGTACCAAGAATGTGTTACGGAACGGTTTCCATGTTCATATTTGACATTTTTCGATGGAAACGAAGTTTCATATTGAATGTGAAATTTTATACAAGAATATGAACAAGACAAAGGACGCGAAGGTTAGCAAAGCTTAGACATATTAAATAGGATATGGTAAACATGTTTGTTTTTAATATACTAACATTTTTCTGCAAATCCGGAAGTACTGTCATTACTGTTTACATATAGCCAGCCAGCCTAATTTTGGTACGCCTTTTTATATGTCGAAATATTATACCGTCGTTCATTTGAATTGCTTTAAAAATTTTTGGGTTTTGCAATGAATAAACAACGAATAGCAGGACTTAAGTAATCGGACTGACTTGCTCATTGTTTAACAGCTTTGAATAAACAACGAATAGCAGGACTTAAGTAATCGGACTGACTTGCTCATTGTTTAACAGCTTTGAATAAACAACGAATAGCAGGACTTAAGTAATCGGACTGACTTGCTCATTGTTTAACAGCTTTGATACTTATTCTTGACTTGCAACCGTTGTCTTGAGATGTACCAAAGAATGTTGCTCGCGCACTCAGGCTGGTGCCAACAATAACACACTGATGAAATATTGTTTTCTTTTATACTACTAACATGGCTGAATTGCAAGTCAGGAATATACAAGGTATTTTTTTACCTACAGGCAATGTAAACAAGTTTTTGATCAATTTTTCAATTGAATCAAGTGCCCTTACACACAACAGTCAGATGGATCATTTACAAAAACATTTTTATCGAATGCTAGTGTAGACTGGGTTATTTCCTTCAATGTCCGCAATCTCCTTTAATATTGTTGCCAATGAGGTGCCAGGCGGGAAACGGATTCTCAATATAATATTAGAGCCCAACAAATAATTTTCAACATGGTCTTAAACAATTTCATAAACATTTTTTGTTTATGACTATGTTTAAAATTATTTGTTGGGCTCTTTAATATGTTGAATTCATTGAATATGAGAACTTGTCGAGGAAGAAAATCGTAAATGATTATCTATCTGGAAATCTTCAAAAGTAACCTCAAAGAAAAACTTAAAATTGGGACTCAGAAAGCACAAGTGGCCTAATATTTATTATAAATATGGGAAGGTAGGACGGGATGTTTGCAAGATGGATTGTATACATCCATTGTTTATATGAATTCTTACACCGAGGCGGAAAGTTACTGAGGATAAGAAGCCATCATATCACATCTCCGCAGTCTTGATTTGCCAAAGCCTTTGTCGTTAAGGACATCTGTGCTTCATCGTGTGAGCTTTGTAAGAAATTCCGTCAATACAAATCTCGCTTCGGGAATGGCATATTTGTTGCTTTGTATTTGACTCGAACAAGAAACTACAGTTGTTCGTTCTGATCCCAATTTAGAATCAATCATCGCTGTAATCGCAATACTTTAGGAGATAGCAGTGCGCGTGCGCAAAATGATTTCTGCGCATGCGCAGTGCTATCTCCCAAAGTATTTGAGATAGGGCGATGTTCTTCCGCTCATCTTAAAGCTCTCGTCGGGCTCTTTTCAGCGAGCTAAAGATCATCGCCGTATCTTCAATACTTTAGGAGATAGCACTGCGCATGCGCAGAAGGACATCCTGCGATTATAGTTGCAAAATAAGATGTGGAACGCAAGAGTTAAGCCGGTCGTTATCCTTTTACTTGACCTTTTTTTCCGCTCTAAATGTTATCAAACAGCTACATATAGTGTCTTTTTCAAAGCAAATATATTTCAGCATACTTTATGCCATCTTCAGTGCGAAGTGAATAGGAAGTTTACATCACTCTGTGTAAATTATTTTGCATCAATGTAAACTTCCTATTCCTTTCGCACTGAAGATGGCATAAGTATGCCCAAACATGTTTGCCTGAAAGAATTTGTCGTCTATTTTAAATGTCTCATGACTATTGTGCTTTTGCGAAATTGTCTATAGTGTACTCTGATTGTTATAAGAATGGCTCTTCCTTAGAAAATCAAAAATTTACTCTACTCCTGCTGAGAGCTTTCGCAGAACATGTGCGTTGAAAAGAATGCGTCCTTTCAAGTACTTGCCCCGAGCAATTTTTTTCAAAGAAGTTCTTATGCCACTACTAAATTGCAAATTTAGAATCGCAGTTAACAAAAGCACAGCTCATAGGTCTTTGACTTGGCATGTACTGCCCATTCTCGATAGAATCATTGTATGGACATGTAGAAACTAGACGAAATATTGTCTTTGAACATGTATAAAATATCAAGTTTGAGAGGACAAGATTTTATTCAGACATGTTGCCAATTAAGTAAAACTCCGCTCGACTAAATATAACGAACTGAAACTTCGCACGAATAAAATTGTTTTGCAAATCACTTCACACACTGTATACATTACAAATAATTTACATCGTAAAAAATGTATTTTTCCCTTTTTTGTGCAAATTTTCCTTTGAAGCGCCAATACACTAACTACTCGTTCTTGTAAAGTTCTCAAAATAGAATCGTTAGCAGATGAAAGCATTGAAAGTCGTTATAAATATGAACTACGCCTACGCACGTTGTTTAAAGTGGATGACTCATTAACGAAGATAAAATTGTACGAAACCATTAAAGATTTCTCCCTAGGATTTATAAAAGTGGATTGTCGAAGGTAGGTTTTATTTGAGAAGAAAATTACGCCCGGTATCATTAATGGATAAAAACATCAATATCAAAAAACGATTTTGCAGCAGCTGCTTCGCGCGACTAAAACAATACAGACAAAAGCTCCTTAATGTTGTCAGGACAACAGCACGTGGATAAAGATCAAGTTCACACATCATTGGCATGAAGAGTGGAGCGAATGCAGAAGTCGTTGAGTTCATCAACCGGCTCGCAATGTTTTTCCCATTTTTTAAGTATTTTTACCAGCCCGCGTGCGCAAGGCCTCGACGAAGGCTCTGCTTGCCAACAGCTTCTCATGAGATCAACAAAACACTGCTCCTTGCACTCTAAAATCTTCTCCTCTGGTATTAAAGGTCTGTCTCCAAAAGCAACGACGGCGAATATCGCTACGTGCGGATTTTGTCCGGCATAAGGCCTATCTCGCGTCAGCATTTGCCATAAGCAAATTCCAAGTGAATAAATATCTGCTTTCGTCGTTGGACATTCACCTTTAAGCAGCTCAGGAGCTAGGTAGGCAAAAGTACCTGTTAAACTTGACTTCGTTGGACTTGCAGGTCGCTCAACGCTACCTACACTCTGACAGCAGCCGAAGTCGGCTATCTTACAGATATCTCGCTCCGAGATAAGGACGTTGCTGGGTTTCAGATCCAAATGCGCGATACCTTTTCGATGGGCAAACGCCAGACCTCTAGCTATATGCAACGCAAACTTCACTTGCCTGTAGTTTTCCAGAGGTTCTTCCTGCGCGTTAATAAGTTCCTGTAGGTTCATATGGCCGACGTATTCCATAATCAGAGTGTGAAATCCGTCGAGTTCCAACGCGCAGTAGGCACGCGCAATGTTAGGATGGCGGAAATTCAAGGTAGAAATTTCTGCTTCGTAACTTTCATTTGACGCGCGGATATTTTTGCTCGACTTATGCCATTGTTTGAGAGCGTACCGCCTCCCGGAATAAATGACCTCGTAAACTGAACCAAATCCTCCCGAACCAAGGACTTTTCCGATGATTAGTTTAGCGCTCTCGAAGTTTTTTCCCGAAAGGTCTTTCGTTTGCAATCCGGTAGGGGAACGCTCGAATTCTGCAGGACTTGTTGGAGGATTTTGAATTGGCGAATTCTCTAGTAGCCCCATGATGTTTTTATCGCATTCATACGAAAGGAACTCCAAACGATTCGTGAGTAGTTTGCAGCTTCGAGCTGATGTAGGAAGTTACAACGCTCCTGACTCTGTAAGGTCCCGCATACGTCAATCCAACAGCAGCGTCAAAGATCATTCATTCATTGAACTGCTACTGTTTCCTTCGAATCGAACGTTTCCCACAGATCGTCACCGAGGCTCCGCATGGCAAGCAGCCAATCACAAGTGCTGTTTCAACAATACCCGTTTAATTATGCATGAAGTTTCAACGCACACGCTTAGACATGACGTGCTCTGTGCCAACGGTCACCGAGGCTACGAAATTATCGAGACTCGGCAGAGGTTTAACTAGTCATGCATGACGCCTTAATGATGAAACCACAGTTTTACCGCGGATGACTCCCAGCTGTATTGAACCAAAGCAAAATTTCTCATGTAAACCGGTAGTCGACGCTGTTTACGATTCAAAGTATACCTTTTTCATTTCATCCGTTTCAAGATGTGTTCATCGTTTCGTATGCAAGAAAGTCTAATGATTCCAACTCGAGGCTGCGTCATTGCTATTTTTTGAACTTTTGCGATTCAAATCATTTGAAAATCATTTGAAATCAACTTCAAAAAAATTCATCTCATAATAGAATTCAAATGCAGTGCGAAGTTGTTTGTTTTATGTGGGATGTTTGTTCAATGCGCTTTATTGATTTTTCCTCTGTTGCAAGAAAGAAAATGGATCTCCTCTTATTAATGAATCTTATGGCAAATCGAAATAAAATCCAAGATTCCTATGTAGTTAAGACACAAATTACTTGTAATGAATAAAGAATTTAGCACGAGAAATGCAAATGCGATCAATTCGCACAAAGTTGACACACAGCGTCTTTTGTTTAAAAGTATTTTTTTAAAGCCTTCAATGTTGAGCTGTAAAAGCCGACGAAAAAATACAATCAACAATCAACAAACACCATAGCACCTATGACGTCATTTGAACTCCTAACGACACAATCTAAAACTTGTGGTTGCAACTATTGAAATTTTCAATTGTTTTGCAGAAATTAAATTACCCTAATGGCACATCTTGATGAAAGGCAGTCGCATCTTTCCTGGAGTAAATTTAACTTAGAACACTTTGTACATAAGCTGGCTTGGAACGGCATGGAAGAAGGAATCACCGAAATATTTCAGGGTGAAATGGTTTACCTTTGAATTAAATGATCCTCGCCTGAGGTAACATGAAACTATCTATAAATAGGAACAATCTACCTGTATTCAAGCGTAGCGGAGCGTTGTTAAGCTAATCTACAGGAAAATTACGGGGGGAGTTACTAATCTACAGGAAAATTACGGGGAGTTGGGACTCGCCTGAGGTAACATGAATGATCTATAAATAGGAACCTGTATTCAAACGAGGGGGAGCGTTGTTAAACTAATCTACAGGAAAATTACGGGGGGAGTTACTAATCTACAGGAAAATTACGGGGGGGGTTGGGAATATTCATATTATGACGACGTTGTCACGTTGTCTTAATTTCGTGATGACGTACCTCTTCATAATATGATGACGTACCTCTTCATATTATGATGACGTACCTCTTCATATTATGATGACTTACCTCTTCATATTATGATGACGTACCTCTTCATATTACGATGACGTACCTCTTCATAATATGATGACGTATCTCTTCATATTATGATGACGTACCTCTTCATATTATGATGACGTACTTCTTCATAATATGATGACGTACCTCTTCATAATATGATGACGTACCTCTTCATATTATGATGACGTTGCTCTTCATATTATGATGACGTACCTCTTCATAATATGATGACGTACCTCTTCATAATATGATGACGTACCTCTTCATATTATGATGACGTTGCTCTTCATATTATGATGACGTTGCTCTTACATTCTTACGTATTGTAGTGTCAGTGATGACGGCATGACTCATGACGCCTATGTAGAAAATACTGTTATTCAGGACAAGAAATACCTTTGTGTTAAACAATTTGTTACCGTAAGATCAGGTTTATGAAATCGTCATACTAAAGCATTAAAAAGTCTTATGTTTCCTCACGTTGCCGAAAAACCAAAAATATTAAGGCGACATTTCCATGGCATCATTTCCATAGTTACATGGAAGGAACATTTATTTCAAGCATCGTTTTCACCGTGAGCTTTTGATTTCATCGTTTATTCAATCTTGTTTTGTCGTTTGGTGTTAGTTCAATTTAATGTCGTTGTAAATTTCATTTCTCTGCAAGCGACAGAGTTCTCCGCTTGGCAAAACGAGGGAAATTTGAGTCCAAGATACAGCACAAAATATTTACTTAAACATTAAATCGTTGCTCGCAATCCAACGATAATTTGCAGAAGCATCGATCTTAGTTAACGCAGCTATCTTAATAGCGAAATTACAACACGAAAGAACAGTAAAATCAACGTTATAAATAAATGTGAGCAGTAGATGTTAATTCAGACAGGTGTTAGAAACGCACGCTCAAATACAACAGTATGCAAATGTGACAAAGTTGAACATTAATGAGAACATTTATATGCAGTAAAACTGCTTAGTATAATGTTTGTTTTATGCTAGAAAAGTGGATTTACCGACAGTGCAGTAGAAGAGCTTGCTTGAAGCACTTTCATGGTAGCAGAAGAACTACTTTAGAAGGTTGAATGGAACCAATGAAAGATGAGGGTACTAATTAATATAAACTAACGTTCGTTCGACATAAATTTACGAAAGAAAAAAGGCCATTGGCTGCGTAAAATATTACGACTCATTATTTAAACACTTGATTGATGTTGTGTTTAACGTTTTGAAAATTTAATGTTTTACCCTAACGTGTTGTGGAAAAACTGACAGAACTACGTGGCATTTTTCAAACACCTTGCCAATGTAATCGCATCGAAGTCATGATTAGTTGAAGTACAAAAGCCAATAGTTCGGTGCAAGATATAAATGCAACAATGTCAAGTCCAGCGAAGCAGATGTCAACATCTAGAAAGCTTCCACCTTTACCTGGATCACGTTCTACCTTATCATCTAAAGGTAGCTCTTCGTCGACATCAAGCACATCAACGTTATCGACTAAAGCTGGCACTTCCGCGACATCAAGCCCAACACAAACGTTGTATTTTAACGAAAAGAGGATGGCCGATAGAGGAGTTAAAGAACTTTCAAAGAATCTAAACGATGGCCCTTTCAAACCAGCTCTTTTGTCGACAAGTTTGGATAAAGCAAACACAAAAGACGGAAGTGCCAAACACAGTGAGTTTTTTTTATTGCAAGGACGAACAGATTAAAGCTTATGATGTAGTATAAGTGTTCGGGGTAAGATATGCGATCTATTAAACAGCTCAAAGCTAAAGATGATACATTTTACTCTCTCAAAAACAAAATGTAACTTTTTGACATACGTTGTCTCGTCACTTCAAGCCGCGTGCTTAGCAAACGAGGTTTATATACATGAAAGATCCAAAATTGTTTTGCGACGAATGTTAAATCTATCAAATATATTGCTCGCATACGTGAGAAATTAATTTAGAATTCCGAATGATTTGCGAAGGAAAGAAAATCAAAAAGATGTTTTCGACATAACCAGCAAGCTCGTTTTGTCCCGCTATATGCAAAATTTGCTTTCTTCAAGAGACTTCCCTAAGAAATGAGATTACCTATAGCAGAACTAAAATGTAAATTGAAAATCACGGACACCTGCCGTTGCGGAGGGGTTTTGGCTTTAACATCAGTTTAAGTTCAAACGTTGAAAAGATTAGATTGCGGGACTAGAATCTTGTTGGTTGCTTACATACTTCATAAAATATTAGTAGGAATTTTCATCTTTGCGTGCTTTTAAATAGAAATATACTTTATTTGTCCTCGGGGTAATTTCGGTAGATTTTTGATCAATTTTTCTGATTAAATCAACACGTGACATATTCTTGTGTCATTTATGGTTGTTTAAATAAAACATTTTCTCGCTAAAGTTACAACAAAGAAACGGGCTCCTTTTAGAGCTATGGATTTATGATTTCGATGTAGTCTTTCTTGTTTACACTTAAGGTCTTTTTTCAACCATATATTCTTATTGAAATAGTTTTGTTTGATGGAAATGATCCTTACTAAATCTAGTCGATATTTTACCTCGACCACTGTAAACCCGTTACAAATGTGCGCCACGTTTCCAAACCATTCTACATGTGTTCTTTTATTGCAGTTGATTATATTTTACATGATTCATTACACCATATTGTACCTTAATCTATTTTAAGATTTTTAATCTAAAGCTTGCGAATGTACTTTTTTTCCGATACTTGTAAATTTCGCTCGACTTTCGCTGCTGTGCGATTTGAGATTATACAATAAATTAAAAAGCAATATGTCTTTTTTTTCTTCTCTAGTTGATGCTAAAGACATACGAACATTTCTTCATTACAATCCCGCATTTCTTGACGATTTTATCATGACAAATGTCGACGAAGAGCGCTTGGAAAGATGGTTGGTGAAAAAAACTGGAAAACAGGAAAAACGAAAAGCTTGTATACCGTCAGCAGATAAAGCAATACCGAAAGGTATTATGGGGCGAATCGTAGGGTCATATAGTAAAATTTACATGAAGTATCGCTGCTTTTTTCTTCCTCTTTATAGTAAAAGAAAAGGCGCCGCTCTCAAAATGGAAGGTACGACTTTGAAAATTGTAAAAAATATCAGTGAAAATTGTAAGAAAATATCAAAACGTGTCCTTGACTGCAAGTAATTAAAAATTACGAATCGTATAGTTTTGTGTGAAGAGTCAAGATAAGAAGAAGATTTTGTTTGAAGAGCTTAAAAAAATTGCTGATCAATCGACGACCACGGAGAACATTGTTTACGAGTTGGTGCAATGTCTAGCTCTGGGTAATATTATCAATCATTTCAATACATTAAAGCTTGTCCGTAGAAATTTTTTACCGTTGACCAAGCTGTTCAAATTTCCTGTAACACATTGAGATTTTGTTCTTTCTTGAAATATACAATTACCATAACTTATAAAATAAACACAATGAAACGCGTGCTGTTATTGGTCTAGACTCTAGAGCCATGTTTGCATTAGCCTGTGCAAGACACATCTGAGCTCAACCAATCAAATCAATCAATCAGTCAAAGAGAATTTGTCAATCGATCATCAATACATTTTAGAGGAAAAATTAAAACGTTTGTCTTTTCGCATTATTGTTATTTTATAAAGAAATAAAGATGTTTTTGTTTGCACTTATGCAAACCTCGGAGACGTTTAGAAAACTCTCGAGCATGTGGAACCCTCGAACTTCGGTCTCGGGCTTGCACTGATCTGCTCTCGAGTTCTCTTCAAAGGTCTCCTCGGTTTGCATAAGCCTGTGCAAACACAGTAAACATCTTTTTTTTCTTAATTATTGTCCACTAACCATAACGATATTATGTTTTTTTCAGCTTCTCGCGCTGACTCTTATGCTCTTTATCTAATGGATAACAACAAAAAGGTACAGTAACAAGATCTGACTTATTTTTTAGTACTTTTGAGACTATTTTTTTACGTATACGCACAAGGAAAACGTTATGTTAACACTTCTGATTTTTTAAAGTTTTGAGTTTTCAAGCCATAACGAAAATTCACGTCAAAAACTTGTCTTTCAACGCGAAAATTCAGGTCAAAATTCACGTCAAGAATCTTGTCTTTCAACGCGAAAATTCAGGTCAAAATTCACGTCAAAAATCTTGTCTTTCAACGCGAAAATTCTGGTCAAAATTCACGTCAAAAACCTTGTCTTTAACGCGAAAATTCAGGTCAAAGTTCACGTCAAAACCTTGTCTTTAACGCGAAAATTCAGGTCAAAATTCATGTCAAAAGCTTTGTCTTTTAACGCGAAAATTCAGGTCAAAATTCACGTTAAAACCTTGTCTTTAACGCGAAAATTCAGGTCAAAGTTCACGTCAAAAACCTTGTCTTTTAACGCGAAAATTCAGGTCAAAATTCATGTCAAAAGCTTTGTCTTTAACGCGAAAATTCAGGTCAAAATTCACGTCAAAACCTTGTCTTTAAGGCGAAAATTCAGGTCAAAATTCACGTCAAAATTCTTGTCTTTAACGCGAAAATTCAGGTCAAAATTCACGTCAAAACCTTGTCTTTAACGCGAAAATTTAGGTCAAAATTCACGTCAAAACCTTGTCTTTCAACGCGAAAATTCAGGTCAAAATTCACGTCAAAATCTTGTCTTTAACGCGAAAATTCATGTCAAAATTCACGTCAAAACCTTGTCTTTAACGCGAAAATTCAGGTCAAAATTCACGTCAAAAACCTTGTCTTTTAACGCGAAAATTCATGTCAAAAACCAGGTATTTTCACCATTAGGTGATCCTTGGAGACATACAAACCACGTGTTTATCTTTCATCACTAAATCATCATTTACATGTTTGTTTGTGAATAATCCATGTGAAGGATTCTGTTGATATTGACAGACGTTTCTACATCCCCGGCGATAATAGTGATTTTCATTATTCACTTGACTTTGAAGGTGACTACTGCTAAAGATTTTCAACTACAGGACAGTCTGTCAACAATAGAATAGTACAATTATACGTCACTCCTAGGTTCAAAATGTTCACTTTACTAAATTATTTTCCTTGTTCAACTTTCCTAATGTGATTTTTAAACCTGTCTCTTCTTAACCGTTATATGAATCGATTTAAGTTCATGCTTTGTGCTTTCGTTTACACTATGAATTTTCGTTCAAATCTTTTCATGTTGGTTGTAGTTAATTTTTGTTTGTGTTTGTGTTTGACAGGAGATGTATCTTTACAGTGACGGGTTGGTAATATTTTTGTTTTCATTCAACCTTTACAAGACTTTCACTACAGATAAACCTTTTATTGTTTCTGTTTGCGTTCGTTGTCCGCTTCTGTTGATATTCATACGATTTATGTTGTAGAAAAAGAGTGTTACTGATAACCTACAGCTCACCTAAATTGAGTTAACTTTAGATTGTAAAATAACAGCGCTTTTTTGAGTTTCTGTTTCAAAATCCTCTAAAGATAAAGCTTTTCTTCTAACCCGCACCCTGGCGCTCTCACACAATTGATCGTCATTACAGTTGAAAGACATCTTAACATTTTTTATGCTTTATCAAGGGGAAGGACTTCGAGAAAGGTTTCAATCGAAAATGGTGAAACTATCGCAGCTTTTGTTGCCAAAGGCAAAACGTCAATACGGACTGATGAAGTTCTAGCGGTGAGACTAATTTTATACTCAGTCTTTTTGTAAAATTGATAGTTACTGAAAGCAGAATTTCAATCTTCTTCGTACACTTTTCCTTTGAATAAGGATTCAAGATTTCCCAAAGGAATAGGTGTTGAGGGTAAGTGATGCGTGCGTGACTTTCACGTTTGACTTTCATTTCGTTGAATTGGTGACGGTTTGTTGACAAAAAAATGTCTTAAATCTTGTATCACATTCTTTATGCAGAGGATGTTGAAACATTTTTATTTTTTAAATATAACTTGTCGCCGGCGTGTATGAAATATGCCAACACGGAAGTGATCGTCTTTTAGACCTTATCCTCGCGATTTTCAAAACTTAAAATTGTGGATAATCAATAGTTTGGGACTTTGTAATTTTGTGAGCATTTCTGTTTGTAGAAAGCACTGCGCAGTCTGTAATTTGTCAACCAATCATGGCGAGCAACGAAAGTCTCGTAGGTGAGAGATTTTTCTTTTTTCTTTCTTATCTTAAGTTTAATAGATTTATTTATTTAACTTTAATAAAGTAAACGGTTTGAACCCGGGAGTATCGTTACATGTTTGTATATATAGATCGTCCTGGTTGGTATAGTCCTGAGAGGACTGTTTTGTTGTTGTTGACTGACGTTTCGACAACCTTAGCGGTAGTCATCTTCAGAGTCAAAAGGACTGTGAAGATGACTACTACAGCTAAGGTTATCGAAACGTCAGTCAACTGCAACAAAAACAGTCTATTTGACTCTGAAGATGGCTACCGCTAAGGTTGTCGAAACGTCAGTCAACAACAACAAAAACAGTCCTTCTCAGGATTATTTAACTTTACTGGTATACCTGCAGCATGATAACCTCAACATCTTGCGCTTATTAAAGCGACTAACAAACATTAAATAATTACTAGATCTTTCGCGATAATGTTATTGCTTCTTTTCTTAGGAGTTGTAGAGTTGACAAGGCGGGTCGGCCACGAACCGTTCAGCGATGAGGAGGAAGAAGTAATGGCTAAGACAGTGCTTTAAGTTTTAGTCCTTTTTTGTTAAATCCAAAAGGATTCTTGCTTCGTATTTGTAGATTGTAAACAGTTATCTTGTGTGGGAAGTTGTATTTTTATTGTGCCGAGGTAAGTAGATAACCTGCTAGTGTTGTGTACAGGAGTACCGGAGGCCGGAGCTCCGGCTATTTTGCCTGCCGGAGTTTGTTCATCACCGGCAAAACTCCGGCAGCAGTCGTTTGTGCTGTAAAATATTGTCAAACTTTGGTAAACGTGTCTGATCAAAACATTTTTTTACCAACGAACAATAACTATCGGCTAAAATTGAAAAACTTGCATGAAAATAAAACACTTTATGCATGAAACAACATGACGCTAGATTGCGTTAACACATGCTAATTTATGAATCAAAATCAAGTGCAGAAATTCAACTTTACATGTAAAAATTTTACAAATAATATGTCTTAAACTGTTGAACAGTGTCTTGGAATATTAACCAGCCACAGCCAGTGATTCGAGTTATAAGTAAAATAGCCGGAGTTCATACTTGACAAGAGGCTGAAGCCGGAGCTGAAAAACTAGAGTTTACACAGCCCTATAACCTTCAGCTATTAGGACACTTTTTGACGGAGCTCTTTTTCCATTTGATCGTAAACAGTTATCTTGTGGGTGGGGAGGTTTTATCCTTTATTACGCAGAAGCATTTGAGGAAATAAGAAGGGAGCGAGTTGATGATGAAATTTTTCCACGTCCGTAATTCATAGATTTTGTAATATGTTCATTTTCAGGCGTTAAATTCCATGTCGAAACACAAAAAACTCAGTGAATTTTTGCTCACAGTCACACGGTATGTGTACATGTTCTCAACACTCGTTTCCTTGAAGACCGAGAGCTCTTTGTGTGTTGTTGTGTTTAACAGTGTTTTCCATCCATCAGGTCGATATTCCAGGACATCGTCAGTATGGATACCGTAATCATGAAGATAATGGTAAATTTTCTCTTGAGTCATCGTTTTCATGTCAGCGGTATAATCAGCCTCGGACTCAACGCAGTCATGCCGCGTGAATTTGATACTTCATGTTAGCTTATGGTTGCCATCGAGAACGAGTCAGTCGATGTTTGTTTCCTATCTAGAATTACGCTCAAACTTTGGTTGACGCTGATCGGACATCGTTATTCTTGGTCGATTCAAAAACGGATGAGCTTTACGCTAGAATCTTTGACGTTGGTGGTTCGCCGGAAGAATCAATGGCAGAAAACTTAAAGAAAGAAATCAGGTGATTTTAGGCGGTAAATTAAACGCCATGTCCATATTTCTTAAAGTATTCTTTAAGCAAACTTTTCGTGAATACATTGTATACTGTTCAACTTAAAATCCTCTGGATAAAAACACAATGTATGTAACCAGAATACAGCTTAAAATCCTCTGGATAAGAACACAATGTATGTAACCAAAATACAACTTAAAATCCTCTGGATAAGAACACAATGTATGTAACCAGAATACAACTTAAAATCCTCTGGATAAGAACACAATGTATGTAACCAAAATACAACTTAAAATCCTCTGGATAAGAACACAATGTATGTAACCAAAATACAACTTAAAATCCTCTGGATAAGAACACAATGTATGTAACCAAAATACAACTTAAAATCCTCTGGATAAAAACACAATGTATGTAACCAAAATACAACTTAAAATCCTCTGGATAAAAACACAATGTATGTAACCAAAATACAACTTAAAATCCTCTGGATAAAAACGCAATGTATGTAACCAAAATACAACTTAAAATCCTCTGGATAAGAACACAATGTATGTAACCAGAATACAGCTTAAAATCCTCTGGATAAGAACACAATGTATGTAACCGGGATACAGATAAACTGCTTTCCTTTCCTCGGTTTTAGTTGATTGTATCGTCTTGAATTTCAGGTTTCCAAAATCGAAAGGTGTTGCCGGCTATGTAGCTACATCTGGTGAAACGCTTAACATCACCGAAGCTTATAAGGACAAACGTTTTAACAGGTACTGCATGCTAGCTGTTTCATGTTGGAGTTAAGATTTTGGTTTGTGTCTGTGATGAGGGGTGTGAAACAGCCTAAATCATAAAATGTGTACGTAAAGTCAATCTCGACGTAGAACAATCCCCGGTTTTGTGTCATAGACGAAGGGAGTATAACATGATGAAATCTTTCTTACAGGAAATTGATTTACAGACGGGCTATACAACCAAAACATTGTTATGTATGCCGATATTCATCAGAGGAAAGTAAGTATTTTAGACAATATTCCCAAGTATTCATTCGTAGCAGTTCATTGCATTTTAATCTTGATCGTTAGCATAATCGGAGTTGTACAAATGGTGAACAAAAAGAAAGGAGTCTTTACTGCTGAAGGTATCGAAGAGAGGATGTAGATATTTACGCCAAACTATAATCAAAAATGAATTATGTAAACTAAAATTTTCGTATGTCATTGTAGATGAACATTCGTTTCAAACATTTGCTACGTATTGTGGACTGGCTCTACATCACGCTAAGGTTTGTTTACATGTCATTTTAAAGCCACCATCTTTGTAGGTTACTTTGGAGCATTGAACTAAAGTACATGGAACGCTACCTGAAGCAAATAATTGAAGCTAAATCTTACACCCAGACACGCGAGATTACACCCAGACACGCGTGTGTAGTGTTTCGAGATTCTCTCGCGGAGTGAAAATTGATTGAACTACACACGCGTGTCTGCGTGTAAAATCACAGCTTCAAAAGATTATCGGACTTTTCTATTACAGGTAGCGTTCCATGTATTCGATTTCAATGCTTTAAACTACAGATGTCATTGGACTTAGTATACGACTGGAATGCTACCTTTATGTAACTATACTTGTGTTTACATAAAGACAAATTTTAGCTTGTTGTACATTGATTTTTTTTCAGTGAAAATAGTTAATTTTGTTGATTTCAAATTTGGCGGGAGCTAGCTTTCTCCAGGGTATATTCCGTTTAATGGTTCATGGCGAACCGATTTTGAAATCAGCATGGATTCTTTAAACTCAATTGGTTTATCTACAAACATGGCGACAGTGAAAACACTGTGTTTTATATATATTTTCTCTTTGCAATCTTCATATTTATAATAAAACATACAATGTTGAATCCATGTTGAATTTTTCGATAAATTCTTGCGGTGTTCGTCGTTTTATAGCTCTATGATAAAATCAGAAGATCAGAACAGAAATACAAGGTATGAAAACATGACTGGGAACAATAATTTCTTAACATGAAGATTTTATCCCATGATCCTTTAGTCTTGGTACTTCAGTATTATGTATAGATCAGTTTCGACGTATCCTCTGTTGCAGGTTGCCCTGGAGGTTCTCTCCTATCACTCCATGTGTACGGACGAGGAGATGAGGGAATTGAACAGGATACAGCAGACGCAACTTCCCGCAATCGATCGTTTCTGTTTCGATGCTTTTAGCGTGGAACAGATGGAGATGGTGGAAATGGTTATTCAGATGTTCAAGGAACTTTTCTCCCTCAAAATGTAAGAAATCTAACTCTATAAATTATAAAGTAAACACAATGAAACGCGTGCGCTGATTGGTCTAGAGCTGTGTTTGCATTAGCCTGTGCAAAGTACATCTGAGCTCAACTAATCAAAACAATCACGAGTTTGCAAATTGATCATGACTACAATTTAGAGGAAAAATTAAAGCGTTTACTTTAAATTTGTCTGTTTCGCATTATTGCTACTTTATAAAAGAAATAAAGATGTTTTTCGTGTTTGCACTGGCTTATGCAAACCTCGGAGACGTTTGTGAGAACTCTCGACCATGTGGAACCCTCGACCTTCGGTCTCGGGCTTGCAATGATCTGCTCTCGAGTTCTCCCAAAGGTCTTCTCGGTTTGCATAAGTCTGTGCAAACACAGTAAACATCTTTTGTTTTGTAAGTGAATAGTTTGAACCTGGGTATAAAGTTACATGTTTGTCAATGTAGATTGTCCAGGTTAGTCCATTCATGAGAAAGATTGTTGTTGTTGACTGTTGTTACGAGAATCACGTTTTGCAAATCAATTTAAAGCCACTCAAAAAGCAACTAGCTTGTCATTAACTTTAGTTAATTAATTTACGGCAAACGGTTAAATTTTCCTAAGATATTTCGAAAAATTCCAAAGAACCTCCAGGTTTTAAAGTCCCCATTCAACTCATCGTGAGATCACCTGCTTGCAGTTGTTTAGTGAATATCATCATAATTAAGGATCTATGTTCTAACGGAGTTATTGTAAACCGTTGCTTTTCTTTACATTTAGGTTTGATGTCGACGAACTAACGAAATTTACACTGACAGTACGACGTAACTATCGAAAAGTTCCCTATCATAATTGGACTCATGCTTTCTCCGTTGCCCATTGTATGTTTATGATTCTAAGGAAAGCTTCGTCAAACTTCACCTTAACAGAGGTGACTATTGCCATTTTAGATAAAACTTTATACGATAAACACACAAAAAGCGCGGTGATTGGTTTAGCTTTAACCCTGGGCGAAACGAAACTGAGCTCAAACAATGAAATCAATAAAATCAAACGATCAAAGAGATTTGCAAGTCAATCATGAATACATTTTAAAGGAAAAATAACGTGTTGTTTTAAATTTGTCTGTTTCCCATTATTGCTATTGTATAAAGAAATAAAGATGTTTAATGTGTTTGCACTGGCTTATGCAAACCTCGGAGACGCTTGAGAACTCTCGAGCAGGTTCAACCCTCAACCTTCCGTCTCGGGCTTGCACTGATCTGCTCTCGAGTTCTCCCAAAGGTCTCCTCCGTTTGCTTCAGTCTGTGCAAACACAGTAAACATCTTTTATTTTGTAAGTACAGTACTGAAAATAAAGTGACCGACAAACTTTGCTATCCTGAAATCAGTGTTTTCAACTGCTTCGAGCTAAACTTTTTGTTCAGCCATTCACTATGCGTTTAAAAATCTTGTGCATTTCACGAGTTTATATTCTATTTGGCGTGGATTACTAGTTTTGAAATGTTTCAAAAACTCTGTGGTTTTTGCTTGATTTTTATACAGTCCCTAGCATTGTTCGTCGCGTGCTTATGTCATGATTTGGATCACAGAGGACGAACGAACTCGTGGATGAAGAAAGAAGGCACGGCCTTGGCTTCTGTTTATACAACATCTCCTCTTGAACATCATCATTTCAATCAAACAATAACAATCCTTCAAGTAATGCTCCATCATTTTTCGCTTTATTGAAAAAATTAGGATTACCCTTTGAACATTTATTTCAGCACGAAGGTCACAACATATTCTCCAAATTCTCATCTTCCGAGTACAAATCGATCTTGGGTCATATCAAATACTGTATCCTCGCCACGGATCTGGCTGTTTTCTTTGGAAATAAAGGAAAGTTAAAGCAACTTCTTGATGCAAAGAAGTTCTCGTGGAAGGAATATGAACATACGTAAGGACTACACTCAGTGTTATTGTAATGCTAAGTTGGGACAAAATGACCGAAATTTGAATTTTTCCCTTAGAAAGTTGGTTCAAGCTATAGCGATGACTGGGTGTGATCTGTCTGCTTGTACAAAACCTTGGACAGCTCAATTCGCCACAGTTACTGTCATTTTTCAAGAATTTTACGCGGAGGTAGAAGCTCTCTCTGTGGATGACAATTGCTTTCATCTATTGTACTTTGTGTACGATTCAGCCCCGTATACTTTTGTTATCAACTGAGCATTTTCAAATTCCAGGAGATGAGGTTAAAAGACAAGGAAGTCAACCTATTCCCATGATGGATAGAGATACCGCTGAAGATTTGCCGGCTCATCAGGTAATGGATAGACTTGACATAGGGAAATTCTTCTATGCTAACCACTGATATTACCGATTCTTTTCTTTCTTAAATCCCTCAACGGAATAATCGCTATTTTTATCCAACTCTCTCCCATTTCTGTGAAAATTGCTTTCCTGTCTCGAGGTGAAACGTTGCTTTGTATCTGACAAAATTTCTGTTGTTGCAAAGGTTGGATTTTTGGTTGGTATATGCTTGCCTTGCTATGAAATGCTTCACGATTTGTTCCCTCATACTGGTGCTTTGCTTGAAGGTGCAAGGTATGAGATTTTTCATTGCATTATGTTGGGAAAAACTAAGTGTTCATAGTCATCCCTTCAACCTTTTACAAACATATCCCCTCGTGTTCATAGTCATCCCTGCAATCTTTTACCATCATATCCCCTCGTGTTCATAGTCATCCCTGCAATCTTTTACCATCATACCCCCTCGTGTTCATAGTCATCCCAGCAACCTTTTACCATCATACCCCTCGTGTTCATAGTCATCCCAGCAACCATTTACCATCATACCCCTCGTGTTCATAGTCATCCCAGCAACCTTTTACCATCATACCCCTCGTGTTCATAGTCATCCCAGCAACCTTTACCATCATACCCCTCGTGTTCATAGTCATCCCTGTAACCTTTACCATCATATCCCCTCGTGTTCATAGTCATCCCTGTAACCTTTTGCAATTATATCTCCTAGTGCTCATAGCCAACCCTGTAACCTTTCATCATCATATACTCTCTTGCTCATAGTCATCCCTTCAACCTTTCACCATCTTGTTCCCTCGTGTTCATAGTCATCCCTGTAACCTTTCACCATCCTGTCCCTCGTGTTCATAGTCATCCTTGCTTAAACTAGTTTACGAAAGCTCGAACGTTTTTAGAGCCAATTTAAAACGCTGGTCCGAACTTGTTGCGAAAAAGAAACCAGGTGAACAGGAACAATCTGACGAATAAGAAAATGAAATCGAAGATGGGGCATAAAAACTCTGAAAAAGAAGTTAAAACAGAAGATGAAATACCAATGAAAAATGAATCTTTGTAGCATGATCCCTTTCAGAAGAAGAAAGAAATGGCGAAATGTACTAAAACGTCTGTAAATATTTATTCAAGTGACGAAGGATAGTTTGTGATCCGGAAACGATAATGAAATGTTTTAGAACGCACGAACCAATCACCGAACAGTATCATATAACTTGTAAATACATGTCAACGCGTATGTGTGCCTCAAAAGAGACTGGGAACGAGTATGTGAACAAAGACCTCAAAACTTGTAAGGTAACATTTCGTTATGAGTAAAGAATTGATGCGCAGTACTTCATGTTACTATCTCAACATTACATCATGCCAGGACATTGCAGTACATCTAAGTACATTCCTTCTTTTTTTTCTTTTGGCTTCTCCTCCTAGACGCCACGACGGCAAATTGTCTTTTCTACATCTGTTTCTGTCTAATGAAACTTCTTGTCTCAAAACTAATTTCATGTCTATATGTCTTGCATCAATATATTTAGTCGTATATTTAGTTATTTTCTGAATCTCAAATCTAAGCGTGGTCTCTCGCTTTGTCTTTAAAACATGTAATATGCACTGATATTCTCATTTCTCAAAATTCTGACTCCATCGAACCGCTTTACTCCAAAGACGACATAAACATCTTCATCTTTGCAATCTTCAACTCCTGTCTTTTTCTACTCCCCGTATTACACCACATTTTAAAGATGGCGGAACAAGACCTGACTTCGAAAATTGGCTGTTATTTAGATCGACATTTAGTGTTTCCATTGATGGAGTTTCTGTCAGTAAAACAGGTGAGAAGCGTTTCATACCACTCAAAGCTCAATTCTTATGTTTTTTGTCGTTTTTAAATCCTTTGTGTTTCACTTCAAAGTGTCTGCTTTTGTATTCAAATACTATTACTAACATGCGGTCCATCGTATTGTAGACTTACTTTGTTGTTCTTCTCATATCTTTAGGTCTATGATGAAAATGAAGTGTTACAATGCATATTGGAACTTCTCAACAACACCAAAATGGTGAGTTCGTTTGAACTACAAATGCGCGTTGGTGTTGAAATGAATTTTAGATTCTTTCCGTATTAAAATCAACATATTGTATCTCTGTATCAAAGGTTGATCTAGCCATGGATGTTTTTAAGCGCATCAACCCTGATGAAGAAATTCCCGAAGGTTTTTGAAGTATTATTTAAACTTGAAAAATTTAACTGGGATAATTATGAATGGCGGTGTGGTATATAAAGTTTTACTCGGTACGGGGGAATTTAGGAAAGTGTCCTGTGATTTGCATATGGTAGTAGAGTGCACTTTCAAAAATATCTCTCAGCCCAAACTGGAAAGTTTGTGGTGTGCGCCCAATCTTGGTGTGCACTACTAACAGTCTTGCTTTTAATTATGGTATTAAAGTGACAAAATTTACCAAGGCATGGTAACACGCCAAAAACACCATGAAAAATGTGAATTCAAACTAGAGCCCCTCCCCCTCTCCCTCCCCTTCCTCACAAAATCACTTTAGATTTATTCCTCCATATGAAACTCCAATTTTTTATTGATGGTTTTTTTAAGAGCTTATTGAGAAACGTGCTCAAGTCGTTAAGGAACTTAAGCAACTCGAGGAGAAGTCCGAACCTGTCACGAAACTGTTTCAAGATGAAGAATTTGTTGAGAAAGCACAGACGAGCAGGTTATACGCATATTGATCTAAATTGAGCAGTTAACATGATATCTTCCTTAAATATGCAAGGTGTCTAAAGCAGGGGTCTCCAAACTACAGCCCGCGGGCCAGAATCGGCCCGTTGGGCCGCTCAATTAGGCCCGCAGAGGCACTTAATAATATTATTTTTAAGCAAAATAAACTTTGTGCAGAAAGTTCACGTTATGTTGCAAGCCAACTAGCAAGAGTGGCTTACCTCAATTTTTCTCCCAACTTCCTACTTCCGTTTCAAGCACATTGCAAAATTTAAAAAGCTGAAGGATAATGTGGAAACTTTTTATATTCTTCGACCCTCAACATGCTAGATGAAAGTTCATGTGGCCCTCTGGCTGTAAAGTTTGGAGACCCCTGGTCTAAAGTATAAATTGAATTTATTTTAAAGCACAGATGCCAGTGATTGAAATATAATCAAACCTACTTTTAATGGATAGGCTGAGAATACTCTTAAAGAATACATTTTGCTTGTAATTAAAGACTGTTTACGTTCATTTCAGAGATGGCAAACACTTGTTCGAGTTTATACAAAAGGAAAAGGGAGTGAGTCAAATTTTTGCGGAATTTTTGTGATCACCGTCTACATATTATGTCTTTCTGTTCTCTAAGTAGTTTTTTTCTCATAATCCAGGTGGAATATGAAGCTGTTGAAAATCTCTATCATTATTCAAAGTTTCAATACGAATGTGGAAATTACTCGAGTGCCGCAGATAATCTCTATTTTTACAGAATTTTAGTAAGTTTTATATTTGTTTAATTTATTTGTATGTTTGTAAGTTTAATTTATTTGTAAGTTTGATTTATTTCTTAGTTTATTTGTCTGTGATTTGCACAATTGAACATTTAAATTTTGGAGCAATGTCCAAGTGGACATTCATACTAAAAATCCCCAGTATCCCCCATATCCCCCTAAAAAACCTCCAGTATCCTACATATCCCCCTGAAAACCCCCAGTATCTCACATATCCCCTGAAAACCCTCAGTTTCCCCATATCCCCTAAAACCCCAGTATCCCCATATCCCCTGAAAACCCCCAGTATCCCACATATCTCCTGAAACCTCCGGTATCCCCATATCCCCTGAAAACCCCGGTATCCCACATATCCCTGAAAACCCCCAGTATCCCACATACCCCCTGAAAACCCCAGTATCCCACATATCCCCTGAAAACCCCCAGTATCTCACATTAAAATTTACTTTCCCAAATTTGGAAAATATACATCTTAAGCACTATCCTGACAATGATTTGAACACAATGTAATGTATGTACACAGAATTTTTTTGATGCGTTCAAGTCTTCAACCAAAATCGAGCATTTCATTTCAGGCAACTAAACAAAGAAAATTTCAAATTCTTTTTCATGCCATTACAGTTTGCTTTGCTGAAGTAATATTTCATTCATTGCTTCATGAAGATTAACACCTTTTCGAGAAAAACTGCAAAAATCTGTGTGAAAATCAACCTTGACCTTCTCACTTTTGCGTGAAAAACATAGAAAAATTATTATTTTGATGAACATTTCCCCAAATTCCTTGATTACTTAAAGATTTTTATATTCCATTCCAATACTAAGCCAATGATATGTGGTCTCTAGCTGGAGAAATTTCACATCTCTTAGAAATCTGGATGTTGCGAGTCAATTCTCAAGCATTTTCTTAGTAGATTATGTTCATAATGCTTGTAGGCTCAGCATACTGAACCCAAGAAATCTGGATGTTGCGAGTCAATTCTCAAGCACTTTCTTAGTAGATTATGTTCATAATGCTTGTGGCTCAGCATACTGAACCCAAGAAATCTGGATGTTGAGTCAATTCTCAAGCATTTTCTTAGTAGATTATGTTCATAATGCTTGTAGGCTCAGCATACTGAACCCAAGAAATCTGGATGTTGAGTCAATTCTCAAGCACTTTCTTAGTAGATTATGTTCATAATGCTTGTAGGCTCAGCATACTGAACCCAAGAAATCTGGATGTTGAGTCAATTCTCAAGCATTTTCTTAGTAGATTATGTTCATAATGCTTGTAGGCTCAGCATACTGAACCCAAGAAATCTGGATGTTGAAATTCTCAAGCACTTTCTTAGTAGATTATGTTCATAATGCTTGTAGGCTCATCATACTGAACCCAAGAAATCTGGATGTTAGTCAATTCTCAAGCATTTTCTTAGTAGATTATGTTCATAATGCTTGTAGGCTCAGCATACTGAACCCAAGAAATCTGGATGTTGAGTCAATTCTCAAGCACTTTCTTAGTAGATTATGTTCATAATGCTTGTAGGCTCATCATACTGAACCCAAGAAATCTGGATGTTGCGAGTCAATTCTCAAGCATTTTCTTAGTAGATTATGTTCATAATGCTTGTAGGCTCATCATACTGAACCCAAGAAATCTGGATGTTGCGAGTCAATTCTCAAGCACTTTCTTAGTAGATTATGTTCATAATGCTTGTAGGCTCAGCATACTGAACCCAAGAAATCTGGATGTTGCGAGTCAATTCTCAAGCATTTTCTTAGTAGATTATGTTCATAATGCTTGTAGGCTCAGCATACTGAACCCAAGAAATCTGGATGTTGCGAGTCAATTCTCAAGCACTTTCTTAGTAGATTATGTTCATAATGCTTGTAGGCTCATCATACTTAACCCTAGAAATCTGGAATGTTGCGAGTCAATTCTCAAGCACTTTCTTAGTAGATTATGTTCATAATGCTTGTAGGCTCATCATACTGAACCCAAGACAGTTGATGCGCTTTGGGGAAAACTGGCTTCAGAGATTTTAATGCAGAACTGGGACGCTGCACTGGTTGATTTAGACTCGCTTAAAGAAGTTGTCGATCAAAACGTATGTTGTTTAATGTGTGTTTGTAGTACCAAGCATAAATGCGCTAATCTATGGGGTGGGTGTTTACATGAATCCGGCATGACTTTTGATCCGGAATGAACTCATTCCATTTTAAAAGAAATCCTACTGCATGTTTACATGAATCTGGCATGACTTTTGATCCGGAATGAACTCATTCCATTTTAAAGAAATCCTACTGCATGTTTTCATGAATCTGTAATTACTTTTGATCCGGAATGAACTCATTCCATTTTAAAAGAAATCCTACTGCATGTTTACATGAATCCTTCTGCATGTTTACATAAATCTGGAATGAGTCACAACTCGATCTGGATCGAGTTCATTCCTATTTTCATTCCGGATCGAAGTTTCATTCCGGATCGAAATTTACTTTTAATCTCATGTAAACGCGAATTGAGTTTCATTCTGGAATGATATTGTGATTAATGACGAAGCACGCATGCGCCGTGCGTAGTGCTTCTGGGAAATTGAAGCTCGTAAGCAAATAAGGCGGCTAAATGGGCTAAAATGAGTGCGAAGAAAAACAACAATTAGTTTCATGCAAGTGTTAAGCTGTATTAACGCAGGAGCAACAGAAAAAAAAGGGTTGCTATAATGTTTATGTTCTTCATCTTCAAATTTCAAAATTCCCGCGAAATGTCAATCCTTGTGTTGATTTCCCATGTAAACACGGATTGACATCACGTTTCGATCGGAATTGAAAGTCATTCTGGATTCATGTAAACACCCCCTATGGTAATGTTTTTATGATTTTTCATTATTCAGCACTATCCTGAGTTACAACAGCTTCAGCTGAGAACATGGCTGCTTCATTGGAGTTTGTTTGTGTATTTTAATCATGCCAAAGGGAGAGATTTATTGATAGATTTATTTCTCTATCAACCAAAGTATGTTCTCTTTAAAAATATTTCTACATACGTATTATCATAACATTTTCCGTTTGAGCCAGTGTCGCGGGAAAAAGGTTAAATTTATGAATGTGTTCCTTTAGGTATCTTAACGCAATACAGACGATGTGCCCTCATATACTGCGATACTTAACGACAGCGGTTATTACAACGAAAAGACGTCGGGTCGTCCTTAAAGATCTTGTCAAAGTAATTGAACAAGAATCGTACGCTTACAAGGATCCCATAACGGAATTCTTGCAGTGTTTATACGTGGATTTCAACTTTGATGGTGCACAGAAAAAGCTCCGCGAATGCGAAACTGTAAGTTTGTTTATAGCTAAGTTTATGTTTAATGTAGAAACTTAGAGTAACGCTTGACTTTTGTTGGTCAATGTAGTTTAGTGTAGGTGTGTGTTGTACTGTGTAGGTGTGTGTTGTACAATGTAGGTGTGTGTTGTACAGTGTAGGTCTGTGTTGTACAGTGTAGGTGTGTGTTGTACAGTGTAGGTGTGTGTGTACAGTGTAGGTGTGTGTTGTACAGTGTAGGTGTGTGTTGTACAGTGTAGGTGTGTGTTGTACAGTGTAGGTGTGTGTTGTACAGTGTAGGTGTGTGTTGTACAGTGTAGGTGTGTGTTGTACAGTGTAGGTGTGTGTTGTACAGTGCAGGTACAGTAGATCCAGTATGGGATATAGATTATTTGAAGTTTTATTTTGACATGGTTTTTATTTCAGGTTTTGAAAAATGATTTCTTTTTATGTGGCTGTATTGATGAGTTCCGAGAAAACGCGAGACTTTTTATATTTGAGACATTTTGTCGAATACATCAGTGCATCAGTATTGGGTAATTAACTAAAATATTTTCATTGTCCGTTCAACGTTTACCTACCATTATATCCTCTCGTGCTCATTATCATCCCTGCAACATTTCCCCTCGCATTCACATTCATCTCTGCAATCTTTTACCGTCGTATCCCCTCGTATTCACAGTCATCTCTGCAATCTTTTACCGTCATATCCCCTCGTATTCACAGTCATCACTGCAATCTTTTACCGTCGTATCCCCTCGTATTCACAGTCATCGCTGCAATCTTTAACCGTCATATCCCTCGTATTCACAGTCATCTCTGCAATCTTTTACCGTCATATCCCCTCGTATTCATAGTCATCTCTGCAATCTTTTACCGTCGTATCCCCTCGTATTCACAGTCATCACTGCAATCTTTTACCGTCATATCCCCTCGTATTCACAGTCATCGCTGCAACCGTTTACTATTATATCCCCTTGTGTTCATAGGCACCCCTACAATCATCCAGCTAGTTCATGATTATCCGTGCTAATAATTTGTCATGTTGTATTTTGTAGAATGCTAGCAGAGAAGTTGGACATGTCACCTGAGGAGGCGGAACGTTGGATTGTTAATTTGATACGAAATGCAAGATTGGACGCCAAGATAGACTCGGAAAAGGTTTGTTTCTCTTTATATAAATAATTTTTACTTATGATGATCAAATTTTTAAGCAAGGCTGACGGTGCGTATGTTTTGTCTTACATGACTTCCAGCGGAACTTGCATTGTATCACGTAACTCTATTTATTAGCATCGTTGCCATGTCGCCTTCAGCATTTACTGCCTTCAGCTTGTTGGCTGTATGCTGTATCTCGCGTTCTAACCAGCAAGCACCAAAATTGCTTTGCGTGCCGCTTCCTGGCATACGAATTTTTATTTTTTTATTTCTTTTTTCAACTGCTCTCCATACACTTCACTGTTCATTCAGATCAGTGTGACAGGTGCCGAAGGGACGAGATGGCGAAGTGTCATGTCGTACTCCTTATGAGTGCTTGTAAGGCGATGTCCATTAGGGTGCCTTTAGTCGTATCGGCTTGTGTACCTTAATTGAATAGCCTTGTTATATATATATGGCCTTTGCCTGCATTGCACAGCGTAAATAACTTAGCATGCAGCAAATGTTGACCACACGCAGCTGTTAAATGATTGGAAAAGGCTGGTTTACGCCATGATTACGCTCTCTATTTGCTGGAAGACATTAAACAGCCAGCGGTCTTTCTTACACGTAAATTACCGTAGAAAGGTGGAAGACATATTAAACTACCAGCGATCTTTCTTACACGTAAATTACCGTAGAAAGGTGGAAGACATATTAAACTACCAGTGATCTTTCTTACACGTAAATTACCGTAGAAAGGTGGAAGACATATTAAACTACCAGCGATCTTTCTTACACGTAAATTACCGTAGAAAGGTGGAAGACATATTAAACTACCAGCGATCTTTCTTACACGTAAATTACCGTAGAAAGGTGGAAGACATTAAACTGCCAGTGATCTTTCTTACACGTAAATTACCGTAGAAAGGTGGAAGACATATTAAACTACCAGTGATCTTTCTTACACGTAAATTACCGTAGAAAGGTGGAAGACATTAAACTTCCAGTGATCTTTCTTACACGTAAATTACCGTAGAAAGATGGAAGACATTAAACTACCAGTGATCTTTCTTACACGTAAATTACCGTAGAAAGGTGGAAGACATTAAACTACCAGTGATCTTTCTTACACGTAAATTACCGTAGAAAGGTGGAAGACATATTAAACTACCAGTGATCTTTCTTACACGTAAATTACCGTAGAAAGATGGAAGACATTAAACTACCAGTGATCTTTCTTACACGTAAATTACCGTAGAAAGGTGGAAGACATTAAACTACCAGTGATCTTTCTTACACGTAAATTACCGTAGAAAGGTGGAAGACATATTAAACTACCAGTGATCTTTCTTACACGTAAATTACCGTAGAAAGATGGAAGACATTAAACTACCAGTGATCTTTCTTACACGTAAATTACCGTAGAAAGGTGGAAGACATTAAACTACCAGTGATCTTTCTTACACGTAAATTACCGTAGAAAGGTGGAAGACATTAAACTACCAGTGATCTTTCTTACACGTAAATTACCGTAGAAAGGTGGAAGACATTAAACTACCAGTGATCTTTCTTACACGTAAATTACCGTAGAAAGGTGGAAGACATATTAAACTACCAGTGATCTTTCTTACACGTAAATTACCGTAGAAAGATGGAAGACATTAAACTACCAGTGATCTTTCTTACACGTAAATTACCGTAGAAAGGTGGAAGACATTAAACTACCAGTGATCTTTCTTACACGTAAATTACCGTAGAAAGGTGGAAGACATATTAAACTACCAGTGATCTTTCTTACACGTAAATTACCGTAGAAAGGTGGAAGACATTAAACTACCAGTGATCTTTCTTACACGTAAATTACCGTAGAAAGGTGGAAGACATTAAACTACCAGTGATCTTTCTTACACGTAAATTACCGTAGAAAGGTGGAAGACATTAAACTACCAGTGATCTTTCTTACACGTAAATTACCGTAGAAAGGTGGAAGACATTAAACTACCAGTGATCTTTCTTACACGTAAATTACCGTAGAAAGGTGGAAGACATATTAAACTACCAGTGATCTTTCTTACACGTAAATTACCGTAGAAAGATGGAAGACATTAAACTACCAGTGATCTTTCTTACACGTAAATTACCGTAGAAAGGTGGAAGACATTAAACTACCAGTGATCTTTCTTACACGTAAATTACCGTAGAAAGGTGGAAGACATTAAACTACCAGTGATCTTTCTTACACGTAAATTACCGTAGAAAGGTGGAAGACATTAAACTACCAGTGATCTTTCTTACACGTAAATTACCGTAGAAAGGTGGAAGACATTAAACTACCAGTGATCTTTCTTACACGTAAGGAATAAAATGTTTTTGTAGATCGTCAAGGTTAGTAGAATCCTGAGAAGGACTGTTGGTGTTGTTGTCGACTGACATTTTGACAAACCTTAGCGGTAGTCATCTTCAGAGTAAAGTGAAGAGTAAACGTCAGGCTTTATTTTTATCTGCTCTGTACGTCATATAAGACATGACTCTAAAGATGACTATGGATTTAGAAACGTCAGTCACTATCAACAATCCTTCTAAGAAACGCACGAACATGAATGATCTGCATCATTTTTTTTGGATACATGACGTTTGCTGTCAACTCTATCAGTAATCGAAAAGAGAAGAAATTTGCTTATTTCGTACTTTCTTTTAAAGATCTGAGAATCGATATTAATGCAAAAATTCTAGAGCAAACCATTATCGATGTCGCTCTTCGTCACTATAACAAAGTATGAATGAATTTCGCACACAGGGTCACGTTGTCATGGGAACTCAGTCTCCTTCCGTTTATCAGCAAGTGATGGAGAAAACTAAAGGATTGCTGTTTAAATGTCAGGTCCTGGAACAGAATTACGAGAAGAAGAAGAAAAGTGGTTCGGGAGATCACTACATGGTAAAGGTAGGTGTATTTTACCGGTAATGTAATTTACCGATTTGTACTATGATGTACTAATTTGTACTAATTTGTATCTAGGTAACTGCTCTTCTACACTTTATATTTTCAATGTATTTCTAGGGAAACTGGACAAATACTTATGATACTTCATTTATGAAAAACTGAAAGCTCCGAATCGTTATTCAAAACGAACATGAAATATCCATTTTATTCATCGCGGAGTCCTCAAAAAGGATAATTACGTGCTTCGTCCTCGGTGATGCAAGACCAGTTTCGAAATTAGCAATGCCTCGCCTTTCATCTCTGACTTCTTGCGTCAAACTCTGCTTATGTACCTGTTGTTGTTATGGTAACGATTGTTTACAACCTGTAATCTTTCTTTATGAGTTTCAAAAAAAACTCAATATTATTGTTTTCTCGATAACTTTTTAGAAGATTTTCAAGCGATTGAATTTGTTTCGTTTTCTCATTTCAAACTTTTAAAAAGATCATTTGCACTTCGAAAACATTCCTGCATTACCTTAAACGCATTAAAGCAGCAGGTTAATACTTTAATAAATACGTCGACTGGTTGTTTTATTTGTGTATTTGAAATTGCATTGCGTGCGCTTGACATCGTTTTGTTGAAATACACCGAAAGTTGGCTCATTTTTGGCGAAATGTTTGGCGTTATTTTGGCTGTTGTAGTTATCGTTTTTATATCTGTTTGGGCGGCAATTCAGGCTTATTATATCGGAAAGTGTTTTCGTGTTGGTCAGCCTCAAGAGTCTGGTCATTACAATGATTGCCTTTTATAAAAGAACATCATAGCCTTCTTGCCGTGTCTCAAGGTACAAAACGGTCAATATTTGATGTTCTGCTTCAAGGACGCGTTCTTCCGTGTGTGGGGAGATGCTTTTGCAATGTAAAGTTCCTACTTTCGTCGATGCATACTTGAAACAGCTCAAGAAGAACATACTAATATTCATAATTTAAATTACGTATAACATTGATATGTACACAGTTTACTACAAATTTATAAGTTAATATATGACAGTAATTTCTTCATTAAGATCATTGTAACGCAGAGATATATCACATAGATATAAATTGACAATGGATTACAATAATCTTTCCATTAAAGTTTTTCCAACGAAGAGTTGATACAATTAAAATCATGTACGTCGTTAATTCGCTTTTTTTGTCGCGCCAATTTTTCGTCCTTGAGCGAGTATTGTGTCTTTAATGTACATTATTCTCTGCTCTCCCGATTCTTCGATGCTTTGAGAAAAAAAATTTGACAGTTTTATCTTGAAAACCACTAAATTACCATCAAACATTATTTGATTTCAAGAATTTGTCGGCTAATGATAAACGTACAATATTAACATTACATTAATTGTATTTGAAAAAGGAAACCTAACTTCTCCCAAATACTAGTTGAACGAAGTCCGAACAACATCAATTCGATAGTTGTTTTTAAACTGTTTTAAAATCTCTTGACACTGACCTTTTAAGGAACTCTACACAGTCAACATGTCCATAAATTTCTGCAACGCGTCTTGGCGAGTCGCCTGTGTCGTCCTTTAAACATACGGCACCTCCATGTTCTTGAAGAGCGCGTAAACAGTTCACGTGACCTTCTTCGGCGGCGCAATGAGCTGGGGTCCAGCCTCCTACCATTCGCGCGGTAGCGTCTGCTTTATGTTCCAGCAGTAATTTGATGCAGCTTGCGTGGCCTGAGAAGTTTAAACGTGTCAAGAATTTCGTTGAAACTTTAAAGTCGTAGAGCGGAATTACAAGACAAAATGCAAAAACAAACATTTGAAAACATGTTTCTACGTCTTTATGTAAAGATCTCGTTGTTTACATACCTTTAGCCGCTGCCCAATGTAATGCTGTTCTCTCTCCAAACTCCACATCTTTGTGATTCACATCAATTTTCCCCATGAGCAACAGGCTTTGGAGTTCGTGGTAGTCGCCGCTAGCCGCAGCTTCGTGCAAAACCAGTTCTGACATCAGCAACGCTGGGCTATCGCCATGGCCTGGTACCGAAGGTGGATAATGAATGATAATACAGATGTGTGATATACAATCCCACCGGCAATATTGTTTTTTCTCTTGTTCAATCAACGAAGCGCAGTATGTGAATAGAGTCTAACATTGTTGGACTAACAAAACTATTTCAACAAAGCGAATGGTTTGAAACTTGTTTTCCTTGATTGTAAATGTTGATCGTACTGAGAAAGGCAAAAGAAACTGTTCATATTAGTGTTGACTAAAATTTTCTCATACTTAGCCGTCAAAATATCATTCAATATCAACAACACCAACAGTCTATCTCAGAATATCATTAACCTGGACAATCTATACTTCTACAAACATGTAGAAGCATTCGCTAATCCTGACTTCTGGGGCGGGTTTTGCACTGGTTGCTTGCTTTTGCATTGTCGGCTTTTAGTATAAACTTGCGCATTAAGATAAGCTTCAAAGATTTACAAACAACTTTAAGTAATAGAATCCATATTTCGTTACGTTTTCTAGCTAGAACTTTCCTTCCTACAGCTTGTTCCTCATATCGAGTAATCCGAGTTGTTTCAGTCGTCCCAAGAACGCAAACCACTATGTCAGAGCTCTTTCCAGACAACTGAAAGGACTCATTAATATGAGAAGCAGCGTTAAAGATTGCGTTCTACAGGCTAACTGCTACCAAAAGTAATTATAATAGTTCTAAATATTACTGTAGATCCTGTGAGTAACATCTCGTACTGGTTAAAGGTTACCTTATGAAAAAGCAAAAGACTTCATTTGTTGATATCCTGATGTTTTCACGATTGCTACGCAGCTCATGTTTGCATATTTCAAAGCAAAGCAAAACAAAGTAATTTAATCCGACTCATAATGCTTATGCTGGCAATTTAATCCGTCAATTATTATTTCATGACAGCGACTTATTCATTCATTGTTCAGCAAAACCTTTTATAAAGCGTTTCGTTTGAAATCTTTTTATAAGATTTGATGACCTAAACTATTTACATCAATCCAAAGGACTTTAGTCAGAGTTGTCGTCATTCTCATTATAAAGACTTCTTCCTGTAGTTTATGAATCAACTAAAGGTTATTTTTTAAGGTTATCTTTCCGCAAGAAAAAAGTAATATTTAACTAGAAAGCGGTTGATGTTCTTTGGAGAAACTTTTTATCGTTAGTTGAGATAAAAGATGTTCCAAGTCATTCTGCGTGTCCATTTAACAAAGAACATTGAAATAGGGTGACTCGAGAAAATGTTTTTGAAGCGTTTTTTCTTTGCGTAGTGACCGACACAGACTGTGGTCACTACGCAAAGATAATCAAAGGTACACATAAAGGTAGACATAAAGGTAGACATAAAGGTAGACACAAAGGTAGACATAAAGGTAGAAATAAAGGTAGACACAAAGGTAGACAGAAAGGTAGACATAAAGGTAGACATAAAGGTAAACATAAAGGTAGACATAAAGGTAGAAATAAAGGTAGACATAAAGGTAGACAGAAACGTAGACATAAAGGTGAGACACAAAGGTGAACATAAAGGTGGACATAAAGGTAGAACATAAAGGTAGACATAAAGGTGAATATAAAAGGTAGACATAAAAGGTGAACATAAAAGGAGTAGACATAAAGGTGAACATAAAGGTGAACATAAAAGGTAGAACATAAAGGTAGACATAAAGGTGAACATAAGGCAAAGGTAGACATAAAGTGACATAAAAGGAGTATGGGCAAAGGGTAGACATAAGATTAAACATAAAAGGTAAACATAAGAGTAGACATAAAGGTAGACATAAAGGTGAACAAAAGGTGAACATAAACATAAAGGATAAACAAAGATGAACATAAAGGTACATAAAGGTGAACATAAAGGCACATAAATTTGTAATTTTCACAAAGGATACATAAAGGTACAGGTACATAAAGGTGAACATAAAGGTGAAATAAAATTACATAAAAAGGTTGACATAAAGGTGGACATAAAGGAGAGACATAAGGTAGACATAAAGATGAAACATAAAGGTTGACATAAAAAGGTAAAAAATAAAGGTAGACATAAAGGGCATAAAAAGGTGAACATAAAGGTGGACATAAAGGTGGGGCATAAAGGTGAACATGAAGGTAGACATAAAGTGAACATAAAGGTAAATAAAGGTAGACATAAAGGTGTACACATGAAGGTTGAACATAAAGGTAGACATAAAGAGGTGAGAATAAAGTTTTACATAAAGGTTACATAAAGGTAGACATAAAGGAGACATAAAGGTGAGACATAAAGGTAAACATAAAAAGGTAGACATAAAGGTGAACATAAGGTGAACATAAAGGTAGACATAAAGGTATTTATAAAGGTACATAAAGGTGAACATAAAGGTGAACATAAAGGTAAACATAAGGTGAACATAAAGATGAACATAAAGGTGAACATAAAGGTGCACACATAAAATTAGACATAAAGGTAGACATAAAAGGAATTCACATAAAGGTGCACATAAGGTAGACATAAAAGGTAAACATAAAAGATGAAACATAAAGGTGCATAAAGGTGCACACAAAGGAACACATAAAGGAATTTTATAAAGGTACATAAAGGTACACATAAAGGTGCATAAAGGTGCACATAAAGGTGCACATAAAGGTTACACATAAAGGTTACACATAAAAGGAATTACATAAAGGTGCCACATAAAGGTACATAAAAGGTGCATAAGGTGGACATAAAAGATTAGACATAAGAGGTGCACAAGATTGCACATAAAGGTGCATAAAGGTGCATAAAAGGTGCACATAAAGGTAGACATAAAGGTAGACATAAAGGTGAACATAAAGGTGAACTTATAAAGTTAAACATAAAGGTAAACATAAGGAATTAGACATAAAGGTAGACATGAGATGAACACAAAGGTAGACACAAAAGGTAAGACATAAGGTGAACTATAAAGGTGAACACAAAGTTAAACATAAAGGTAAACATAAAGGTGAGACAAAGGTGTAGACATGGTGGACACAAGGTAGACCTAAAAGTGAACAGAGGTGAACATAAAGGTAAACATAAAGGTAGACATAAAGGTGAACATATAAAAGATGGACAACCACAGAATATAGCCTTTGCATTTTACCACTTTACAAAGACTATAGTCTTTGCATTTTCTAATTTACAAGACTATAGTCTTTGCATTTTTAATCTTTTATAAAGACTATAGTCTTTGCATTTTACTTACAATAAAGACTATAGTCTTTGCATTTTGAACTTTTACGCAAAGACTATAGTTTTGCATTTTACACTCTTTTATAAAAAGACTATAGTCTTTGATTTTACTTACCACATAAGACTATAGTCTTCATTTTACTTACTCGAGACTATAACTGCATTCCTCGTTCCATTCCATTCCATTTCATTTTTAATAAGACTATCAGATCTTTCACATTTCTATGACAAGACTATCAGATCTTCATTTCCACCTCAGACTATAGTCTTCATTTTACCACCACAAAAGACTACTCAGTCTTCATTTCTTTTAAAAAGACTATAGATCTTTTTTTCCATTATAAGACTATAGTCTTGCATTAATTACTTTTATAAGACTAAGATCTTTGCATTCTTTAATAAAAGACTATAGATCTTTGCATTTTTACATTTTACATAAAAGAGACTATGAGATCTTTACATTTTAACACATAAAGAGACTAGATCTTTGCATTTTACTACTACTTAAAAAGACTATAGTCTTTGCATTTTACTTTATTACAAGACTCATTCCATTTTAAGACCAGTCTTCCATTCCTGACTAAGACCACTCTTCCATTCCTTCATTTCCCTAAGACTATTCTTTCCATTCCATTCCTGTTTCCATTCTTCCATTTTACTGTCTTCTTTTTCCTTCCATTCTTTCATTCCATTCCACTCTAAGACCTCAGATCTTTCTCTTCCTTTCCTTTTCTCTATAAAGACTCAGATCTTTGCATTTTCCACCTATAAAGACTCAGATCTTCCTACCTGAATAAAAGACTCAGATCTTCATTTTCATCTAAAGACTATAGTCTTTACATTTACTACCCTTACGCAAAGACTATAGTCTTTGCATTTTACACTATGTAAAAGACTATAGTCTTTGCATTTTTGAACCACTTAAAGACTAGATCTTTGCATTTTACAAGTTTACGCATAAAGACTATAGTCTTTGCATTTTTGCAGGCAAAGACTGATCTTTGCATTTTACTAAATGCAAAAGACTATAGTCTTTGCATTTTACACCTGACACCAAAGACTATAGATCTTTTCATTTTACACTTTCATGCAGACTATGAATCTTATTGTCACAAAAGACTATAGTCTTCCGTTTTTACTGCATAAAAACTATTGTTTCATTTTACTTTTACAAAGACTATAGTCTTTGCATTTTCCACCTTCTATGCAAAACACTATGGTCTTTGCGTTTTTGAACTTTACTTAAAGACCTATATCTTCTATTTTTACTGCCTTAGGAGCCGAAAGACTATAGTCTTTGCATTTTACTTGTACCAAGACTATAGTCTTGCGTTTTACACCTTTACAAAGAGACTATGGTCTTCGCACCTTGCAAAAGACTATAGTCTTTGCGTTTTTCACTTTCGCAAAAAGACTATAGTCTGCTTTTTACACTTTTAATGCAAAGACCTATAGTCTTTGCATTTTTGAACTTTATAAAGACCTCGAGATCTCTGCATTTACTGCGCAAAAGACATATCTGCATTTTTTACTTTACGCATAAAAACTGTCTTTGCATTTTTACGCACTGAACTACTCAGATCGTTTTCACACCTTTGCAATTTTCGTAAAGTTCGCATTAAAATCTCAGTCAAAGAGATGTCTGAATTTTGTCTTTTATGAACTATAGTCTTTAATAAAGATTTAAAATACAAAGACCTAGTCTTTGCTTTTCAAAAATAATATCTAAAATACTTTGGCGTAAAGTGTGAAAATACAAAACTAGTCTTTAACACTCTTCTTAAAAAACTAAAAGTCTTTTTTCAACTTTTAATAAAAAGACTATAGTTCTTGTCTTTACCATGAGAGTACTAAGTCTGGCTTCTAGTCTTCTAACTGTATAAAAATTTCACAAAGACTATAGTCTGCTCAAAGTCTTAAAATGCAAAACACTAATAGTCTTTGCATAAAATTAAAAATAAAGACTACTCAGTCTTTAGCGATAAGTGTAAAATAAAATCTTTTGCATTAAAAATATTAAAAAGACTATAGTCTTTTTATTAAATTTAAAATCTATAGTCTTTAAGCGTAAAAATAATAAAAAAAAAAGACTATAGTTTTGCATAAAGTGTGTAAAATCTAAAGACTCTTTAGCATTAAGTCTGTAACAAAAGACTATAGTCTTTGCATAATGTCTAAAAGACTATAGTCTTTGATGAAGATGTGAAAATACAAAAGTTTTTTGCGTGGGGTTTAAATCTGAAAGAGTATAGTCTTTATTAAATTTGCAAAAAGACTAGTCTTTAAATTTTAAAGAAAATCAAAAAAGACTATAGTCTTTTATACAAGTGTACTCTAAGACTATAGTCTTTGCATTTTATATTAAAAAATGCAAAGACTATAGTCTTTAATTTAAAGATGTGTCAAATCACAAAGACTATAGTCTTTTTCAATTAAATTTCTGTAAATGCAAAACACAATGAGTCTTTTGCATAAAAACTGTAAAAAGACAAAAATTCTTTGTCAAAAATGTATGGTTAATTCTTTTTGCTTTAGGACAAAGACTGGGTCATAGTCTTTTAATAGAGGACTATAGTCTTTGTAAAATCACGAAACAGAAATAGTCTGCAACAAAGCTATAGTCTTG